TTGGGTGTCTTTAATGTTTTTGGTATTGGTATTATTATGCTTTGCTTCCATATTTCAGGAAGTGTTGAGGTCATTAAGGAGTAAGAAAAAATATAATATATAGGGTAATAAAGACTTTTAGCACATTTTTTAAGGAATATACATGGTATAGAGTCATAGGAAGTGTTAGTTTTTTCAGGTAGTTTAGAAAGAAGATAAAAGATTTGATGTTCATTTATGATAATTGAATCACATGTATTATGATTAGTTATAGAATTTAAATCTGTATTATCGAACGAATTTTTGTTAAGTACGGAGCTAAATTGTGTACTTAGAATTTGTGCTATTTTGTTATCCGCATATACTAATTGATTATTTCCATCCAAGATTGAAGTTATTTTCCTGTTTTTTGATTTAAGAAATGAAGAGATGTATGAGAATTTTTGACTGACAGTTTGAGTTTTATGCTTTTCCCTATTTTTTAAAAATTTATTAGTTTCAGAGTCTATTCTTTTGGATATATAGGAGATTTTTCGTGACAGCTCTGGTGTGGTTTTTTGTTTCCAAAGATTTTTTAGATATATGATCATTTTTTGAATATGTTCAGGTTTTTTGAGATTATTACATTTAACTTTAGATTCCGGAACATGAGAACAAATAACATTATGTAAAATCGATTGGAAAGTGAAATATAGTTGATTTATATCAGAGCATTGTGTGAATACTAGATTCCAGTTTATTGTTGAAAGATATGCATTAATTATTTCGTAGTTAGCTTTACGAAAATTTGGATATTTATAGGTATTATCTTGATAGTTGTTAGTAAAAGATATGTCAAATTCTATTGTATTATGGTCAGATTTACTTATAGGTGGATTAATTGTTATAGTCTTTATTAGTTCATCCTCATTAGTTAATAGTAAATCCAATATTTTAACTCCTCTAGTGGGCTTATCAATTTTTTGTTTTAATCCTAAACTTTGAATATATTCTAAAAATAATGTTTCTTTAGTATTTTTGGTTTGAGTACTATAATTTTCCCAATCGATATTGGGTAGGTTAAAGTCTCCTAATAATACGAGTGGATAGGATACAGCTGATATATCATATAAACTTTGCAAGATTGATTTGAAATCCTTAATAGTTTCTTTAGTGACTGATCTATAGATTAAAATAATACGAATTTTTTCATTTGGGGTTAATAAATCTATACAAGATATCTCAGATAAAGTTTGGGGGATTTCTATTTTAATAAATGGTATTTTATGTGATATAAATAAACAAGTTCCTCCACCCCTACCTTTAACCCTATCAGTTCTGATAATATTATATGGGGTACCATGTAATAAAAGATTATCGTCAACAATATCGTTCAACCATGATTCAGTTACCCCTATTAATTTATAACGGTTTTCTAATAGCATAAATTGTAAATTGGACAGTTTGTTTTTTAAACTCCTTGCATTAAAATATAAAAAATTTATTGTATTTAATGTATTTAAACAACCATTGATCTCTGAATTAGAAAAAGATTTTATTTGTCCTAAAGTTCTTATCTGTCAATGGTTGTTTTGATTTAATTTAGTCCTAACATTTGGTATTTCACTACGTAAAACTACCATGTCCGCATAAACCACGTAGTCAAAATCCTTCCCTTCTTTCTTTGCTTGTTCACGAGCCAAGGAGCATTGCATTTGTAGACGTTTTCGGCTTGCTAGTTGTTCAGCTTGCTAGTTGTTTCTCGTTTCGAATTTATCGGAGATATATTTTTAAAGTTTATTTATTCCCTTTTCAATTTTTTTCTAAACAAATAATTTCATCATTGGAAAAAAACAATTTTTATTTTTCAAATTTTTATGCTTCAATACACCTCAACCTTTTGTTAATAAATTGGTGGCTCTTTTGTTTCGAAAAAAGTCGACAAAATAAAAAAGAATTGGCACTTTTTACACTGCAGGAGGCCAAATTCTTTTATTTAAAATTCTTTGACAACAAAATAATTAAAAAAATAATTTTTTTAAAGAAATTACTTTAAAAATATTCCAAATTTAACAAAAAAAATTTTTTTAATTTAAAAGCAAAAAATAATAAAAAAAATAATTTTATGATTACTTCATTGGAGAGAAAAGGGACTTTTAATTCTTTTTATTTTCTCTAAAAAGTTCATTGAATATTCAAAAGATAATTTATTCTTCTACATATTACTTTATTTAATTTTTTTGAATAAAATTACACATACATACTAAAATATATATTTAATCCCAACAGAATTATTTTTTAGAATTTAAATTAAAAAATTGTGATTGTTTCTTGATGACAAAATTTTCTTTCCCCAGATTTCCAAACTATGTATAAATATATTTAGGTATATTAAATTAATATATTTATTTTCTCAAAATCTACTAAATTATTAATCATTTAAAATATTTATTATCTCTAAAAATTGGAGGGAGGGGCGGGGGTAATTACTCCTTCAATTACTCCGTGACATTTTAGCTTCTGATTCTCTAAGAACGCCGTAGTTGGAGTTTAGGGCTTTTAATTATTTAAAAATTATTTTTTAATTATATACTTAAATATCCAGAAATAATTTTTTTTCTCTTTAAAAGACAAGAGAATTTTTAAATGTTTTTGTCAGTTTCTGAATAATTTTTATTTATTTATTTATTTATTTATTTATTTATTTATTTATTTATTTATTTATTTATTTATTTATTTATTTATTTATTTATTTATTTATTTATTTATTTATTTATTTATTTATTTATTTATTTATTTATTTATTTATTTATTTATTTATTTATTTATTTATTTATTTATTTATTTATTTATTTATTTATTTATTTATTTATTTATTTATTTATTTATTTATTTATTTATTTATTTATTTATTTATTTATTTATTTATTTATTTATTTATTTATTTATTTATTTATTTATTTATTTATTTATTTATTTATTTATTTATTTATTTATTTATTTATTTATTTATTTATTTATTTATTTATTTATTTATTTATTTATTTATTTATTTATTTATTTATTTATTTATTTATTTATTTATTTATTTATTTATTTATTTATTTATTTATTTATTTATTTATTTATTTATTTATTTATTTATTTATTTATTTATTTATTTATTTATTTATTTATTTATTTATTTATTTATTTATTTATTTATTTATTTATTTATTTATTTATTTATTTATTTATTTATTTATTTATTTATTTATTTATTTATTTATTTATTTATTTATTTATTTATTTATTTATTTATTTATTTATTTATTTATTTATTTATTTATTTATTTATTTATTTATTTATTTATTTATTTATTTATTTATTTATTTATTTATTTATTTATTTATTTATTTATTTATTTATTTATTTATTTATTTATTTATTTATTTATTTATTTATTTATTTATTTATTTATTTATTTATTTATTTATTTATTTATTTATTTATTTATTTATTTATTTATTTATTTATTTATTTATTTATTTATTTATTTATTTATTTATTTATTTATTTATTTATTTATTTATTTATTTATTTATTTATTTATTTATTTATTTATTTATTTATTTATTTATTTATTTATTTATTTATTTATTTATTTATTTATTTATTTATTTATTTATTTATTTATTTATTTATTTATTTATTTATTTATTTATTTATTTATTTATTTATTTATTTATTTATTTATTTATTTATTTATTTATTTATTTATTTATTTATTTATTTATTTATTTATTTATTTATTTATTTATTTATTTATTTATTTATTTATTTATTTATTTATTTATTTATTTATTTATTTATTTATTTATTTATTTATTTATTTATTTATTTATTTATTTATTTATTTATTTATTTATTTATTTATTTATTTATTTATTTATTTATTTATTTATTTATTTATTTATTTATTTATTTATTTATTTATTTATTTATTTATTTATTTATTTATTTATTTATTCCTCTTCTTCAACACGCATTTTTAGACTTTTACATGTCAACGTCTCTTTAATTAAGTTTTCTACACGTCATCACCGTCTCCCCCTTCCCTTCCCTTAATTTTTCCCATCCATTTCCTTTTCGTGTCTCCTTTAAAAATTATTTTTATTTTTAAAAAATTGAAATTTCTTTAAAAATCATTTCAAATTTCGCGCTGTCACGCAATTTTTGGGAGACTGAAAACTTTTTTTTGAAAAACTTTCATTCTCTTGGGGGATGCCAAGGAAAAAAATAAATGAGAGGAAAAAAAAGAAAATATTTCTTTGATGATTTTCTTAATTTTTAAAATATTTTTTTGACAAAACAAGGAAATAAATAAAGGGGAAATGAATTTATTACAATCTAATCTCTTCCTATCTATTGAAGATTTAATTCTACAGTTTTTGTTTTCCCTTTTTGCTCTACTTTAACCTCATTGTAGTCTTGTTTTTATCTGACTTAAATATTATTTAATTATTACCCCCCCCCCTCCCCCTATAATTTATTAAATAATTACCTATTTACTATTCACCTTTTATTAAATCTTTAATTTTTTTATTTTTTATTCTCTAAATACAAATTTAAACATTAACAATTTTATTTGTGTTTTAGAATGTTAATTTTTGATGTTTTAAATTTAAAAAAAAATTTGAAAAATTGTATATTTTTAAAATTATTTTCAAAAAAAATTTTTTATTTGTTTCCGTTTGCCTTTCACAGCAATTAAATGTCCAATTAATTGGCAGCTATAAATAATAATTATTATTTTTTGATTTTAAAAGGAAAAAATAAAATATATTTTTTATAATCCTATGGGAGAAAAATAATTTTTTATTAAAATTAACATACATACATATTTATTTATTTAATTATTTTACTTTCCAATTAATGAACAAAATTAAAAATAATTTATTCCTTATATTCTTTAAAGAAAAATAATTTTTAAGTAAATAAATAATTAAAACCCCTTCAATTCTTTTATTTTTTTAAATTAAAAACTTTAATTTTTTAAAGATTTTTTAAAAAATGAATAAAAATATTAACAGACCTTCTTCTCGTTCAACTAGCCGCTGTTCTCGTGGACAACAGAAAAAATCAGAAAAAAAGCAAAAACAACAACACAATCAATTAAAAATAAATAAAAGCAACCAATTAGTAATTAATTTTAATTAAATTAATTAATTTTTAAAAATTTTTTTTAAGAATTTTTGGATTCCAACAAGTGAAAAAATTGTAAGGAAAGCTTATAGTAGTGGTGGTGGTGGATTTGTTGATAATGAAGAAAATACAAAAGAAGAAAAGGAGTAAGTTTTGTTTTTAAATAAATAATTATTTTTTTCTGCAAAAATCTTTTTATTTGTTAAAATATATTTACATTATGGTAATTTTGAACTTCGTACCCCCCCCCTCTCTTTTTTCTGTTTCAAAGTGTTAAAAATGGTCAGTCTGAACAAGAATTGTAGAACACATCAAACCGAGTCGAATGACACCAAAATAGACAAAATCCGACCGGATTGGACCGAGATACAGACCCCTGAAAATTGAAAAACCACAGGGGTGATTTCTTGGAACAAAAAAATTTAAGCAAATGCTCATTCGAAAGAGCTCGTCGAGCTGAGTTGAATGACAGCAAAATCAACGTAATCGGACGAGTTTTGACAAAGTTATGACATAAAGTCGCCGACTCCGGTAGGTCGAAATAATGTCATAACCGTGTCAACTCATGTCCAATCACGTTGATTTTGGTGTCATTCGACTCAGCTCGCCGAGCTCTTTCGAATGAGCTATCACTTGTACAATCACTCGACCATATGGTTTTTCGCCCCTGTGGTTTTTCAATTTTCAGGGGTCTGTATCTCGGTCCAATCCGGTCGGATTTTGTTGATTTTGGTGTCAATCGACTCGGCCTGATGTGTTCTACAATTCTTGTTCAGACTGACCATTTTTAACACTTTGAGACTGAAAAAAGAGAGGGGGGGTACGAAGTTCAAAATTACCTACATTATATTTAAAAATATATTTATTTTTTAACCAAAAGACAATTTTATTTTTTTTTCAAATATTTTATTTTATTTCCTCCTAAAATTGAAAAAAAAATATTTTTTTAAAAAGTCCATATGTTCATTTTGGCAAACATTTCCTCTTAAAATTAACAAAAAAATTTTCTCTCATATTTTTTTTTATTTCATTGCCCTTTTCTCCCTCTCTTCTTGACTTAAAAATTCTTTTTTTTATTCAAAATTTAGCCAAAAATATTTTTTAGAAAATATTTTATATTTAGTCTTTCCCTAGTTAATATGTTCAGAAAAAAATAAAATGAGGAAAGAATTATTTTCTTTAAAAAAAGAAAATAATAATAACCCCCCCTTCCACCCCCCCCCCCACCCCCTCTAAACCAAAAAATATTTACTCCATTTATTTTTCTTTTTTCATTGTTTGTGTAGTTGTTGATGCTAATAAACTTGCGCTAACAAAAAATGCTTTTTTTTCTTCTGTTTTCCCACTTACCGCTATCGAAAAAAATTTTTCTAAGAGGAAAAATAGACTGAAAGACGATATATTTTTGTAAATAATTTAAAAAAAAAAGAAAAATATTTTTATTTATTTATTTGTTCATCTCTGTCCATTAAATAAATATTTTTATTTCTTTCCAATTTTTGTCCACTCTCGTTTAATATTTTTATTTTAATTAAATATTCTTTTTCGAAATTTTTTATCAATTAAAATTCTAGCCATATTTTGTTATGTTTTTAATGGTATTAAGCAGGGTTGCCGCCCGAAACCCGAAACCCGATACCCGAAACCCGGCCTTTTTTTGTACCCGAAACCCGATACCCGAAATGAAAATTTTCCAACCCGAAACCCGAAACCCGTACCCGATATTTTTTCCAACCCGAAACCCGTGACCCGAAATTGGTTAAAACCCGAAATTTCTACCCGAAAATTTAGCCTTACCCGATTTTTTAAAATAAATTTAAAAAATTATAGAAAGAGAAAAAAGGAAAATAAAAGGAAGTATTTATAATTTTTTCAACATTTTTCATTATGTTGATCGGTGGTTGAATCGGCTAACTCGATATTTTCATAGGGGTGGGTTCGAGTCCAGGGCTGAAAAAATGCTTTAAAAATTTTTCTTTTCGGAAATAAATGTTTTTTAAACTTCGATTTTCATTTTAGATTTTTAAATTTATTTCTTTTAATATTTTAAGCTTGAAAAAGCATTAAAAATTTGAATTTAGGCATGAATTTTGCAAAATTTTCGCCTCCGGCGGTGAAAAAAGGAAGAAATCTGGCTGTTGGCCTTTGAAATTTCTCAAAATTTTCGCCTCCGGCGGTGAAAAAAGGAGAAATCTGGCTTAGGAATCATCAAAATTCTCAAAATTTTCGCCTGCGGCGCAAAAAATGGAAGAAATTTGGCTTCTTGGTCTTCCAAAAATCTCAAAATTTTCGCCTGCGGCGCAAAAAATGTAAGAAATTTTGAGGCTTTAATGGAGATAAAACGGAGGAATATTAGTATATAGTGGGATTTTACGAAGGTGGATATCCCTATTAATCCCCAAATCCCACAATGTCTCTTTAATCTCTTCAAATTTGCTTCTCTCTATACCACCCAAAATCCTATTATGCAATATAGCTTGCCTCCTACAATTTAGTTCGTCAATAGCCGAACACCCGAAAATAACCTGAATTTTTCGCCAAACCCGAAACCCGTACCCGAAATTTTTGCCAACCCGAAACCCGATACCCGAAATGAAAATTTTATAACCCGAAACCCGAAACCCGTACCCGATATTTTTGCCAACCCGAAACCCGATACCCGAAATGAAAACGCTCCAACCCGATACCCGAAACCCGTACCCGAAGATTTTTTGTACCCGCGGCAACCCTGGTATTAAGTACATACTTGGATATTTTAGGTATAGTATTTAATGGAAATTACCCTCAAAAGTCGTACTTCGCTTTTGCCTGGTAAATAAATAAAATAAATATTTATTTTGACAATTTATATTTTTAAAATTAAAAAAAATATCCAAAAATGGTTATTTAGAATTTCCCCCCAAAAAACTTTTTTTTTATTTAGAATTCCCAAATTGCCAATACTTATATAAAATAACCAAAAACATTAAATTGATTTTGGACATAAAAGGAATGAAAAAAATGAGGATGAAGAAGGGGGAAGGGAGGAATTTAAGGAGAGAATAAGAAAGGGAAAGTGAAAGGGGGAAACTTCATTTTAAGCTAAAATGGATTTTATTTTTTATTTCTTTTAACAAAAACTTTGGCCTTTTTTTTTGAAATTTAAATATTTACTAAATATTTATTTTAATTTTTATTTTCAACATTTTTTTTGTTTTAAGTACTTTTAATATTTTCTTTTACACATTTTTTCGAGTTTTTTCAAATTTTAATGTTTACATTTTCTTGATTTATTGCAAAGCTAAAATTTCATTTCAAGTTTGGAAAACTTTAATTAAAATGTTTTCTCCATCTCAAACAATTATTTAATTCGCCTTTCAGAGAATAAGTAGACAACCCCCGATAAATTCAAAAAAAAAATAAAAAAATTTTTAATTAAAAATAGATTTTATTTATTTTTTTTATAAAAATGTTTTTCTCTCATTATTTTTATTTCCTTTTTTAAATTAATTTTTTCTTAAATCCATTCATTTTTACTATTTTTGCAACAGAGAACAACTGTCCATACAAATAATAAATATTTTTATTTTAAATTATCCAATGACCATTCCCTCTCTCTTTTTCTATATATTAAATCTTTTATTATTTTTATTCTTCCAAAAAATTTTTACTAAATATTTAGTAGTTTGATTGAGAATTGGAAACGAAGATTTTCAAAGAACCGACAACCCTATCTTTGCTAATAACTAGAGTTGTCTGTTCCGCTAAATTCTTCGGTTAACCGAAATCGACAAACCGAGAATCTTCGGTTTTTCGGTTCTGTTTGAAACCGACAACCCTACAAATAACAATCAAACCTTATTTTTAGATCATTTTTGGGTTGAAAAATTTATTAGTATATGTATTGGAAGTATCACTTAAGAAGCTCCTCCACTTTTTAACCAACCAAATTAAAAAAAAACATTATGTCTTAATTTTAGTTTTGAAAGTATTCAAAAATTATTGTTAATTTACATATATATTTTATTTAAAATTAAAAAAAATATTTAAAAATTTTTTACTATTTAAAAAAAAAAGAATTTTATTAGATAAATATTTTTAAAAAGTAAATAGCCCCCCCCCCCCCCAAACTTTTTTTAAAAGTATTTTTAACATCTGCGCCCCTAATGAAATTATTTTTTATTTTCTAAAACAGCTGCAAACTAAAAATAAACAAAGAAATATAGGCATTTATTTTTGACAAAAAGTATACTAAAAGATCAACAGAACATTTTTATAGGAATAATTTATTATACTTTCCTTTTTTACTTTCTTGTAAAAAACTCTTGAGATTTTTTATGTATATAATTGTGTTTTGAATATATTTAAAATATGTCTTTAATTAATTAATTAAAATTATTTTTCAATAAAAATTCCAAAAAATAATTTTAAAAAATAAAATTAATTATTTGAATTTTTTAAAAAAAATTAACAAATCTGTCATTACTAATATAAATAATTTAATAACCCAAAACTACCAATTAATTTTTAATATTTAATAATTATTTAATTTTATTTAAATTTAATCTTTAATACATATTTCAATTAAATATTTTTAGAATTTACAATAATTTACTACTTTTCTCTTCTTCAATGTTACAACAACCTCCACACCGTTCTCAATCTTTTCGTCACAGACCTAGACCGAATACTTTAATTAAAGGGAGAGGAGGGGATTTTTGTGGATTAACAACAACAAATTTAAATAATTGGCAAAATATTGTTGACACAGCTGAAATCGAAACAACAAATGATTCCACCCCCGAACGTCGACGTTCAACCCCCACAATTCATCGGCGGGCGTCCTTACGTGGAGGATCTCGTTTTGATACAAGATTGGATACTTGGCCTGAACCTAAACAGGTTAGGGGGTAAAGGGAAGAGAGGGAGGGAGGAGACTTTAATGTAGCTATAATAATTTCTAAAAATTTTGTGCCTCCTTAATTCACTAAATTTGTAAATAAACTTAGGATATCCAAAAAACCTCTAAATTTAATTAAAATGCTAATATTTCTTTACTTTTTTTAAAGTTATACATATAATTATTTTTTATTGTATATTTAAAATTAACAATCAACCAATTATTTAATTATAAAAATTATTTTAAAATAATCTATTAAATACAAATTTTTTTAATTTAAAGATGAGCGAAGCTGAGGAACGTTTTCTTCGTTTACCCGATTCTGCTGATTATACACGTGTTAGACAATTTAATATTGATGCTAAAGGTGCTGTTATAAGTAGAGGAGATTCTTTTAGAAGAAAAAGAAATAATTTAAATAATAATAATGATTATTTAAATGGAAATGATAAAAAAATAAATGAAAAAAATGAAGAACAATTAAATATGGCAAATGAGGTAAAGAAGAGGAAAAAATATTAATTATTTAAAAAAAAACAAAATTAATTAAATTTTAGAGAAGTTCTACACGAACATCAAGTAGTAGTGCTTCTGGTGTAAATTCAACAAATAGAATGGAGTCACCAGAACAAAATATTGGAAATTATTTTGTTGAAGGAAATAATGAAAATAATATTTTATCAAATTATAAAGTAAAAAAATAAATATTTTTTTAAAGAAAATAATTATTATTTTTATCTAGATTTGTGTTTTGGGAGAAATTAGTGTCGGTAAAAGTTCTTTAATAGCCCAATTTATTTCGAGTTCTGCTTTTTCTGATTTGGAAGATTATTCTGGACAAGATTCTCGTCCAGATGGGTCTGTTTCTGTTAATATTGGTGGACACGAATGTGAATTGAAATTTTTGGAAATTGATTTACAACAAAATGAAATACTTGTAAAATTAAAATGAATTTTGGAAAAAAAATATTTTCTCTTAATTAAAGAATGATACTTCTTCTTCCTTCCTTTCTAACAGAGATTATCATTTATTTTTAATTGTTTATTCAATTGATAGAAAAACAAGCTTTAAAATTGCTTTAAAAGCAATTGAACAATTACGATTTAATGGATGTTATTCCCCAATTATTTTAGTTGGAAATAAAGCAGATTTGGAAAGAAAAAGGGCCGTAATGGAAAATGATGTTAAAAATGCTGTTAGTTTTTTTTCTTAAATTGAAATTTTGTGGGGAAAAGAGAAGGGGGGGGAGTTGTTGTTGGGGAGTTGTAACTTAGAATCCAATTAACAAATTAACAAACAAATACAGCAACATGAAGATAAAAATAATTAATTATAAACTAAATTTTTGTTAAATCTTTAAAACAACAAATTTACTAGATGTACACTTTTGATGTTGCCCACTTTGAAATTTCTGTTGCATTAAATCACGATGTTGACGGTTATAAAATTAATAAATAATTTTTAAAAGAAATTATTTTTTTTAAAGATTTACTAGTTGGAATTGTTGCTCAAATAAAAGATTCATTTAAAATGAATATTTTAACAGAAAATGAAAATTCGGTTTTAAATTTAATTTTTAATTTCAAAAAAATAATTTTTAAATTAAAAAAAGAAAAAGAAAAAATCAGCAAAATTATCAACACAAGAATTTAATTTACAAAAAGATGAAGATTTTCAAGCAGCAATTAGACGGTTTTCTAGACGAAAGAAACGTCAAATGCATGTAAATTCTATGGAAGAGACTGGAAAATGTTTAAATTTATTTACAAAATTAAAAATTTGGAGAAAAGGATCTTGCTCATAAAAATATAGAAAAAAAATATATTAATTAATTTAAAAATATTTTTTTAAAGATTATTAATAATATTTTGATTATACATATATTTTTTTATTTATCTTAAATACAAAAAAATATTTTATAATTTTCGAAATTTTTTAAATCAAAATATTTTGTGAATTGTTCTATTAGTACCTATATTAATGTTGTATAAAAATTTTGGATATAGTTTAGTACTAGAGTTGCTCATTATCGAAATTTTTTTCGTAATCGTAATTTGTAACTAAAAAAACGCCGTAATTCGTAATTACGACGCAACCTTGTTTAGTACCGAAACGGGTCAATGGCTTCAAATGGCCACTCGTCTACTTGCAACTTGGCCTTGCGCCTACCTGGCCCGCGCCTATTTGGGCTGTACCCAACATTTTGCTATGGCATTTCCATCTTTTTATTTTAAAAAAGTATCAAAATATTTTTCTCAAAAATAAATTTTTGTTTTATTAAAGTATTTAATATTCTTTTATCTAATTAAGAATATTAAAAAAATCTGTTTCTGTTTTAGTCATTCTTTTTTCCCAATATGGCAGCGTCTCGTGCGCGCCATAGCCAGATTCCCTTTACCCCTTTCTACTTTTATCCTTTTTTACTATCCTCGTTGTAAAATTCTTTGGTAAAATTTTTTTGTAAAATAATTCTAGCAAAAAAAAAGCAAAATATTTATTGAATATTTATTCTGAACAGATGTTAACGCCAACAAAATCTATCAAAAGTGAAGATGTTGAAAATGTCAAGGAGAAAATTGATCCTGGAAATCCTCATTGGGAGTTTCTTTCCATGATCCGCGTCTACCAATCTCAACTTGTCTATCGTCCTCTACGAATTACAGATCCGGTTTTAGACAACCGAATTTGTGTCTGTGTTCGCAAAAGACCATTAAGTAAAAAAGAATTGACTGGTAAAGAAGTGGAGGTGGTTACTATTCCAAGCAAGGATCGTGTTATTGTGCACCAACCTCAAACAAAAGTCGATTTAACAAAATATCTGGTTAATCAACAATTTAAATTTGACTACACGTTCAATGAAAATTCTTCAAATGAATTGGTTTACAAGTTTGTCTTTAAATTCTATTTTTCTCATTTTTGTTTTTTATTTAGATTTAGTGCACAGCCTCTTGTTAGGACTATTTTTCAACGAGGTTTTGCTACTTGTTTTGCATATGGTCAAACAGGCTCTGGAAAGACACATACAATGGGTGGTATAATTGAAGGGAAACATCTAGATTGTAGTGCTGGCATTTATGCAATGACTGCTAATGATGTTTTTGCTTTATTACATTCGCCTGAATATAAAAATGAATGTTTAATGGTTGCTTGCAGTTTCTTTGAAATCTACGGGGCAATGGTTAACTTTAATTATTTTGCTTATTGTTAGACAAGCACTTCACCGCAATCTCGTTCTCTTGTTCGTCTTTTGATTGGGAATGTTTCTAAATTTTTGCCTGAAAAAACTTCAACAGACTTCACACATAAATGGACGGTTTAGATTTAAAAAGATTTTCTAATTATATAAATATATTTAGGTTTATGTTCGTGCTGTGGGTCCTGAGCAGTTTACTGACAGATCTTTTATTAGGAAGATTGTTTTTCGTCTGCATGAAAGTTTTACGAATCCTGAGAGAGAAGTATCGAATGTTTGTTTTATTATTTTTAAAATTTCCGTTAGTTCGCTGATTGAAACTCCAGTTACCTTGGATAGTGTATAAAACACGTAACGAGTAAAATATTTTAAATTCTGGATATTCTTTAAAATATATCACCATTTAATTTAAAAGTTCATAAAAAATAATTTAGCCTCCATTTGAAGTATCTGAATGTGGTTTTGGTTCATTTGATATGGTTATTACCATTTATTTTGCTGGTCAGAAGAAAAGTTACAAAATTAACTACAACCTTGATCTTCTTTTAGGTTTAATAATTTTTATGTAATTTTCTCTAAAAATTTTTTAAACAAAATATTTTAGGAAGTGATCATAAGAATGAAGCCGAATACAAAATTGAAGTAATTAATCCAAGCCCCGAATTCGCATCTTTAGTACCAAAATATTGCCGGCCACAAACCAAACAAAAATTGCCTTCTCGGCCATCGCCTGCACTTTTTCCTTCTAATCCTGATAATTGTACAGGTTTAGAAATTTTTAATAAAATTTAAAATTTTTACCGATCTGTTTGAATTAAAAAATATTTTTGTTTTACAAATTAAAAACCTAATTCTCAACATTTAATATCGTTGAGGAATTCTGATAGGGAGAATGTTCTAATGATTAAAATTTAGTTACGAAACAATCAAAAAGTAGTACAAATAAAGAGATTTCAACTGCAAAATCTTCAAAAAGTAAAGACGAAAAAAAGGAACACAAACATCAATCTTCATCAAAAAATTCTCTAAAAATTTCAAAAAAGGATGTGGAAGTAAAAAATGAAGAAAATTCTCCGATTAAACAATTAAAAAAGGAAGAAGGAAAAGAATTGGATGGAAAAGAAAAAAATTTAATAATTGAAGGAAGTAACAAAAAGGTTATTTAAAATATTTGTTAAATGATTAAATTTTCTTAAAAAGTCTTTAAATATGACTAAAAAACCGAACGAAGTATTCTTATTAGTTTACTCATTTTATGATTTTGCAAAGAAAAACTAATTTTAAATAAAATCATTTCAGAAGAAGACTACCCCAGTTACTGCCCCTAAAAAGAGAATACAAGCAAGTACTGATTGCGAGTCTGATTCTGCTATACGTGATCTTTTTGAAGCGGTTAAAAATTAAAAATTATTTTTAAATTTCTAACAAAAATTTTTTTAAAGAATTTGCCATCAACTAGCAAAGATTCTTCCCAAAAAGAGGAAAAAACTAAAGAAATTATAGAAAAGAATATCGTTAAAACATCCAAGGATGGAGTTATTCCAAACTCTTCTGAAGATAAAAAAGATAAAGTTAAAAAGGATAAAGTCAAAAAAGATAAAGAAGGAAAGAAGGAAGAAAAACAAAATAGCAAAAAGAAGGAAAATGAAAATAAATTAATTATTGAAAACGAGAAGGAAAGGCATATTAATTCACCAAAGAAAGTTTTGACAGAAAAACCCAAAGGAAATGGAGAAGAGGTTTTTTTTATTAATTTAAAAATATTCTTTTTTATTTAAAAATTAGGTGAAGAAAGTAAAAATTGAGGAGACAATTTTATCTAAAAGAGATAAAGAAGAAAAAAAGTCTTCAAAAGAGGAAAAGAAAAATGAGGTGAATGAAGAAAAGGAAAAGAAGAAAGAAAATAAAAACGAGAAAATAAAAATAAAAATTTCTGAAATTGATCATAAAATAAATGAAAAAATAAACATCAAAATAAATATCAATAAACATCAATCTAATAATGAAAAGGATAAAAAACAAAAAAATAATAATATTGAAGTGGCTAATGAAAAGGGGGAAGAATTATTGAAGGAAAAGAAGGAGGAAATAAATAAAGAAAAGGAACTGAAGAGAAAGAAGAAGGAGGAATTGAAGAAAGATAACGATGAGGTTTTTATTAAATTATTTTAAATAAATTTTAACAAAAATTTAAAGAACCCAGAAAAACGAATTAAAACAGAAAAGAAGAAAAAAGACAAAGAAAATGATAAAAAGAAGGAAGAAAAATTGGATGATGTTGATTCATTCAAAATTAATAAAATATCTGAGAAGAAAGCAAATATAGAAAATTTTGTACAAAAACAAAGTGATGAAATTGGAGGAATAGAAGAAATTAAAAAATCTGAAAGTGAAAAGCCGAACTCTAGCAAAGATAAATTAACTATAGAAGAACCTAAAAAGCAAATATTGTCTCCAAAATTGTTAAAAATTAAACAAACTGCAAAACAAACACCTCCTACAGCAAATGAGAAAATAACCGAGAGAGCTATTTCGCCTAGGTATTTTTAATATTTTTTAAGTTGTGGATATGAAATTTGGGACAGAAAGACAGAAAACGATTGCTTAGTGTTAACAGATTTTTATTTTACTCTGATTTCTTGAATATTCTATAGATTTTAAATTATATTTCTAGTTCCAAATTGATTTTTAATTGTAAAAACTAAGGTTGCCGTTTCTGTAAAAAAAATCTTCGGATATCCGGAACCGAAAAATCCCCTATTCTTCGGTTTGATTCCGGACCAACAATCCTAATAAGGACATGTCTAGATTTCTAAATATCATTTCTAAATATCAGTATTTCTTCATCATTGGAAGTTAAAAAAAGAAAAAGTGATAACATTGTTGAGGACTCCACAAAAATAGAAAAGAAGAAAGTTATTGAAAATAAAAGAAAATATCTCTCATCATCTTCCTCAAGTTCTCCAATTAGACCACCAAAAATGGCAAAAGATGGAAATTTTAAAATAAATGAACCAACAAAAATTAAATCTTTTGAACAAATAAAAAGAGAAATTAGAAAAGAAAAAACACCTTCCCCTAAAACTTCTACTTCTTTTGTTGAAGAAACGCCAGTTAAAATTGAAAGTCAAGAGAATGATGAAGATAATATATTTCCTGTTTCTTCATCTCAACAAACTGATGTTGTTAATAAAATTGAGGAATTCAATGAAGATTCTTCTAATTTGTTTGTTTTATTTTTTAAAGAATTGGCACTATCTGAAGTAACTAGAAAGGGTCTATTTTCCTTATGTTATTATTATAATTAAATAGGGTTATGTACTCATACAGACCCAGTGGGAATAGGTCCGGAACCCAGAAATACGAATTCGATCCATAGGACAGCAACAAATGCAAAAAGAATTACTCCTTTGAAAAAGGGGTTATTATCTTTTTTCTAATAGTTACTGAAAGGAAATAAGGAAAAATATGAAGGCTTACCTCATTTCATATACGGTCAAAGAATTTATGTAAGGAAAGGTGTTAAAAACTCATAATTCTCACCAAATTTTTCGTATTCTAAGATTTTAGGTTAACAAGTAAATCAAATTTTTACAAAATGTTTTCTTTATTTTAAAATTTTTATCAATTTTTTAACTACTTTTCAGTGCCCCCATTAATCGAATTGATATTTTACGTCGAAAACTTGATTCACTACAAGAACAAAATACTTTTGGAGATGAAAATATTGAAGGAGGAGAGGTAGAGGAATTGCTTTTTAAATGTTGTGAATTATTATTGGAACAAAAAACTGAAGGAACTTTAATAAATATTGAAGAAAAAAATGTTAATTTTGATTTTGAAAAGATTCCAGAAACAACTTTAAATGATTTGGAAAATTTATTGGTTGGGGTAGCTGTTTAGATTTTTTATTCATTTTTACGGGTTTTACAATTAAAAATTTAAAATTCAAATATTTTTCTTTTATTTAATTTTTTAGTAAAAGATTTTTAAAAAAATTGAGATTATTTTTAATTTCATTTTATTTCTATAATTTTTTACTTAATATTAAATATTCTACAATAATTGGATTACGGAAAAAGTATTTTTTGTAAGAGTTTACAAAAGTTTAAGGCAACAAAAACAAACTGCGGCGCATCTCCTCCTATCTTTTACCTAATTTTACAAATCTTTTTTAGGGGGGATTTTTTTGTAAAATAAAATAAATATCTTCTCTCTCTCTCTTCATTTATTAAATTATTTTTATTTTTTTGGTATTAATGACCTTTGTTTTTCTTTTTGCGCGCCCAGAATAAATTTTTCTCGCCATTGCAACGGCCAGCGGCTGTCATTTTTTGGAAGGGCGCGGCAAGGGACGACCCAATTTTATGGAAAAGTATATTTTTCTTTTGTCAATTCTTGAGAGTTCTTTCCTTTCCTTTTCCCCTATTTCACACGTAAATCCCAATAAAAGTCCATTCATTATCTCGTGGAAAATACCCTTTTTTATGGCTTTTGAAATTAATAAAATAATATTTTTGTTGTTTTTATTTGTTTATTGTTCAATTTCTGTTGAAAATGAAATGAGGGAAGGTTTGGAAATGAAAATATTTTGAAAATTAAAAATAAAAATTGTTAACAAAAAATAGATTCAACACCACTTTTGTGGATTTTTGATGATAAGGGGTTATTACGAAAAGATTCTGTTATTGGTACACCAATACAATTTGATGGGCCAATTAAAGTTAATCCTTTATTAAAAGAACAAGTAAAATAAAATAAAAAATAATTTTAAAATAATTCTATCTTTAAAAGAATCAGCAACAATTAATTAATGTTTTTGTTTATGAACCTTTTCTACTTCGAAAATATTTTAATATTTCCCCTTCAACACCTCTTCGATCAGGACAATCTTTTAAATTAATTCTTGCCCAACAATTAAAACAATATATGGATGTTGATTATTTAAATATAACATTACAAGCACAATTAATTGAAAATAATAATCAAGTAAGTGGTTGGGAAGGGAAGGAAGGAAAGAGTTTTTAAATAAATAAATTTTAAATTAATTTTATTTTTTTTAGACTTCACAACTTCGAGTAGAACAAAAAGAATTACAAATTAAATTAATTGAGGAAGAAAATAAAAATAATTATGAAGAGGAAGGGAAAGAAAATAATATTTTAATTGCTAAAAAGGATTGCAATAAAATTAGAGTAAATTAATTAATTTATTTATTTTTTAATTTTAATTAATTAATTTAGTTAATTAATATTCCCCAAAATATTTTCAAAAATACTTCTTCATTTAAACTTTTTGGATTAATGGCTGAAAAGTAAAAATTAAATTAATTTAAATAATTTTTAATTAATTTTTAGTTTTTCAACAATTTTCCAAGAAAATTCTTCAGAATTAATTATTTCTTTTAAAAACAATTCTTTTGAATGTTTTCCTTTTAATTTAAAAAATAATATTCAATTATTTATTGAAAATGAGGGAGATTTTGGTATTTCAAAACAAAATGTTTTTAAAATAATTGAAGAAGACGAAGGAGGAAAGGGAAAGAAAGAAAGGTGGAATTAAATTTAAATAAAAATTAAAATTAATTTTTAAAGTTTAAATTATTCTTTTATTAAAAAACAATTTAATATCCAAATAATTTCTTCAAAACAACAACTCCCAACAATTTCCCCTCCAACAACAATTTTAATTTCTTTTATTCACCCAATAATTGAAAATAAAATAAATTTATTTGAATTTTTTATTGAAGAAAATGAGAAAAATAAAAATTTAAAAAATTTTTTGGAAATAAATAGAAGGAGTGGGGCTGTGATTTTTAAGGTAAAAATTTTGGAGGAATTAAAGGAGAGGAATTAAATTAAATATTTTTAAAAAGGATTTAAATGTTGGGATTGAAGAATTGGGAAAGAATGAAGGAGGAAGTATTGAATTTAATGTTATTTTAAAAAGTATTTCTTCTTCAATTATTTATGATAAAGCTTTAATTATATTAAAATTAAAAGAAGAAAAAGGAGGGAGAGAAGGGGAAGTAGACAATAAAAATGAGATATTTTATTTTTTTGAAAGGGTAATTTTGAAATAAATTTAATTAAAAGAATTAATTTTTTTAAAGCCAATTTATGCATTTGCTGTTGATCCTTTTAATATAAATAATTATTTTAAAGGAAGAAAACTTTTAATTGGCCATTTAAATTATTTAAATAAAACAAAAATAAAAGAAAATAAAAATACAAATAATTATTTAAAACCTAAATTTGTACTTTCTGAAGGAGGGGAAGGGTTTTTTAATTTTGAAAGAGAAGGAGGAGGAAATTCTGGAATGTTAATATATAATGGACCTATTGGACAGTTTAATAGAAATTATACTTTAAAGGTATTTTGGAGATTATTTTTTGAAAAATAAATTAAATAATATTAAATTAATAATGTTACTTAAAATTACTATTTTAAAAGGGTACTTGTTAGAAATCTTAATTTCTAATAGATTAGATTTATAGCAGGGAATGATTCAGAAAGTTGAAGCTTATATAATTCTGGAAATAACCGGAGCCGAAGACAGCATACCAAAAGGGACGGGTCCTGTAGTGTTTTAAAAAGCTGGAGACAAAAAAATAGAATGCGTTTAAAAAAAATTTTACGGAATTCGGAAGCGAAATTCCCATCCCTGATCCCCAACCAGCAATATTTAAATTAAAAAATATTTTTAAACTTTTGGCTAAAAATATTTGTTTTTTCTTTCAAAGGTCCTTTTACTTTCTGATCATTTCATTGACTCTGCATTAATTCATGTTCTAATACCTGGAATTGGCTCTTCTTCCCCAACATTTCAAATGCCTTTTCAAAGAATTATTGTTCACAAATATGGAAAAGATATCAAAAATGATGAGATAATAACTGAAAATAATAGTTTATTTACATTATCTGCAGAAGATTCAGATCCAGATGCTCGTTTAATTTATGAATTGGGATTGGCTGAATGTCAGACAATTTCTGGTATTTTAATGAAAGAAGAGGAGGAATGTTTTGAATTATTTTCTTTATCCCCAAATGGAACAACTGGCCAATGGATACTTTCTTTGGTTGAAAAAGAAGAAGAAAATGAAAATAAAGAAAAAGTTTAAAAATTAATTTTAAAATTAAAAAAAAATAATTTTAGATTGAATTAGAAAATAATTTAGGAGAGGCATTATTAAATATTTCCGTGAGGGATGAAGCACATCCTCTGGAATCTAGTGGTTCTAGTAAGTTTTTTTATGTTATTATTAGAGAGTTGTTGGTTCTTAGAAGATCCCTAGATATCCATAACTGAACAAAGAACTTAGTCAAAATATTTCTGGGTTTACTAAAAACCTCCCTTTTTGTATTTTTGTTTAGCAAGAATTTAAATTAAAAAAATCAAATTTATTTTTAATTTAAGCACTTGTTTTACTTAAATTTATTCAACAAAATGAAAACCAAATAATTAATAATTCTGAAAATATTAATTTAAATAATAATTTAACAACTAAAAAAGAAGAATATTTTCCTCCAATTTTATTAAAAATAAAAGATTCAACTCCAATTAATTCTGTTATTTATTCTTTTGGAATTAACAATAATAAACAAAAATTATTTTATTTTTTATCTGGATTAAAAAATAAATATTTTTTTATTGACAAAGAAAATGGTTTTTAAATAAATTAATTTAATTTTAAAAATTAATTTCTTCTTTTAGCAATTTTGTCTGTTGTTTTCCCTCTTAAAAATATTGGAAATTCTTCTCAAAATTTAACTATCCAAATATTTAATTCTTTAAATTCAACTTTATATACAAAAATACCTTTTTCAATTCAAATAATTTCTGAAGAAAAAGAAAAAGATTTTTTAAATAAAGAAAATAATAATTATTTTTTAAAAGAAGAAGAAAATTTAAATAAATTTGGAAATTTAACTAAAAAATTATTTTTAATTAAAAAAGAAAAAGAAGAAAATGAATTTATTGAATTACCTTTAAATTATCAAAATGTAAATTTTAAATTTAAAAAACAATTATTTTTATTTTTAAAGACTTCTAATATTTCTTTTGATTATTTATATCAAACAATAATTAATAGCACCACAACAACTTCCAACAACAATAACAAATTAATTCAAAATGTTATTCCTTCCTTATTTTTTATTCAAACTGAAAATATTGATAACAATATATCTACAATATTTCCGGTAATTAAAAATTATTTAAGAGAACGAGAGAGGGGGGGGAGGGTTTTGTGAATTACCTATTTCACAAAAAATTTTTATCATTATTAAGAAATTTCCAAATTTTGTATAAAAAATGGATTATTTTTAAGTATTTTTTTGAATAAATACTTTTAAAATATTTCGGAAATAAAAAACGAAAAAATTTAGTTTTCTGGATTTACAAAAAAATTTCTTTTTTTTAAATATTTATTTTTAATTTTTTAGTTTACATTTCCTTCAAATTTTGAAAATAAATTTAATTTAAATACCAACAACATTTCAACAACAAATACAACTCCAATACCAAATATTTCAATAATTCCATTACCCGAAAATTCTCCTATTGGAACTTATATTCTTTCTATAGATTTTAATTTCCCTCCTTCAAAACCTTTTATTAAATCTTTGTCTAATTCTTCAATATCTTTTGGGTAATTTTAAATTAATTATTTAATTAATTTAATTAATTTATTTTAAAAGAATTGAACGTCGAACAATAAATTCTTTAGTTATTCGAACAAATCAATCATTATTATTAAAAGAAAATCAAAATAAAGAAGAAGAATTACTTTTTCCTCTAAATTTTGCTTTAATTTCAATTTTTGAAAACAAAGAAATTTTATTATATAAATTTTCTATTCAAATAATTTCAATTTCTAATTGCCAACCTCTTTTAAATGAAAGTCAACAATTATATTTTAATTTAAATGAACAAGTAATTTAAATTTAAATTAATTAGAAATTGACTGAGACAGGGATTTCGAATAAAAAATATCACAGTTATCGGAAATTCAGAGATTTATTTAAATATTCTCGATCATTTAATTTCTAATATTTATTTAATTTATTTAGGAATTAATTTCTTCTTCCCAACAATTAATTCCAATTACTTCAATTTCTGCAAATATAAATTTAAAAGCTAAAGGATGTCAACAAATTAATTATTATTTAGAATTAAAAAATAAAGAAGAAAATATTTTAATTAATTTAAATAACCAAACTGGATTAATTTCAATTTCTTTATTAAATAATTTAAAAGAAAATAATAAACAAATTTTTGTAAATTATTTTTTTAAATAAATTTATTTAATTTTTTAAAAATTATTTATTTTTAGTTAATTTGTTGGGCACAAAGTGGAATATTTATTTCTTCAAAAATTCTTTTAATTATTCAAATAAATAAAAATAAAATAATTAAAAATAATTTTAAAATTCCAAATAATGGAGGAATTTCTCCTTTAATTTTACAAATTAATGAAGGAATTGAAAAAGGAAGTTTATTGACAACAATTAAAAATAATGGAAATAATAATTATTTTATTAAAGAAGAAGAAGGAGAAGAAAATAAAGAAAAATTAATTGAAATTAATAAAAATAATGGAGAGGTAGGGAAGGGGAAATAATTAATGATTATTTAATTACCCTCCCCCCCCCCCTTCCCTCCTTCAAATTAGAGATCTATCGAGATATCCCAAAACAGTAATTTCGACAATATTCCATTTAATTCTCTCTTTTATTTATTTTTCTTTTATTTATAAAAAATTTCATACAAATTAATTAAACAGATCAGAACTTTACGTGAAATTGATTTTGAAGAATTTGGAGAAGGAAATTTACCTTTACGGTTTTTAATAATTAACGAAAATAATTTGGATGGAGAGGAAAGGAATGATGGAAATTTGGAATTGTTAATTAATATAAATAATTTGTTTGTTTATTTAAAAATTATTTCAATTTTAAAATTTAGAAATGATAATAATCCAATATTTGAAAGAAAATATTTTAATTTTGTGTTAGAAAGGGATATTGTTTATGTTGGGTATATTATTGGACAAATAAATGCTTTTGATAAAGAAATAAATGGTAAGGGAAGGGAGGGGGAGAAGAGGAATAAAAAATAATTTTAAAATTTAGATCAAATAATTTATTCAATAATTTCTTGTAATTACTCATTTTCTCGTTTATCTCGCCAAATAAACCCTCCAAATAAAATATTTTCTTTGGATTCTCAAAATGGAATTATTTCTTTAAATTCCCCAGTGGAGGACTTTTCACCTGGAAGTTTATTTAGTTTGGAATTGTCGGCAGAGAATTTGGACGGGAGAAAAGCTGATTTTAATTCTTTTGCTTATGTAAATAATTTAAATTAATTAATTATCTAAATTAATTCCCTTCCTTCTTCCCTTCCAATAATTAATGGAAGGGGAGGGGGGGGGGGGGAGGGAATGATGGGGATTTTTAAAGAAAAGAATATTCTTTTTTTAATTTAAATTAATTTTTTTTTAAGATTTGGATTGTTGAAAGTACAAATATTATTTCTATTTTGGTTGATAAAAGTCCTGTAGAATTAAATAATTTAAAAGTTTTGGAATATTTAAAGTATAATTTTTAAAAAATAAATTAATTAATTTTTTTCAAAAAAAGGTTATTAAACGAAGCAATTTCTCCTTTAAATTTACTTTTACAAGAAATTCGTTATAAACCGGTAACAGATTTGGATGGAATACCTGCTAGAAAATCAGCACTTTTACAAACAATATTCTTTAATGGAACTAAATTAATTAATTATTTTGAAATTGAGAAAATTGTTAAAGATTTGGATATTGAGGGATTAATTGGCTTTGAAAGGGTATGTTGTAATTGAGAATTTTTAAAATAAAAGGGGAATGTGTACATAGCTATTAGAGTAGTTTAAAATAGGGTCGGACCGAGACGAGTTCTCGAACAAGAGATTTTTCGAGACATTTTGTACAATCCTCGCACGATTCCCAGTCTAGTCTCTATTTTACACACTTTGTTTAATTGTGTTTGAAATACTTCTACATAGGCACCTCAAGTAAATTATTTGGCTGCCCTTTTCTGATTGAGGGATTAATTGGGTTTGAAAGGGTTTATTTCAGGGCTCTCATCGACAAAATGCCACTCAAAAGTATCAAAATCTCGATAAAAAAGTATATAGGGAGAAAATTTGCAAAAAAAAAGTAGTCTCAAAATTAAATTAGAAAATATTTATTCGTCCTCAAATCTTTTATATTTCTCTCCTAAATGAATCTTTTCTAATAATTTCTTGTTTCAACTGAGCATTTTTGTCAATTTCAATGCACCTTTTGTGGCGCCGAAGGCGCCAAAAAATTTATTTTTTGCGCCGCAGGCGAAAATTTTGAGAATTTTGTAGGTCCTTAAGCCAGATTTCTTCCATTTTTTGCGCCGCAGGCGAAAATTTTGAGAATTTTGTAGGCCGAAGACCAGAAAATTCACTTTTTTGCCCAATCCCTTCCCCAATTTCATTTTCAATCAAAAAAAAGTATATACTTTCAAAAAAGTATAAATTCAATTTCGTAAGCATGGAGGTCGGTTTCAAAGTATAATACTTTCAAATAAAGCACGAATGAGAGCCCTGGTTTATTTCTTTTAATTATTAACACTTAAATATTTATTTAGAATTTATTACTTCCCTCCTCCTCTTCTTCTTCAACTTTAAATCAACAATTAACAATAACAACAATAAATTCTTCAACAAATTCTTCTCAATTATTATTACCCCTTTCATTTATTTTTCTTTTTTTACTTTCAATAATTATTTCTGTTTTGTTTGTTTTAATTTGTCAACGTAAAAGGCAACAAAAAATTAAAAAACAAATTGAAGAATTAAATTTAAATAGAAAAAATAATAATTTTTCTTCTTCTTCCCAATCAGACACTTTTTGTGATATCTTATGTAGACCACTTTTTCCTCCTCCTCCTCCTTTACATCATTTTATATTATCACCACCACCACCTCCTCCTCCACCGCCAACACATTCTTTTGGAATTGTTGATTTATGGTAGGTATTTTTAAAGAGAATTTTTCGGGACATATCCTCGTTAATTTTTATTTTTAAATTTATTTTTTAGGCGCCCTTCTCTACCCCCACCACCAACACCTTTAATTGTTCAATTATCCTCTTCTATTAAAGCAACTTCTGAAAGTCAATATTCACAAAATAATTCTGATTATTATACTGTACAAGAAATGAAAATTGCTCTTTAAGTATTTTTATTTATTTTTAATTGTTATTTAAATATAATATATAAATTATTTTAATTAATTTTAATTTATTTCTTCTTTTCTTTTTGTTTAAAGTGCTTTTCTTGCCCGAGCTCTCAAACGTGCAAAGACTTCCTTTAAATTAAAAAAAATATTTTTTTACTTTTCTTATTCTTCTTAACCTGATCAGATGCAAATTGTTTACTAAAAGGTTCATCAAATTTACAACCAATAGTCCAAGTCCCGGTTGAATTTAAACAATTTGCCGATCTCCATATATACCTTTTTTTAAAATAATTATTTAAAATTCTTCTCTTAAAAATTACCAATCATTTTCTCGTTTTTCTAATTGATAAGTATAATAATTAAAACAGGCACGATGTCCGTGATTAAAAGAAGCGTGGAATACAGTATGGGCTTTAGGGCAAACTAAATCACAATAAACACGTTCTTCGTCTCCATGTTGTTCCTTTTATTTTAAATTATTTTAAATAATTAAAAAACAGACTTACAGTAAAGCAGCCATCCCCCTCGGGTGCAGGCCTTCCGGGACTTTCAGTTTCTGAATCTTTTATTATCATATGACAACGAGCACGTTCCTTTCCAGCTTTTAATTGGCCATCAGGGGTTGCACATTTTAATTGGCGATATTCTATATATTTTTAATATTTTTTGTTAATTATTTAACAAAAACAAACGTGGATGTCCACAACAAAGTTGTAATAAAATAAATAAAAATAAAAATTTAGATTCTTTGGACAACATTATTTTGTGTATATTTTATTTAACTAATTTTTATCTTATTTGATCTCCTTATATATACTCCCTCTTATATATATCCCTCCCCTCCCTCCCCCCTTCTCCACTCTTTCAAAAATATCTCGTTTAATTAAAAAATGTTTGTTAATAATTGCTTTAGGCAATGATTTAAATATAAAGAAGATAAAATATAAAAATAAATAATTACATAATAAATAAATATATGTCAGCCAAATCTCTTTAAAGCAGAACAAGAAAAAGATTATAAAAAATAAAACAAAAACAGGATTTCTCGATATTAAAACCAAAAAAGACTTTTTTATTACAAAATATTTTTTGTAAAAATATTAATAATAATTTATTAAAAAATCAGGATTATTAAAAATAAATAAATATTAATAAAAAACTTCTTAATTGGCTCTAATTAACTTACAATAAATTTAGAAAAAATTATTTTTTCTCTTTGATCAATTATAGTTTTTTAAAGTCCCCCCCCCCCCTTTTCCTCTCTTTTTCCGTTGATTTTTTAAAAATTGTTATTTTGGGAAATAATGAAAAGGATTATTATTAAAAATACAAAAAATCTTTTTATTTTTTTGATTTTTCAAATTCTTTTTATTTGGAAATATAAGTAAAAACCTTTTGCCAGACAAATTTTTTTATATTTTACTAAGTTTTTCAATTTATTGTATTCAAAAATTTATTTATTTTTTATTCCCAATTTTCCAGTAAATTAATAATTTATTAAAATTAATTCTTTTTTAAATTTCTCTCCTAAAAAATATTTAATTTTTAATTAATCACAAGTTTTTTATAGCTAAATAATAAATAATTATTTTAGATAAAAATTTCATCATCGAATTGCTCATCATCATTTTTTGTTTACTTTTAAATAAATATATTTATTTATAGTTTCCAAATAAAATTGGTCACCTACCACTCCCCTTTTTTGATTTTTATTTAAAATATTTAATTTTAAATTAATAAAAAAATTTTTTTTCAAGATTAAACTATATTTATTTGACCATTCAATTTAGTAAAGGATTTTTTCCAAATATTTTTAAATAAAAGTAGATTTAAAAAACAACAAATTCATTAAACAAAAAATTCAGGTTTTTTTATTTGGAGAATTTCTTCAAAAAAAATATTTATTTGTGGCAATACTTTTATTTTTGTTTTTAATTTCCTTTTTTTATTGCCAAATAAATTAATTGATTCTAGTGAAAATATTGACAAAAAATATTTTTTCTTAAATTTTTTTAAATAAAATAATATTTATTTTTATATTATTCTAAGAAACTTTTTTTTTAATTTTTATTTTACCTTTTTCTTTCTTTTTTATCTAGCAAAGCCAACCTGCCTACAATTTTTTAAAAGTTATTTGAACATAAAACATTTATCTCCATAGTAGCATTTATTTATTTTATTTCATTAAAATATATTTTCTCATTAAAAAAGCAAAGAATTCTTTTTTTTTAAAGAAAAGTTTTTTTTTAAAATGGACAACAATAATGGAAGAATGACGGGAATTATTGTTGAGGGAGAGAATAATGTTGGTGTTGGGGATAATAGACAGAATTATTCTCCTCCAAGTGCTCGAAAGCCTCGAATAACTGAAGAAGCCGCTGAGGCCGAACCTTACGGGTGAGAAATATTTTCTTCTTAGGAACTTTTCAAATTTTTGGGATAAATTAAAGATATTCGGAAGGGGGATTAATGAAACCTTTTTTTAAATTTTATCTTTTTAACTAAATTAAATTTAAATTTATTTAAATTTTTCAGACTTTGTGCACAAATTTTAATTATAATTTCATATATATTTACAATAATTACTTTCCCAATTTCTGTGTTTATGTGTATTAAGGCAAGTTTATTTCTTTTTAAAAAATTAAAAATTATTTTAATTAAAGATTGTCAACCAATATGAGCGTGCAGTTATTTTTCGTTTAGGCCAATTAAGAAAAGGAGGGGCGAGAGGGCCTGGTTTATTTTTTGTTATTCCTTGTATTGATGAATATAGAAAGGTTGATTTGCGTGTTGTGTCATTCCAAGTGCCTCCACAAGAATTACTTTCAAAAGATTCTGTGACTGCAAATGTTGATGCTGTTAGTTGTTAATTAGAATAGAAATTAATTTTTAATTTTAATTTAAAAAAAGGTTGTTTATTTTCGTGTTTCTAATGCAACAGTTTCAATTGTTAATGTTGAAGATGCAAAAGCCTCTACAAAATTATTAGCTATGACAACTCTTAGAAATGTACTTGGAACTAAAACTTTGAGTGAAATGCTTTCTGATCGTGACCATATTTCTCATCAAATGCAGGTAGAAAATGATTAGAGAGGAATTTCTAAAATTATTTTTTAAAGGAAGTTCTTGATGAGGCAACAGAACATTGGGGTGTTAAAGTAGAAAGAGTTGAAGTTAAAGATGTTCGCCTTCCTCGTGAAATGCAGCGAGCGATGGCCGCTGAGGCAGAAGCTCAACGTGAAGCGAGGGCTAAAGTAAAAATTATTTTTAATTATTTAATAATGAAAGGGATAATAAACACTTTAAATGGTCGAGAAAATATGAAAAACTTTAATTTAATTTTTAATTTAAATATGTAGATAATTGCTGCTGAAGGCGAACAAAAAGCTTCTCGTGCATTGCGTGATGCTGCTCTTACAATTTCTGACACTCCAACAGCTCTTCAATTGCGATATTTACAAACTTTGGGGACAATTAGTGCTGAACATAATTCTACAATTGTTTTCCCGTAAATTAAAAGTTCCCTCTTTTTAAAAGTCTTTTAAAGTTTCCCAGTTGATTTAATGTCTATGTTTGTCCAAAATCATTTTGGGAATAACTCTAATCAACAAAGTCATTCATCACAAACTGCCCAACACGTAAATTTAAATAAATAATTATTTTCTTTAAATTAAAAATAAAGGTAAACAATTTTTGTGGAGATTTGGGAATGGAAAAGAAAAGTGAACACCCAGCATTTGTACCTGATTGAGAGAGTATATATTTAAAAATAAAAGTAATAAAAAATAAAATTTATTTTTAAAGTTAACAATTCCTGAGACAGCGTAAAAAAGAATTAAAAGAATTTTTAAAGAAATATGCACACAATTTACATATATTTTTGATTAAAAAATATTTTTATTTTTTAAAATAACCATTTAAAACAAATTTATATTTTTTGGATAAAGTTTTGATTTTTCTTGTTAGGAACTACATTAATTTTTAAAAATTAAGATAAGCTTTAACCAAAACATTTATTTATATACGACGAGAAAAATTTCTCCCAAAAACATACAAATTATATATATTTACATTTGTTTTAATACATAATTATTCCTCTATTAGATCCTATTTATTTTCTACTTCCTACTTATTTCCTCTCTTTTACTACTTTTTCTTCCCTGTTGATGATTGCTTCTTCTTAGGCTTTTCCTTCTTCTCTCTTGGACTACTTTTTTTGAAGTATTGTTCAACAGCTTTACTTTTTTCTTGTTCAACATTTTTGTCTTTTTCAGATTTCTCTTCTTTTGTCGTTTCTTCCTTTGTTTTTTCCTTTTCACTTTCTTTGGTTTTTTGTTTGACTGTACTTTCCGAAGATTTTTGAACAGAGTGTTTACCAAAAACTGACATAAAGTCAACCGGAAAACTTTAAAAAAAAGAAATTTTAAAACGAATTTTTCTAAGAGAAATTTTACGGAAAAACAATTGTAGAATTGTTGTCGGCACTAATTTCTCCCAAAGTTTGAAGATATCGCAATTGTAGAGCTGTTGGAGTGTCAGAAATTGCAAGAGCAGCAGCACGCAAAGCACTAGAGGCTTTTTGTTCGCCTTCAGCAGCAATTATCTATTAAAAATATTTTCTTTCAAAAATTCCTTCTTTTCCCCTTACTTTAGCTTTAGCCTCGCGTGTAGCCTCTGCTTCAGCCTTTTAAATAAATTAATTAGGTAATTTAATCAAATAAAACTACTAACAGCCATAGCCCTTTGCATTGTCCCAGGAAGTCTAACATCTTTAACTTCAACTCGTTCCACCTGAACTCCCCAATCATTTGTAGCTTCATCTAATGATCTCTAAAAAAAGTTTGTAGATTTATACAAATATATTTATATGTTTACCTGCATTTCTTGTGAAATATGATCACGATCAGAAAGCATTTCACTCAAAGTTTTAGTTCCCAAAATATTTCGAAGAGTAGTCATAGCCAACAATCTTGTAGAAGCTTCAGCATTCTCCACGTTAACAACAGAGATTGTGGCATCCGAAATACGGAAATAGATTACCTTTTTAAAATTAATTAGGGGTAATTTAATCGGATAAATAACTACTAACAGCGTCAACACTTGCCGTTACAGAATCCTTTGAGAGCAATTCTTGAGGAGGAACAGAGTATGAAACAAGACGCAAATCAACCTTTTGGTATTCATCAATGCAAGGAATTACAAGAAAAAGACCTTAAAATTTTAAAGACTTCTTTTAGAGAATCAACAATCAAACAAACCCGGCCCTTTAGCCCCTCCCTTTCTCAATCTCCCAAGACGAAAAATAACTGCGCGTTCATATTGGTTGACAATCTTGATACAAAAGAAGATGGATATTGGGAATGTTAAGATCAACAAGAAGACAGCAAAGCAAACCAAAAGATTGGCACACGCCCTTAAAGAATAAATTTACAAAAATTTTATTTTAAATTTTAAAATTACCCAGGAGGCTCAGCATCTTTTGCAGAAATAACTTGTGAACGTTTAACTGGACGGATATTGGAAGAAGCCAAAGAAGGACTGCTGACATAACCTGCCATCCTTTGTTGATCTTCTTTGAGAAGATAAACTAAACACAAAAATCTCTCTCAATGAGAGAAATATTAATTGTTTATATAGTAGAAAATAATGTTGATAAATAATGTTGATTAATTAAAAAATTTTGAATATTATGTTTAAAGAAACAACTCTTAATAATAAAAATTAATTTCTTTAAAATAAAAATAAAAAAAAGATGCCCAGTGCAGGAATCGAACCTGCGTCGTCGCGGCCACAACGCGAAGTACTAACCACTATACTAACTGGGCCGAGAGCTTTCCTTCTTAAATAAATATTTGATACATAGAGTTACTCTTTCACAATTGTATTATCACTTAGGATTGTTTTTTGTGTTTTTTCATTTTTTAAATGTTAATTTATTTTAATTTAAAAACATTTACTATTATAAAATACCCAAATAATAAATACTTTATCATATTTTTAATTATCACAAAAATATTTTCAATAGACCGATTAAGTTCAAGAGCAGATATAAGAATTCTACAAATTATTATCAAAAGGATAATTTACAGTCTACCTATATATTTTTGTATATTAATTAATATCTTTATCTGCTTTAACTTAAAATATTTTTAAAAATTATTTTTGGCTTCTTTCTTCATTATCCAATTCTTCTTCTTCTATCATCATTTGTTTTCTTTCATCAACATGCCCTCCATCAACACTTGAAGTTTTTAAACTAAAAAATAATTAATTAAATAATTATTTCCTCCATTTTTTACTTTTTTGTTGTTTTTCTTCCCCCGGATCTCAAAACCGTTGGCATACTTATTTTTCTACTTCTTTTTTCCCTTTCTTCCAATTCTTTCATTGCTCCTTCTAATTCATCTGTTCGAATTAGCTGCATTTCTTTTGCCGTTATTTGAAAATCAGCCAAACTTCCTTTTGGAATTATATCCTTTTTTTAAATTAAAAAATATTTGTGTTTTTATTTTGTTTTTATTTACTTGTATTTTAAATGAAGCTCTAGTATGTGGTAATAATACAGTCATTTCATCAGTTATTTTAGAAGGTAATTGATCAGCTAATTCAGAAGCCATCATATAAGCAATATAAGTATTTCGATCAAGTACATAATTTAATTCTTTAAAAATTAAAAAATCATTTTATTTCTAAAAACAAACCAAAATCGTCATCATCCTCTAAAAATATTTAAAATATTTAATTTTCTTTCTAAAAAACCTCCAAATGGATTCATCAAAAACTGTCCAACTTTTAACCACCCAATATAAAAAAGCATTTGGAATGTTGTAAATATTGGAAATAAAATAGTTATTTCTTGTTCCATAGATTTTGAATCTAATTTTGGCTGTCTTCCAATTAAACAAATAAAAAAATAACCATAAGTAGCTATTGCAACAACCTTTTATTTTTATTTTTAAAATTTTCATATTTTTATAATTTTATCATTAAATTTCAAATCTTTTTTTTTAATTTATGAATAAAAAAATAAAAAATTATTGGATTTCTCTCCCTCCTGTTTTTGAATAATTTTAAAAAATTAAACTCAAAAATCTAAAAACTTTTTCAATATAAAAAATTTATACTTAAATAGGGTTTCCAAAAACGTAGTACCTATGTAAATAATTATTAAGAAACGGGTCTTTCACTAAACCATTCTTGATCTTCTCTCCCTCTCTTCATATCTTCCCTATTAATTAATTAAAACAATTAATTACTTGTGTATAAACTAAAGGTACTTTAACCCAATCATATACATATAACATAGCAAAACCATCTCGAAATTTATATAATTGATCTACCAACATTTGCATTTGGACAGTATCTATTCTCCGTTCTCGTAATTGTTGTTTTAATAAATTTAAAATCCAAAGAAGGGGGACAAACCATTTACCATGAGGGGCATTAACAGACATATATAAATCATATTCCTTTAAAATTATTATTTTTTTTTCTAAAATTTATTTTTTTCCCTCCTTTCCATACTTCTTCAGTCATTAATTTACTTTCAACTAAATGTCTTTCTGTTGGAAATCTTTTTAATGTTCTAACAGAAATTCCAGTCCAAGCAATTGCTGATTGTAAAGATGACCATCTAGCAATTGTTTTCCTCACTTCTAAATTTTCCTTTCCCGGTAAACAAGTCGAGACTGTCTTAAAGATTTAAAAAAAATCTTTTATTTAAATTTTTTTCAAAAACCATCATTAATTTGTCTGGCCAACTAATCCAATTAAATTGTTCCCACCAACGAGCAACAACAACAGCTACGAAGAAACCAAGCAAAAAAGATAGAGGAATATATTGAGTACCTATTTCACACCATTTAATCCATCCAGTAAAATATTCTTTTTGTTTTTCGTCCATTAATCCCCACTTTAAATTTTTTATTATGAAAAGACATGCTCTTTTTTTATTTAAAAAATTAGAGAATAATATTTTGGAACAATCATTTTAGGAAAACTCAAAAAAAATGTTTTCTTTTCTATTCTCCATACCAGGGATGTCTCGGGTTGAGAAAAAAGTCGGGTCGGGTTTCGGGTCGGGTTTTCAAAATTTTCTTCGGATCGGGTTTCGGGTTTCGGGTCGAAAAAAAGTCCGGGTTTCGGGTCTCGGGTCGGGTTTCGGGTCGGGTCAGTTAAAAATTTGAACATGAAGCCAAATTTTTCGGAGAGGTTGGGGATATTAGTGATTTGCGGGCTTAATAAGATAATATATAAGTGATATAATAAGAGACAGGGATTAAATGGATTTGGATGGATTAAGAGTAATATCAGGGGATTTGGGGATTAAAAGGGATATAAAGGCATTTAAAAGTATCTGGTGAAGATGTCTAATCCATGATTTATACCTTAAACCTCCGAGACCCTCTGCAAATCCCTTGAAATCCCAGATACACCTCTAAACCCTCCGATATCTCCCTGAATCCACCTTAATCCAAGTAAATCCCCCGATATCACCCTTCATCCACTCTTGCTCCTTCGACATCACGGCAAAATTACTCTGTATTTTGCAAATTTCGGAAGGCCATGAGGCCAGAATTCTTCTTTTTATGGTAAAAATCCCAACGGAAAACGTCCCACGCGATATCACGCCCACATTTTTTAATTTTTGATTTTTTTATCTTCCCCCGAAGATACCTCCTTCCACCGAAGATACCTCCAATAGATACCTCCACAAACCATCATGATCCTTAAAAATCGTGCCCAAATTCGGCAACATTTCTTAGCGCCGCAGGCGAAAATTTTCGGAAATTTTGAAGACCAACCCACTAGATTTCATCATTTTCCAGCGCCGCAGGCGAAAATTTTGAGAATTTTGGAAGACCAACCCACTAGATTTCTTCATTTTCTAGCGCCGCAGGCGAAAATTTTGGGAATTTTAGAAGGCCAAAGAGCCAAAAATCTTCCCTTTTTGTAATAAAATTCCAAGGAAAATGTCGGGTTTCGGGTCGGGTTTTCGAAAATTTCTCGGGTCGGGTTTCGGGTTTCGGGTCGAAAAAAAGTCCGGGTTTCGGGTTTCGGGTATCGGGTTTCGGGTAACCCGAGACATCCCTGCTCCATACCTGAACATAAAGAATAACATAATATGCTATATAAAATCCAATTAAATCTTTTAATACAGCCTTCCATATAGACCCCCGCCATCTAAGCATTGACGAGGAAAACTTTTAATTTTTTAAATTTAAAAACAAATTTATTTTATTTATTTACCTCTTCTTCATAAGAAATGGTCATTTTAAAATAAATTTAATTTTTTTAGAAAGGAGAGGAAAAATGTGGGAAATAATTTTTTAAATTTAATATTTTTTATGTAGACAGATTTTAATATTTAAAGGAGTTTTAAGAAAAAATAATTTTTGGATTAATTTCGATTTATTTATTAAACCTTGTAGAAAAATCTCTATTTTTTAATTTAATTTTTTGAAATGAAAAGATTTAAAAAATAAAAGGAATACTTCTTTTTCTGTCCGATTTTAAATTAAATTAAAAAATAAAGGAGTACATTTATATAAAAATATTTTTAGAGAAAAATAACCATTTTTTTTAAATTAGGTAAAAATTAGAGGACGCGCGAAGGAAATTAAAGAGAATAACAACAATCAATTGAAAATAATTTGTAAATTAACAATTGTGTGTAAAAAATATAAAAACAAAAGCCTAGAGGCAACAAACTTTGCTAATTTTTATTTTGTTCCACCTTTGTTGATTTTTGTTGACAAAACACAAACAATGAAAAAAATATTTTTTAAATCTTTATTTATTTATTAATAATTAAACAGAAAATAATCAAAATTTAAAAAATAATTTTAAATTAAAATTTTAATTATTTTTCTTTTTTTGTCCTTTCTTTTTCTCTTTTCCAAAATTCTTCCCAATCGGTGTAACCAATTTTGGTGTTTTAAAAATATTTTTTTCTTCAATAGCTTTTTCAATTGGTTTTAAATTTGTTAAAATTAATTCTCTAATATTTTTATTTTCTTCTTTATTAAAAATAAGTATTGAAGAAAAACTTTTAAAATTTAATTTTGAAGATAATGTTGTTGAAAGTTGAGGAACAACAAAAAATTTAATTGAAGGTAAACTAAAAATAAAAGAAAATTTTTTTTTATTTTTAATTATTTTTTTAAAAATACTTTAATGCATAAAACGAAAATATTTGTGACAAAGATGAAGTATTAAATAAAAATATATCAAAAAGAACAATTGCATCTTGTAACATTAAATTATCTTCTAAATTTGCTTTATTTTTAATTTCTCTAAAGAGAGATCTAATTCCAATACGTACCAACATTTTGCGGTCCTCATTCGTTAAAATATCTTAAATTTTTATATAAACAATTTACTAACCCTAACAAGTTTAAACAATAATTGTTCATGAAACTAATTTAAAAGCTTTGAAAAAATTCAAATTTTTTCAAATCAAATTTTTTCCAAGTACTTTTGTCGTGGGAAAAACCAAATATTTTTCATTTGTAATTGATTTTCCTAGGACGCTTAGATGTTTTTTTTTGGTTAAATAGAAAATAAATAACAATACCTACCATTAGAAATTAATTCATCTTTCCTTTTTTGTTCTAAAGAATTTATTTTAATTTCCTTCTTTGTCTTTTTAGCAAATCCAGCATTTTTTAAATAAATACTTAATTCTTCCAATATTTGTTTATAATCTATATTAGAATTATAATCAATATGTAAAGCTGATTTAAATGATGATTTAATATATGGACGAAGAGTTTTAGGAGCCATCTAAAAATCTGTAGATAGCTTAACTAATCTATTTTAATTGCAATCAAATCTAAAAACGTTATTGGAGACTAGAAACACAAATATAAATTGAATATCGAAATATTTAAAAGATGTAAAATACTTTGATTAAAATTGAAAAATACACGTTCATACAAAATTTATTTCTCCAAAATTTACCCAGTAAAAACACTAAATAGTAAATAATTGCCATAAAATAATGGGGAGATTATATAAAAGCAAGTCAATATAGACAAGAGTATTTAAAGAAAGCAAAAGATATATAGTAAATTTTGAACAATTATTTTAAAGAAAAAAGCTGAATTTTACAAAATAATTTTTTGTTTCGTGAGTATATATGGAATAGTATTTATAATAGAGTATGGAAAGCTCTGAATTTAAAAGCCTAATATCTGAAAGAATTTAATGTCAATTTATGTCATAAAGAAATTATTGTAGAAGGAATGCAGTAGAATCTATATTTATTCGTCATCGCTCCACAAAAAATTTTCATCGTCTTCTACTTGTTGTTCTTCTGGATCATCCCTCTCACCACCAAGTTCTTTAACTCTAAATTAGACGACATAAAATGAAGAAAAACATATAATTTAATCACCTATCTGCGTATCGAAGTGTATTCATTGTATTTTCAACACAGCTAATTCCCGGGCTGATCATAGCAATCTTAAATAAAAAAGAATAAGCATATACAAAAATAAAATTAACCATGCAGGTTTTAGCACATTTCCCCACAAATGAATCCCGCAGAATTAAAGTGAGTTTAGAGCCACGGAAGGGAATATGTTGTTCATCACGTCCCATAGCCCGAATACATTCTTTCAACGCCAACAAAGATTTGTTAATCTCAGCTCCTTCAAGACGAGTTTGTCTGTCAGAGCTAATTGTATCAGCTCCACGTTCATTGCCCGCCAAGTCAATAAGAGAAAATTTACCATAAAGAGCATCTTCATTCTTTTCACTATTCAAAATAAAATAAAAATATTTTTTAAATAAAATACCGCTTCCTAAGAATAATTTGGAAAACAGCGTGAGAACGAGATGAATTAGAATTTGCAGAAGTTTGTCCAGCAGTACGTTGATTTGAGCCAAGTTTGATTATTTTTAATACCTAAAAAATTGCTTTAATTTACTAAAATCAAAAAATAAATATTTACATCTTCAACGCTGTTAACTTTCAACTCCTTTAATCCAACAACTTGAACGACGCGTTTTGCATCCTCTAGGACGCGAAGCTTTGCTTTTTTGTTGAGCAGATCAAAAACCTATAAATTTTTTTTAAATAAAGATTTGAAAAAAACATTTTATCAAAATAATTAAAATTTACCATTGCCCCATAGATTTCAAAGAAACTGCAAGCAACCATTAAACATTCATTTTTATATTCAGGCGAATGTAATAAAGCAAAAACATCATTAGCAGTCATTGCATAAATGCCAGCACTACAATCTAGATGTTTCCCTTCAATTATACCACCCATTGTATGTGTCTTTCCAGAGCCTGTTTGACCATATGCAAAACAAGTAGCAAAACCTCGTTGAAAAATAGTCCTAACAAGAGGCTGTGCACTAAATCTAAATAAAAAACAAAAATGAGAAAAATAGAATTTAAAGACAAACTTGTAAACCAATTCATTTGAAGAATTTTCATTGAACGTGTAGTCAAATTTGAATTGTTGATTAACCAGATATTTTGTTAAATCGACTTTTGTTTGAGGTTGGTGCACAATAACTCGATCCTTGTTTGGAATAGTAACCACCTCCACCTCTTTACCAGTCAATTCTTTTTTACTTAATGGTCTTTTGCGAACACAGACACAAATTCGGTTGTCTAAAACCGGATCTGTAATTCGTAGAGGACGATAGACAAGTTGAGATTGGTAGTCGCGGATCATGGAAAGAAACTCCCAATGAGGATTTCCAGGATCGATTTGCATTTGCAGCTCTCGTTGTTTGCGTGCCACATCCTTAAAAATTTTGAGAAATAAAATATTGAGAGTAAAATAATTAGGAATCTGTTTTAATAAAAATAAGATAATCAACCTGTTGAACCCTCCTTTGTTCACGATTCCTCTCCATGTCCTCAATATTTGTTAGCAATTTAGACCGCCTCGATGCTTGAGCCGCAGAGGAAGCAGGGATATTAGGTTGATTCTCTTAAAATTTTTATTTATATTATAATTCCATAAAATGTAAAAAAACCATCCGTAAAATGCACTGGCTCTGAACTAATATTATCCTCGTCAATGTCACCCAGCATTGCCATTTCTTTCTTATCAGACTTATTGTTAACATTAGGGATTGCATGTGTACGTCTAAATTAAATGTTTAAAAAAGTATAAAAATTAATTCCAACCTTCGCTCACCAATAGTCTTATCATTGTCAGTAAAAGCAACAGTTGTATTAATGGCAGAAGAGGAAGCAGTTGTTGGCGGTTGAGTTTGTCCTAGATTTGAATTTTTAAAAATCATTGCTAGCAAAATTAAATGAAATACCATGATTCAATGATGAAATGGATTGACGAGATCGAGATGTATGAAGACCAGAAGACGTAAACAGCTCAGGATTGTTTTTAATAATTGCGGCCAATTCAATATCCTTTCCTTTTGTTTCGCCCTAATTTTTTTAAAAAATCGATAAAGACAAATAAACTACAAACCCTTTCAAACCATTCAACAGAAATCATCCCAGTGAGTCTAGCAATTTGAGTAACTAATGCACCATGTATGCGACCGTCCGAACGCTTAATATTGACATTCATCCCAACAACAAGCTTATCAATGTCTACAAAACAAAAATATAAAATAGAATAACATAAGTCCGAACTTCACTCCATGAATCTAATCTAAATTCGAAAGGACATTTTACTAACTAAAACAAATTATCTTGACTTTGTACGATTAAGTCAAGTTTGTTGATATTAGTATAGTTTAATTAGCTCGCCGTTTTTTTCGGATGAGTCATGATTTGTATAATCAAATTTTTTAATCAAAAAATAAGCGTAGTTCTTTCTATGGGTTTCAATTTTCAAAGGCCTAGGTCGTGACCCAAAACTATGTCAATAAATTATGGTAAACTCGACGTTATAAACAAAGTGAAGTTTACCCTAATATAACTAGTAATAATAACCTTGAATTTTTGATGTTTGTTGAGCTTTGCCAGTATCTTTACTAACTGCATTTTGTTCAACCTTCGACGTTCTTGTTTCTTTTTGCTCAAAATGCTCTGGATCGTGAAAGTTTATTTTAATTGGAGCAACTGGAAAACTTTTTTGACGATTATTTTTGGGAGTCGGTTCCTGAAGAGATAGACCAACATTTCCATTCCTAAATTTATTCGATAATTTTTTACTAACAATAAGCAAATATTGAAAAACCTTTTATTAGTCTTTGTTTTTGGCTCGATCGAATTTGAGCTCGTTTGTTTTTTGGCGGTAGCAACTTTCGTAATATCTCCATTAGCAACAGGTACCTCAGGTGGATCCGTTTTTGTGCGAAAAATAAGCGGATTGTATTTCACTAAGGCATTAAAATCTACTTCTTTCCCTTTTGTCTCTCCCTAAAGATTAAAAATGCGACACAAATTTCTAAAATGCAAACCTTCTCAAACCATTCAACAGAAACGCTAGAAGTTTTGTGGTTTATTTGGCAAATAATAGCACCATGAACGCGACCATCCGACCGAATTATTTCTACTTGCATACCTTCAGTTAGCTTTTCCATCTATAAAAAATATTAAATTAATAACAATTGTGTATTTTAATAAGTCAATAAAAACAACAAAACGTAAAAAATATGGAAAATCGACAAGCTTCACGACGGGGTTAAATGGAAAATCACGGTGGGTATCATTGCTTTTTCGGAAAATTATGTCTCTTTTCTCCCTACAACATTTAAGTAGGACTTCTGAAACCTAGGTTATTTAGCCGAGATATCGGCCTGCAAAGTCGATCAATTTAGATTTTGCAGGAAAAAAATGTAAAGAGCGGGAAAATCAAAAAGAGTAAAAAGCGAGAGATTGTGATAAGACTCAACTGATCCGGTATTCCGGTGGGGTACCATTCCGTGCCGCATTTTGTGCGGCGGTTCGCTGCAGGATACCGCTGCACGGAATCGTCCCTTTCCGCCGGTATTCAAACGGTGGGTACTCAACTGGCCGTTCAGTTTTCGCCAAAATTTTTCATTAAAAATTTTCATGCGCCAAAAATTTTCATTAGCTTTGATTTTTTGGGTACAGCCCAAAAGGGCGCGCGGCCATAACGGCGCAAAGTCATATCTTGCTTCAAGATTTTCGAGCCTTACCAAATTTAGTATTAAACGTTTCCTCTCATCAAGCTAAAGAGATTGGTACCAAAATTGATAAGGGCCAGAAATTTTACAACTATGTAGTATGGCTTTGCGTCGTTATGGCGCAAAGCCCTTTTGGGCGCGTCCCAATTTTTTTGTTTATTGTGTTTTTAATTATACTAATCACCTTCCTGATTTATTTAGACTAAAAATGTCGTCAATATTTCCTGCATATCGTAGAAATAGTCGAGATGAAAGAAATAGTCGAAATGATAGAAATAGTCGAAATGATAGAAGATCACGGGATAGTATGTCTTCTGGCTTTCCAGATGGACAGCGGTTCCAGCGTTTGCCTTTTGATAGCTTTGGTCATTCTGAACCTCCATCAGACTTAAATTTGTTTACCACGACTCAGGATCATTTGAGGCAATCTTATGAATCAAGACAACGAGAAACATCTGATCGATATATCCAGAACCAAATCCAAGCTGGAATTCGACTTGAGCAAGAAAGAAGTTGGGTTGGGACAAAGCAAGTTAATTTTGATGATGACGATCCAGATTTTGTTCCAATGGTATTTTCTAAATAAGTATCATTATCTTTAAAATTAACCTCTAAGGGTGAATCCATTTCTGCCTTTGATCGACAGCCACCTACGGTTCAAGTTGTTGTTGTTGAGAAGAAATCACGTAAGAGGAAGAAACATAAGAGACGTTCATCTTCCTCATCTTCTGCAGAAGGAGAATCCGTTGGAGCAAGCAAGCACAAGAAACGCAAGAGGCGCAGACATGAGTCAGATTCCGAATCTCAAGCTGATGATTATGCCGAGGGGACTTCGAGGCGTTCTATGCAATCTTCAGAAACGGTTATTGAAAAATATAAAAAAAAAGTATATTTGGAAAATATATGTGTTGGGTACTCTTTTAAGGATGCCCTTTTTACCCTTTCCGTCATCAATCTCCAAAATAAGTACGAATCCCAAGCCTGACCTAAACCAGATACTTAAGTTCATATTATTTTAATTTAGGCCTTCGACTCATCACGCAATCCATGGCGTCTCTTACGCAGAAACGAATATGTTTATATTCCGTCACATATGGTCGTTGATCGCCGTTCAGATCTTGCTAATCTTCAATATGAACAGCCCTATAGAAGTGAAATTGCTGATTATCGAGGTGTTTTTCCTATGAATAATACTTCATTGAACGAAATTCGTGCTGTTTCTGAAACACTTGCGTCTCTTCTTTATAAGCCAATGGAATTTTTGGCTTCCGCTGACGAAAAATGCTACGCTGAAATTCATATTTTTAATTGGAACCGACTTCCTGTTGAGCGATTCTTTCGACGTAATACGGATGGCTCTTTTTCTAATTTTGTGGCATTATCACACCAGCCACGCAAGAAAGATGATGAAGGGGTTTGTCTTTAAAGCATAAATCTTTTATTATATTATTTTAGGCTTCTGTCGGCCCAGTGCTTGATCAAGAACTTCTCAATAAAATCGATATAAACGACTTTGGTCACTTCCGAATCAGCCAGGAAGTAAGTCATGCGGAAGCTGCTCAATTTGACATTGATGCACAATTTTCTGTTTTGCAAAATGCTGTAAATATAAATCGTCACGATGTGAAATCTTGGTTGGAGTTTATTGATCTTCAGGTTGATTTTCTTTTAATTAGTGCGTAACAAGACGGTAAGCCTTCTACTATTTATACAATTTTTGTTAATTTTGGAGACCGTAAGGCTAATTTGTTGAAAATTTTTTGGCCAGGGGCTAACCAAATATGTATATAGTCAATTAAATACATGTTCTGTGTGTAGTAATGAAAAAAATTATTGTCTATCATTTCAATATGGCATTGGTGAATTAGAGTGAAATCGAGTAAAGACAAGTTTCTACCATTATACATACATATGTATTTTTGGGAAAGAAAGGGTCAGAATTTAAGATTACCAATTTTTCTTATTACTTCTTATTTGATTTTTGTTTAAGAGGCCTTACCACGCCAAAAACGAATGTGGCGATCCGAATGCACCTATCCAAAATGAAAAGGCCTACTATGAACGTGTTATGGAAATTATTCGTCGTGCTACAGGATTTAACCAAACTAGCCCTGAGATTCAAATTAAGAAGCTTAAAGTGATGGAAGGATATTTGGGCCGTACTTCTGATGAAGTTAAGAAAGAATGGGGTCGCTGTGAAAATCGCTTCATAAACAATCTAAATATGTGGAAGGATAACTTAAAAATGAGAATGAATGATCGTACAGTTTTTTCTTTGAAGAGAATGGTTCTATTATTTTTATTCTTTTCACATTTTATTTTAAGCTTGGTTCAATTTCCAAATGCATTGAAAAACTTGTTCAAATCAAGCTTGGAATTATTCGTAGCCATCCACCAATGGAGGGGACTGACGAGTTTCTCGTCGATCTGCTTGTTGCCTATTGTGCTCTTCTCATATCGACTGGATTTATTGATCGAGTATTTTTATAGTTTTAAAGTAATATTTTTAAATATAAGGCTGTTGTGATGTTGCAAGCTTTGGCTGAATTTCACTTCTTTAATCCAGTAACTGATATGAATGAAGATTTTAATAGCGACAATTGTGATAAAAAGTCTGGAAGAACATGGGAGGACATGTTAAGAAGTTTCCGCATTTTTTGGGACAGTGGATTTTTACGAATTGGAGACCTGGATGCTAGCGGCTGGTGCAATATTGAGCCAATGGAATACGAGGATCACGATCGAAAAGTTGATTATACGAGTTGTGAAAGTGAGTTTTTGATTTCGATCTTTCCCTGCTTTTAATTTCTTACAGGTGACAAAATTGAGGGTGATAAAACGCAAATTCGTTCTGCGGAAAATGCAGAGGTTGAGGATTTGAAAAGGCAGTCTGTTTCGTTTATAGAATCTCGTAGACGTTTGGATAAATTGCGAGCACGCGTATTTTAATTATTTTTTTAGTGTTTATTCATTTTGCAATTTTAGTATTATTGGGAGCCGGTTCGCGTTAAACACGAGGAAGGAAAAGATTTATATGATGTTATTCTTACTCTTTAGCCTAATTTACTCTAGATATTAAAAACATTTTTAATTTAAGTATGATTCCCGTTATGTTTCGTTCGATGATATTCGGCCAATCCTTTTTCCGATAGATAATGATGATATAGCTCGTGAATTAATTTTTAAGTTATTGCATTTGTTCGGCATTTTTGTCCCAGGAGTGGTAAAATATTTTAAATATTGATATAATTTAATATTGTTTTTTGAATTTTCAGACTTTAAATTCGCAAGGAGATATCTTACGATCTTTTTCTCGAAAACTTTTTCCTTCATATAATCCAAGTACATTGAAGCTCGAGCGTTTTCCTAAATTTATTGCCAATTTTATCAATTTAATGGCTGAATCGAAACGAATGGATATGCATCGGATTTATCCAGCTCTTGTATCAAAGTAAAATTTTTTAATACTTTAAAACCAAAATTTTCTATTAAGCATATCAAATTCTTCGCTTTCCCGTGCTGAGAAGTCGAGAAAGCTCAAAATGCTCGTTCGATCTTTTCATAATGAGAAACGTCAGTCTGGTGAAAATGTTACTGGAGACATTGTGCTTCCTGTTTTGATGGTTAGTTTTGAGGAGGTAAGTTTTTTTATTATTAGTAGTTTTTTGCTTACTTTGATTTTTTTATATATTTTAGCTCATTTTACTGAAAGAGAACGCTGATGATAATTTTCCTCTTGAATGTTGTATTAAAGTACTTTATGAAAACTTAGACATGCATGGGCAATCGATCTGGGAATTCGCTGATACAATTCTTTCTACTAATGATCCAATCTTGAGAAGGAGAACTTATTTAATTTATCTTCGCCTTCTTATTTTTCTTCTTCGCAACTTGCCATTTTCGGATGACGAGCATTGCTACACGAAAGTTAAAAACGTCAAAATTTCTGGAGCTGCAACTGTGCGATTACAAACAAAAAAGGAGTTACTTTTGAGCATTTGGCTTACAGGAAAAATTTCTCCGGTTTGTTTTATTACAATATATTTATTTTTTGGCTGTCTTACAACTTCATTTCAAAAAATTCATTTATTTTCAGATTGAAGGCCATTCTACTAATATTGATGCAGCACGCGAAAAGGTCAGACGTATGCTATTAAGAGAGGCGCCAAGAGAACTTGATGACTTGAAATTTCGGTGGATTGGAAATGAATATGAATTTATTTTTGAATTGGCAGCATTGTTCTGTTATGAATATCCATTCCGTTCAAATGCTCAACGATACAAATTTTTCCAAGAGGATAAACCTCTTTTTACTTCATCTTTAGCTAAATCATTGAGTGATTCCGCGGCTGTTCAAGAAGTTCGAGTTGCCGTTTTGAAGGTTTTTTTCTGCAATTATATTTTAAAGTATGATTTTTGTTCTTTTAGCATATTACTCATACTTGTAAAGGTTTAGAATGTACTCCTCGAAATTTGATTCAATTGGTTGAGAAACAAGTTTTTCGTTTTCCACATAGTGTTTTTCTTTTGAAGACGCTTTTAGATGTGAATAACAGTTTATATCAACGAAAGTTTCTTTCAAAGAATGTTAATGGAGGTTGTTGTTTTTAATTAAAATAATTTTTATTAAAAATATAAAAAGATGAATTAACTCGTCTAATACGTGATTGTGGTCGTCTATATGTTGAGCGAGCAAAATTTGCTGAGTTTTTGAGAACATCTGGTGAATTTAGTTGGACTTCTAAGGATGTTACAACGATGTTTAAACGTTTTATTGGTATATGCAAACAAATTGCAGAAAAACATAGGTAAATTGATTTAATAATTATTTTTATTTCCTGTTTTTATTTTTTAGTGATAATCTAATTCCTGATGATTATATTTGGTTCATTTTGATGAAGATAATGATTGATGGGAGAGAAAGCATTTCTTTTGAAAAAATTGATGAGGTAAGTGCTACATACTTTAAATTTTAATTTAAATTGCTCAACTCGTTTCGAATATTACAGGGGGAATAAGTTTATTTTCGAGGGCGTTTATTCAGATAAGGATTAACCAGCTTTTCACATGAATTTATCAAAAATTCCTCTCCTAATAGTATTATTTTAAAGGTATTTGCGGTTGGTCAAAAACTCTGCCCGTGGAGTAAGGCATTTCTATTTGAGGCGGCACGAAACCGACCAGTCTCTGAAAGTTCGTTTTTGACTTCATTGAATGGAGCAATTGGCACACATGGATTGAACAAGTATATATTAGATGCTGAAGTTCGACTTTTAACTACGGAAAATATTGTTTGATTCGAATGCTAAGAGATTTGATGTTTTTAGTATTAAATAATAAAAGTATTTTTAAGTAGTTTTTAGATGGAATATCTAAAAATATTCATTATTTTAAAATTATTAAGAATTAAATATTTTATTATTTAAAGATACCGGGAAAACATCGAAATACATATTTTTAAAAATCTTCTTTGCTATTATTATTTTTCTTTTTAAATACCCATTATGTATCATCCCTTAAAGTAAAAACTGTCTTTGGTTGTATTTTTCATCTGAAGGAAATAAGCGAATGTATTCATTTTAATTTTCAACTTATGTAATTTTCTGTCTATAATTTAACTTTTATTAGCTCTTGAATAAAAAATTAAATGGGTTTAAGGACATATTTTACCTAAAAGTTATTTCTTTAATCTTATTGGTTAAATTGACAAAATTTTTAAATAATTTAAGATTTTTATTTTCTTTTGTATGGCCCATAATTTTGACGCTAAAATGGATTTTGGAGAATCTCGACCACTTGTTGGCTCTTTGAAGTATGGAACTCTTAAAATAATTTTTTGTAAATTTATTTGTTTAGGCATCCATTCATTGTTTTGGCTCATTTGGGCTTTCGTTTTGGGGCAATTGTTTTTTATGTTCTCGCAAATTTCTTTTCGACTTCATTTATAATCCAATTCTTAATTCTGGTAAATTTTGTATTTTTTAAAAATTATTTTCTTTATTTAGTTATTCTTTCATTCCATTGATCTTTGGACTGTCAAGAATATAACTGGAAGATATCTTGTTGGCCATCGTTGGTGGAATTTGGTTGATTCTGAAGGGAAAAACCATTGGCGATTTGAAATTACTCAGGTTTTTGTCTAATTATTGAGGAAAAATGTATTTCTAATTTTGAACACTTGTTCTGTTTAAACGTTTAATTCTAAATTTAATTCGGAAAGAAAACCTCTAACTTTCTAATTTTTAGCAGCCAGATAAATATGATCCATTTGAACGACAAATATTTTGGGCTGCTCTAGTCACAGTACCACTCTTTTGGGTCCTTTTAGTATGTACTGCTTTTCTTACATTACAATGGCAATGGATGATGATTGCAACAATTGGGGCTGGAATGACATTAACTAATTTATATGGATATTTGCGTTGTAAATGGAATAATACACAAGAAATGACAAATTATTTTACTAAATGGGCATTCTTTTCTGTTTGTTTTCCTTTTAATTAAAAAAAATTAAAATATATTTTAGATGTTGAAGAGACAACAACAGGCAAAACCAACGGTCCCTCAAAATGGACAGCCAACTCGCCCAACAGAAATTGTTTAATTATTTTTTGTTAAAAATTGTTTTCTTTCCTATTTTTCCCTCTTTCTTTTGTTTACCTTAAAGCGACCTTTGATTTTTTAGCGAGTTTTTGGAATTCTGGTATCTTTATGTGAGAATTTGAAAATAATTATTTCTAAATAATAATTAAAATATATTCTCTATCTTTTCTTTCAATCATTACACATTTTGTGTTATTTTCTGTAATTATTTTTAAAATATTTCTATCAATTTTTGTCTAATGTAAAAGGAGTTTATTTCGAGATTACAAATAAAAAATAATTTACAAATAAATAGGAAAATTCAAAAATTTATGGGCATTTCCTTTCAACGATTTGACGTCCACTTTCCTCATATTCTCCTTTTGAAATCCACAATTGTTGAAATGTTCCCAGTGAAGAGACGATTGATCCACCTATCCAAGCCCCAAAACGTCTTTCTGCTGTTGTTGGTGCAGAGGAGACACGAATTTTTTGTGTCTAAAATTTAAAGATTTTTCTTCAAAAATTAAAATAAACTTACACTTAAACATTTCTGGGCTAAATCGTGATTTAATCTGTCTGTAAATCCCATTATAAGAGAATTTCCACCAGTAACCATTAAATTGCTATACAATGACTTAAACAAAAGAATATCTACTATTAAATTTTAAAAATTCCTTACTGGACGTATTTCAACATCACACATTCCACAAGACATTAATGCAATTTGTGCAACATTTATTAACGAAGCTCGTTCTTCTTCACTTAAATCTACGTGTTTTAAATCAAAAAGAGCTTCTGGAATTTTTGCCCTTTCTGCGTGAAAATCTCTCAAATACCCACCTAATTAGAAATTTAAAATAATTTATTTAAAAAATATTTATACATGGAAATCCAAAACTGACAGCAGGCAATTTATCCATAAATTCAACATCTAAAGGCGTTTCACAAAGTTGCATTGTTGAATGAATTAAATCTTCAACTAATTGCTTTAAAAAATTTTTTTAATTTTAAAAATAAAAAACAACAAACATCTTCCATAAATTTCTCATAACTTTTAGTTATTAGTGGAGGAATTTTACGTGAAGTCCAAATGGGTTCTTCACCTTCTTTTACTTCTTTCTATAAAAAATTATTTTTATTTTATATATAAAATCAGACTTTTAACTATAAAATATTTGCCAGAATTAAAAACAGTTTAAAATAAATTTTTTAATTTGGTTTGGTTATTGGGAAAGAGAGAGGGAGGGCTGTGTAAGAAATATTCCTCTCATATAAGTATCCCCTTCATTAAAAATAAAGATTATCTTCTTATAGTTAAATCCAACTGTTATTACAAAAAATATTTTTTTAAACCTTCGAAGCAACTTTGTAGTAAGGAACTAATTCAACATTTTCTTTTATTAACATTTTTCTACATTGTTCTACCAAAAAATCACCTCCAACGGGTGAACGAACAACAGCTTTAATTTTTTTAAATAATTAATAAATATTTTTTAAAATTAAAAACCGTTTGTAATACAATGTCCATCATAAACTGGAATTGCAGAAGTATGTGTTGCCCCACTATCAACAACTAAACCAGCAGTTCTTCCACTTGCAAAACTTTAAATAAAAAATTTTTTAATTAAAAAAATGAAAAATTATTTACGCTGCCAAAGCTGCATTTTTAAATAAATAAAATGCCGGAACATTATATTTTTCAAATATTAATTCTGCCAATTTTTCTCTTTTATCTTTTTTGTTCCACTAAATAAATATATTTTAAAACTTAATTTTCAAAATTATATAACCGGAGGCTCAGTAAAAAGCGCAGAATGATGTTGACTTTCTTTAAAAAAATTATTTTATTTGTCTGTCAACAATCAAAAATATTTTTCTTAATCTTTAAGTACCTTTTAAAATTTTCGAAAATAAATATTTTTAAAGTCAAAATTTTGGTATAAAAATTTTATATTTTTAAATTTCAATAAAAATTTAAATAAACAAAACCTGCCATTAAACATTTGTCATAAATAAAATCCAAAACTTTTTCAAAAATATCCCAATCTTCAACTATAAAATAAAGATTTAAATTAATTTTTAAAAAAAATATACAAACTCATTCCATCATTCATATAAGAAACAATTTCTGTTTCATTTCTCGGAACATTTATTTGAGAAGTTCCAATAAAATATTCAAATTTCTTTTTTGTTGTATTAATTCCTTTTCTTCCAGAGGCAACTTCTTCAATTGTTTCATCCGTAGCTGATTCAATTACTTCACGAACACCAACACGAGCAGGAATTTCAAACTTGAATAATTTTTTTTAGAAAAATTAAAAACTTTTTAAATTTAGTTTCAATCATTTTTGATAATTTAAAAAATCTTAAAAGATTATAAGAATATTCAAAAATTTCTTGAAAAATCTTCTGATATTCAAAGAAATGACTGAACCGATCGAAATTTTCGAGTATCCGGAACGAATCATAAAATCCTCTCTTCTTCGGTTAAGCGTAAACCACTTCTAAAGGAATTATTATTGATTATTATTATTTTTTCACTATTTATTTTTCAAGATTAGCTTCCCCTAAGACACATTTTAAATTAAAATTTAATTTAAACCTTCGGAATTTCCTCTCCTCCAAAGCCAACTCGAAAACTAAATTAAATATAATTTTAAAAGAGCCGATTTAGAAAAAACCTATGTGAACCAGAATCAAAAACAATAGCCCCAACATCATCTAAAATTAATATAAAAATTAACAAAAAAAGACACAAACCTCCTCCATAAATACCACCACTCATTATTAAATTTAAAAATTAAATATCTAAAAATAAATTGAAAAAAAAAAAGATAAAATCCGTGTCGGGCTAACTCAAAGAACAGACAAGTTAAGGAACGGCAAATCAATGTTGGACAAGTCAAGGTCTTACCAAATCATGGAACGACAAACTCACGGTACAGAGAAGAAACCTGCATTTTTTCAATGCAGATTTTTTTCACTATTGTGATAATTGGTGGGTTGTTCCGTGATTTGGAATTCCATGAGTTGCCCCTCCACAATTGGCTCCTATACAAAACACCGAATTCTTAAAATATCGACACAACCAGAAAAGCTCAAAACATCGAGGGCAATGCCAAAAGGCAAACGCCAATCTTTCAATTTTTTAAAACAAGCCAAACGCAAAACACCAAAAATCGACCAAAAATGGACGCCAATTGCCATGACGCTCAGCCTTGATCTTGACATTTTAATGTACTGTAATGTACTTTTTTATTTCGTTTTGCTTCGATTCGAATTAAAAAATTTTTTATTTCGAGCATCCCTGGTCCCGACCGGGTTTCTTCTACTACAATTTTCCGTTTCCCGTTCCCGGTTTTCTCAAAATTCTCTACAAAGAATAATATGTATTTACTCAACTCCAAAGGACATATAAAATACATGGAGGATGAAAGAAAAGAAAAAATACTCGATATCTTCCCAAATCCCTTTTATTCCCCTCAAATATCCTCTTAACTACTTTTAATCCCTCTATACCCCTCGATTAAACTTTTAAAGAAATCCGGAGCCGAAGCTACGGATCCTCCCTTCATGTTATGAGTGTGTATTAATTATAAATTTGTTTTGTTCGAACCGAATCTAAAATAGCCCCCCCCCCATCTAGAGGTCGATCAAAAAAATACCCGCATAAAGTTATTTTAAAGGAAATACAGTAATTAAAAATAAAAGTGCATTAATTTATACTGCTTGCCAACATTGCAAAATTGATTAAATGCTTAATTTAAAAATCATTTGATAATTTTTTTTATTTCTCTATTACATATTAAAATTTTTAAAATTAAATGAGAATAAAATTAATTAATTAATATATTTATATTTTTAATTTTAAAAATACTATGGAAATTTAAACATTAACGAGATTTTGTATTTATTAAATTAATGGTAAGACCTTCTCTAATGAACACATCGAGAAACATGTTTTTCTAATGTAATAAAATCTGCTGAATTCGAATATCACAATAAAAGTGCTTCCCACGCGGGTCCAAACCTTCGACCTAAAATTTTCTGGTTTTTGTTCAAATTATATGTCATTTTAACAAGCTCATCGAACTGAATCGAATGACACAAAAAAATCAGCTTGTTCGATGAAATTTATACTGATATTTGTATTTATATCAGTATAAATTATCTTTTATTGTGATATTTAAACTCAACCATTTTATTACATTAGAAAAACATGTTTTTCGATGTGTTCATGAGCGAAAGTCTAGTCAGCCAAATTAATTAACAAATAAATTATTAAAATTTAAAAGAATATTTATTTATTTAAAATGATTAAACAATTTTTATTAAATTTATTTATTTCTTCTTTTTGTTTGTCAATTGATATTAAATTGGAAATTAATGAAAATTATCTTCAAAATCGTTCATTTAATTTCCAATTAAATTTTAATCAACAAATTTTTAAATGTTTTATTTTATATAAATTTAACAATAATATTGAGGAAGAAAATATTAAAATAGAAGGAATTGAATTGGAAAAAAATAAAAAATATTTATTTAAAAATGTTGATAGAAATTTTCATATTTTTAATAAAAAAGGAGAAATTATTGGGAAAAATGAAGAATATTTAAATGCTGAATTTTGTATTGAAATTTTAAATAATCCTTTGTTAGAAATAATTCCTTCAGCTAAAAACCAAGTAAATATATTTATTTTAACCTAATAATATTTTTGAAAATATTTAATTAATTAATTGATTAACATAAATGTATACCTATATTTCTATTTTTCAATATCCAAAACCGAAAGAACCCCTTAAATCTTGAGTTGGTTCTTTGAAGCCTTTGCCCCCCTTTTCTTTGTCTGAATTATTGTACCAATAAAATTTCAAAATCCCGATTCCCGAAATTGGGAATTTGTTTATTATATAGTGTGTGGACAAGAGCCAAAATATTTCATCTTCGGCACTTTTAATAAATTTTTTTAAGAAAATTTGTCGAAATTTATTTTCAATAAATAATAATGAATATAATAATGGAGAATATAAAATATCAATTTTATCAAATTATATTCCAAAAAAATTAAATATAAAAGAAAATCAGATAGAACAAATTAATGAAAAAATAAATTTTTATAATAAAATAAAAAAGGAAAATATATGGCAAGAAATAAATTTAAAATTAAGAAAATTTTATTTAATGGGAAAAATGCCAGGAGAATATTTTGACAAAAAATTAATTTTAAAATCTGAAATAAAAGAAAATTATAATATAATACTAAAAGGTTTTACATACATACATATCGTATATTCCCCAATAGAAGTACACCCTACGAGAGATCGAAAAATATAAGCACAGTTTCCAATAGAAGTCTCCCTTAGTATGCCGCTGAAAAAGCACATAATCAATTTTAATGTCTACATTTAGTTAATATATAGTAGAGTTGTCCGGTATCAATTCCGACATAAAATCAGAATCGGGGTCTGGGAATAATAATACCGGTCCTGATACCGATCCCGACTCTGGTATTCGAAGGAGCTAACATTTGTTTAATCGAATTCTTTACCCCAAAAACCGGTTTGGTCCCCCAATGGTTTTTCAGTTTTCAGCGGAGGATCGAAGAATAGGAACCATACGTTTCAAATCATGAATTTCAGGAGGGAAAAGTCAGATTGAGTTTCTGGTCAGGTTTTTAGAAATTCGTGAGTTTTGGATTTTGTGTTCATAAAAGACGAGTCAAAAAAGACATGAGACCTTAATTCTAATTTATTTTAGAAGAAATTTTTAAATTTAAATTTTTAGAAAAATTTCTTTTCCGTTTGGGTGTTAGAGAAGCAAATTGGCTTTTTGTGGAAATTGTAAATATTATTAAAGTAGCAATATATTATTTAAATAATAAATATTATAATATTATATATGTTTTTTATCAAAAAAATAATATAAATAATTTAAAAATATTAAATATATTGAAAGAAAAATATAATAAATTTAATGGAATAAATGAAAATGAAGAAAAAAATTTATTTGAAATTTTGGAGGAAGAAAGTAATAAAATATTAGATTTAGGTAAAAATTGATATATAAAAAATATAGTCCTATCTTAGAATTCGAAGAATACTCACCCTACAATTTAGGTGAAACCAGACAACCTTTAATCATTCACTCTATGTTTAGTACATACAATTTTATAGTTTCAGATTTCTAAGGGAATTAAAAACTTGGTACTACTTGCCTTTATGAGTCTAACCAAAAAATAATTGAATATTTCTCGGTGTTGCAAAGTAGGAGTATAGTACCAAAACATTTCTTCATGTTCGGGACCTACGCTCACTGGGTCTGGGACCGTTCCTTACCCTATTCCTCGAAATTTCGGAAAGTTATAGCCCTTTTATATACTACTAGTTTTTTTACTACTAGTTTTTTATGTGCTAGTTTTTTTATCATTAATTTAACGTATGTGCTAGTCTTTTAATAATTTTTAAATTAATTATAAATATTAATTTTTCAGTTTAATTGAGTGAAGATGATGATATTTCGTCCAAAAATATTATTTTTAGTCGTTTAAATATTTTATTAATTTTTCATGTATTTTTGGAATTATACAAACCGTTATCACAAAAATTGGGATATTTTAATAATAAATATGAAAAACAAATAAAATTAATTTTAACTAAAATTAAAAAATGTGTAAATAATTTAAATAATTGTTTAAAAATAAATATGATTAATGAAGAAATTGTTGAAGGAAAATTTTTTAAAATAATCAAAGAATATATTGAAGATAAAGTAGATTTAGAAACTGTGAAAGTTTTGTCAATTGAGGAAAATCTTTTATATTCTGGTGTTGATATATTTAAATATGAAAATATGGAAAATAAAGGGTTTTCTAAAACAAGAACAATTGATGATAAGGTAATTAAGTAGTTATTTTGATAATTTAAAATAATTTAAAGGAGAGAAAGAAGAGAGCTAAAATAATTAAAATGTATTTTCATGATAAGATGAAAGAAGCGGATATTGCTCGTAGCGTACGAAATACTTGCCCTGCAAGTGTAAACTTTATAATAAAGAGATTCTTGGAAGTAGGTTCGGTAGAAGATCGACCTTGGAAAGTAAATAAAAATTAAATTATTATATGGCATCCAATGTGTTTTAACTTTTGGATTATTGGTTGTCTTTGATTTAAATTTGTTATGGTTTGGAAGAAAAAAGAATTATTTTGTGTTTTATTAAACAAATAAAAACAATTTTCATATAAAGTTTAAATGCACATACATATCAAATCTTATTTAGTTTAAAACAATTATTTTTTGGGATTTAGTAAAATGTTTGATAAAATGTTAGATTTTTACATTTTATATCGCGTTGTAATTATTATATATATATTATATTATATATTTTGTTAGAGTTGCCATTTTTCTTCAGTTAACCCCCCCCCCTCCCCCACCTAATAACAGACAAAATTTTGAGAATTTCAGATGGACAAGAAGCCAGAATTAATCTTACTCTCTAATACGTATATACGGAAATGATTCGAGTTACAGATCAGATTTTCAAAAACTGATCGAGTTTCGTACTTATCTTGTGATATATATTTAGTGCTTAATTTAATTGTTTTTATAAAATAAAATTTTTATTTTTAAAAATTTTTTCCTTCTTGTCTCTTCTTTTGTATTTTATTTAGTATTACAAGTATTTTTAACAAAAAAAAGAGGGAGAGAATATTCAATTGTTTTTATTTTCTCTTTTTTTTATTGTCAACAACAATTAACTAAAACAACGAATTTTTGCGCGTGTAGATAAATAAAACAATGGATATTTGGACAAAGAAAAGATTGAAAAAAAAAATTATTTTTTTTTACTAGAAGAAAATAATAAGAAGAATATAAACGTACAAAATAAAAAAATCTTCGAGAGAAATTTTTAGAGAAAAATGCCTTCAAAAAGAGATTGTCTTTTTAAATAAATATTAATTATTTAAATTTATTTTTAAAAAATATTTATTTTTCTTAGAAAAATGTCCAACAAATTTTTTCTAATATTTTTATTATTTTTATTACAAAAACCTACAAAAGTTTTTACTTTTAATAAAAATCATCGAATAGACGAAGAATCTATTAAAACACAATTCGCCCCACAATTTGAAATTGTTCCAATGGATGCTGTTTCTAAGGAGGCAAAAAACTTAAGAAAATATTTTTTTTAATTATATTTTTGTTAAAGGATTTAACAGAAAATATTTACAAAAATACTAAAAAAAGAGAAGTTCCCAAAGAAGGGGGAGGTGTTGGTATTTATTGGATGTCCCCAGAAGGACCAGATTTTCAGACTTGGTCTGTCCCAACTTCTTCTTATGGAAGTGGAATTCAACAACAACAAATAAATAAAAATATAGAAAATAAACAAATTAGTGAAAGTATTCCTTCTTCCTCTTCTCAACAACAACAAACACCCTCTTCCTCCTCCTCTTCCCCCTCAGGACCTTCAATTTCTTTTCATCAACAACCACAAGTATGTGTAAGGATGATTCACCTAGAGCATTTAAAACGCTTAGGCGGGGGTTAAACGATCTAAAAGGATAAAAGAGAAAGCATTAGTCGATGCTCCGGTAGTCAGTGGTAGAGCACCTGCATTTGTGTGAGCAAGGCCTAGCGATCACTTTCAGCTTGTCGCAGGTTCGAATCCTGCCCGGTGGCTAAACTTTTGCTAAACTCTTATTCATATTTTATTTTGTTTTTACATTTTTAGGCTTTTCAACAAGGATCTTCATATTCTGGTTATGGACAATATATAGGAGGCCAACAAAGTGGGGGAATGCCTGATGGAAGTTATTTAAATTATTTACAGAAACAAATAAATACATATCCGTTAGTTTTTCTTTAAAGTAACTCCAGTTTTAAGCGGGGTTTGGGGAGTTACTTAGCTCTGTTTGGCCGGAGTTGATACTTAATTTTTAAAATGGAGCCAGAAAAAGTTAAGAAAAGTGGTCTGAGACAAAGCCCCAAACATTTTACACCCAGCACTGTATATCTCTCTCATTTATTAATTCCTCTCTATAAGAACGTGTTTTCATAGAAAATAAACATTTAATTTTTTTTGGAAATATTATTCTTTTTTTTTCTTCAAAACAAAATTAATTAAGAGTAATGATATATACTTTGGCTGATTGTATTCCCTGTCAAAGAGCAAAACATTTACTTGCAATTCATTACCCAGATGTTAGAGCCCATTATTTAGAACTTTCTGGTAATGAAGTTTGGCAACAACAATTACAAATTCAATTACAATATTTAACTGGAGTAATTTTAATTTTAGTTTAAATTTAAAAAAATATTTAAAAAGGCAATTACTTTTCCCTATATTTTTGTTTGTGGACAATATATTGGTGGAGGCACAGAACTTTTTGAATTACACGAATCTGGACAATTAAGGTAAAAAAATATGTAAATAAATATATTTTTATTTATTTTTAGGCGATTAATTAATTTATGTTTACAAAAACAAACGAAGAAATAAGAATGTTTGTTGAAAAATTTTAAAAAAATATATATTTTTGTAATTTATTATTTAATGTTTAGTATATGTATATTCTCTATAATAATTTCATTTTCTTTATTCAATTTAGTGTCTTTAGGAAAAATATTTTTATTTTAATTAAATATATTTTGTACTAAATTAATTGTATTGTTCATAAATGTCAATTACAATAAATATACTAACAAAATACTTAACAAAAGAATATTTATAAGGGAATCAAGATTATTATAATAAAGCTACATTAATTTGTTTCTTAATGTAGAAAACTTTGAAATACCCAAAATACTTTTACTGCCCAATTCCTTTTACTCATTAAAATAAAAAAATAATTTCAATTTTATTTTAATTTCCTCAACTTTAACAATTTAAAAATTCAAAACAATTTACTGTTAAGTAATCAAAAATTTACGAAAATGAAGGCGATTCCGAATTAAACATCATTCCTGCGCCACTTGAACGTGTTGATTGCACATTCAACCAAGTCTTTGAAACCTTTAATTTAAAAAATATTTTTTTAATTTATTTTCCAATTTCCCTTACCAAATTGTGGCTTTCAATAAATCGGTCCATACAACGTTGGAGACACTTAAAAATAGATATTATTTTTTAAATAAAAAGTATTCCCAACCTGTTTTTCTCCATTACTCAAACTAGTTCCAGGCGCCGTAATGCATTTTCGAGTACATTTATCAGCAACTTCCGAAACCAAACTTTGAAGATTAAGCAAAATAGCTTGTTGACGTAATGTACTTATTGCCTTAAATTAAATTAATTTTTTTGGATATTTTTAATGTTTTTAAAACCTTGTCTCTCTCCTCCGGAGTTAATTTTTGAAGTTTTTCTGTATCAATATCCAAATCCATTTTTAATAAAAAAAAAACTAAAAATATTAAATATATTAAGAAAAAAAATATTAAAAATAATTAATTGAAAATAACAAAAAATAAAATAAAAATATTTTTAAAAATTTTTTATTTTCTTTAAATTCTCTTAAAATTCAACAAAATAATATTACAAATATTTTAATTTATTTATTATCCATATCAATATCATTGTTTCCATCCCCATCAATATCTAAATCTTCCAACATTTCTTCCAATGTCGGCCCATCAATTTCATCATTTTCACCATCGTCCATTGTTGAAATTGATGGTTGTCCTCCTTTTCTTGATTTTTTATAAATATTTATTTTTTCTCGAAGTTTGGCATCCTCCTCTACGTCTTCCATAAATTCCTTTAAAAATATTTTTTTATTTTAAACGTTGTAAATTTAATATAAATTTCGATAATTGAAGCAGGGTTTGGTATAAAATATTTAAAAAAATTTACAGCAAATTCCCTTTCAACACTTTCAGTCTCAACATTATCCAAAATTCTTTTTAATTTCCATTGACGTTTACGTGCTCTTCTTGTTCTGTCATAAACTTTTCTAACCAAAACCTTTTAATTAAATTAACTTATTTATAGGTATAATTACTAACCACATCAGGCACTTTTTCTTCTTTTACTAAATCAAAAATACGATCATTTAAATTACTTTGCCAAATATTATAACCTTTGAAAATAAATACATTTCCAAACAAAAATATTTACCCATAACAGAATCTCCAGGATTAAGTAAATGTCCCAAATGTGTTCTACAACAAATAGAATTAGCATTTGACTGCCCAACTTGATCACTAAAAAATCATTCCTATTATTATTTAATTTCAATAAAAAAACCTTTTAACAACCCAAACATCAGCCAATTTGTGTCTTTTCGAAATATGCCCTAAGGGAATTAATTGATCAGAATCCTCAATTTCTTCTACTTCTAAAACATAAAATTCGGTTAACATTTTTGGTTGAATAAGCATTCCAAAAGGTTCTTTCCAATAAATATTTCTTTAAATAAAAAATTAATTTTCAAAAAATAATTTACGAATTTAATTCGAATAATTGAAGTGTTTGTGTATTAATTAAAGTAACAACTTCTGTAACCCTTAAACAAACAACAAATTGACCAATTGAAGAAAATTGACGTCCCAAATGTTTTGGCAAACAAATAAGAGAATCTTTAATTATTGGAACAATATCAACACAATAAGTGTGTTTGTAGTCATAAAAATTGTTACGAACATCGTGAGTAACAAGTTGCTATAAAAATTAAAAATTAAATTTAAATAAGGATATAAAACAATCTTTAAGATAGGGCATGGAACTATTTGGTGCGTACCAGTTTGGCACGACCAAAATGGTGCAAGATGTTTAAAATTTTAGCATAATTCCGTCTGATATTTAAGTTAATTTTGACGAAAAGATTTGAAAAAAATTGAAACCTGAGAATGCTGAAATTTAGCTGGTAAAACAGCAGTAACAAAATCAACCATTTTACGTGCTTCTTGTTGTCTTGGAAAATAAAAATCAATTCCAGTCAATACAGGTTTAATACTGCTACACTTCGAATGTGCTCCATTTTTAAGTAAAAGTTGTTCAAGATAAAAAAGTGTTTTTTTGTAATCACAACGTTGACGAACCTTTTTGTATTTGCAAATTTCAAAAAAGAAAATTAATTTAAATATTTACTTGTACACAAGCACGCCAATAAGATTTTGCCTCATGACGATGACAGTCATCACACATCTAAAGAAAGAGAATAAAAAATATTATAGAATATTTATTTTTAACAAAGTTTTTCCTTTAATTTTTGTTCTAATTTTTGTCAAGAATTTTAATAGGAATTTTAAAGTCAACTAAAAATATTCCCATCGACATAATTTTTAACTTTAAAAAAAACAAACCTGATTAGCAATAACAAATTCGGCAACAAACGATTGTTGAAGTATAGCTTTGTCAAATACTTCTTTTTGTATAGTCACTTTAACTTTTAATCTTTTAGAATGTGGCTCAGTCCAAATAAAAGAAGCGTCAATAATTCGTAATTTTTGTTGTGTTGTAGCTGCTTTTAATCTCCCCAAACAAATAGACATTAATTCTTTAGATTCTAATTGAGCATAAATCCAAGCATTTGGAGGAACTAAATAACGACTACAATTACGACAAGAATTTAGTTGAACTAAAAAAAGAAAAAAAATATTTAAAAATTTTTAAATTAAAAAAAACTTTGTTTAACAATTCCTTCCAAAATATCTACTCTTGAACGAACACAACCCAAACACATATTTAACGGATTTGGAGCAATTGGAGCACCACATTCACAACAAGCAATAATCCCTTCAGAAAAAGATGGTTCAATCTCAATTTGTTGCATTTAAAAAAACTTTTAAGTCTAAAAATGCAAGTAGAATTAATAAAAGCAAATAATTGTTGAATGTTGGTGAAAAGGGCAACGCGCCTGGTGCTAGTATAGGATTTTGGTGAAATCCCAGGTACTAGTATAAAAAAATAAGGCACTATTAAATTTACCAGTTGTTGAGCAACTGTGATCGGTGACCAATCGAACAAACTCCCTATTCTGGGAGTTTGTCTACTTCGCGACTAAGTGGAATGCAACAAAGTGGTCGCGACTGAGTGGTCGCGATTAAGTGTCCGTGTCCCCTTTTTTAGCGTTTTGAGCGTGTTTTAAAATTTTTAAAAATTGGCGGTTGGAAAAATTGGTGACATTTTATTTGATCGCGAAGATTATTATGGATCATATATTTTTTTTCGTTAAAAATTATTAGTATAAAAGACCAAAAATATTAATGTTTAACTTATCATAGACCGACAACTCATCGAACAATCTGTAAGTTTTCAACCGCTTTTTTTATTATCTCAACATGTTTTTTAAAGCACAAACAGCGACATATCAACAACATGGATTCTGGTGGAAGTCAGGAGTCTATCAGTGATCGTCAACAGAATTCTGGCAGCAGTCAACAAGAGTCGAGTCCACAACTCGTCGTGGAAAACATTGTTGGTCATCAGCGCAAAGGGAAAGCACAAGCAATATACAAGGATTTCTGTACATTCAAGAACCGTCATTCCTTCCTCAATTGGTGGAAACAATCAGGACAAGAATATAACTGGCAGATCAATTCTCGCCATCCTCATTCAAAAGGAATGGTTGAATACTACTATTGCAAGGTGGGGGGATTTTAATAAAAAATATTTTTTTTGTTTAAAATCTTTTAATTATTTAGAAAAGGAAGAACAACAAATGTCCAGCACTTCTGCGTGTTATTGTTGAGGCAGTGACCGGCGCTGTTTCTGTTGCTAAGGCTGATGGACGTCCACACAACCATGATATTGATGATGTTTGTTTTTGTTAAAAATTAAATTTTGAAAGAAAATTTATTTTTTTAAAGATGGGCAAAATGGAGTGCTTGATTGTGGATATGGAACCCTTCCCGATGAAGACTGCGAGAGTCCTCAACATCGCTACAGCTCAGCAAAGCAAGCAGCAGTCTGCCAAAGCGAATGTGCCAAAGACAACGGCTGTCTAAGAACAACAAAATATGACTATAAAGAATAAAGACAATAATTAGGAAACAAATAATTCCCTCCTTTTGTTGCTGTTATTTTAACAAAAATTCACCCTTTATTCTGTTTGTACATATGTATATTAAATTATTTGTATGTATTGTTAATATGTGATAAAAATATATGTGTATAAAAATATTAGAATGAAGATTCCATTTTAATCCCGACCAGGACTCCTTTCAAAACTAAATAATTTAAATGTAATAGAAAGTGGAAATTAATATGTTCGACAATTTAAACTACCTAATCGAAAATTAATTTTTAAATTTTCTTAAATTAAAAACAAAATTAGGAAAAAAACTTTTTTCTTATTCCTTTCTATATATTTGAATGGCACTTCTTAATTAAAATTATCAAAAAAGGTTGTTCACCCAGCTAGTAAAATTAGTTGAAAATAAAATTTAGTCAAATAAAGCAAAGGGAATTAAAAAATATTTAATATGTTCTAAAAAATATTTTCCAAATTTAATTTTCTATCTCTACAATTCTTAAAATAAGTAAATCTTTTTTCTAAAAAAGAGGGCAGATATATATTTAGAAGAGATATAGCCTTCGTGAAGCTTATATTGACGTCATTACTGGCAATGAGTGTTGCCAGAAAAATGAAAGAAAAAATGGTGACAAGTAAAAAATAGATGGCAAAAAAAAATGGGAGGGAGGGAGGTAAACTGGCATTGAAGAGAATTAAATTGAAGATAAAAAAAGAAAAAGAACAAAATTAAGCATTCTATTTTTTTAGTAAAAAAAAATAAATTAATACCGTATATACTGTATTTATTACCCTCCCTCAAATAGTTACCCCACCTGCTTTTATTACCCCCTTTAGCAAGAGATCGAAACAATAATTGCCCTCCCTCAAATAATTACCCCCTATTTTTTCTAAGCTAATGTTGAAAATATTTATTATAAAACATTATGATTTTAACAATGGGCATTTTAAGGATTATATAAAAAATAAATCAACAAAATAAAAGGATTTGGAGAGGATAACCCGGAATTTATGAGAATTAAGAGAGATTATGAGGATTTGGGTGAGATTTTGAGTGAATAATGGATTAATGGAATCTAAGATTAGATTCTACTAATAAGATTAGATCCCACTTAATCCCTCCAAGTCCCATTATATTCCTTTAATATCAACCTTACATCTCCTAAAAATTCCTCAAATCTATCTAGATTACTTTTAATTTTTAAGCATTTAAGGATCAATATTCTGTCTTTAGTCATATTATAAGAAGTATATTTAGAGAATGTAGGGTATATTCCCTAAATAGGAATCATACATACTTTTATACATGACCATCGTGTCTTTATATCTCCCAGGGAGGAAGCATTGGTGTTATTGTACCGTATTGGGGTATATTATTTATGAAAGTATTAAGGGAATAAAGAATATCTGTAAAAATTTACTAATATTTATCTCTACATTCGGTAACATATTGTATATTACTGTTCATATCTTTACCATAAAATAAAAAATTTACAGGTCGAAATAATAATTGCCCTCCCTCAAATAATTACCCCACCTGCTTTTATTACCCCCTCCAGCGAGAGATCGAAACAATAATTACCCAGGGTAATTAATACAGTATATACGGTATTTATAGTAGCTTGTATGTGACAAAATAAGCACGAACGAACTAAAATTAAAAGAAAGAATAAATCCCTCTTGGCATTCACACCCTCTCATTTGCCCTAGCAACCAGTTAAGGATTATATTTTTTTAAAAAAATATTCTTTTAGATTTAATAAAAAGCTTTTATTTATTTTTAAATATTATTTAAATATTTAAAAAAATTTTTTTTATTTTTTTTTCTAAAAACTTTTTCTAATCATTATTTTCTTTCCCTCTTTCTCTCTATTCTCTTAAAAACATTATTTTCTATAGCAACATTCTTTCATTTCTTTATCCGCCTGGATGAATAAACATCCCCCTCTTCCCCCTCCATCCTTTCCCGATAATCGCGAGGACGGTCGCCCCTTGTGGCTTGGCCAAAATGAGAAAAAATAAATTGTTAGAAAAAAAAACATTCAAAGAGAAAATTTATGGCCAACCAACTGGCTCTTCCCCTTTTATTTCTTCTTTCAATGACAACCGGGCGAGCGTGTGCTTACTTCTACATACATATATACTTCCCTCTTAATATTCTATGTATTTTTTTTCTTATGACCGGCAACAACTCCGCACGTCTCCCAATATCTTCTAGTATTTTCAACCATTTTTTCAATTCTTTTTTTTTCATCTTATTTTATACATAGTGGGAAGTTTTGTCATTTTTTTTCTAAATTTAAAACTTTTCTTTGAGAAAAATATATTTTTGTGTTCGTTTTTTAGAGAAATCAATTTAAAATTTTTTGTCAGAATTTTTTAAAGAAATTTAACATTTATCATATTTTTAATATGTAGAAGCACTTGGGATAAAACTAAAATTTATATTTTCAAGATTTATAGACATATTATAACCCGGAGGCTCTAATTCAGACTTAGTAGTTACATATGTAAATAAATTAGCTATCTAAAATTGACCGGGAATGGATTCCAAGCCGAAACTTTTGGTTTAATCCCTCCAATTCCGACCGACCCAAATTTGCCGGGATTTCTGGTTTAGTCCTGCAGAATATAATATTTTTAAAAATAATTTTGTAAGAATTAATTTTGTTTCATTTCCTCCCTTCAATACCACAAATAGACACAAAAATTGAACCTAAATACAAACTATTTAGGGTTGTTATCCGGAGATTCCAGGAACTGCCAATCTTTAAAGACCCTCTCCTCCAATTTCATTTTAATTTTTCTAACGGCAATAATATACCTTTAACATATTTACTCATTTACAATTTCCCCCCTTTATATGGCTGTAAATATACTTCACACTTTCCCACTTTTTAAAGCTTTCATTTTGCCTTTTTTTGTTTGTATTTTTATTTTTTTAATGTGCAATAAATAAAAAGAAAAAAAATTTTGCCAACTTAATCAAAACTTTATTTACTTGTTATCATTTTTAAAAGCTTTTTCTTTTCTGTTTTTGTCACATCGTGGAAAATAATATTTAAATAAAAAAGTTTTAAAAGAAAATATTTTGTTTTTCTATTAATTAATTTAACTTTTCACCAAATAAAATTAAAAAATTTTTGAAAAATTTTTTTTTATTTCCTTTTAAACATTAAATATAAATTACCAAATAATTTTATTTAATTAATTAATTTTAAAAAATTAATTCTTCAACGTGTATGTAAAATTAAAAAAACTTCCAGTAAAATAAACATTTTCTGCAAAATTATTAATTTAAAAAATATTTTTTGAAATTAAAATTTTATTTTTCAAATTTTTATTTCTTTTTTCTTTTTAAAAACATTATAGTAAAGTTTTTTTGCAAAAATTTTGGAAATAAAAATTAAAAAAATATATTTATTAAATGGCTATAATTCAGCCATCGGCAACTAAACACTTTCTCCATATAAACAAATATAAATATTAAATTTATTTGTTTCTAATTCTCTCAGTTAATTTGCACTTTTCCTCCCTTTTTTCTCTCCTCTCTTAAAATTATTATTCAAAATATAGTAAATATTTTGGGACGTGGCAAACAGAAAAAGTTTGTGAGCTGAAAATAATTGCAAATTGGAAATTGAAATTAATTTAAAAATATTTTTAGTGATTTTACTTAATCCACCTTCCTCCAAAATTAGGGGAGGAAGGCATATCCACAGATATTTCTATAAATTCCTTAAAAACCCTTCTATAAATTTTAATTATAATAATTTCATTTTTTTCATCATTTTAATGAAATAAATAAATTGATTTTTGTTGATTAATCCTTTCTTTCTTCATTTTTTTTTGTTTTTCAATTCCTCTGTTTCCCCAATATTCTCTTATTTATTTATTGTTCATTCTCTACTCTCGATCCTCAGTTTTTAAAGGCCAGCCACAATACGTGTACATTTATTTATTTTTATACAAAAATTCCTTCACATTTTTGTTAGCAACACAACCTCCAATAAATATTTAGAGAAAAGAGGGCCTCTTCTGACCAGTCGAAGAGGCTAAACTATGGAGTGATTGAATGAGGAGGGAGACTAGAAAAAATTCCCCCAAAGTATTTTCAATTCAAAAAACTTTTTTTTTAATATTTGCGCGCACGATTTTCTTTATAGAATGTAAGAAGAGGTGAGGGGGGGGGGAGGAATAAATTTAAAGTATGCAAGAAAAAAGAAGAATTTTTGGCCAAATTTTGAGCATATCTTTTTCTCTCCTCTTCTTCTCCTTCTCTTCTTCTTCATTTTCAGCTTCAATCCCTCATTTTAAAAAGCCTCTCGCGCTCTTTTTTCCTTTTGATCTGCCAGCGTATCTATAATAAAAAAAGAAAAACGTCGCGACAGCTATTCAAACAAAAATAAAAAAATTTTTCAAGAGAAAAATACAAATATTTGAGAGGAAAAATAATATTAAATATACCGTATTTCCTAAAATAGTACTCCCCCCTGAATTAGTACTCCCCCCTTAAATAATACTCCCCTTTGGAGGAGGGTTGAAAAATAGTACTCCCCCCTTAAATAGTACTCCCCCTAAAATAGTACTCCCCCCTAAAATATTTTTCCCCTATATTTGAAAAAAATCATAAAAGAAACATTGAATTATTCTATTGAGATTTACTTATTGAATTATTTTATTTATTCTGATTAGGGTTGTCGGTTTCACTTGATTCTTCGATAACCGAAACCGGACAGTTTTCGCTTACCGAAAACGAACTGAAATTTTAACCTATAATATGTTCTGGATTGATCAAGTGGGGTCTAAAAGTTCCAATTCCCCTAGTTCATCTCTAACTAGATCAAGTAGTATGGTTTGATAAAGGAATTTGAGAGAAAAATGAAGGATGAGTGTTCGGGACGCACTCATTCCCGAGCGTTCGGGACGAAACCCTACTTGTTATCACGCCTAAATATGGATATCCTAGAATTCGTAAGGATATTCGAAGAAAAAGAGATGTGGAGGATAACGGTGATTAATGCTGATAAATCCCTGGACACAGCGATTAGGTACATCAATTTCTCAGTGACATTGAATAATATCGGCGGATATATGCGGATTCGTAAGATTATGAGTCTGAAAAGATTAAGGGGGATATCAGTGTTTTTGAAGGATATCTAGGGAATTTGACACATACAAGTGTATTAACTGGTCGGGAGTTCAAGATGGATATAGTGGTAAATTTAGATATCTACCCTTAATCGATTAAATCCCATTATACTCCTCAATATCACTCCAAATTAACTAATATCCTTCTTGATTTTCCTCAATACCCCTTATTTTATGTCACTTGTGTTTAAATGTCCCGAAATTTGCTCAATTTTATAATAATTTGAATATTTTTTGAGAGCTTTTAATAATTAAATTTTTTGAAAATCCGGGTCGGATCAGGCATTTTTCAGATAACGAACTCAAATTGATTTAGAATTTTGAAATAAATTTTCTTATGATAAATGAAAAAAGGGTTGAAAAATAGTACTCCCCCCTGAATTAGTACTCCCCCCTTAAATAGTACTCCCCTTTGGAGGAGGGTTGAAAAATAGTACTCCCGGGAGTACTATTTTAGGAAATACGGTATTTATTTTTTTAGTTTATTTACAAATATTTTTAGTTTCTTTAAAATAATGTTTGTAAATAAAGCTTAAGTTTATTTATTTTTTATTGAAAGCGGGCGTCGCTTTTTCTCAAATGTTTTTGTAAAATTAAGAAAAAAAACTTTAATTAAATTTTATTTTAAATAAACAGTTTATTTATCAATTATTGACAAATTAGTATTTAAATATTTTTAGTAAAATAAATAAATTTTTTTTATTTGTTTATAATAAAAACATATTATATGTAGTATATTTTTTGTTGTCCATAAACAAATTTGTATTTATTTATTTACTTTAAATAATTTTTTATATTTTGTATTTAATTAAATAATATAAAAACAAACTACCTATTTTAAAAAACAAAATTATTTTTATATATTTTTTGAACTAATTATTTAAAATTTATTTTTTAATTTAAATATTTAAATTACTAAGCTTCTAATTTTCATTCAAAACAAGTTTCTTAAAAAGTGAGAAAAAATGAGGATTATAAAGATTATATTTAACATTAAAACAACATGAAGATTAATTATATTTAAATATTTACTTATTTTACATTTACAGTCGTGGAAAAAAGTATGGAAGCGCTAGAAAATTTTTTCTTGATTCTTAATTTTTCATTCAAAAAATACGTTCTATATACCAATCGAAAGCTCTATTCGTATCTCAGTTGACATGTTTCTGCATTTTTCATGAAAATGAAAATTGGCCGAGATAATCCGGATCTACCGGATATACCAAATCCCACTTTTTCAGAAAAATTTTTCGGAACAAATTTAACAAACCCAAATGATAAAGCATATTTTTCTGAGTATTTTCCACAAAACCGCTTAGAAATATCTTTTTCCAGAGCAGAGATATGATTTTTTGAAAATCGCATTTTTCGTCTATTTTTGCAAAAAATTCAATTTTTAAGCGAAAAATGCGATTTTCAAAAAATCATATCTCTGCTCCGGAAAAAGATATTTCAAAGCGGTTTTGTGATAAATACTCAGAAAAATATGCTTTATCATTTGGGTTTGTTAAATTTGTTCCGAAAAATTTTTCCGAAAAAGTGGGATTTGGTATATCCGGTAGATCCGGATTATCTCGGCCAATTTTCATTTTCATCAAAAATGCAGAAACATGTCAACTGAGATACGAATAGAGCTTTCGATTGGTATATAGAACGTATTTTTTGAATGAAAAATTAAGAATTAAGAAAAAATTTTCTAGCGCTTCCATACTTTTTTCCACGACTGTATAATTTTTTATTTATAAAATCTTTCACAAATTCCCCCCCCCCCCTCCCCCCCTTCTTCCAATATATTTATATAATCCTTTCTTTTAAAAAACATAAGAGGCTTTTTCTAATAAAAAACTTTTTTTCTTTTCATGTTTGTATATTAAAAGCAATCCTTGGCCTTCTTCCGGTATTTTTTAAATGGCTTTTTTAATTACTAAATGATTTTTACAATCCTTTTAATTTTTCTTTAAAATATTAAATATAATAATTATTTATTTTATTTTTTCTTTTTTTCCTTTCCTTTCCTTCCCTTCCTTCCCCCTATTTATTTATCTACTAATCATCTTTTACTTGTAAAATAAATGACAACCTCCTCCTTCCCTTCCCTTTAACATTCCGTAACACGCCACTTTCTACTACTAACACAGAACCCTTCTAAACATAAAGGCAAAATGAATGAATGCCGTTTGTCTCTTTTTTCCCCTTCCATTTTGGTTGGCCTAAGCAACCAGCCAGCCGTGTTCTTTTTTCGACCTTCACACCCTTCCCCCCACAATTCTTTTTTCATCCTTTCCTTTTTTTCACTTTCTATTTTTTAATTTCCTTTTTTATGCTTAAATCGATGAAAATTGTTTTAAATAAATTTTTAAAAGAATTTTTAAATTTAATTTTAAATAAAAATTAAATTTAGCTAAATAAAAATTATTTTAAAAATAAATTAGCGAGAAAATAAACTTCTACTAATTTTTACATAAAATTAAAAGGTAAACATTCACATATTACCCCAATCTTTCCTTTTTTATTTTTGGAGATCTCTACCAAAATTATTTTAAAATTCAAATAAAATAATTATTAATATTTGTTTTTAAATTTTTATTATTTAATTTTGCCTAAATTTATCAATCGAATATTTAACCTAATAAATTAAACAATTCCTTAAGTTAACTTTTGAAATATAGTACATATGTAGAATTCTAAATTAGTAATAAATTTGTCGGTCTATATATTAATTTAAATATTTTTATTTTTTTAAATATTTCTCTCAAAATTTAATTTTTTAAAGCCAAAACTTCTTTCATTCTTTCATTCTCTCTTTTCCCCGTTAATTTTCATTAGAGAACATCATCATAATCATTTTTTATTTGTCAAAATCTTCATTTTCTTCTTCTTCAATTTCACTTAAAAACTGAACTTTGATCTCTTTTCTTTCTTTTTTTAAAATATATTTATAACCTTCATTTCGATCAGTCTTTAAGTAAAACAAAAAAAAAGAAAAGACGAAATCAAGGCAAACGTTAAGAAGAAGAACCAGCCGGGCGGTCCCATCCTTTTCTTTTTTAATTTTTATCTTTTCTAAACACTCGTGTCTACTTTTTAAAAAAAAAACTTCCAATGATTTATTGGATAGTTGGAATGTCGAGAGTCTCGAAATAAAAAAGATGTTTGTGATATTCGAGGCCTTTTAAAAAATAAATTTTATTTCCTTAAAAAAATTTTTTTTCTAAAAAAGAAGAAAAAGAGACAAATTACAATTAAACAGCAGAACTTTGAGGAAGTTGAATAAAGTTTATAATAATTTGACCATCTAACAAGTAGCAAATAATTTTTTCCCAAAATCTCGACTTTCTAAATTTCAACTTTCCATCATCCCCAATAAATTCATGTGTGTTTCATAATTTTCTCCGTGTCAATCGATTTTATTTTTCCCTTTTACCGTGTGCCCCCTCTAACTTTCATAATATATCAAAGCATTTTATATTTCCCCTTTTATTTTTAAATATTCGCGTGACTTTACTTTAACTGCTACTTTAGGGACTTGTAATCTTCTTCACTTTCTTAAAATTATCCTTTACCGCATGTTCAATTAACATTTATTTATTAAAAAGAAGAAAAAGAGAAATAAATATTGTAGGACATGCGTCCCTAGGCAAAATTATAATTAAATAAATTCATTAAATTGTTAATTGTATTGGATCCTCAGTGTTTTAAATTAAGTTATATTTCTTTGTTTTTCTTATGGCCAAAGCTTCTAGGACAGTCCCAGTCTCTTATTAGTTCAAATCCCAAAAACTTTACATATACCATCTTGTAGAGCAGAAGAACCAAGAAAAGCGAGTAGTAATCTTTTACCCTAAAATTACATTCCCTCGTTAATTGTTTAATATACATACTTTATCGTTTTCAAAATTAAATAAATAAATATTTATAAAATTAATTAGAATGTTATTTTTGGTTTTTTAAAGATTTTATTTATTTTTCCTATATTTTTTAAATTTTAAATGATTTTAAGATTTAAAAAATATCTTCATTAAACGGCTATCAATCAATCATTAATCGTTCACTACAAGTTAAAAAGCCGTATTTCTTTCTATTTTCATTTTTGGCCATAAAAATTGCCATTCCCTAAAAACCTTTATAAAAAATAAAAGGTTTTTTCTCTATCTACATATTCTCTCTCCCAACAAAAGCCCCAAAAATTGTTGCCAAGCTATTCAAAAACTAGCTAGCCACAAAAAGGCATTTAATATTTAACTGCAGCAATTGAGACTTCGGAACATCAAACAGCAGCAGTGGCCCAATTCCCAGGTGGAGGTATTCCCGTTCTTCAGCATTCTGGTAAAAAATAAATTTAAATTTGTGACATCATTTTAAACAAAATTATTTTTAATTAAAGTCCACCCATCATTATTTCAATCACAACAATCTTTAGAACATCAAAAATTGTTTTCTTCTTTACCAAGTAGCAGCGGAAGCAGTTCTTCCTCTTCTTTTACTTCTCATTTTTTAACTCCACAACAACAACAGCAACACTTTATTGAACAACAACAACAATTTAACATCGGAGGTGGTGGGCAACCGTTGTATCAGGTAAATTTCTTTTGAATTTTAAAAATAATTTCTAATATATATGTATTTTTGTTTTGATTATCTGAGATGCTTTTTATTTTTATTGGTAAATTTTCTCAAGGTGTGAAAAGAATTTTCGGTTTTTATCAACTTTGAGAAAAGTTATGCCATAAATGAATTGTGCCCCAAATTTGCCGTTTATTTTTCACCTTTTTTGAATACAACTTCCCTTGCATTCTAAACTTTCTCCAACTTTAGAATTAATCTCTTTGGAATTAAACTCCCTAAACCACTTGATCACAAAAATAATACATAACTCTTCATAAAATTCTTTGACTAAATAAAGAAGAATAATTTTTTAAATTTAAATTATTTTTATATTTTTAAGCACCAACATCCTTTACAAGGCCCGGCTCAGTCGTTGGCCTCCCATCCGCATCCACTGAAGGGCGGAGGCTCAGCCCATCAGGCGGCGGCAGGTAGAAAATGAAAATAATTAAAAATTGAGCGTTTTAATTAAAAAACAAAGTTAAAACAATAAAAAAACATTTGTGTCAAAACAAAATTTATAGAAAAAAGACTCAAAATAATAAAAATTATCTTTAGCTGCCGCTGCTTTACAGCAGCCAAACAAGCGTAGAATGGGACGAAAGAAAATTCAAATTACACGGATTGCGGATGAGCGGAATAGACAGGTAGAAGGAAGAGGGGAAGGGAGAGGGAGGGGAAGGAAAAAAAATAAATTTGGAAATTTTTTAAAGGTAACTTTCACAAAACGAAAGTTTGGATTAATGAAGAAAGCTTATGAATTGTCTGTTCTTTGTGATTGTGAAATTGCATTAATTATATTTAATTCTTCTAATCGACTTTTCCAATATGCCAGTACAGATATGGATAAAGTTTTGTTAAGGTAGTGAACAAAATAAATTTAAAGAGATTTATCTGTTAAAAATACTGATTTTGATCCATTTTTTAAAAATTAATATTAAAAATGGAAAAAAAATTATAAATGAGAGACTGATCAAAATTTTAATTTAAAGGTATACAGAATATAATGAGCCACACGAAAGTCGCACAAATAACGATATAATGGAAACACTTCAACGAAAAGAATGTAAACAGGGAGCGGGTGTTGATTCTGATGACGATTTTTCTCCTCCACCAACCCCAACAGGATTAATTAATTCAAATGCTGATTTAGCAGCTACCGTTGCTTTAGCTGCTGCTCATCATCATCATAATGGGGGTGGAGGTAATTCTGTATTAGCTCAACAAATGGCAATGTTAGGCCAACAACAAAATAATGGGGGAAATGGTAATGGAGGAGGGGGATTTGCTGCTGCTAATGCTTTAGCGGCAGCTGCTCAATATGCAAATGGAGGGGGGAGTGGAGGTGAAAAAAATTAAAAACTCTTCAAACTCCTTTATTTAAAGGCGATCCATCACCAACAGGAGTGCCACCCCCACCCTATTCAGACTTTAATGGTGTTCAAAACATTGCACAACACATTTTTGGACAAAACAATGTTTTTCTAGGAGCATCTGTTGCAAGACAACAACAACAACAACAAATACAACAGCAACAACAACCACCAAGAATTGTACATCAGGTGAGGGAAATAAATAAATAATTATTTTAAAAAAATATTTTTTTACAAAATTTCCGTATTTTTTTAAACTTTTATCTCCTTTCCATATTTTATCATCATCTCATTTCCTATCTAAATATAGAGTATTTACATAAATAGGTGAAAACCTTTAAAAGGATGAGAACACTTATTTTCTAGGAATAAAAATATTCTATTAACTTTTTTTTATTCAAAGAAAATAGCAAAAAAAGGCTTCCGGCTTGTAGAAAATTACATTTTTCTCAGTGGGAAGCATTTTTTAATTTCCATCTTTGGCCATTTTTTTCTTTTATTCCTTAGTTAATCATTTGTTTCATTTTTCTTCACTTCGTTTTTGGCACATTTGTATTAAAAAGGAAAGAACATTTTTAGGGATATTATTAAATTATCTATTAAATATTTGTAGAGTGAAAAAGTCTAAAGAAGAAAAAAAGGTTAAAGTATAAAATTTAGAAAAAATTTTTGAAAAACTTTTCTAGTAATAATTAAATTTGTTAAACTAAAAAGAATATATGTTAATTAACAAAATTTAAAAATAAGTGCTAAATTGTAGTAAAAAAATTTAAGAATAATTAAGATTTTTATTTAGCTTTTCGCCTCAACTTCTGCTTCCTCTTCCTCTGGTTCCTCTTCCGGTGCATTGGTACCCAATACGTGTGCATATTCACCTAATTCATCGACAACGACTGCTCCCGTTCTTGGACATTCTTTAACCGCCGGAACTGTCGACCCATTAATTCATCAACAGCAACAACAATTAATAAGTAGAGATAGTAGTCCACAATACCAACAATTACATAGCAGTGGACATCAACGGCCAGCTTCAACGCCTTACGGGTTGTTACCTCCTTCGTCATTGCCACCTCAATCATTAACACCACAACCTCAAATGATGATGAGTGGAGGAGGAGGAGGGCATCACGTTTGTTAATTTAGAGGATTAGCAAAAAAAATTTCTTTCTTTTTAGGGTTCTATGGAACAATGGCTATATGAACACCACCAACTTGGCAACAAATACCCTCAACAACAGCAACATATGCTCAAATCAGAACCTTCTTCACACGAACAACAACGTGACACACAACATATAAAAACAGAACCACCGCCTGAAAAACGGTTACGGTTAGATCACCACCAACAAGGACAACTAAATAACTGGAAGTCTGCAGAAATGCAACAACAAACAGAGCCCTCTATACTATAATTTCCTCATAACTTTGTTTATCATCTTCATTTGTATATCGCTAGGCCGGTCTTCTTCCTACATACTATGTATACTAGAGCTCAATTATTTAATCCACTTTTAATTTTTTGTTCGCTATTAAAAGCACGAGAAGTTGAAATTTTTACTTTCTTTTCTGGATTAAATTGTGCTTTTAAAGATAATTAAAATCTATTTAACGGCCAAACACTATCTCCCTTTCCCATATATTTTTTGTTTAAAAAACTTTGATTTCTGTTCTTTCCATAGTATTGCATTTTTCCCTATCAGTCAACATAAACAAATCGACACGATTCGCAACCGAAATTTGATCCCCGTTTTATTTTTCCCCTCCAATTCTACTCTACATAAAATACCAAAAAAAATCATCAATTCGTGATAGACAAATTTTTAATAAATTACAAAGATTAAAATTTACTTTATAAATGTATGTATTTTTTGTCATTTTAATATAAATTGAGAATTATGTAGAAAAAATATATTCATAAATTTTAACCTAGATTTATCCAAAATCAACCCTATACTCGAAAAAATATTCACCGCAGTTGAAGGGGCAACCTATTTTTCTAACTCAAGAGATCTTATAAGGATTATATTTAAAAATACTAGCATTTTCAATACAACCAAATATCATTTATTATAAACAGGAAAAATCCGATAATAAAAGTGCGGATGAAGATTCAAGTATTTATTGTAAAAGAAAAATTGTCGTCTTAATCATACAAAAGCAAGAACGAATTATTTTAAAAAAGATATTTTAAAAACTACGCGTTTTATCTCAAATGTTTACGAGAAATTCCGAAATAAAACACGACAATTCATTTAGGCAGTTTTTAAAAGAATAAAATTAAAATATCAATCTTTCAAAACAAAAACTACGGACAAAATAAAGGATGGGAATGATTCAGGGAGGATTTTAAAGACACATCAAAACAATTTATAACAAAATATTTTAAAAAATTTACGGGCATTTTTCCATAAATGGGGTTTCAAGAGCTTCGGAAAGGAGGGCCACATTGTTGTTGGCTACTTTTGTTTTTGGTGTAGACATTCTGCAAAAAATTGGCCAAATTTTGTGCAACCTTAGTTCTTGCCACTTCGTCAATTGATGGTCGGAAAATACCCGGTAGTTGTCCGTTGTTGTTTTGAAGAAAAGGAGGTGTGGCAGATGAGGTACTGGTATTACTTGTGCTGCTATTATAACCATTTGATTGGCGAGTATCATTGTGACTGTTGCTTCCCCCTGTTCCTGATACTCCACCTCGTCGGGTAGCGTGGCTCTGTGGCGATTGGCCAATATTCTGCAAAAATAAATAATATAAATTGTTAGGAATATCAAATCTGGATTCTTTTGCGAAGGTTTTTGGATCAAATGTAAAATGGGAAACTACCCCAAAATTCTCAAACATTAAAGTAAAAAATCTAGTTTTATAAATGGAGGAAAATATTATGGTTGGCAAAAATGAAAGACTAAAAACACAACATCCCAATCTCAAAAAAGGATTCTGTGTTAAATTTAATAAAGGGCAAATGGCCACGCATTTCAATTTGAATAAAATTTCTAAAAATTGGGATGCCACGTCGTAAAATGATTGGACTAAAAACAATTAGTGAACAATCCGATTGAAATATTTGGTTATCTCTAACTGGCCATTTTCCCTTCTTTTTGATGTTGATACGGAAGAGGATCTGCATACCACGGATCCACCTCCACCTCCTCCACCACTTCCAGCACCACCAGAAGCATTGCTGTTTGGCGTACCTGCTGCTGCAGAGGCATCATTAAGCTGCGAGACACTAATTGCGGTAGCCAGTCTGTCATCCTCGTCATCGCTGCTTAGCTCAATGATATCCTCCTCAGGAATGACCTGTAAAAATTTACAGTTTAATCGTTTATTTTTTGAATTTACTTTATAAAAAATTGGATCATAAAATTTCGAGTTAACTTATATATTATATTCATTGGACTTATAACCATTTACATATTTCATTAGACTCGTAAAGATCCATTGGACGCATAAACTAGACCAGGGCCCAAAGTTTAACATTTAGAAAAACTTACCGGTTTCTTCTTTGGCGCATTCGATGTATTAGAAGATGAGGTTCGTTGTTGTTTAGGTTCAATAACCGACGTTTTTGGAATAATCACAGTTGGTTGCGGTGGTTCTTGTTGATGAGCGACACTTTCAGTTGAAACACTGTCTGTCTTTTTCTTATCAACAGTTTTTGATGGCTTAGTTTTAGCAGGATCCACAATCATAATATCATCATCGTCAGCATCAGCCATTGCAGCGTCTTCATCACTACACAAAGAAATTGTATCATTGACCTTTGGAAGACCCCATGAACCATCACGGAGTAATTCAATCTCTTCAACAGAACTGCTGACGCTTTTAAGTACATCTTCGAAGTATCTGAAAAAGAGGTTCAATAAATTAAAAACCTCAAATACAACTAACAAATAGCAAAATGGGGTTAGATAGAAAAAAATTTCTTTTTTGTTGCAAGTCAAGGAGGTCAGTAATTCGTACAACTAAAATTCATTGCAAATAAACTCACTTATCAATAATTAATTTCGAGTAAATGGCATTCTTGTCACAAACTGGACATTTCCAACCAGGTCGCTTTTCGTTCATCATCAAATAGTTGTATAAATCAAAGGTCTGTAAATGAGTACAATCGGCAGCACGAGAAGGAATTTTAATGCGCATTCGACCAAGCTAGGCAACAGAAATATCAAAATAAATCTAATGTAAGAAATAAGTTACCGGATCAACCAAAGAAATCTTGCAAGAATCCATTTGAACATCATCTTCATCCCCACTGAGACGCCGAATGATATTATCTCTAGTGGTAGAAGCTGGGCGTGATGCGTTCGGATTTTCACGAATACGTGCAAGAAGAATGTCAGAATTAACCCGTTTAACAAGCAAAACCTAAAAAAATTATAAAAATAAAATTACTCATGAGTATAAACCGTAAAAGCCCAAGCACGTTTATCGCCATTCCACTCAAAATTCAGACGGTGTGGACGGTCTTTACTACGAGGCGGCCTACAATAAGGGGTGATATTCACCGGTCGAGAATAACGCTTATGTTCGGCATTTGGTTTGTTTGTTGGTATAATTGCCTTAAAACAAATATTTATAAAGTCAGGACAAAAAAACTAACAGGAAGATTAACATTAAAATCATCCAATCGAACTGCAGAGCCCGGAGGAAAAGCATCGGGCTGTTCCTCGGAATTTTCCAAAAGAAACATTCGTAACTGAAGCTCATATCTTGGCAGTTTTTGGTCCTCAGGATATGACAATTTACCAATATCGTCTGCGGAGACACCAAAAGTACAAGAGAAACGACCTTCACCAGGACGAGTTGGAACAGGATAAGATGGAAGTTCTGTCATCGGGACAATTACCTAAAAATGAACAAAAAATTAGATGCTCATATGATGTGCAAACCAAACCAAAGTTAAAAATTGAAACCTTAAAAAGATCATAAAACGGAAGTTCAACTGTACGCAAATTGCGAACCAATCCTCCCTGAGAGTGCTGCGGAGGAATGTAGTGAGGCTGATTTTGAGGTGGCAATGACTGACTAAAGTTGTTAGGCTGATAGGCAGGGCCTCCTTGAAATTGCTGTCCATAAGCAGCCGCATAATTCATAAAATTTCCAAATCCACCTGGAAATTGAGACATTGGTGGAGCAGCAGCATTGAAACCATAAATTCCTGGCTGCTGATTTGATGGATGCATTTCTAGAAATAATTTCCAGATTATTTTAATTACTACAGAAGCTACAATGATCTCTGATAAAAAATCATTAATTAACTAAACATACGATTATTAGGCATTGTTCCGTTAAGTTGTTGATTTCCAAGTCCTCTTTCTGGTTGAGAAGGATATGGTTGTGAACTGTCACGAATTCGATTAGATGCCTGGATCTCGTGGACTTTTGCTACAGCGCTAGCTTGAAATCTTGGATTTTTAAGTAGTGATTCTGCTCGACTAATAAGTTCGTTTTTCTTTCCAATTTTTGGATATTTAAAACTTGAGACTAATTGTTGAAGTTCTTGAACACGAAAATTTCTGACTGCTTCCTGAAATTAAATATCGTTATATGTAAATATCGAGGATTAAAACAAAGTTCTTAGCCAATTGGGGATCGTGGCCCCTTAAAAAAGTTAATGTAACTAGAAGTTAAAAGAGCTACAGTTTAATTATCGGTTTTAACTAGGTTAACAAAAATTGACTTTTAATAAAAAGAAATAATTAAATTTGCTTTTTGCGATAATACAAGCCAGCTCATAACAAATTAATGTAAAAATCAATAGGAAATATTAATTATATTTTAGAATGGCTAAGAACTAAAAAAGTTATTTTATAAATCAATAGGGGGAATAAAAAAATTCCAAAGGAACATTAAAATCCAGAACAATCAACAATTCTCTTCAACGCAAATAAAAAACCAGTCAAAAACACCGACTATTTCACACTCACCAAATAAGCCAATTCGCCACAAAAGGCAAAAACGGACATTTCGCCGACTGTTAACTCACCTGTCAGTTAACTTTAAATCAGAATGGAATCGAACCGACAAACCCTAACAACAAAAACACACAACACGAAAACTTCTTACCTGACAAGCTTCTATTTCACTCTTAGAGAATGAAATGTTTCCACCACTCATTCAAGTTTTTATAAAAAAAGTTGTTGTTTCTCGCACACCTAAAAGAATTATTTAATATGTGAGCATTCAGAAGTATATTCTTGTCAATTGACTTGGACAACTTGATAAAAGATGTTTAAAGCAAAAATAATTAATTTGGATTTTGTCACATTTGGAGATAAATTATTTATCAAAAACAATTTACAATTTAACAGTTAAAATTCAAACATGACAAAATCCATTACAAATTCTTTGCATGAAAGGAAAATATATATTAATAATTTTTAAACAATTTTTTAAATCAAAATTAAAATACAACTCTAATTTATCTAAATTACATATGTCTATTTTCTATACCATAACTGAACCCTTTTCATTCTTTTCATTTTCTTTTGTAATTGTAAAACACCATAAAGAAGAGCTTCTGCTGATGGCGGGCATCCAGGAACATCTATAAGAAAAATAAATTCCTTAAAAATCCAAAATCCCCCAAAAAAACAAACAAATATCAACAGGAATAACTCTGTCACAGCCTCTAAGTACAGAATATGCATAATGATAATAACCACCACCATTTGCACAAGATCCCATGCTAATTACAAATTTCGGGTCGGGCATTTGATCAAAAATTTTTCGCAAAGCGGGGGCCATTTTATTTGTTACGGTGCCAGAAACAATTATTAAATTAACCTTAAAAAATTAATTTTAAAAAAGAAAATTAATTTAAAATATACTTGTCTTGGAGAAGCACGAAAGACAACTCCGTAACGATCCATATCATAACGAGGAGCAGCAAAGTGCATCTAGAAAGTTACAACGTTAAAAGAATTGTAAAATTCTAAACGAAAAATAATTTAAAAACTTTAATTTTTTAGTATTAAAAAGTTAAAAATTTCCTTTTATGTATATCAGAATTCAATTTTTGAATTTTTCGGGGGGGGGGGGGGGGGGAGGGGTTTCCGCCGCGGGAATTTTAGTAGAATTTAGTAGTTAATTGAGAATTTTAGTAGTTGTAGGCGAAAATACTTCACTACTCTTTCTCTCCATCCCCTCCACGAATTTTTTCCTTTTTCACATTTCGAGGGGTATTCCCCTTGGCTACGGGCCTGATTTGTTAGATAAACACACAACCAAACTTCACAGGCGCTTAGCCAGTGAGTGATGATCTTTTTTTACTTCGGCCTTTTAAATTATCAAAATATTCGCCTGCATGTTAAAAATTGTAAAATGATTTCCACCTTAATTTAAACCCCAAGAGTGTAACCTTAAAAGATTTATAAATTATTTACCATTTCAACAGCACAACAAGCTAATCCAAAAGTAAGAGGCCTTAAAAAGAATTAAATAAAAATCAATTTTTCAAAAATTAAAAAAACCATAAAGAATTCTTTTGACACAAATTCATTAAATCATCCATACGCATAACTGCATATTCCCCCCAACTTGAAGCTGGCTTCATTGGAAACCCCATTTTCTCTTCAACTGTTTTAGGTCCTGCTTCTGGGTCTGGATATGAAAATCCAGGGTCCCCTTTAACTTCTTTATTGCAGACATTTGAAGAAGAAAGAAAAAACTTGCTTGTTTGGGAGAATGAAGATGGATTTAATAATTGACGAGAAATAAATCGATTTAATAACATTTTAACTGAAATTTTTGAAAAATTTTTTAAAAATATTTTGTAAATTTAAAATCAATACAAAGGTTTAATATGTTTTTAGAAAAAAGTTTGTAACAATTGGCTTGTGATTTCAAAAGTGATTATTTCATAACAAAGCTTAAGAAAAATTTCCTTTCACTGTCTTTCCATTATAACACTATATCACCTTTTCTTTTCTCTCTCCCTTTAAATTTTAATCTCTCACTTTCTGACTCTCCTTTTTTACACACTCTTTTCATATGAGAGTACAAAATTTTGAGGTACAGTATATCTTCCTCGGCGAGGTTCTTGGCGAGCAAAAACATGTCTAGCCTTATCTGTTTAAGTACGTAAAAAACTGCATATTTTTGTTTAAGCATGTATTAAAAGTAGAGTTGGTCGAGGTCGGGATTTTTTGAAAAATCCGAGACCGAGGATCACCGAGGATGAAAAGCCGAGATCGAGGTCGAGGGGCAAATATGGACCCGAGACTGAGGTTGAGAACCTTGGAAGTTTCGAGAAACCAGATTTCTTCTATTTCTTACAAAAAGGCAATTCTTAGAGGTGTATATTTACTCTCGGTTCTCGGCGAAGTTTTTGGCGAGAGCCTCGGTTTCAAAGTCGAGGTCAGCAAAATCGAGGTCGAGGTTGAAAAATCGGCGAGGCCTCGACCTCGACCAACTCTAATTAAATGTTGAACTTTTAAACAATGTAGTTAGGGGAACGGAAAATGGAACTGAAAAGAGACCGGGATGGACAAAGTATTGGGAATTCAGGGATTTCCTGCTTTTAGTTTAGCCTTGCCAAAAATGACTGGGATCCTACCAGGAAACCGGTTTATTTTCTGCAGATTTCCTGATGAAAACGAGAAATGAAAAAAAACGCGGGAATTCCCGAATGTGTTTTAAATAAAAGCTTTTGAATGCAAAGAAACATCTTCAATATAGTACCTCTCTCTCATACCTCACTTTCTTACGGTGGATGGATTCGGTTATCTCTTGGAATAAGTTATACATATATGGAGGAAAAAAGAGATTTCAGTAGTATGGGCAAAATCACAATTCGGGGTCCTGTAACGGGATTGAGTTTCAAGATGTCTAACGGGAAGTAATTCCGCTGGCCGAAAACTCAATGTCCCGTTTGTTGCTTAAAACTCGGGATTTCGGACACAGGATACCTAACATGCCGCACTCTAATTCCATCACTCTTGATGAGGCAGAATATGTATGATTGAACTTATGCATAGTATCTTTGCTTTTTATTAATTTTTTGATCATTTCATTCTTAAAATTTGTTTAAGTATTTACATATCTTTTTATTCTTTATTTATCATATTTTTTTATTTATTAGAATGTATTTATTCCATATTTTATATATTTTTAGTCCCTAACAGTTAAAACAACAAATTAGTAGCATAGTATTTAATATTTTGTAGCATAAAAAGTAAAAGAGAATAAAGTGATCTAGTTAAAAACACGCAAGTGGATATACGAGAGGGGGGTAACTAAAATGGCCGAGAAAAAGCTAAAAAAAGTTAAAGACAGTTGCTAGTTGGTGTGTATATGTTATCCTTAACTAGTTTGTTTTTGCATACTTTTCTCTCATTGCTACCACTTTACAATTACTTTTAGTGGTTAAGTTGAGTGATCAAAAGCTTCTCTTCTCGGGTGCATCAATAATAAAACGAGTGTGGGATATTTTTTTATCGTTTTGAGTCTAAAAATGTTTTTATTAATCTCTCTTTTCAAAAGAAACTATTGGTCAGCTATCTCCAAATTTTTTGTTCTTCTCTTCTCAAAATAAATCTCCAACTCTAAAAACTTTTTATTAAAGTTGCTCTAAAAGTGAAAAAATCCTCAAAAAACCCCTTAAACAAAATATATCCAATTGTCCACAAATTATTTTTCTCTCTCCCCAACTAAACACTTTTTCTATCACTTTTTATAACCAAATGAGAGAGTAAATATGTTGTTGATCGTCACCTAAAATCTTTCCAGTATTTAATAAATTCTTTTGAAGTATTTCTTTCTCGATCAATTTTTTGTGGGGACTTGGATGGATGTTTTTATTTTGAAGAAATTTTACGCTTTTTTCTTCCCTCGCTGATTTTCTTTATTTTTTCTCCCTTTGTGTCCACTTTTATTGTCCACAAAAACCTTAACACTACACATTTATTTAAAAATTAAAGGAAAAATAATTCTTTTACAATTTTATATCAAAAAATGCCTTTGGATCTAGTCAAACCAGATAATGAGCAATTAATTCCAGGTAGTTTAGGAAAATTTTTTTTATTTAAGAATAAATATTTAAAGAATTATTGGCTGCTTTTAAACCAAAAAGTTGTAAATTAGTTCCAGCACCCGATTTAAATTCGGCGTCTTTCAATTTAGAAACAGCTCGGTTTGGACAGCAAATTTATATTGGTTAAAAATATGTAACTAATATAAATTTAAATTAAATATTTTTTAGTGTCAGATTCTTTTAACTTTGAAGAAGCAAAAAAACAATTAACAGGAAATGTTCAATTACTTACAACTAAAGATGTAAAATAAATATACTTTAATTAATTTTAAACATAAAATTAAAAAATAATTTGTCTGGCCAAACATCCTTAATAATTTTAATCTCACAATTTCCCCCTCAATTGCCGCCTCCTCCCTTTCTTCAAATACCAGCCCTCCCCTTCCCCCACTTCCTATCTATTAGAGATCGGTCTGGATCCAGTCTGGATTTTTCCTGGATCCAGATCAAGAATCCTTTCCAGGTTACTAACCAAAATCTAGAATCCAGATCCAGGATTTTTGAAAATACCAGTACCTACTACCTATAAAACATATAATTTTTAAATATTTCTTAAAGGGTTATCATATATTTACTGATGGTAGACCTGCAATAGAAGTAATATATCTTTGTTTAATTGATATAATTGAATGGAAATTACCTGTAAAATTATTATTAAATAAACTTCTTGGAAATGAAAATTGGGAAATGGTTTATGCTGAAAAATGTTCTTCATCCTTTTCTGAATGTAAAAGTCCAGCAACTACAGATTTTGGGCTTTTAAGAGTGCAAAAATTGGAGGAAAATATTAATGATGATGAAAAAGAATTTAAAAATAAAGAGAAAAAACAAGTTGAGGTATTGTAATTAAATCATTAGAATTGTTTTTAAGGGAATGTTAAATAGAAATCGGATAATTGGGAGAGGTGGGATAAGTGGATATAGTCGAAGGGAGATAGTATATTTATTAGCATACACTCTTGGCTCAAAAGTTTTTTAAAATAATTACAAAAAAAATCCATAAATAAATAATTAATCTGAATATTTTAAAAGGTTTGGTTAACTCCAGTAAATCAATGTATACCTAAAAAAGTAAAGAAAAAAGTTTTACGTAAAGTTCCTAAAAAGTCAGTCAAGAATGGATTAATTATACAAAATGATTTAAAAAATAATTATGAAAGTAATAGTAGTGAAAGTAGAGAACAAACACCTTCACAAACAACAACTAGTGAAGAAATATCAATCTCTAATAATGGAAATAATAATGAAATAAATGGAGGTAATTTAATAAGATTTTTTGAATTAAAAAAAATTGCGGTTTATTCTCATTATTTTATCGAAATAAGAATTTTGATAAAAATAAACAAATTGAATGTCTCTATGGCATTTAAATTTATTGGCTCCATAATTTCATTAAATTGACACTTGCTTAAAATATTTTTTAAAGATTCAAAATTTTCAATTCAAAATGGAAAAACAGAAAATTTAACTAATGGAAATGTTGGCCGTATAGCTAATAAATTTAATGGAATGGCTAGTGGAGAACAACAAAACAATAATAATTTAAATAATTATTCATCTTCTTCCTCAATTAATCAGCGTTCTAGAAGTCATTCTTTGGAAGAAAAAGAACAAAATGAAAATGTTAAATCAAATTCGTCTGCTGAAAATAGGCGTTATAGCAATCCAACAAATATATTAAATGTTCAAATTTTTTTCCTAAAAAATATTTTTAAGAGAAATATTATTTTTTAATTTTGAATAATAAATATATTAATTGAAAACAAAAATTTTAGGCCTTTTTAGTAATTTTATTTAGTCCTTTTAAATAAATTTTCAAAAATGAATATTAAAAGTATTTTTTGTTTTGTTAAAAAATCATTAGCTTTTGAAATTGCAAAGGAATTAACGGTTTTTAGTTAATTTAATTTAAAAATAAATATTTGAAAAAAATTATTTTCTTTTCTTTTTTAGGAAGATTATTCACAACAAAAATTGGCAGATCAGCAGCAACCTATTTATCTTGAAATTCCTGTTCAACTAAGTTTATCTCCTACACAAACAAAAGAAAATGAAAATAATAATCACAATAATTTATCAGAAAATATTTTGATAAATAATGAAGATGGTAATTAATTGGAATTATTTCATAAAGTTTCTCCCCTCTTATTTCACCCTCTTATTTTCACCCCCCCCCATTTCTCTCTCTCTTTTTTTCTGTTTTAAAAATAATTTTTTGAAGATCCTTTTCATCGTCGTGCTTCTTTGACTGAATCACCACCTCCTCGCTCTACCGCAGATAGTGATTCCCCCAATAGTTTATCTTATGTCTCAGCACATGCCGATATAATACCTACTTCTAATCGACGTCCATGGCGAAGGGAAGACGCCCCATCCCCTTCAACCTCCCTTATATTACAAAATGCTAGAAGAAATGTTGCCTCCATAACTCCTACAAATCAAATTACAAATGGCCCTATTCATAGACTTGTTACGCCTTTGGGCAGCAATTTATCGCCAATTAGCAGTTGTGGAAGTGTGGAAGGACAACAAGTAAAAAATATTTGCTAAAAATTGAATTATATTTAATATGTGCCCGGCAGGGTTTCTTTGTACATTGAGGGGACGGAAGATTCTTTTTAGAGGAGAATTCCTCTTGTTTTAAGAAACGTAAACTCTTTACTAAGAGAACACAACAACTTCGTCCACATAGCATTTACTCCTTTAGGGTATTGTTCACATAACACAGACATGCTCCTTTCTCCATCCTTTCTTATATCTTTTTATTTTTCTCAGGACTTTGATAAAGCCAGTAATAACAAAAATACAATTAGTTGCACTGATTCTCGTAGTTATTACGATGATGAAGAAGATGAGGATGAAAGTACTTTAATGTTATTAAATAAAGAACGTAGAGGTGCTAGTGCTGATGATGGAGATGAATTAACTATAATGTCTTCAATTAGAGAAGATCTTTCTTTACGTGATAATTATCATTCGAATATTACAAGAAATCATCAACATTTAAATGGAAATAATAGAACAATAAGAGGAAGACATGGAAAACATAATAATTTTAATAATATTGGACATTCACCCAGTCCTCCTCTAAGAAATGTTTTTTCTAAAAAATTATTTCTTTCCTAATTTTTAATTTTAGTCAGCTCTAAGTCGAAGTGTTGGCAGTCGGGGAGCTTTAAGCCGTAGCCCTTCTGCTGCTGCCTCTCATAATCTTCAAATGGTTCGGGGTATGTTAGGCACTTTTAGAATGCCTGTTCCTGCTTTACAACAAATACTTGGATTATTTTCATTTAAAGAGGTGTTTAATAAAAAATTATTTATTTAAAATAATAATTAAAAAAGATTGGAATACTTCGACGTGTTCACCCTCATTGGGATGAACTTGCTGGGCAATTATTAAATGTAGCACATTTTCGATTAATTCAAAGAGCCCAACATTTATTAACTGATTGTCAACGACGCGTTATGAGAGAGCCTAGAATGTCTCAACCAGTTAAATTACTTACTAGATTACATGTCCACGCATTAAATCCTGTTGATGGAATGCGTGCTTTTATGGATGAAGGTAATTTGTATTTTGATAGTTTTCGAAGACTCGTAGGTTAAAACAAAAAAATCTGTAACAAGGCGAGGGGACTTTAAAAAATTTTCTAAAAATTTTTATGTTTTTTAGTTTTACTTTTACTATAATTTTTATTCAAATTAAATATAATTATATTTTTTTGAATTTTCTTAAAAAGGTGTTTTATGTTTTCCTTATGGTGCTTTTCTTGATCAAGCATTTTCCTTACTTTCTCGTATAGATTTAATGATTGAAAATAATTATTTTGATGAAGAAAAACAAGAAAAAGAATATAATGAAGTTAATTTATTTTTTATTTCTTAAGATAATTTTATTTTTTTATAAAGGCAGATAATTTAATGGATAAATTGGCAGAAATTACAAAGAAAGCAGTTTTGCATTACAAACAATGGGTTGAACCTGAAGCTGAAAAAAGAATGAGTGAACTTTACAGAGTATCGGCACAACAACGTTTACAGAGAATTGACTCTTTTTTGGTTGAAAGTAGCGTTAGTAGAGTTGAAAGGGAAGCAGAAAAAGTAAAGGAATTAAATGAAAAAATTTTTTTTTTAATTTTTAAAGAATCGAAATGAAATGAGTTGGGAAATGGAGCAATTAAAACAACAAAATACTCAATTAAAAAAAGAATCTAGAGATTTACGGCAATTATGTCAACGTTTAGACCAAAGAGTTGATGTTTTGGAAAGAAAATTTAAAACAATGGCTAGATTATTACAATAATGAAGAAAAGAAAAAAATATTTTTTTAAAGAAATTTTGCTCAAAAATAAATATTCTGCTGCTATTCTAAAATTTAAAATTCTTTTTTTAATTAATTAATTAATTAATTAATTAATATATTTTTATATTTCCCTAAAAAATTTTGTTATTTTTTAAAAATAAATTGTAAGATATTTAATTATTTTTAAAAAGTTTAGTAAAGCCTTTTTGATTAAAAAATTGTTTTTATAAAATAAATAAAGTTTTTAATTTAATAAAGTTTTGGTAGGCAAAAGAAAATAAAAAAACAATTTAAAAATTAAATACTAATCTACTAAATATTCTCTCTATTTTTTGTTTATCTAAACTTGTTGTGGCATATTTGTTGGTGGGGCTTTTGGATGAGGCATAAGCATTTGAACTAAATTTACATATGTTTGTTGTGCTGGTTGTAATTGCTCTTCTTTAAATAAATTAAAAAATAAAGATAAACTGAATTAATTTTACCTTCTTTCCAATGTCTTCTAGCCACCATTGCTGCATGCCCTTGACATTTAAACTTTTTTCCTTGAGTGCAACCCCTTCTTGTATTTGTTCTAGTAATAGCAAAAAGACCTAAAGCCATTAATAAAAAAGCAATTCCACATGCGCCAAAAACTGCCCTTTAAATTTTGTAAATTTAATTTTTCTGGAGGGTTTTTTTCCGAATAGAGAAATATTGTTAATTCGGAAATTTAATTTTGAATCAGAGTACAGAAGAAAAAAAACTTTGAGGGACTTTAATATTCAAAAAAATAATTTTATAAAAACCAACCAAGCCCATAAAGGTATATGACTTCGAGTTGTTGGTATTTGATTATAATTTATTTGTTGTTGTTTATTAATTAATTTATTATTATTATCTACAACTAAATTATTTTTTTCTTCTAATAAAATTCCAATATTTTCAATTAAATTAGATAAAATTCTGAATGGAGGTTTTGAACTTGTTAATAATTGAATATTTGTTTGATTAATTAATTGATTTATTTTATTAATTCCCAAACGTTGTTTAATTAAAGAACCAGCAGAAATAAAAATTATCTCGAAGAAAAAAATAATTTTTAAATAATTAAAAAAATAATTACAGGTGGAAGTTGTACAAAAAGTATAACATTATCTTCTCCACAGTTACCCATTCCCCAACGTTCACGAAGTACATTTACAAAATTATTTCCATAATTATTAATCCACAAATTGATATTACTTAAAATAAATATTTAAATTTTATTTTTATTTTAGAAGAGATGTGTGAGATCGAAAATTTTAAGACAAAAAGACCCCAAGACCAAAATTTTTAAAACTCAAAATCCACAGAGTAAATATTTCGCGGAAAATCTTTTTATTCTTAGGCTCCAAAATTTTAGCAATTCCAAATGCTTAAGAAATTCTAATGTTCAACAGACTTCTCTAATATTTTTAATTTTATTTAAAAAAATATTAAAAACTTACTCTTCCCAATTTAACGGCAATTTAAATAAATTTTCATTATTTTCCTCAAAATCTTTTGTATTATTATTTTTAATAGATTTTTCTAAACATTGATTGGCACTTAAAAATAATAATTAAATACTAATTTTTATTTAAATTAATTTACTTGTTAACATCATTATTTAAATTTAATTTTTTTAAAAATCCAAATCCAAAGCGATGCCAACAATAATTATTTTCACTTTTTATTTCATCCAAATTAGAAAAAGTTAAATCTTCTTCTTTACTAGTACAAACACAATTTTTGCCATAAATGTTTATTAATTTATTTATTGTTTCTTCTAATGCAAAAACTTTAAAATAAATAAATTTTTCTGTTAAAATTTCACTCGAAAACCTTCACTCATCGAAATACTCGATTCTGGATCACAAAACCAATCAAAATTATTTAAAAATATTTTTTGTTTGTTTTGTTTTTGTTCTTCTTCATCTTCTTCAATTAATATTCCTTTATCTTTTAATGTTTGTCCCCTTTGACATCCAAGTCTGTCATTTAATAAAGGGAAATCACATACAGAATTAAATGAAAATAATGATGAAATAGTGATTGATAAAAATAAAATAATTAAATAAAATAATTTAATTGTTGAAAATATCATGAAGATTTTTTATTTACTTTAAATAACTAAAATATAAAAATAATAATAATTTTAAAAATATGTTAGATTAAAGATAATAAATAAAAAAGAAGTTTTTCATCCTTCAATCTTTTGCATTTCTTTGAAAAAAATGCAAGATGTCTCAAATAATTTAATAATAAGAGTTTTAAGACAAAATTATGTTTAGTAAATAATTCGTTGGGTGGGAGGGGAGGTGGATTAGACTATCATGGAAAGGAAAAAATAAAAACTATCAACTATTATTTAAAATTTATTTAACTTCATACCACAAACATCCAACGATTACGGAAACAACAAAAATTTATTTAATTTTTATTTATTTTAATAAAATAAGAAAAAAATCATTCAATGGGATTAAACTATTATAATGTCAAATTTTAGACCAAAATAGACAAAAAATAAAGATGGAAACATTAAGAATATTTAAAGAACTGACAAATAAAAAAAAGAAAAATAATTTTTCCCTACTATTTCAAGAGAAAATAATTAAAAATTAAAATATTAATTTATCTTACAGGAAATCCATTTGAAAGAATAAATAACTGAAAATGAGCGTGCCTTGTGTACATTTTTATTTTTGTTTATAATTGCTGTTATGGGAATGAATGACAGGAATGTGCCAAAGACAAAAGGGAAAATTAATGAGAGAAAAATGAAAAAAAAGAAAATCTCGATAAGGCAAAAAATATATTTTATATTTTTTTGAGATAAAAAAGGGAAAAAAGATTGAAATCTGAGAGGATTTTTGTTTAAAAAAAGAAATTAAATATTTTTTTGATGTTTTTAAAATTTAATTGGTTTTTAGTTGTTATTTTAAATTTAAATAATATTTTTTTAGAAAAAAAATAAATTTATATTTAAAATAATTTTTAGAAGTAAGTAAATGCTTCTTTCTTTCCTCTCCACGCTTTTTGCATTTTTTCATCCGCCTAATTGGAAATAAAGTAATGAAGGAATAAAATGAGGAAATAAAAGTACAAAAAATATATTTGACAGAAAAAAGCAAGAATAAGCTTAATAAATATTTAATAAATATAAATTATTTAAAAAGAAATAATCTATTAATTAATTAATGGATATACCTTTTTAATTAAAATATTTAATAATAAATTTTTTTTAAATTAAAAATGTATTTTTTAATGACAAAACATTTTTGACATATTTATTAACAAACACCTGCCATTATAAATATCTAATAAATACACATAAAAAAGTTTTATTCTAAATAAAAATTGAAAAGATTTTAGATGGAATAAAACTAGAGTTGTACCCCGACCCCGTACCCCGAACCCCGACCCCGTTCCCGAACGATTTTTTCACGATTCTCCCCGACCCGAACCCCGCCCCGAAAAAAAGTGAAAACCCCGTTCCCCGGCCCAAAAAGTTTCGGGGTTACGGGGTTTTATACCCCTAAAAAATGTCATTTTTTGGAGAAATTAATGAAGAAAATTAAAAAAATTTCCACCCATTTTACTGGGCTTTTATTATTTTTGAAAGAAAAATAAATGAAATATCATAATTTTCTTTCCTTCTTTATTAAGAGACTTGTGGTTGAGTGGCTTAGTCGTTGGTTTTAGCCGATATTTCATTAATATAGGATTGGGTTCGGACCCATATAAGGATAACTCCGTTGTTTTTATATTTTTTCACAAAAACAAATTATTAACGAGTTAAATTTTAATTTGAAAATATTAATTTTATTTTTAACTGATATCCCTTGAACCACCCTTAATCCTTCAAACCCTCTGTATCACCACTTCTCAACCATAACAGTTGGTAAACTATCGAGGTCATGTTAAGGGAATCAGAGATATAAAGGGATTTGTAGATATCGAAGAATTAAGGAGTTTTAAAGGGATTTAAAGGAATAACGGAATTAACAAGGATTTCGTGGTAGATTTAAGGATTAATCGAAGATATCTCCTGATATCCGTGCAAATACCCTTATACGCAATACATCAATATCCTTATAAATCACTAATATCCCTTGACCCAACAAAAATCACTCTAGATCACCTTGTATCCCTAGATATACCATTTAATCCCTAAAAATCACACTTAATCCTCCAGATCCACTTATATCCCAAGGTATACACTTTAATCCCTTCAAATCCCCTCTAATTTCTCCAAATCTTACTTAATTTTTGAATAAATCAACGAAAATATATCGATTTCTAATTATTTTTGAGCATTTTTTTCTTTAAAAATTTTTCCACTAAACCCCCGTACCCCGACCCGAACCCCGGCCATATTTTGCTCCCCCGACCCGAACCCCGCCCCGAAACAATTGGAAAACCCCGTACCCCGACATAGCCGCCCCCGAACGTTCGGGGTACAACCCTAAATAAAACCGACAACTCCAACTCCTTTTGATTCGAAATTCCGAGACTCGCCACCTCCACCCAAACCCTCAAATATCCATCCACCTTCAAAAATGAGGGAGAGAAAAATAAGCAAAAAATTAAAGAGGATTATTAAAAAAGAAAGAAAAGGGATTCTTTTACGTAATTTTTAATGACGAAAGCGAAAATAAATGACTATGTATTAAAAATTAATTTAAAATTATTTTTAAAGAAAATTTTCTGCAAAAAAGAAATCTTAATTTACTTTTTTATAACCAAAATTACCTATGTATTTAATTATGTAAAAATGAAAAAAAGACATAAAACTCAAATTTTCTGTTAAAAATATGTATATTTTTCCATCTCAATAAACAATTTTATCTTTTTACAAAATTTTTTTAAAAGAAAAATAATATTTATGGTCAGTTTACGCATTGAAATGAAATGAAAAAAAATTAACATTAAAAAATATAAAGTTTGTTTTTACACTAATTGAGAAAAGGAGGAAAGGAAGGAAAGGAAAGATGTTTTTTAGTTAATTTAAAAATTTAGAAAAGAAAAAATATTTTTTTTATTTTAAATTTATTTTCCAAAAGATTTACTATTAAATTCTTCAATTAACTTTCTACAACTATAGCAACATTGTAATTTAATTTTAGGTTGGTCACATCTAAATTATCATTTATTTATTTTAAATATCACAAAAACAACAAACGTCTGAAATAAACGAAGAATATCGCAAAAACGGCTTTGATCTTCACACAAACGTAAAGGCAATAAAGCTTTAATTAAATTTAATTAAAATTCTTGCTAATTCAAAATTACATTTTTGTTTTTCTTTTTCTTCTCTTTTTTCTTCATTTTCTTCTCCTTCTCCCTCTCGTTCCCCTTCATTTTTATTTATTCCACATTCAGGTAATTTTCTTTTAAACAGACAAGCCCTTATAGCTATTGGCCTCTTTGTTTGATTACAATTTTGTCCTGCAGGTTTTTTAGTTCCTCTCCAAACACAACGTAAAAGTCTCATTTGAACACCTCCATCCCCGCATTGTTTACTACATTTACCCCAAACAGAAGGACGCCAATCAGCCGAACAATTTACTTTAAGATTAAATTAAATTTAATTAATCTATCTATCAAATCTACCAACCATTTTGACATTCTCTTTTTAATTTTGGTCGAGTTTTTCTTGAACAAAGCATTGGATTAGCTTCTGTTTTATTCCCAAAAACACATTTTATCTAACAAAAAATTATTTATTTATTTCTCCCTCCTTCCCCCCCAAAATTACTTCTCTTCTTTGTAATGCTGTCCATTGTTTAACACACCTCGAAGAATTACATTCACTCCATTTTCCAATTTCCCACCTAGCACATTTTGTATCAATACATTCTTTAGTAATTAAAGGGCGTATAGCCCCAAAACTTTCACAAATATTTAAATCCTCTAAATTTGCAGATTCATTTCCAAAAAATATTTTACAAAAAATTTGACGAGTCTTTGATTTAATTTAAAATTTAAAAATTAAATAACTACTAAATACTTGTATTCCTTCCAAACAATTTAAATGTTCACAATCCCCCCAATCAGAAACAACAAATTCAACACGAATTTGGCTTGGATCTTTAGTTGCAGAGGCTATTCTCTCATAAAAAGAATATTGACCGTTATTATATAAAGAATTACGAATTCTCTTTAAAATTTAAATAATTAATTTAAACAAATCCTCTCAACAACAAACTTGAAGTAATTTTTTCTTTTTTGTTGCCTTCTTTTTATTATTTTTTGTTTTATTATTTTCATTTTCTTTGTCCGGTTTAAATTTAAGTGTTACATTCCCCAATTGTTTATTCTCATTATTATAACAAGCATAAATACCCGCATCGTGTTGACGTGAATTAAAAATTCTGAGAGCCCCGTTTTGGGATATTTTTAGACGAGCTTTTTTTTAAAGAAGAATTTTAAATATATTTTTATTTTTAAACTTACAACTTTGTAGAAGAGGGCGACCATTAACTGTCCAAATAATTTTTCTTTTATTACCCCCATTCTTTACTGGACATTTTACTTTTACAGAAGTTCTTTAAATAAAGATTTTTAAATTTAATTTTCTCTTTTTTTTATTTTTACCCTTCATATAAATTAGCAATCCCCCCAATTTGTAAAGTTAATTTTCTTGGTTGATTATATTTATTTTTATTAACTTCCTCTTCTTCCCCTTCTTCTTCTATATTTTCTTCTTCTCCCTCCCCCTCTTCTTCTTCTTCATTTTCAATATCACCCAATGGTTGGTCTTTCGCTGATTTTTCTTTAATAAAAGGTTCAGAATAAATAAAAGGAACTAAATTATTTGGAGAAGAATTTTGTATATTTTCTTTATTTTTATCAATATCCAATTGAGGACAATTAACTAAATAAAAATATTTTCTTTTTAAATTTAATTATTTATTTTATTACCTAAATTACTACAATTTTTAGTAATTATCGGTCTTTCACTATTTGTTGTTAAAATACATTCTTCTATTGCTTTCTCCTCTATTTTTCCAAAAGAATCTCTTTGTATACACGAAAGTGAACGTTGTTGTTCACCAAATCCACAATTTGTTGAACATTGACTCTTTAAATTATTTTTAGGATTTTTAAAATTTATTTTTACCCAATTTCCAACACTCCATTCAGGTGCACAGTCAACCATTCCACAAGGCTCTTCATCTCCAGGCTTTTCCCCAGGGCATTGTATATCAGGCAATAAAAGTGTTGTTTCCGGTCCTTTCCTTGCAATTAATTGAATACATCTTATTTGACGAGTTCTGAGTCCTCCCCCACAAGAATGTGAACAAACAGACCAATCAGAAATCTTTTTTTTTAATTAGAAAAATATTCTCTTTAAAAAAACAAACATCCCAATTAGGAGGGCAAGGTTGTTGATTACATTGACGAATTAACTCTTCTGGTTTTTTACCATCATTAATAGTCTCGTTTTCACATTTAGAATAAGGAACTGCTCTTCCACTAGATAATTCAATACAAAGTAATGGTAATTTTTGATGACCTTAAGAATAGAAAAAAAATTATTATTTTGATAAACAATTTATTTTAAAGGTTTAGGAAAGAAAACAGCTACTAAATATGTACTATGTGAAGATATTATTTTAGCTACCCCCTCCATATTTAATGTTATAATTGTTCTTTTTTATTCTTCCCCTTCTTTAAAAATATTTTTTCTTAAAAAATCTTTATTTTACCCCCCAAACAAGATGCCGAACAAACAGTCCATCTGCCATGCTTCCATCGATAAACATTTTGTTTAGAAGCAGTAGATGTTAACTCCAATAAAGATGAGGGGGAGATTGAAGGTTTGCCGTTTTTGTGTGAAACAACAGGAGGGCAGGGCTTAAGTTGGCAGTGACGAAATTGGATTGGGCGAGATTGTCCTGAATTAAATGTTTAATTATTGCTATAAAAACATTTAAAGTTTATTTATTTATTTTAATTTCCACCAAAATTGTTATCAAAAAATGTCGTTACTTCTCAACAACAATTTTTGTTTTGTCTCAAATATATTTTTAACAATTATTTTCTTTACATTTTCAACTATTTCTTTGTGTTGTAGGGTATTTTATACAATTTAATTTTTTTAAATTTTCAAATATTTTTTTAGAAAAAGAGAAAGTTAAATAAAGCACCAACATCAAAACAAACAAGGGCTGATGTGAAAAATGAAAATACAAGATTCTTTAAAAGTAAAAAAGCTTCCCTTTAATTTAAAAATTAAATTCTTTTTTTTAAAGAATGGCCTGAAGAACATGTAAATCCGGATAAAGTTGGGTATGATACACTTTCTGGTATAAACAAAGAAGAAGTATTTCCAATCCGAACAGAAAGAGATTATCAACAAAAACTCCCCCCAACAAAATCTCTGGCAACCTCCAAATCCTCAATTTGGATTGCAACAAGAAGTTATTATGGGGATGAAGAGGAAGATAAAACAAAAAATAATAACCATTCTACTTATATTAAAAAAGAACAATCACCAAAAACACGTTTAGGGAAGAAGAAAAAGAAAAAAACAAAAGAAAACAAAAAAGAAGAAAAATTGGCAAAAATTAAGAAAAAGAGAAGAAAAGATAAAGATTAAATTGAGAATTATCTCTCAGTGGAATTTAGCAGAAAATATTTTGATTTTATGTAAAATATTATTAAAAATTGTTTTGTTATTTTCTTTTAGTAGGTATAAAATTATTAAAGAACGTTTCTTCTTTATTTTCTGATTTTTTGTTAAATTTTTAATAAATTAAATATTTTTTAAATTTACCCTGACATTCATAATCAGTTAATTTAATCTGTTTTGCCATACATTCAACTTGTCTAGATCTAATACCAGGTCCACAACTTGTTGAACATTCACTCCACCCACCAACATAAAATCTTTAATATTTATTTTAATTTTTTTCAAATTCCCCCTACCTCGGTTTATTCCCATTTTTCTCATTTATTTCACTTTCTTCTTCTTCCCTTTCTTCAGAATAACTTGTTATTCTTTGTTGTTCTTCAATTAATCTAAAAATTAAAATTTAAAGAGACATTAGATCCCAATTAATTTTAATAAATCCCCCCTCCTTTTACCCATTATTATTTGCATAATTCTTATTTATATTTTGCTTTTTTGGTTCTTTTATATAATTTTCACTGTGCCGATGTCTCCAATCATTTTGTGATGATAAAATTGGGAGAATAAAAATAAATAGTAAAATAAATAAATAATAATTAAACATTTTTAATTATTAAACTTTAAAAATATAAAAATAAAAGTACTTGGAGAAGAATAAAAGATTTAAAATAAATAAAAGATGAAGAAGTGTTTTGTTTAAAAAAAAGATTGAGTGTTTTTGCCATTAATGGAAAAATTAAAAATATTATTTATTTGGGATTTTTAAATTAAAGAATTTTTGGGAAAAAAAAGAAAAATTAAATGAATAATTGAATGATTTATTTATTTTTTAATTTTTAAAGTAAAATAAGGGGAGGAAGATGCCCAAGACTTTTGGGAAGATGACCAAGACCCAAGAATTAAAAGATGAAAAATGAGGAAATGAATGAAAAATGAGAGAAAGGAAGGGAGAGTCAAAAAGAGTTACATATTTTAATTATTTTGTTGCCAGGCGGAGAAGGAGGAATTAATTCTAAAATTTAAACTTCTGGTAGTTTAGTAGTATATTTAGAGACTATTTTTGGACAAAATTTTTTTGGAAAAGTAGCTTTTTAATGAATTAAAAGTAAATAAGGAGAGAGTGAAGTTAATTTTCTTTTTATTTAAAAAAAGTAAAAAATTGTAGAGAAAAACCTTTTGACCAAAGGAAATGGTCAAATAAAAATTAATTCTTAAGGGAATATTTTTGTAAAGAAATACCCAAATCTCCAAATACAATTCATCAAAAACCCAGAAACTACAACCTTTTTTTGTTTACTTAAAAGTGCATCATTTTTAAAAAGAAAACCCCAAAAAAAGATATTTTTTAATTTTAGATTGTATTTGAAAATATTAGTTAAGGAAATATTTTTTGGTATTTTATTTGGAAATTTGATTTTTTAAATAGTTAAAATTTGAATTGAACTTAATACTCAAAATATAAAATTAATCCTAAAAATTTAGTTCCTTACAATAATACAGAGTGACCATAAAATGCTCTCATTCATGGCTAATAAAGAGATAAAAAACAAAAAAAATATGTAGATATATTCTAAACTTTCACCGGTTTATAACTTTAATAATTTCAAACCCCCCCCCCCCAACCTACCTATTATTTATTTGTTCATTTTGCAATTCCCCGCATGGAATTCCCGTCCAACAAGGCTGGCTTTTTGGCGGTTTTTGTTGTTTTCCATTTAATAGGCAATGCCAATCAGGTAATTTCTTCCCTTCCGCTCTACATTCAACAGGTCTACTTCTAATACCTCTACCACAAATTGCTTTACTACATTGACCCCAATCACCAATTGCCCATTCCGGACAAGCACCAATATTACATTGACGTATTTCTACCTGAAAATTATTTTTAATCAAGTCTATAAAATATTTTTCATATTCCAAAGCAAAGGATACATTTTTAGAAATAAATCTGGGGTTTGGGAAGTGTTAGAAGGATCGTTTAAGCCTATTCTTATTCATTTAGATAGAAATGTTTTAACAAAATTTTTATAAATTTTTTTCTTTATTTATTGGAGGGATGAAAGAATGAAAATTTTTAAAAGTCCTTAAAAATAATTAAAATCCTTATTTTGAAAATTTTGGTGTAAAAGGGTCTAAAATTTTTAAATTTCTTTTTCATTTACATATTAAATACCAAAATAGTTTTTTAAAAACATAAGTAAATATTTAAAACTAATTATTTCCAAATTTTAAGTGGAATATGAAAATTTTGGGACTGCCTATAATTAATTACCATACCTACTTTACAACTCTCTTCTCTCTTCTAAGAGAGAAAAAAAGGAAATAAAAGAGTAAAGGAAAGTGAAAGAAAGAAGAAAATAATATTGCAGAAAAATTACTTAATTAAAGGGAAGAACTACACCTTATTTAATTTATTTGTATTTATTTTAAATATTAAATTATTATTTTTTCAAGTTAAACTATCCCTGGTTCCTTTGTATTCGGACGAAGAAATCTTTCGCCTTTTACTAAAGATTTCCGTGCAGGGGGACGCTTATGGGTTTACCCTAATTTTTGGAAGTGATTCTTTTTTGAATCACGTAAATTCTCTTTAAATTAGTGCCCGGTAAAATTTATTTTTCTGGATCCGGATTTACAACTTGAGCCGGATCGAATCAAGCCGGATTGCTCCTGATAAAACACGGATTTGAGACCCGGACTCCGGAAAATCCGGCCGGAGTCCGATCAGGCTCCGGTCAATACTTTAAATAGTTTAAATTAATTACCGGTCTTTTTGAATGCCAACAATGTTGATCATTTAAATGTTTTTGTTGTTGGCCTTTATCATCTACTTCAGCACAATAAACATTTCTTTTTTGTTCTCCTAATCCACAACTAACAGAACAATCACTCCAATTGGTTGTTTGCCATCTTTTAAATTTTTAAATAAAAAAATAATATTTTTACAAAAAAAAGAAGAGGGACACTTATGTATGTGCAAAAAAAAATATTTAAAAAAATAAATTTTAATTTTTAAAACTTACTCTTTTAAAAATAAATAAAAACAATTATTAACTTCAATCAAAATAATTATTAATAATTTAAATATTAAAAACATATTTTTATTTTATAAAAACTTTTCTTAAAAAAATAAAAAAATAAAAAGGAGAAAAGGAGAAAAGTAGAGTAGTACTTTTTGGCAAATTTAAAAATGGATGAGATGATGATTATCCTCTGGGGGAATTTTAAAAGTAAAATACAAAAAAAATAAAAACAATAAAAAAGAGAATATAAAAAAATATAAAAGTATGAAAATTAATAAGAAGTTGGGAAATTGAAAATCAAAAAGAAATTTTTAATTTGATCTTAAAAAGATTTTGATCTAGTAAATATATTTTTATTATTAAATAGAAAAAAAATTAAAAATGATAAATAAATTCTCTCAAAACAATTTTTGTGAGAGAAATGTTAAACTAAAGAATTGCTATAAAAACAAAAAAAAACAATTTAATAAAAAAAATATTTTTTTTAATTTTATTTCAACTAACAGAAAACTTACTTTGATATACAAATAACTGTTGGACATATTTTTATTTTCGGTCTAGGCCTTTTCTGTTTTTTACACATTCTGTCAGGTACAATTCTTTGATTTAAATTATTAACACAAACAGAAATTGAGACACTTATACCTTTTTTTAAAATAAATAAATATTTATTTTTTTATTTATTTAATACCTTTATTTCCACATTTTCCTTTACATTTACTAAAATATCCTCCCCTTCCTCCTCCTCCTTCCCTTTCCTTCCATTTAAATAAATTATTAAAACAACTACTTCCATTCCCCCCACAAACTCCACATTGATCTTCTTTTGTTAAACTTCCAATAATTTTATCACAACCAAAAGGTTGGCAATAACCTTGAAAACAAACACTTTTTGTAAACGAAGAAGGCAATTGACAGGGAAAGCCATTTGGAAGAAAATTATTTTGAAAGAAGGAAGGCTAATTTTAAAAAAATTAATTTTTTTAAATTAAAAAAACTTGTGTTAAATTTGTTGAGCTTATTTTACATGTTTTTGTTAAAGAATTAGAGGAAGAAAAACAATTCTCATTAAAGGAACATAAACGATATCTTGATGGAGAACCGCCAGAACAATGATTGTCTAAACATCTTCGAAGTTGGTATTGAATATTGAAAGGCTGGTTATTATTACAGTTTTTCTAATTAAAAAAAGAATTAAAAGGATTTTAATTTTAAATTACAAAACAAAAACAAAACACAAAATTTATACAATTAAGCAATACAAACAAATATTTATTTCAAAAGAAATTGCTTTTTCGTCAATTAAAAAAATAATTTAAAAATTTATTTTAAATTTTTCGTTCCTTCCAAGGCCACGAAGAGGAAGAAGAAGTTGTTATTATTGAGGAAGACCATGTATTTCCTAATATTTTTTTTACAAAAATTATTGATACTTTAATTTAAATATACACATACTCCAAATTTGGGTTGGTAGTACTAGTTCCTGGAAACCTTCGGATATCCCAAACTGCCCACCCTAACCCAAACCTATATTAGTTAATTAATATTGCTTAATTACCTCCTATAGGTGGTCGACGCCAACCATCCTCCTCGCTGCTTGAAGAATAATAATAATATTGTGGAGATGATTTTACAATTAAAATAAAGAGAAACAAAAAGAAAAATTTAATTATTAAATTAAACATTTTATGGAATTAATATAATTTAAAAATAATTATTTAGTATATTTTTGTTTATTTTTATATTAACAAATTAAGGGTTAACAAAAAATAATCTATTTATTTAAATATATCCAGTTTTTAATTTACAGACAATTTTTTATTAAATAAAAACTAGCTTAAATATATCTAATTATTAAACACAAAAATATAAAAAAACAAACAAAAAAAACATTATTAACTGAAAAAAAAACAAAATCAGACTAGAAAAAAATATTTATTAAAAAAATAATTATTTTCTCTTTTTTAAATTTCCCCTAAGGATATTTTTAATTAAAAATAATTAAACAAACATTAATTTGTGGGGGGCATTCACTCCATTCAGACCAACTACTCCAACCGAGACTTAAACTTGTTGACCAAGCTGATGTTGATAACTAATTTTTTATTAAATATATTTTTATTTTAATTATTTATTACTCTCTACCCCCCCTCTTAAATAATCCAAACAAAATCCTTTAATTATTTTTTTACCTTTTTATTTTCACTCATTTTTACATTTTCAATATCAGAATTTATTTTAACAAAAAATAAAATATTTAAATAAATTAATATTTTTAGCAAATAATTTAATATAAACGTCAAACAAAGATACATGCATTCAAAAATTTTTATTTGTTAAAACTTTTTTTTCATATCTGTTAATTTATTTTTTAATTTTTAGAAAATAAAAAAAAGAAATTAACAAAAATTATTACTCTTTAATTGAAAATAATTTTTAAATATGTACTTAAATATTAATAAAAAAAAATAAAAAAAAATTTAAAGAGAAATATATACTACAAATATTCTTTTTAGAATTTTTGTTTTTAGGAAATATAATATTTTTTGGAAGAATATTTATTGTAGATGATAGTACTCTTGGGAATTAGAAAAATGGATAAGTTAACTTTTTTTGTTAAAATAAAAAAAAATATTCTTTTTTTATTTTTAGGTTTTTTTAATTTAAATTATCGAAAATTAATAAATAAATTGAAAGAGAAAATTATAATTTCAAAAAATTGTTAAGACGAATTTAAAATACATTTACTATTTAAAAAACATTCTTTTTAATAACTTTGTTTTTCCAAAAAAATATTGGGAAAATAAAATTAATTATTTAATTTGAAAAAATGAAAAAAAATTTTTTAATTAAATTTCTAACGAAAAATTTTCTTGGAAAAAAACAGCAACGAACAAAAAAGGAGTAAAATAAATTGAATTTGTGTTTTGAATGTGGACCTGGAATTTTAAGTTAAATATTGGAAAATGAAAAATTTATTTTAAAAAATTCAAAGAAAAGAACATTCTAAAATAAATATATTTATTGGAAAAATAATTTTGACAAATAAAAGTTTAAAAATAATTTTTGGAGAATAATTTAAAATCTAATGGATCAGACTCGAGAATTTATTTTTTATAAAAAAATAATTTTGTTAATTTAAAAAGAACTAAAAGAATTTTTAATATTAAAATAATATTTTAATTAAGCAAGACATTTTTGTAAAGTTGTTCGAAATTGAAAAAAAAACAAAGAAAAATATTTAAAAAATTTTCTAAAAATAATTTTGCTTTTTCTTTAAATAAAAAGCAACAAAAACTGAATATATTTTTATAATAATTTAAAGAATAAAAAAGGAAATTAAATGTCCTATGGCCAAAAAAGGGAAAGAAAATAAAAATAAATGGCAAAGAAAAAGGTATTTGTCAGATTTTAAAGCAATAAATTTTGTAAAAAATGTTTGGAATTTTAAATATTTTTAGGAAATATTCAAAGAATTTTTTTTAATTTTACTTTAATTTGAATTTTAAATACTACCTTATTTTTTAAAATAAATAAAAAAAAATATTTTTAAACAATATTTGTAAAAGAATATCTTTAAATAATATTTATTAAATTTTATTTCTAAATTAATTTATATCTTGGCCACAAACATAAGTGAAAAAAGCTGTTTTTATTCTTCATATTCAATATAGGAAAAATACTTAGGTAATTATGATCGGACCGAAAAGATTACTTTCAATATTTAAATAAAATTATAAAAATAATTTTTAAAAAATCAAAATTTTTATTTAAAATAAATAATCAAAAATAAAGATCGTTGAATGAAACTGAAAGAAAAAATATTATGTATAGTCCCAAATTTAAATTTATTTATTTTCAACTTCCTTTACTTCTTTTGTAATTGTAAATAATTTAATTACTCGTTCCAAATCAATTTTATCGCCAAAAGCCATTTTGGAAGAAATTAAATATAAATTGGCTATTGAAGAAGATATTTTCTTTTCGGGGATTAATTTGGAAATTTCCTTTTTTGCATTAGAAATAAATAATTTTTTCTGTTGAAATACTTTCTCTGGGTCATCAGTATAATCCTTTAAATAAAAAAAGAAATGTGTACAAAATAAACATTTTAAAATTTCTCAATTATTTTTTAATTCCAACATTAACAATGAATTAAAACATCCTAATGTATTTTTTAAATTTTATATCTCCGTAAAACTTTGAAAATTTCTAATTTAAATAATTATCATAACACAAAACCAAAATAAAAATCAGCCCAAAAATATTTACTAACGAGGGACCATCTTTTACTATAACTGCGAATTTGGTATTTGGTATCATTCGATAGAAAAATAAATTCCCTATGAATTCAGACTCTAGCGTTTAAGTTTGAACGGCCATGACTCGGCCCAAAATCATTTTGCATGACCACAAGAAGTAATAATTATCACAAGAAGTAAATAATTAGGAAGTCAAGGGTCCTATATCGAGTGGAACAAAATATATCGAATTTTCAGTTACAGTAAAAGATGGTTCCTTGTTAGTAAATTTATTTAAAATATCAATTATTATTTTTTAAATTTACCTGCCATGGAAGAGATCCAATAATCCAATAAAGCATATTATGAATCAAAATCTCCAAATCCCCTCTAAATGAAGGCAAACAACCCCTATGTGCATCACAAGAAGTAAATAAAGGAGTCCCGTTATGAGCTGGAAAAGAAATATTTTTTAAATTAATTAACATTTAAAAAACCTTGTTTTTTATTTTCTTTTTCAATAATTTCGTCAGGTAATTTCCTAGCAAGTCCAAAATCAATAAGTACAACACGAGAGAGATCAGAACCAGTTTTACTTTCTAACATTAAATTTGAAGCTTTAACATCTCCATGAACGTAATTCTAAATTTTAAATTGAAAAATAAAGAATTAAAAGTACCAAGAACACTGGGAAGAATGACTAAAGAATTAAAACAAAATTCAAAAATAATTACTAATTCAGAATAAAATATTAAAAAAATAAATATTTTCTAATCTAAGTAAATTAATTTTCAAATCAATTAATAACACATTGCTATAGAAAATTTAAAAAACCTGATCATGTAAATAAGCCAAACTATACAAAATTGTTTTAGCAATTAACATTGTCTCATTAAAAGTAAAAACATTTCCAGGTTTCGACTCACGAATGGATTCAAGAGAAATTGCAAATTTTGGAATAACCAAAAAACGAATTTCTGTATTTTCATAAGTAAAAGAGCCAGAACTAATATAGTGAGGAAGTCCAAGGAATTTTAAACCTAAAACAAATAATCAAATTAAAAAATATTTACTAGGAGAACTTTGTTCAAAAAATATTTATAAATTTGTTTCCTTATTTTGATCGACAAACTAAAATATCAGACAAATACTTTTATAATAAAGGCCTTCAGATTTCATTTTTTAAAATAACAAAAAATGATAACAAAAAGAATATTTAAATTTACCCGCAAAAATTTTAAATAATTTAAAAGAAAACCTTTTAATCGTTTCCATTCCTCCAACATATCCACTTTCAATACTCTCATATAAACATGCATTTCAGTAAATAAAGGTCCATTTCCTTGTGGTTCCATTTTTATCGCAACAGATTTTTTTGTAGTTTTCTTAAATTTTTTAAAAATTTCAATAAAATAACAAAAAAAACCTCAATTCCTTCATAAATTCTTCCAAAACCTCCCTGTCCAATTTCTTTCCCAATAACAAATTGTTGCTTTAAAATATCAGAAAATTCTGTTCCTTTTTTAACGACAATTGCTTTTTTATGTAATTTTGGTACTTTACGAGCAGGCGGCATTTTCTTTTTAATTAAATGCTTTGAAAATAAATTTTAAAATTAAAAAATAAAAAAATTTTCTTTAAAATAAATTATCAAAAAAAATTTTAATGACTCTCTCATTGTAAAGATTATTATAAAACATTATTTATTTCACAATATGGCGCTAAGCCACAGTCAACGTCCTTAACCTCCTCAAAGATTAAATAAACACTTTACAATTCTTGAGACTCAAATGTCCTTACACTATTTTACAGATAAAAACAAAACCTAAAGGTTTAGGCTTGTTCGTCAACAGAGTCTCGAAAACTGAATCTCCAAACACCGTTTTTGGGGTCATAACTTTTTATATTTTGATAATTTCCGAAAACTTCTTACATAAAATTTAATTCTCTTTTTAATTTTATTCTTTTCACAGACTTTAAGATCTAATCCGATCAGCTTTTTAAAAGTTACACCCGGATAAATAGGGTAAATCACGATTGTCCCCAGTTAACGTCCTGTAACTTTCTCAAAGATTAAATAAACACTTTACAATTCTTGTCGAAAAAGAAAAGCACATTTAGAGCTTTAAATTGATGTAAAAATTATTTGGATTGATTCATAGATAAAAGAGTTAAACCCCAAAAAGTTAACCTAAAAAATATATTTTTGAGACTCTATTGTCATATGGTGATTCCTAGCCTAAACCTTTAGAAGCCTAAACCTTTAGGTTTTGTTAATTTTGAGTCTCACCTCGCACCTTGACTTTTTTTATTCCATACAATTTTCATTGTTTAGAGTTCCTTATTGTTGTTTAATTTATTCATTTTGCTGTTTATAATCATTGAGTCATAATATAATCATTGAATAATCATTGAGCTGTTCATAATCATGAGTCTTCGTTGAGTATTTATTCTTAGTATACTTTTCTCGGATTTTTCGGCCCTAAGGAGTTTTTTGCGGTTTTTAGAAATATTTATGGGACAATCGTCAAAAAACTGAGTTGATTGCATGCCATTCTGTCGATCCGCTAAGTTTTGGTCTTTTAAACCCGTGTTTTGAATGTTTATTTTTGCCTGTTTAAATTAATCGTCCCTCCTTAAATAATCAAAATCTTTTCTTCCTTTTTCGTTTTTCAATCTCTTATGCGTTAGTTAGTACAACTATTATTCTATTTTTAGTTATTGACAATACTAAAATTGATCAGTATTATTTTAGATATTTTTTTACTATTCTTTGCTCATCATTTGTTTCTATTTATTCTCATATTACATTTATTTTTAGTTTAATAGCAAAATCCTCTCAACTTTTTTTAAAATTATTTCCTTATTTACTCAATTTATTTTTGTACTTTTCTTTATTTTTGATCTGGCATATTTTGAAAAGGGCGAATTTAACCGCCTGATCCCCCCCACAATATAACATGATAAAAAACAGATGAGAACACTTTCCTGCAACAGAAGTTGTAAATAAAATCATTTTTAAAGTGTTGATTGAATATTGGTATTTCTTTGTTATAAAAAAGTGATAGAAAATTGATCAAAAGAAAAGAAGCATTTGGTCCAAAAATATTTAAAAAAATATTTTATTTGTTTTTGATTAACACTTTTTAATGGGATAAAAGTTGTCCTTTTAGATTTTACCGCCTATTCACAATTAATTTATTGCCTTTCAGTTATCGGCTTTTAATTGATATTAAAGTTTTTAGTAATCCAATTAAAAATATTTGTGTAAAGAATTTATTTTCATGTTTGTTGTCAAAAATATCCTGATTAATCTATTACAATTAAAATCATTTTATAATTCTTTAAAATTAATCTTTTAAAAAGCCATTATTTTAGAAACTCTTAACATTTCTCCAAATTTTATTTATTTCAATAGAAAAATTCTAAAAATGCTTGAATTTGACCCTAATCACGAAAAATGGCAATGTTGTTGCTGTAGAGTAACGGCTGGTCTACAAATTATGGGTATAGTTGAGGCGATTAGTGCCTCTGCTGTAATACCATTTGCTTTGAATCAAATGAATGAAAATGCTCAATCCGGAAATGTAGAGGGGGGGGGGGGGATTTTTAAGCTTGATTTTTTGTTTTTAATTTTAGAATGGAAATTTTGTTGTTTTTTATGCTTCTCTTGCTTTCGTTACATTTTTAATTGTAATTACTTCTCTTTTAATGATTATTGGTGTACGGAAACGTAAAGAAAAACTCCTTTATCCAACAATAATTGCCCGTGTACTTCTTGTAATTTTTGTAACGGTAATTAAAATAAAATAAGAATTTCCTTTTCTCTTATTAAAAAAGGTATTTGGCGTTAGTATAGGAGTTGTCCGTCATGAAAATGCTAGCGATTTAGACGATATTAAAAGTTCATCAAAACGTGGAAAGAATAGAATTTCTGGCAGAAAAATTGCGAGTCAAGTAATTAAAATAAAAAAAATTTTAATTAAAGACAATAAAATTTTTAGGAAGAAGCATCAACTACATTAAGATTGGGTATTTAAATAAATAAATACTTAAATTTTTAAATATTTAAAGTTTTTTTAATGGTTTTGATGATGTTTGTAAGTATGGTAGTTTTCTATACAATTTTTCTAGTTGTGAGAGGTGTTAATTTTCTTAAAAATTACAATCGTCTTAAAAGACGAAGAAGCTCATTTACGGCAATTGCATATTTGGGTAAGTATAAAAAAGTATCAGAATAAATTAAATATTATAACAAAATTACCTAATTTGTAAGAAAGGATAGACCGCATGTCCACCCCATCGGAAAGCTATAATTTTGTTTAAATTCTTTAATGAGCTCTGCGATGGAGTGGTCTAACGTTTGAACGGGGTGCATTCGAATAAATCGAATTGAGGCAAAGATACCAACAGAGTTAATTTATTTAGTAACAGTATTCACTATGGTGGTCCATAAATATTGGATACACTTAATTTTGTTGGCCCCCCTCCTCCCCCACAATATAGACTACAATTCCCCTCTAACAATAAGTTAATCTAAAAACCTTTAACGATTTGTCTAAAACCCCACATTTTCAGATCCTAATTTAATGGTTAAAAGGCCTTCACAAGCTAGTAGCTCAATTTTACATTAGTTAATATAACAAGAAAAGAATTTAAATTAAAAATAAAAACAAAAAAACATTGTAAATTTTTCAAAAATTGTCATAAAAACATTTTTCTTTTCTTTTTTCATTGCTTTTGTGTACTTATATAGAGGACATTATTACCTCTAATAAAAGCATCTCCATATTTAGCTTTTAATTGACCACCATTATATTCTTCCGTTTGTTCTAATGCTATATTCATAAATCCATCTAGACAAGAAAGTATACCTTTAAAAAATAATTTTTTTCGTTCAAATTTTATTTTAATTTCAAATACCTCTATAATCAACACCCGAATTTAATTTTACAACAACTGGTTTTCCAACAATTTTTTTGAGAAATTCACTCGGTGTTTGTCGTCTAGTAATATTCATTTTACTTTAGCTAAATTATAACAAACAAATTAATTTTTGAATAAAAATAAAAAATATTTTTAAGACAAAATTTCAATTTCTAAAAAGAAAGAAAAATCAAACTATTACAAAATGTATATATTTTTATAACTGACAAAAATAAAAGAAAGAAATCGAATATTTGAATCTGGAACGTTACAGGACTTTTAGAAATAGAGTTTAAATATATTTATTTCTGAAATTAAAAAATATATTTAAATAATAGAAGACATTATTTTGTCAAATTTCCGAGTAAATGGAATGAGAAAAAATAATACATAAAAGAATTACTTTGAAATTAAAGGGCGACTTTATATAAATCTTTTAAAATAAAGTACATAATGCCTTACCATATCAATTTTTATTAAAATCTTGTAAATAATCAAATTAATCATTTTAAACAGGAGGTTAACAAGTCTTAATATTTTTTTGGTTTAAATAATTTTTAATTTAACCATTAATTATGAGATGGTTTTTATGAATGAAATAAACCAAAAAATTATTTAAAATTTTTGTAAATATGATGGAGTGGATAATGTCAAGAAGTGGAACAATTTTTTGTTTTACAATTTAATTTTGTACATACCTTCCACATACATATCACCAAAATATATACCTCCCTCTCCTCACAATTTACTTTGTTAGTCTTCATCACCTTGCCCACTATCCTCAGCGTGTTCACTTTCTGGTACATCCGTTGTGTCTTTAAAATAATTATAAAAATATTTTTCTTTAAAATTTAAATAAACCAGAAGCTCCATCATCGTAATAATCTTCTAAAAAAAATTAAAAAAATATTAATTTTATATATTCATTAATTTTCTAACCATCCATATCAATAACATCATTATTATTCGTTGCAGCTATTTTTGTAGGAACAACATAGTCTTCAATTGTTTCAGGGACAACAACCTTATCTTTGCGTGCTTCTTCTTTTGACTTGTCAACTTGCTTTCTAATTTTTAAAAATTGACAGAATGCCGTGAAAAAATTTCAATTTACCTAATTATGTTCGCATATTCCTGATCACCTTCCTCTACAAAAAAACATTTTAAATTTAAAATATCTAAAAAATACCTTTATATTTTCTGTAACTAACAGAAGCATCAACATTAGCTGGAGAAGAAGTGTTTGGCTCGTTCAACAAAGAAATGACTGAAAGAAGAACTGTACGAACTGTTTGTGTTGGATTCCAACGTTCACTTGATAACTAAAAATTTGTTTAGAAAAAAATAATTTTTTAAATTAAAAAACCTCTCCACTTTGTGGATCATCAACTGGCGGATGAAGAATACTAACACAAAGTTCACCGCTCTAAAAATAAATATTTAAAAATTATCTCAATTTAAAAGGTACCGGGTAAACATTTGGATGGTAAACTGGTTGTATAAACCTCATCGAAGGAGGTGAATAAGGATAATTTGTTGGAAAAGTGAGAACCTTAACAAAAATAATGAAAAGTAGTTTTAATTTTTATATACCGCCTTGAAGTAGCCACCCTGAAATTTGAAAAATTAAATAATTGTATGATTAAATATTATCATTAGAATTTACTTAAAAAAGTAAAAATGAACATAAAAAAGGCTCATGCCCGTGGCAAGAATCATTAAAACGACCAATTAATAGTCAATTTAGACAATTATCAATAATAAAAATTAGAATAAATTATGCTCGTACACAATGAATTAATCAAGACTAACATGAGTATAGTAAATATAAAACCTGATAAAGAGTTCCAGGCGGCCCAAAAATAGCAACGGTCCATTTAAATAAATTATCTTCATCACAAACAACTTTAAAGCCTTCAATTGGTTGTGATTGCAATGATTTTAATTCCATTTGCAAAGCACGTATAGCCGCAGCATTCGTGTTTGAAGAAGAGGTCAAAGAATTGTTAGGCTAAAAGAAAAATTTTAAAATTAAAAAAATTATTTATAACCATTATTTTGAAGTATTTATTTCTTAAATCTCGTTGACCCGTCAAAGAATTAACCCGTTTATTTGATTAATAATGTAGTTCCAAAAAATACGCGAATGTTTATATAATGTAGAAGAGTAGAAAGACACAAAAATTAAGTGCTGCCAAAAATCAATTGGATGAGGTGGCTAAAAAATTAAATATTTATTGTTAGTTAATTAAACATATAATGAGAACAAATAAAATGTATATTTAATTTAAAAATTTTTAAACTAAAAATCATCATTAAACTTTTTAGTCAAAAATAGAAAAAATGCACGTGAACAAAAAGACAACTCGTGCCAGCGGCAAGAATCGTTAAATACATTATGCCAGATAATTAAATAAATTTGTGCCAAAAATAAATTTTTTGAACAGAAACTATCGTAAACTACTAAAAACCTTTGATTAAAACGCTCTCTTTTTTCATTTATTTGGTTTCAACTTTTAAATCCAGTTTTCCCAAAGTATTTCGCGTTTTTTGAATTTAAATACCATATTAATCATATCAATTCATTAAAGTATATTATTTTTAAACACATTCCTTAAAAGACCTAATAAACAGTGCTTGGACGCTCGTATCAAAATTCGTACTCGTACTTGGTACGACTAAAAAATAGGGGTGGTACGAAGTACGAGTACGAACAATTCTGAAATTTCCAGGCACTGTTTAAGAAATAATTAAACAGTCTTAAAATTAATTAATGTTTTCAAATCTTTTATCGAGAAAATATCAAAAGTTAAAAACTAGGTTAAAATTGAAGATTAAAATAATTTCAAAAAGAAATTTTACAATTCAATTTTAAAAAAAGTGAAAAAATACTCGCAAAATTTAAAGAATATTTCCAAAAAATAAATAATTATTTTTTTAAGACATTTTTTTCTTCTTCATTTAATTTTCTTGTTTCTCCAAATTTTTTTCTTCATCTTTTTTTATTTCTTCTTTATTTTTGTCTTTTTCCTCGTTTAATTCTTTATCCGATTTTTGAATAATTTCAACATTTATTTTTATTGAAATTGGGAATTTAAAGGATCCATCTCCATTATTACGTAAATAAACAAAAGTTAAAATTAAAGAATAACCACCATACAAAATTAATCCAAAAAGAAACAAATATGCCTTTTAAATAATTTAAAGTTATTTTTTTTTAATTTATAAAAATTATTTTACCCCATATCTTCCTGATGATATAAACTGTTCAATAAATAATATAGTGAAGGAATATGAAATGATTATATCCTTTAAAAATTAATTAGTATAAAAAATAATTAAAGACTTGATAATTAATTCCAAAAAATTAAAGGGCAAAGCTAACAATAAACATCCATTCCTTAAAACCCTATTCTGAATGTGATTTATTCAAATTCTTTTAAAAGCTGAAACAATATATTAATTTAAAAAGAAACAAACAGTAAAGAAGAGAGTAGACAAGTTAATTTGTTTCGGATTATTATTTTGACTTTCATGAACTGTGCAATAATATAAAAGCCAATGAATAAAACTAACAATTGCTGGTATAGAAAAACAACCAACTGGTATATAATGAAGTCTAAAGTATGGAAAATACATTGCAGAAAATAAAAGAAGTGTTTGTAATAACTTTAAAATTAAATAAAATTTTTTAAATTTATTTTTAAACTACCCATTGTGAAGTTTTCAACATTCCAAAAGGATAATGACGAGAATATATCTCTTCAATTAATGAACAATTTGGAAATTTTGTTTTATAGTTATTTAACCCAACTGCCCAAAATTGTGATTTACGCATCTTTTTATAAAGATTAAAGATTAGTAACAAGTTGACAAGAATTGCAAAAGAAGCCAAAACCTGTAAAAATTGATATAAATATACAAAGAATCGAGTGTTTATTGTCAAATATATGGTTGTCGGTAGCGCTTGGTATTGAGTATTTGTTGGCTCCGACCCCGACCCTTTTTCAAACTTTGAACCGGCTCTGGAATTTTCAAAATCTTAGCTCCGGCTCCACCGGAGCGGGACTTCGGAGCTAGCTCCTGGAGCCTTATTCAGCACTGGTTATCGACTCTTAGATTTAGAACCAACAACCAAAACCAACGAAAGATTCTTTAATTCAAAGAAACTTTTGAATAAAATAATTTAAAAAAATTACCAACCAAACAAATTGGATCGAGCAACAAATTTACAAATAATCGTTTTTTTCGGTTAGCAATTGTATCTAATAAATAATCAGAATTCAAGTAAAAAGAATCTGTTTCAGTTAAATCAACATAACCCTCAAAGGTATAATTGAAATTTGCAAGTTTTGGACCAAACCAACGATATTCAGCCAAACATTTTATCCAGAAAATTATACTGGCAATAATCAAAATTGGAATGGTTATTGCATAGAAACAAATATCCTAAAAATATATTAATTGTTTTAGTTTAATTTTTCCTAAAATTTACCATTAATGAAAATACCCCTGCCAAAAATGTATTATACTTGACAAAATGGTGAGCAGTTAAAGAACAAAAAGCAAAAATAAATAAAATTGTTTGGCCAACCGCATAACAACTTTCCATGTGATAAGGTTCTTCAAACAAAACTGTTGTCCAATATTTAGACCAATGAAGAGAGTAAGACGCACAAAAACATGATCCAACGGCCAAAATAGACAACAAAATCTATTAGAAATATTTAAAAATATTTTTTAATTAAATAATTCACCAAATTTGTAATTTTAAGAACACGAAAAGGCCAAAATTTGTTGTAGACTTGAATATAATTTTTCTTTTTCTGTTGTTCTCCAACCAGTTGCTCTCTGTCATTACAAAACTCTTTATTTATATCTTCATTAATCGCTTCTTTATCTATATCAGATAAATTGTTAGAATTTAAATTCTTGGGATGGTTGGATAACATTGAAGAAAAAGTCTAAAATATTTTTTAAATTAAAAAAAGTTTTTAATAAAAATATGTGGATGTATAAACACATAAATGTATACTGCAATAAATAAATATTTCATCACATATAGTAAAGTTAAAGCAAACAAAAAATCTTTGTCACAAGTATTAATTGCCCGTCAAAAAACTCCGAGTTAAGAAAGAATAAAGCGATAAGAAATTGGACAGGAAAATATTTCAAATTTAAAACATCAACTATAAACAAAAAAATTATAAAATGTTGGATGTTTTAAAGAGAGAAATTTGTTTTAGAAATGAACTCATTTCTCCTTTTTTGTTGAATTTTATAGGAAAATAAATAATTTGTTAAATTAATGTGAGTTAATGTTTTTGTAGACATTGCGCAATGCACTTTGAGATTTAAATTTAAAAATAAATAATAAGAGGGCAATAATGATTTCAATTTTTTAATATAAACATGAAATAAGAAATAATAATAAATTATCAAACTATAACATAAGAATTGAGAACTAATTTTCAATAAATAAATTGATAAATAAAGTGATTGACGAGTCTTCTAATAAAAAATTTCAATTAAGAAAACAAACATGTCAATTTAAAATTTACTTCCTTAAATCCATTTAGTCGGTGTTTTTGGCATATAAATGGAGATTGAATCTGATTGAATTCCACGACATACAGACATTACGAAAGGATCGATTGGATGGAAAAGAACACGTGCATAAAAGGATGGATGGGCTCTCATAGATTCTGAATGGAATTCTAATTTTGCGTGACAAGTTTTTGTTTTGAGATTGTAAATTCTGAAAATTCTTTCAAATTAATAAAAACATTCTCTAAACAAACTTTAATGGCTGGTCTAATTGAAAACGTCCTTTTTCAATTTGATAAATCTGCCTTTCATCAACACTAAAGAGATTGGGATCCAAATAAGGGGAAGAAATCATATGTTGAGTATTTGGTAAAGGTAATGTTGCCAAAAACCTAAAAATAAAAAAAAATAGAAAAGAATTTTAATTATATGATTTGTATGTACGGGATAAAAATAAAAAGTAATATTTTATACATTTCTCTAATTCAGGAATAACTCGATACAAGTTATAAAAATGATAAATTCGATAAACGCTTGTAATTATTTTTAAAGGCCTATCAAGAGTTATATACATTGAGAATGCAGAAAAAGTTATGTTAAAGTGCCTAACTATAAGATAAAATTTACTAACCTTTGTCTAGTTTGTTCAAAACTTTGTTGCTTCAACTGATCTTTAATAATTGCTTGATGTTGTTTTTTAAGTGCCCTACAATGCTCCATTGATGATGGAAAATAATTAGAAATTAAATGTCCATTCTTGAAGCTTTCCGTAAATTTTTCAAAAGCATCAAAGAGAAGTTGCGAATTTTTATCAAAAACTCCAGAAATTTCTCCAACTCTCCATTGAAAGAGAACAAATAAATATTGATGACCAGAATGAGAATCATTATGTCTAGCTTGAATATGTATTTTAAAATTAAATAACAAAAAATTATAAAATAATTACGATGTAAATCCATTCGAATTAAAATTAAATCTGGACCAACAAATTGAATTTTTTGCATTTTTAATTGAGTATAAAATTCCATTTCATAAAGAAATTGATTGATAGTTCCGTTAGTAGCATGTTGTTTATATAAAAACGTTAGAAAACGTTGACGAAATGCTTAAAATTGGAAATTGGATTATAAGTATAAAATTATGAAGGAAAAATAAGCTAAAATGATATGTAAATGGTCCAAATCCATCACGAAAATAAATCGGATGATGAACCCAAGACTAACAATTTATTGAAATTTACAAACCATATAAATATATAAAAATTTACCTGTAAAAACTCCATCAATTATATCATCTCCAAGATTCATTCTATTATCCCATAATTGATCATCATCCAAAACTGAAGGACCAATCTGCCTGAGAGGAATAAATGAACCAGAATGTTTATTGATGCCAAGAATGTGAATTGTTTGATGTTGAACAGAGAGAATTGCAAGTGTCCATTCCAATAAGTAAACACCACTGTGTACGTTAATTTCGTCAAAATCGAATTTATATTTCTCAACAAGTTGGCCTTTCTATTAAGTATATTTAATAAATAAAAAATATTTTTATAATTTAAGTATAATGGGAGATAAATAACAAAGACTAGAGAATTGTGAACCTAATGAAAAAAAAAGTTTAAAAAAACTAAAACTAGCAAAGGTGGAAAAATAAAAGACAATCAAAAATGAATAGCGATTAAAGGAAAGATATATAAAATAATTTTAAACTTTATAAAAATAATTAAAAACCTCTAAATCAATTGAATAAAACACAAAATGCATTAGATGAGAATCTGGTGGAAGCGATTCCTGATTCTAAATTTTAAAAATAATTTATATAAATATTTAAAAAAATTAACTCTTAAAATTCCATTAAAAGTTGAACGATTTTCTGGAACAGGAAAGGAAGACAAAACAATCAAAAATCGAGAATCAGGCGTAATAAAAGCACATTCTCTTGAAATTATACCAAAATAAAATGCTTCAGAAGAGCGTGGATTTCCAAGAGGATTGATTAATTGAACAGCAATTTTCTTTCGAAAAATTGCCTATAAATATTTTTTTAATTTGTTAGAATATGCAGAGAAATGTTGAATTAAAAAATACCCAAAAAAGATTATTCCACGTTTTATCAACCCCAAATTGCACTCCAGCATAGGGAAATATAAATATATCACGAAAATTTGGAGAAATTGCAATTAATTTACTTCCATCAGGTGAGAAGCGAAGAGGAAAGAATTGAGGTCTATCTACAGCATATTCATTCCTGGTTAATGAAATACTTTGATAAAATTCACGAGATCCTTTAATAAAATTGCTTCCTAATAAATATTTTTATTTAAAATTTTCTAAGAGAAAAAGTTAAACAAACCTTCCTTTCTTGTACCAAGTTCCCGAATGACAAGTAATTGATGAATATTTGTAATAGGAAAACGTTTTCTTCGACACCAATCAACGTCATAAGGTTCACGCATTATTATGTAATTAAAGTATAAAGAATATCAAGTTAGTATTCTTCAAAGGAAAGAACGTTTAATTAGAATAAAAAAAATTTTTAGACAAAATCGATAAAATTTTTGTTGCAGAGAAAAAAACGGGCAAAAGATAATTTGGCGAAATGTCCATAAAACAAATTTTGCTACAATTCATCCTTATATTGAACATTTTTGTGAGAATTATTCAACGTCCGGCTGACGCATTTTTTAATGCCAGCTGGGTGAATGTTTTTATTTTTGAAGGTGTTTTATTTAAGTTTTTTTTGTATCATCATGGTCGTGCGATTAATAGTTTATATTTCCTTCTATTTTGCTTTACATAATAAAAAAAGATAACGATTTCAAAACCGCCATTTACATATTACCTATACTATTTCCACTGCAAAAAATCAATTAACGCAATTTTATTATATTTATTCCTTTTATACATACATATTTCCTCAATTTACTTTCCACCAATAAAAAAATCTAATTGTAAGTTATATCCAAGAAGGCAAATTTTTCTGTTTCAAGCTTAATTTAACACTTAATTTTATTTTTAGATTTTTAATTTTTAACTAAGCTACTGATTTCACGTTTTCTCTCTTTAATAAAAACGTTGAGTGATTTTGACGCAAGTTTATGCGATATAGCCGACTGGCTACAAACGACGACTCGTTAGACGAGTATACGCCACTGATGCTCAGCGATCAACAAGGAGTAAGTGGGACATCGCCTCAACATCATCATTTGAATACTGCTGACAACGCTCATTTGCTTCCAATTCTGTGTCCGTCAGTGCAAAGCAGTGTTGGCGGTGGAAGCAGCTTTGGGTCAAACCGGTCCGGATTCTTTAATATGTTACAGTAAGTTGATTTTATAAACAAGTATATTAAACTGAAATTATAATTAGGGTTGCTGTTTTCGGGTCGGGCCGACGTTCGAGTCATTTTTCGGCAACATTTTTATCGTGCCGAGCTAGTCTTTTTTGGGCTTCATTTTTATCGTTCGGACATCGAGTCTTTTTCGGGCCAAAATTCGATGCCCGACTCGATATTTCGGACCGGACCGGGCCGGCAACTCTAATTACAATATGAAAAATGAGGGAGGGAGTGGGTGAAAGTTGTCGCTTGATATATTTTCTGAATATTTTAATTCACTTTTCTTATCCCTTTATTTCAATTTGATTATTTCATATCGTTTTATCCCTTCTGCACTCTTTTCAATTGATCTAACATAAGAATCCGCTTTCAATTACATCTAAGTGTAAGGTTTGGGAATTTAAAGCAATTAATTTATAAATTGGATTTATTTATTTTTTATAATTCTTATCATTAGAAAACTTAAATATTGCCATGAATTTATTTGTAAAAAACAATATATTATCTCAATTGATTTTTAATTTTCTTATGCCACGTTTTGTTACAAACGAGCATTTGTGGGCGAAAGAAGTGCTCTATATATTTTTCCCCCAAAAATACAATGGAATGCATGCTAATCGGTTTAACCACTTACCATTGCATTGTGTTTCATTGCGCCCTTAAACCCCCCATCAACAACAAAAACGATTGAATTATAAATAATACAATCAATTGTTTTGTTGTCCCTCCTCTCCCTTATAGACTTTTTATTGTATTTATGTTAATGCTTTTATATATATCTTTACTGTTAAATATGTTTAGAAATTGTAGAATTTATCGAGTAAATGAGCAACAATTTTCTCTTCGAAAGTAATAAACTTTTAGAATTTTTTAAGATTAGCTTTAGTATATTTTCTTTCATTTCTGGGTTAAAAATTAAATTTTTTGCACTAAAATAGCTATTAAATTAATTTTTGTATCTTCTAAAAAATCTTTTTCAGGTGCTTCAAAGGCCTTTTTCGCCGCAAACGTGTTCGGCATGCGCGCACAATTAGAATTGGCCACGGCCCTGTTTGTACAGGTGGTCATTCGTTCCCACCAAATGTCATCTGTAACAGAAAATATAATATATTTACTTTTGTTCCAATGGTTTTTTTAAATATATTTTCCTTTTAATTATTATTTTCAAGGTTCTTTTTCAACAATTTAAATTTTTTCTCAATCTTTATTTTTTGCTCATGGCATGTAGTCAATTCTTTCCGCCTATCCAAATTGGATCACCAATTACTTACTGGGGACCTTTGGTATTTTAAATTTACTTATTTTAGACATTTTATTTTTAGGGATTTGTTCTCCTTATTACCTTAATTCGTGAATTTACCGATGATATGGTTCGTTTAATTCGTGATAAAGAAGTGAACAGTGAAAAATACGAAAAGATTACTTCAACGGGGAAAATACTTGTGAAAAGCGCGTTAGTTTTAAATTGTTTTTAATTTCTAAATTATGATTTTTAAGCGAAATTCAAGTGGGCGATTTGGTTGTTATTGAAAAGGATAGAAGAATTCCTGCGGATGTTGTATTGTTACGGACAACTGAAAAATCTGGCGCTTGTTTCATCAGGACCGATCAGGTTTTTAATAAAAATAATTTTGTAAAGCCGATTTTTTAAATTTTTAGTTGGATGGTGAAACTGACTGGAAACTTCGAGTAGCTGTTCCATACACTCAAAATTTGGTCGATGAACGTTTAATTTTGGATTTAAATTGTGAAGTTTATGCAGAGAAACCACAAAAGGACATTCATGCGTTTGTTGGAACATATAGGGTTTTTATTTTTTAAATCATTTTTTCATTTAACTTTTTAAAGATAAATGCCGAAGATTGTTCTCATGACGGGTCTTTATCTGTTGAGAATGTTCTGTGGGCAAATACTGTGTTGGCTAGTGGAACAGCTATCGGTTTAGTTGTTTATACGGGAAGGGAAACGCGTTCTGTTATGAATACAACATTACCAGATAGCAAAGTTGGATTAATTGATAGAGAGGTTTTGTTATTTTTTAAAGAGTATTTATTTTTTAACTAAATTTAGGTGAACAATTTGACGAAAATTCTTTTCCTTTTTGTTGTTACACTTGCCTCTGTAATGGTAGTGATGAAGGGACTAGACACCTATTGGTATAGATATTTGATGCGTTTTGTTCTTCTGTTTTCCTATATTATTCCTATCTCACTTCGGGTTAATTTGGATATGGCGAAGCTTTTCTATACATGGCAGATTGGTAGAGACAAAAATATTCCTGAAACTGTTGTTCGATCAAGTACGATTCCTGAAGAGTTGGGGCGAATAGCTTTTCTTCTTTCTGATAAGACTGGAACTTTAACTCGAAATGAAATGAGATTTAAAAAGGTCTGAAAAAGTTTTTTTTTTATTTTTTAAATATATTTTATTAGATTCATCTTGGAAGTACTTCTTTTGGTGGAGAAACGTTTTCTGACGTTAGAATGCATGTTGAGTCAGCTTACGGAGGAAAACTTGCTCGAAATTCATTTTCCGTTAAACTGCAGACCGCTGTTGAGGCAATTGCACTCTGCCATAATGTTACACCAATTGATGAGAAAGGGAAGGCAACATTCTACCAAGCGGCTTCACCAGATGAGGTTTCTAATTTACGATTGTTTTTTAATTTTCTAAATACGTAATTTGATTCAGGTTGCATTGGTACAATGGACAGAACAGGTTGGGGTGAAGCTTGCTAAACGTGATCTAGCTTCTATGCACCTTGAATTGAGCGGAAATAGGATTAAATCCTTTCAAATTCTCCATCTCTTCCCCTTCACTTCTGAATCTAAAAGAATGGGCATTATTGTCCGAGATGAACACACTGATGAAGTCTCTCTTATAATGAAAGGTGCTGATACAGTTATGGCTCAAATGGTTCAATACAACGATTGGTTAGATGAGGAATGTTCAAACATGGCAAGAGAAGGTCAGTTCTCGTAACTTAATTCATTTTAAATTTAAATTATACAGGTCTTCGAACATTAGTTGTGGCAAAGAAGGTTCTTAGTAAAGAACAACTTGCAGATTTTGAACGTGAATACCATCGTGCCAAAATGACAGTTACTGATCGAATGGAGAATATGGCAGCAGTTGTACGACTTTTGGAAAATGATTTGCAATTACTTTGTTTAACAGGTGTCGAGGATAGGCTTCAAGTTCGTTTTTGATTTTTCAGTATTATAGTAATAAATTCTTGGTACCGTAGAATAACTATTATCTTTATAATCTCATATTTTAGCTGATTAGTTTCTGGTTTTGATTTAAATGTTTATTTCAATAGGACCAAGTAACTACTTCGCTTGAACTTCTTCGTAATGCTGGCATCAAAATTTGGATGTTGACCGGAGATAAAATGGAAACCGCCATTTGCATTGCTAAATCCTCTGGACTTTTTTCTAAAACAGATAGTGTTCATGTTTTTGGACATGTCCGCGATAGAACTGAAGCACATAATGAATTGAATGCTTTAAGAAAGTGAGTGTACTTAGATATCCTCATTTACCACCTTTTTCTAACTTTTTAAGGAAGAACGATGTTTCCCTCGTAATATCTGGCGCATCTTTAAATATTTGCCTTCAGTATTATGAGGCTGAAGTTGCTGAATTAGTTTGTTCATGTAAAGCAGTTGTCTCATGTCGATGTTCCCCTGAACAAAAAGCACAAATTGTTAATTTATTGAAAAAGTATAGGCACCCACTTCGTGTTGCAGCTATTGGCGATGGAGGTAATGATGTCTCAATGATACAAGCGGCACATGCAGGAATTGGAATTGACGCAAATGAAGGTAAAAAAGATTCATAATTTTAATTATATGTTAAGTATTTTATAGGAAAACAAGCCTCCTTAGCCGCTGACTTTTCTATAACACAATTTTCACATATCTGTCGTTTGCTTTTAGTCCATGGGCGTTTTTGTTATAAACGTTCTTGTGCTCTATCACAGTTTGTTATGCACCGAGGACTAATTATTTCAACGATGCAAGCAATATTTTCTTGTGTTTTTTATTTTGCATCTGTCTCACTCTATCAAGGTGTTCTTATGGTTGCGTAAGTTTTTTTAATTAAATATATTAACTCTTAATTTCTATATACTTTAAGTTATTCTACTGCTTATACAATGCTTCCTGTTTTTTCACTTGTCGTTGATAGAGATGTAACGGCACAGAATGCATTAACTTATCCTGAACTTTATAAAGAATTGGGCAAAGGGCGTTCTCTTTCGTATAAAACTTTCTGTATTTGGGTTATGATAAGTATATATCAAGGTATTTTTAAAAGAATTTTTTAATTCTTTAAAAAAATTTTTTAAAGGTTCAATTATAATGTATGGGGCACTTTATGCATTCGATGAAGATTTTATCCATATTGTCTCAATTAGTTTTTCGGCTCTTATTATAACTGAACTTGTAATGGTAGCAATGACTGTCCACACATGGCATTGGGCTATGTTAATGGCTCAGGTTTTTATTTAATATTTAGAAAATTATAATTTTAAAATTATATTAGGCACTTTCTTTGAGTCTTTACGGGGCTTCTCTTGTAATTTTTGACCGATATTTTGACCGTCAGTTTGTGCTCTCGTCTGAATTTATTGTTAAAACAACAGCAATTACTTTAATTTCTTGTATGCCTTTGTATGTTATTAAATTTTTGCGAAGACGTTTTTCACCTCCTTCCTATGCAAAAGTTAATTGACGAAGATTCAAAAGATTTGTTTTACATAGAAGAGGGTTAAATAACTGAATATACTGATAACTTCCTTTTTTTATATTTCAAATTTTAATTGACTAGATTATTTTTTGAAAAATGGTTAATTTAAATTAATCATTTTTATTTGTAAAGACTATTGTCTCGGGTTTATCTTGTTTTGATTTTTTGAGGTTTTTTAGTTTTATGAAATGAAAACATTAACTAGTATTAAAATCAAAACATTCCTTCCTTTCGTAAAATTGTTTAATTTAATGATATCCTTATTTTATTTTTCATTTTTATACCATTATTTGATACATTGACCGATATGTGCATGAGTGATAATTTTCCTAATACTCTAAAATCTCTTTAAAAATTACTCCGGGCTCCGGGGCCGGATCCACTAGAAGATGCATTTGGATACCCTGCTCTGATTAATAACTAAAATTTTTTAATCTTCCAATGCACATACACTTATAATATTTTAATTTTCTCCAAAATATACATAAAAACTCTCAAAATATAATTTTATATAATTATGCGAGTAAAAACATTTTTCATAAGGAATTATTTCTATTTTGGTTTTGAACCATTGTTTAATTTTTTAAATTTTTTTATTAATTTTTAAAATTGTTTTCAAGGAAAATGACTTTATTCTTCTCTCTTTGTTGCTTCTCAATATCTTTTACACCGTCAATGATGCTTTTTAGACGGTTGGTTGTCTCTGATCCATTGCGAATCATTCTTTTTGTTCTTGGGTTTGTTTTTAATTTTTTAAACATAGTAGCCTCGAGAGTTTGATGATATCAGAATTCTAGTTAGATATTTTTGTTGAAACGCGTATTAGAATAATTTATTAATAGAATAATTTTAGAGCGTTTTTCTGGTTGCTTTCCCTTTTGTTTACTTCATTACTTTGGACAGTTTCAAATAATTTGTTCGCAATTTTTATTTGTTCTATATTGCTTCAAGAAGTTGCCAGATCCGTTTATTATTTTTTACTTTACAAGGCACAGAGGTAAAATTTTAATTATTTTTTAAATTCTTTTCAAACTTTTAGTGGTTTAACTAAATTAGTTTCTGATGGAACAGACATTTCTGGCTTTCGTTTAATGTTTTCATCTAGGCATGTCCTTGCTATTGTTTGTGGTCTTGGTATGGGTGTAATGGCTTCTTTGTTTTTGTTAACAAATATTCTCGCTGATTATTCTGATGACGGAGTTGTTGGTTTGCCATCAGAGATTTATGGAAATGGGGTAAATTTGGAAATTATTTGTTTAAAAATAAGTATTTTGACTATGTTGCTGTTTGATATTGATTTGATAAATCTCTAATTTTAATTTATCAGACCGCATTTCTGGGAAAATTTCGGTCTTGGCTTAGATTTAGTATTGAATAATAAACTTAAAAGGAAATATTTTTATTTTTCTAATTTCCAGAGCACAAAAACTGTAAAACTTCACGACATCGATGCTTATTTTCCTATTTATTATTCACTCTCTTGCTCCTTTCTAACTCTTTTCAACGTTCTTTGGACAATTAATTTATGGGATGGATTACACAAATATTTCCATAATTCAATTGATTCAACTATTTTGATAATTATTTTTATTTTAACATTTATTTTTCATGGAACTAATTCTTTATTAGTAATTAAAAATTTTAATTTAAAAATCATATTTAATTTATTTAGAGTGTTTGGTTACGAAGTTCACCAAATAAAATTTTATTATCTCAATTTGCTTTACTTTTTGTTACTTCATTTTATTCTTCTTGTGTTATAAAGAATTACAAATTAACAATATTTCAGAGAAATAATGCTGATCTCTAAATTATATTTTTAATATTTAAATTTTTATGTTATTTCTGATTTATTTTTGTAAAATCTTTTGAGGATTTTAATTGTTTGTTTAAAAGAATTGGAAATTTACAAAACATTAACAAAATAAAACAAAAATTATTTTAAATCTTTAAAAAATCAGAAAAGTTGTCCTCCACTGTGATAAAGCTGAACAAGACGTCTAAGAACTGCTCTCTGATCAACCGATTCGAAAACATGGGGAGCAGAAAGTAAAACGCCTAAAGTACCACCCAAAGTTATACCAAAAAAGATTAATAAAAGAAGTCGATCAATGACCATTGCGACATATCTCCAATCATCTCTATGCTGAAAATAAATTTTAGATTTAATGTATGTACAAGTTTCAACAAGTAGCCCCTCTGAAAGTTTTTGATAAACATTAGGGATTTATTTCCGTCCCATATAAATTATTTATTAATTTTAAGATTTTACAGTTTTATGTTCCTCTTCTTTTCTCAAATGATCAGTAATATAATCAATTGCTTTAATTGCCCTTATAGCATCAGAACTTAAAGGAAAAGCTTCGGAAGATATTTCTCTTGTTTCTCTTCCAATAATTTCTCGAGAAGACATCTCTATTTGATCATTACTTTCTATACAATGTGGATGATGTCTTGAAGGCCCTGTTAAGGCAAAACGACCAATTCCTGGCAGAATTGCTGCTGCAGCTGAAGCCAATCCTCTAGCTGAAGAATTCCCGGTTATTCCATTATTTATTGAAATAGTATGTCCTGAACGTGCAAGTTTAGAACCATAACCAGCAGCATGGCGATAAACTATTGGATGTCTTCTTGGTCTGCGCATACAAAGTAATCGAGGAATAAACCTTCGAAGAGGAAATCAGTAAAACACTTTTTCCTTACTTGAGAAAAACAGATCGAACCCATCCCGGCATTTGATGAGTTATTGGAGAACGAAAATAAATATTTATAATAATTACAGTAACCAAAATAGTAATTACATTTAATACAAAAGTTAACTAAAAAATAAATAATTATTTCTAAATTATAAATTAACTAATTACAAGTAAATATTTAGCCATTAAAGGAATTGTAGAGGATGTTGGAGGTAATATTTTTGATACTAACAATAAAAATACAACAATAGAAAGAAGAACAGAAATCTTTTTAATTTAAATTAAATTATTTTTAGCTAATTTTCTTACAGTTAAAGTCATTTTCTCCCCAGAATCTGTTGGTAGAAAAAATACAGCCATTGATAGAAAAGCCATTAAAACTGTTGGAATTATTAAAACAACTGTATAAAATAGGGCTTTTCGACGTAATCTAAGTTGGTATTCGATTCTGGAACGTTGATTGACTAATGTTGCTGGGGCTCCTTTCAAAATAAATTTAAAAATAGGGTTGTTCCCCGACGGGGGACGGGATCTTTCAAATTCCCCTACTTCGGGGAACAAACCCTATTTAAAAATTATTATTTATTTACCAACAACATCCCATATTTTAGATTCTCCATATTCTAATAAATCTATACCCGCTGATTTATCAAAATCCATTTTAATTTCTTTTTCATTATACTTTTAAATAAATAAATATTTTATTTAAATTAATTAATTTACTGTCCAAGAACCAAAAATTAAATGACAAACTTTAAATTAAAAAATATTTAATTTAATTATTTTAAATTTTACTTTGTTCATCAAAAGGAAAATATTCAACATCTTTAAATAAATTAATTTAAAAAAATCTATTTATTAAAAATTACCAATAATACAAGAACTTTTATAAATAGCTGGGGGTACCCAAAGCATATCCCCATTATATTGAATAACAACATTTGACATATAAGAGACTTCATAATTACCGTCAGCATTATTAAAAAGGACAATATCTGGAAGCCAAACTTTATCCAAAGAAACACGTCTAAAATTAGAAATCTCTCCTCAAAAATAAATTCCTTCTCTCTTACAAATCTTTAACTCCCCCATAATTTACTGGATTCCATTTAAGTTGAAAATCCTTTTTTAAAATTTATTTTTAAATAAAATGATTAATTAACTAACATGCCATTTTAAAGTTAACCAAACATTTGATTGCATTATCTTTTTAAATTTAGGAATTTAAATTCTAACTTAATTTAATTACTTGATCTTTTTCATCAACATTAATTAAAAGTAAAAGTTGAAGCCCCATTTTAACAGTAAGTGGCTGACTTGAATTTCTCATTGGCAAAATTAAAGAATTATAACCACGGAAAATATCAACCTTTTTTTAAAAAATATTTAAAATAAATTAAATTTAATTAATAACTAGGGCTAGGGTTTTTAGACAAATAACTTTTTCCCTAGATAGGCCTGATATTGAATCGTTCAAACACCCTTTTTTGGATTTTAGTGCCTATTTTGGCAGTTTTTAGTGCCTATATAGGCGCTTATTTTTGACCTTTTAGTGCCTAAAAATCCTAGCCTTGTTAATAACCATTAATCTTTCTTCTTCATCACTTCCAGAAATTAAATAAAATTTAATTAAAAAAACAAAAAAATAAATAAATATTTGGGGAGAAAAAATTAACATTAATTCTTAAAAATATTCTTTAATTATTAAAATAATAAATCAAAAAATAATTTTTTTGTAATATTTTTCTTCAAATTTTTAAACTTTTCTAGCAAAAATAAGAAAAATAAATAATTCCTACATAACAGCTGTTAAATATTTTTAGTTTTTAAAGTTATTTTCGAGGAAAGAATTGAGCTGAAAATTAATGGAAAAAGGATGTTATGATGAAAAAAATTTTATTAGAAAAATAAAAATAAACATTAAATTTTTATTAGAAATATTTAAAAAAATGTTGCCATTAAATATATATTTAAATTAAAAAAATATTTTCTTTAAAATTTTTTCAAAATTTCATTTCAGCTTCAGCAGAACGTTTAAGTTGTGTAATAACTTGTGTTTGATTAACATTTTCAAAAATATTCGGAGCAGAACAGAGAATTCCTTTAATTAAATAATTAAATTAAAAGAAAAAGAATCCTCAACCAATTGTCCCGCCAACAGTTACTCCGAAGAAAATATAGAGAAGTAAACGGTCAATTACCTAAAATAATCTTAATTTAAATTCTGATTTTTCAATAAAAGTTTTAATTTATTTAGAAAGGCTACAATGTACAGAGGGGAATAAAATTGGGTATGTATCTGATAAAAAGAGATTAAGGATATTTGGGGTTAGCATCCAGATTAGAAAATAATGAGGAGTAAGTAATAAATAGAGTTGTGATTTTCCGAAAAACTTTAATAATTTTTATTTTTTCGAAATATTATTTTATTCCTAATTTACATATATTTCTAATTTCTGATTTAAATTTAAATATCCCCTCCATACCATAGCAACAAATCTCCACTCTTCACGTATTTTTTTATTAATATTTTCTCTTCGTAAATGTTCTGTAATACAATCAACTGCATCCATTGCTTTTAAAACTTGTTCATTTAGAAGTTCACTATCCTCAGTACCCAATTCTCGATGGGAAGGGAAAGGGGCGGGAGTGACCTTTTTTATAAATTAAATTGAATATTTATTTTAATAAAATACCACAGGTTGGGACATCCTCCTTTTACGTAACCTTTGTTTCTGTTTTTCTTGTTTTTGTAAATAAATTAATGGTTCTATAAATTCTGAACAATTTGGATGGTGAAAATACTTTTAAATTTAAATAAATATTTTTTAATAAAGATTTAATACTTTTTTAGTTTTATTCATTTCAATAAACTTTCCAGGCTTAAAATTTTGTTTTGTTTGTGTTGTCGAAGAATTTAAAGAAAATTTTTTTGAATTAAAATCTTTAAAAACATTTTGTGGTCTATTCATCATTAAAAGAAGGGGTAATTTACAAATAAATATCGAGTAAACCCAAGGGGGCATTTTGTGTGTTGTTGGCCCTCGGAAGTAAATATTAATAATTATTACAGTTACAATAATTGTTATTATATTTAAAACTTTTAAAAAGAAAAATTAGGGGAAAAAATAATTTAAATTAAAAAACCAAAAATCATTAATAAATATTTGGCCATTAAAGGTATTGTGTCAGATGTTGGAGGTAATATTTTTGAGACAAGAAGTAAAAATACAACTAAAGCAAGTAAAATACTTATAGCTAAAGTTATCTTTTCGTTGGCTTCTGCAGGTAAATAAAAAACAAGCATTGAAAGAAAAGCCATTAAAACAGTTGGAATAATTAGAATTACTGTGTAGAAGAGGGTTTTTCTTTAAATTTATAAATTAATTTTTTAATGTAGATGTCCAGTTGATGTCCTCCTCCTATCTGTCTGCAAAAGCGAACAGTCAGGACATCAACTGGACATTTACTAACAATTAATTTTGACAAAGAATTGGAAAAAATATGACCCGGAACTTTAAAGTTTATCGATACAGGACAGATTGTGTACTCAAATAAAGTGCCAAAATTCAATTATTATTTTTTATTCTCTTTTATTTATTTACTTTAATTAATCCTACTTGAGAAATTATTTATTTATTAAGGTTTGGGGCCCGATCCGAAAGATCGAGTCGGGGATCGAATTTTGGCCCAAAAACTAGGTTGGCCGGCCCGAAAAAATAATTCGAACGTCGGCTCGACTCGAAAACCCCAACCTTATTATTTATAATTTAATTTAAAAATACCTTCTAATTTTTATTTGATAAGATATTTTACTTTTTTGATGAATTAACTGTCCAGGTACTTCCATTAAATCCCAAATAGCACTTTCAGAATAATCATTTAATTCTACTTGCCTTTTATTCCCCAAATAACTAATTATTACCTTTTTTTAAATTTAATCGGTAATTCTAGAATTAATTTAGGTACTTCATTTTTATTAAAAGTCCACGATCCAAATATCATTGCACAAGTTTGTTCATCAAAAGGAAAAAACTTTTTAAATAAATAAATTTATTAAAAATTATATATTTAAATACCTCAACATCTATTATACAAGAACTTTTGTAAATTGCTGGAGGGACCTTTTGAAAGAGAAAAAAAGAGAAAATTGTTGGGATTATTAGTACAAAAATATATAAATTTTGTAAAACAATCCCTCTGGGGTAAGGTTGGTGGATCCGGATATCCGAAGATTTCCAACTATCCGCCAACCTTACTCTAGGGGGACTATTTTAAGAAATTTATGAAAATATTTTTAATTTTTAATTAAAAATACCCAAAGCATTTCTCCATTACTTTCTATTACCTTTAAATTAAAATCATTTTCTTTTAATTTTATCTAAAGTTTTCTTACAACATTTGAGTAGAAAGCTGTATGGATTTAAAGAAAAATAAAAAATTATTATTTAAATTAATAATTATTTTGTGTCAATTTGACGATTAATTTAAGGGAAAATATTATTCAAAAAAAAAGAACAATTTAAAAACAAAAAAGACTTACAAACTTCATAATTACCATCAGCATTATTAAAACTAACAAAATATAAATAATTAAATTTAAAAATCAACAACAACTAACAGAACAATATCTGGTAACCAAACTTTTTCTGGAGGAACACGAATTGTCCGAATATTTTCATAATCAGAAGGATTCCTTTTTTTAATTATAAGAAGAATATTCCTTTTTAAAAAATAACCATTTCATTTGATAATCAATCCATTTCATTGTTGGCCAAACATTTGTTTGCATTATTTGATTTTTCTCGTCAACATTAATTAACAAAATTAAAGCCAACGAAAACCGAATTTCTAACGGAGAATTACTTAAATTGGCAACAGGCCTAATTAAATGATTATATCCACGAAATAAATCTTTAATTAAACGTTCTTCTGCTAATGATGAATAAACAACAAATTTTGTTGGAAGAAAAACTTAAAAAAATAATAAAAATAATTTAAAAATACAATAAGTATATGTAGAGAGAGGAATAATTAAGGGGTTGTTTGGCTACCGGTAATGAAACCAAGAATTTTGATGTTTCTTGCCAAGAATTAATAAGTATGTCTTATGAAATTTAAAAACCTAAAATTTCTGAATCTTAAAAATAAAGACTGACATTTTACTAAAATTCAAAACAAAAATAGGGAATACCGGTTAATAACTGGTCGCCAATAATCATAGAAATAATAATGAAAAATTAAATAATAAAATAAACATAGGTACTTATGAATTTATTTTAAAAAAAGTATTTTTTTCATGCCAAGAGGTTTATAAAAATAAAAAGAAAAAATATAATTTATTTAATTTAAATTTATTTAATCATCTAAAATTTCAATTCTATTTTTAGCAATTAATTGTTTAATAACTTTTTGTTGATCAACTTGTTCAAAAATATGTGGAACAGTTAATATAATAGCTACAGCCCCTCCTAAAGTAATTCCAAAAAATAAAAGAGAAAGTAAACGGTCAATAACCATCGAAATAAAACGCCATTCATCACGAACCTTTTTTTAAATTGAAAAATAATTATTTAATTTATTTAATTAAAAAACTTTTTTATCATCCATTTCTGCTCTAATATGTTCAGAAATAAATTGAACACCAGAAACTCCTTTAGCCATTAAATTACTTAATTCTTCTTGTTTTTCAATTAAATTTTGAGAAAATTTATTTAAAAATAAATATTTAGAAGAAGAATTAATATTAAATATTCCTTTTTGTAATTTCCTTAATTGTGGAAGTGGAGAGCCGGGAGAACGATCAAAATATCTTTAAAAAATTAAATTAAAAACTTAAAAGATTATGTAGGTAATGAAAATTTTATTCAATTATTCCCCCCCCCCCTTTAAACCTAATTTCTATCAAGGAAAACAGTACTTTCGATTATCTATTATATCCCTCCAAATCACTATCAATCGTATCACAAAATCGGTACGGCACTTGCTGACATTTAGGGATTCTTGATGGAAAATGGCCATCACCTGATAAGAAATTGTTTTGCCCATTTTTGCATTGATATGTTTTACCACTGATCGGGAGGGATTTGGAATTCCATATAAAGTATTTATTACCTTCTCTCTTTTTGACTTTGTGTTGTTAAAAAACGTTTTCTTCTACTAATTTGCTTCTTTTTTAATTTTGTATTATTATTTAAAGATAAATTTCTACTAATATTAAATGGAAGAGTATTACTGTTGTCAACAACAATTTCTGTATTTTGTTGATCAACTTCTGCTAATCTTTTACCTCCTCTAACGTTTAATGGACGGTGACGTATAGAAGAAATCCCAAAATTTCTTCGAAGGGGCTGTGGAAGTGGCATACAAAGAAGTTTTGGTAAAAAATTTAAAAATAAAATTCGAACAGATTGAGGCATTTGGTGGGTTAATGCAGAACGAAAATGGACATTTAAAACACAAACTGTTGACATTATTGTTATTATATTCATTACTAGAAAATAATAATTAGGGTTTTAATTGTTTAATAGGAAATTGGGATTAAGAGAATTATACAGCTAAGTTTTCTCGCGTCTAATCATGAAAACATAGGTGAATTAAATGAGTTTGGAATTTGTAAAATTATTTTAAATTATAATTTAAAAATATTAATTCTTTTTATTAAATATCAAATTTATTTTCAACATATACATATTTTAAATATATCCAAACCTACCAAAAGTCATTAATAAATATTTAGCCATTAAAGGTATTGTGTCAGATGTTGGAGGTAATATTTTTGAAACAAGAAGTAAAAATACAACTAAAGCAAGTAAAATACTTATAGCTAAAGTTATTTTCTCTGAACATTCAGCAGGTAAATAAAAAACAAGCATTGAAAGAAAAGCCATTAAAACCGTTGGAATAATTAAAATAATTGTGTAAAACAAAGTTTTCCTTCTAATAACAATTCTAAATTCAACTCTGCTTTTGTCTAAAGACATCCTTCCAGGGACATCCATTATATCCCAAATACCAGAGGGGGAATAATCCTCTAAATCAACAAAACGCTTATTTCCATACCATCTAAGTTGGACTTCTTTTGAAGAATATGTCCACGAACCAAATAATAACTTTAAAGATGAATTGAGGGAATTAACTACTTAAACATTTATTTAAATTTTATTTAGGATATTTAAAGTTCTATTTATATTTAAAGTTCCAAAATAATTATTTAAATTCCCCTACCATACATGTTTGTTCATCAAAAGGGAAATATTCAACATCTAATAATTTTTAAATTTATTTAATAACCTCCTCCCCTACCTATTCTACAAGAACTTTTATAAATTGCTGGGGGTACCCAACTAACATTTCCTTGATAATCAACAACAACATTACTTTGATAACTAACTTCATAATTACCATCAGCACTTAAATTTTGATTAAAAAAATTTTTAAAGACCAAATTAATCACTTATTAAATAAAACAATATCGGGTACCCAAACTCTGTCAACTGGGACTCTAATACTTTCAATATTGCTGTAGTCTTTTGGATTCCAACTAAAAAAATTAAAATATTTTTATTTTCCCTTCTCAACCACCTAAATTGGCAATCATTCCACTTCATTGTTAACCAAGCATTTGACTGCATTACTTGATTTTTTTCATCAACATTAATTAACAAAATCATTGCCATACCAAAATCTACATAAATAATTGTTTGGTTATAACAAGGGGATGGACGTATTAATGAATTATATCCTTTAAATATATTTATTGCTAAACGTTCTTCATCATCAATAAATATATTATTATTTAGTAAATCTTAAAAGAAAATATTGAAATTTAAATAAATACCGTATAACTTGCATTAATTACTCTCCCTCAAATAATTACCCCATTACTATTAATTACTCCCTCCAGCGGAAGGTTTAAACAATAATTACCAAGGTAGTTAATTAAAGTTTAATGGTATGTGGAAGTAAAAGTAGAAAGGGTTCTAGAGAGGAGAGAGTGATAATCTCTAACAAATTAGCTACACATCACGAAATATTACGGAATCCAAAGCAAAACATGAAAAATAAAATTGGTTGGAATTAATAAATTTAATTTAAACACCTTTAAGGGATAAAAATAAATTTTCTTACCTAAATTTTTCGATTTATTAATTATTGTTATATTTTTCTTCCTTTCAGGTAATATTTTAATTGCCAAAGAATTAATTTGTAATAAAATAATAAAAAATAAATATATTTTTATCATTTTTAAAAAGAAAAACTTTTTTTATAAAAAACGAATAAATAAAAATACAATTGAAAAAAAATAAAAGAAAAAAGGGAAACAATGAAAAATGGCTAAAATAAAAAAAATAAAAATATATAGCAATTCAAAACAATTGGATTAAAGGCGCAAAAAAAGAAAAGAAACCTCTTGGCATTGAAAAGTAAAAAAGAAAAAGAAGGGAATTTAAATATTAAAGTTAGAAAAAGTTATTTTAATTAATTTAATTTTAGAGGCATTTAATTAAAGATTATTTAATTTTGTAAAGAAAAATAGTAATAATTTTTAAAATAACAAAATTACCGTAAAACCTGTATTAATTGCCTTCCCTTTCTCGCTCAAAAATTATCCAACTTCTATTAATTACCCCCATCGAATACCATAAAACACGTTCAAATTCCAAACCTCGTATAATTACCCTCCCTCAATTAACTACTCCCTCCAGCGGAAGGTCAAAACAATAATTCCCTAAAGTAATTGTTCAAGGTTTTACGATAATTTCATACTCCCTTTAATAAATTCCGAATTTAATTTCTTTTAAAATTAAATTTATTTTTAAAAATTCCTTTAAAAAATATTTCTTTTTACCTGAAAATGTAACAAATAAAGTAAAAACTTCTAAAAATCTAGCCAAATAAAATATTCTAAACATTTTATTTTGTCGTTTATTTCATTGAAAATAAATAAAATTAGAAAAATTTAAAAGAAATTTTATGACAATTTTTGACTGATGGATGTTTCTACTATTTATTTTTAACCGATAATAAAAAGATTAAAAGAAATTTAAATGGAAAAACATTTTTGGAAAGAAATTTTAAATATAAGGAATTAAATTTGGGAAGGAGGGGGGGGGGGAGAGGGGGGAATTTAAAAGGGAAAAATAAAAGAATTTTTTTTGAAGTCTTTCTTTAACTAAAAAATAAATTAGAAAATTGTCAAAAAAATAATAGTTTTGGCCTTTTTATTTAGTTAGTAGCTAATTCTCTTTTATTTAAAAAGGAGCAAAATTGATGAAAAAAAGAATATTAAGAAGGGGAATTTAAAAAAACTAATAATTATTTTTAAACTAAGTACAAATAGATTTTAATGTTAATTAATTGGAAATGAAAATAGAGAGTAAAAATTGAGGTATTGAAGGAATTTGTGTATTTTATATTGCCCTCTTACTCCATAAATTCTTAAAAATCTATGCTTTTAAGATATAGTATTTTTTGGGTATATTTATGTAAAATCAAAATCCGACTTTTTTAAAGATTATTTATCACAAAAATTAAAATAAACAAAAATTTTAAACAATATCTTTCTAATCACTTTTTTTATTTTCTAATAACAAATATTTGTCTGTATTTGTAATTAAAATATACAAAATAACCCAAACAGAAATCCAAATCATCGCAAACGGAAATAATGTTAACAAAATTAAAAAATTTCCACTACTCATTCCCCAATCTACTTTTTGTTCTTCTTGTAATCTATATTCCTCCATTGATTCTGTTACAGATGTTTGGTTAAGCAAAAATTTGTAATAAATTTCTCCAAGTTTTCCATGCTTTAAAAATAATTGTTAGGGGGAAAAAGGAGGAAATAAAAAAACTTTAAATGTTGTAACATGCTCTTGATTAATGCAATATCCTTGAGTATTTTGAAGACCATCTTTTAATCCCAACATTAATACATGAACACAAAAAATAGAAAAAATAAATATTTTAAGCATTATTCTGTTAAAAATCTAAAAAAATATTTTTAGGTAGACAGTAAAATTAATTTAAATTTTTTCAGTTTTAAAATTAAAAATCAAAATAACTCTTCTAAAACTAATTCTAAAAAAATTTTAAGAAACTTCTTTCTCATTGAGAATCTTTTGGTCTTTAAAAATAATTCAAGTAGAAAATAAAAATATGTATTTTAATTTTAAGAGCACGTTAAAAAATATTTAAATTATTTTAAATAAATAAAAATTAAATATATTTAAATAGAAAATTAGTTTTATTACAAATAATTAAATATATTACAATTAAATATATTTTGATTTTAAGAAATACAATCAAAATAAACAAAAATAGTATACAATGCAAAAATAAATTGTCGACATTGTCACTAAATCAAATTAATTGTATATAGGGACTAACAACGATTAAAGTTATAATTTTTATGTATAGGTGTATATGCTCTATATATAAAAAAGCAAAAGCAATGAAAAGAAAAGAGAATTTAAAAAAAGGTAGTACATAAATCTTTAATTAATAAAAAACTCCTTTAATTTCCCTTCTCTTTAAAATAGTAATAAAAAAATAAAGGAGGGAGACAAATCACAAAATATAATTTTGATGTTGCCCTCAAATAGGCAATTAATTGTCGTTGTTTTTCTTTCTTTCTTAAAAACATCAAAATATAATTCAAGGCAACGGCATTAATTCGTCTACAGTATCGTGCTGCCGTTTCATTTTCCCACCTCCATTATTGTTATTTTTGTCAGCAATGCCCCCACCATTGTTTATGATTATATCCTGTTTTTGTTGTGCTTGCTGTTGCAAGAGCCGCTGATTACGGCAACGACAAACAGAAATTACTTTATTCCCTTGTCCAATATATGCACGCACAGAGGATTCCATCACAAGTACCTAAAAATAAAATAAAAAAGTTTTTTAAATTTAAAAAAACCTTCAAATATTCCAAATATTTTGGTCCAGATTTGCTATTTTTTTGAAGTCGATCATGTTTCCAGCAAGGCTCAATCAATAATTGTTGCCGGACTTTATATAAATTTTGAATATTTTCTTCAGAAGTCATTAAAGTTAGTGAATGCTTTAAAATAAAAAAAATATTTTTTTATAAAAATTAAAAGCCTTCTAACTCTCATTTCTTCCAATTCAAGTCGAAATCCTCCCTCATATACACTTTTTCGTAGTTGAATAATAACTGCACGTTCAATATCAAATTGGTCTAATTCCCGATGGTCTTCACTTGTTTGTAAAAGTGCACTAACTAAATGATTATTTTCTGCTTCAAATTCAATATGAACTGGACTTATATCCTAAAAATATTTTTTAAGAAAAATATTTTTTCCTTAAAAAAACCTGAATAGCCCTCACAGCATGTACAACAGAAATAGCTGTTCCACTCAAATAATAATTCATAAAAGTTGATTTCTCTGACGACGGAAAGTGAATTGTAGCATTTGTTTGGGTAGAAATAGCACTAATTAAAACGCCTTCAGGCGAGCCAACCATCATACGACGTTGCGAGACAGGAATTTTTAAATAGGCAAAAAACAAAGGACGCTAAAATATTTTAGAAAATTAAAAAAATTAAAAAAGGAAAACCTCTTTAAAAAGAAGTTTAGTCATTGCCTCGCATGCAGCCGCCAACATTTTGGAATCTTTTCGTGATGCACGAAATACAAGTGAAGGATTGTTCATCTTTTAAAAAAGTTAAAAGGAAGTAAAGGTTTTAATAATTTTCAGCCCTATTGTTAGTAATGACGATCTTAACCGACTTTGTATTTAGGAGAAGGAAATGATAAGGAACATTTAGAAAACTTTACCCGAATCAAAATTTAGATAAAAAATAATTTTCAATTAAAAATACCTCTGTATTATTCATAGAAGAAAAAGGATTTGGTGGATAAAGAAGTGAAAATTGGACACGCGAGAACTCTCGAAGGTCATCACATTTTTGCCATTGACGAATTAATTCAGCCAAATCTTTACATTCAATGTCATCTTTTAAATTTTTCAGAGGTGTAGCAATCGTTATTGGACAGAGAGCCTATAAATTTTCAAAAATATAAAAACCTTTTATTTAAAAACAAACTCGAATTCGGTTCATTGCAAGGTCGACATTGGACAATTCCCCAATAATTGTTACCTAAAATTTAAAATATTTCCTAGTCATAATCTCTCAAATACCTGATTGAATAACCCAACTTCTTCGGAAGATTCATCTTGTTGATTTGCAAATTGTAGCATACAATCAGTATCTTTAATAATATCAGATAACGAATCATTAACTGCCCAAGCTTCTCGTCCATTATGTAAACTACAAAAATCGCTGTTTTGGACTTCCATTGTAAGACGAACTTTGCTTGGAATATTTTGCTACAAAAAGAAAGTTATTTAAAAGTAATTTCCTTAAAAAAATTGGTATTACGACAATTGCGGATACGCATGTGCGGATGCGACAATTGCGGATTAAAAATTTTTTAAAAAATTTAGAAATGATTGAAATGATATTCCGTTTTTTTTGTCCCGGCTGTCAGCTTCAGACTTCTGACGGTTTCCGAATCATTTTTAGACAGATGTGGCACTGAAAACTTTAAAAAATCTTAAACTTTTTAAAAATTTTATATCCGCAATCGTCGCATCCGCACGTGCGTATCCGCAATTGTCGTACCGCCAAAAAATTTACCCGTGGGAGGCTACCAATTGGAGGTGACGACAAATGCTGTTGTGCTGCCATATGATGACAACGAACATATTCTGCTCGTCTCTTTTGCTCAAAACAGTCAATATTACGTCGAACAAATTCATTATATAACTTTGAAAAAGTATTTAAAAAATTAATTTAAAATTTAAATTTACTGAGGCAGATTCTTGACAAGAATGAAACATTGAGCCAAATTGGCTATGAACAGATGGTGGCGTAGCTGATGACGTTGAAGAACTGTGACGGCGATTTTGTTGGAATCTAGCTACAAAAATTAAAAACTTAAAATTAAAAAGAATTAAAAAAACCTTTAGAAGTCGCTGACATTTAATATAATAAAATAGAATATATTCACAATAGGAAAAGAAGAAAAGTATTGCGTAAGGAAACCTCTTTTTTTGATACAAATGGATCCAATCTATAAACAAAGCAATGAGAAGCAATGAGAAAAGATTTTTGTAGTTTATCTTAAAAAATTGATAAATGTGGAAAAAATATTTTTTAATGAAAAAGGTGTGCATAAATTGTTACAAAAAAGTCTATGTACATAAATAAGGGACACGCCCAAGTAGGCGCGCGGCCAAGTAGGCGCAAAGCCATAACTTCTTGGAAAATTTTTGGAGCTTAATAATTTTGGTACCAATCTCTTTAGCTCGATGAGAGGAAGCGTTTAATACTAAATTTTGAAAGATTTGGAAATTTTGAAGCAAGTTATGGCTTTGCGCCTACTTGGCCGCGCGCCTACTTGGGCTGTACCCCATAAATAATTAAGAAAAAGAAGTTATTGAGAAATAAATAGGAAATCGAGCAGAATCTAGAAGTCTGTCTTTAATAAAAAAAATAATATTGAGAGTAAAAAGAAAAGGATGTGATCAAACAAAGTAATAATTGTTATAATAAAGGGAAGCTTTAAATTCTTCAAGGTTGGAAATTTAATTCGAATTAGCAAAAATAATGAAAAAAATTTAATAGAACAATTCCACATTGTGAGCAATTGGACAGTAAAATTAATTGAATGCAAGTTAGAGGAAAATCGAAATCTTGACGTTTGCAGGAACCGATAATTTAAAAATTTTTAAATTCTCTAATTCTGGACAATTCGGCGCGCATAAATGGGCTCAAACGATTGGGCGCCATTTTTCGGCGCATTTTTTTTCACTGACAGTGTTAGTATAAAAGCACCCATTAAAGTCAGTTTAGTTGGCCAGACAACGGTCAAGCTAGCCACTGCCTGCTCCGGGCATGGGCAACCTAGTTTGATAGCGGTAGTTGCGTAGTTCTAGTTAGCCACTGGCTGCTTCGGGCACGGTCAACCTAGCTATGTCTACGTTAACTATTGCGATACGTGGCCCCTTTGTGTTAAGTTGTATTCATTAGTCGACACTGTGCAGACGGTGTTTCCTTAACCAAAGGGCTGGGTATAGTTAGCCACTGCCTGCTCCGAGCTTGGGCAACCTAGCTATTACCCGGCTAGGTTAGGCTAAACTAGCCACTGCCTGCTTCGGGCTTGGGCAACCTAGTTGAACCTAACCCGCTTCTTACGACCACTGCCACAATTGTTGCAATTGTTGTTTTGGTTGACTAGGTCGCTAGCCACTGCCTGCTTCGGGCCTGGGCAACCTAGTCCTACGGAAGTGGTGGAGTACAAGGTTTGCCCGTTTACAACCGTGCACCTCCTCGCGGTGTACTCTGGGCATTGATTTAAATTTTTTAAATCATTGGCTAAGCGCGGTACAAACGGGAAAAATTTGGTTTTAAGCCTTTAAAATAATCCCCATCATTTTCTCTTCTCATACAAATCATTTTACGATAAAATAGTTAAAACTTGCAGACTTTTGAGAATATAAAGGAAAAAAGGTTTAAATCAGGGCTCCGATCCGTACTTATTTTGGAAGTGATTTTATTTTCTAAGTGATTTTAATCCCGGTTTATCCGAGCGAGGTAAAGCATCCTTTAGAAATATTGAATCCTTTTATGGTAGATTTTATCAATTTCTTGGACAATTTATCCAAAACCCTATTTAAATTAAAATTTAATTAACTAATACTGTAATCTCTAATACCTTTTTAAATGAGTTAGTATTTATTTTTCTTTTTTATTTTTAGAATCCCTTCATTCGTTTCTCACTTTTAACTATTTTACTTTAAAAAAGCTAACAAAATTTGTAAATTATTTTTATTGTTTAATATCATCATCTTCAAAATAATTGTTTCTTTTTTCTAGTTTATATCTGCTTTTCTTTTTCCAATTCTCGATTAGTTAAAAGAAAAGAAAAAATGAATGGGGGAGCGGCATTTCGATTTGAGAGAGGTTTAAAAATAAATGAATGAGTGCGGGAAATGGGGGGCTTATGTTTTATGTAGATTTATTTATTTATTCATTACTTTTTCTAAATAATATATTTAGTTAGCCCCCTAAATATATCCACTTGAAAATATAAAAGAAATTAGAAAAGATTTTAGTTAAAATATATAATGGATATATATATTTTGCCTATCTCTTTCTTTATTTACAATTGGATGGATAATTTTGTTTAATAATAATTAAATTGGGGATTTTGTTTAGAATTTAAATTGTTTGTTAAAATGATTGACTACTAAATTATTTCTCAAAGACAATTAAATCTTTGTATATCCAGTTCTGATATCCGAATCAGAACTTTGGAGATAACATTAATTTAATTATAGCCAAACAAGAACAGAAAATTTCCAACTAGAACAGAAAATATCAAAATATTTTTTTGGATTTTTTCAAACCTCTTATGAGATAATTCCAATTACTTTTGATATTTATAGATAATTTTCAAAATTTCAATTCTTGGTAGAATTTTAATATTGACTATTTTTATATAAAACTTTTTTTTGTTTAAGCAATGATTTATGTTCTATATTTATTTTATATTTAAGTGTGCTTTAACTCCCCTAGGAATTTTTTTGGAATTATTTTTTAACAAAAATATTTTTAAAAATCAAAGAAAAATTTTTTTATTTAAAAATTAATTTTTATTGACTTTTTAATTAAAATAAATTTAAAAAAAAATAAAATTTTCTTTTAATTTGATGCCTTTCCTTCTATAAATATATATTTATTATATATTAATTCACCGCTTTTGCCCAGCAGCTAATAATCCTCCCTCATTCAATTTTATTATTAATCCATCCCGACAGACATAAAGAGGGCTAAAATGAAAAAAGGAAATGTTTTTATTTATATTTTTTTAGAAATTAATTTTTTTCTTTAAAAAAATAAATATTTACATAAATAAATTTAAAAAAATAGATTTCATATCATTGTCGAAATTTTTTTAATCATTAAACCTTAATTCCTTCTCAGAAAAATTCCAATTTTTGATTTAATATTTAAAAATAATTTTTTTAGAAAAGAAAATCTAAAATTGTAATATTTATTTTCAATCTGATCATTGATCACAAAATAATTATTTTTAAAGATTTTTTCTCAAAAATTAATATATATTTATTTTATTTTAAAGTTTTGCAGCTAAAATATATCCTCACAAATTAATTTCTTTCCCTTTACTTACATTTTATTTTCAATCAAATCATTCCCCCCTTCCCCTCCCCCCTCTCCCCCTCCCCCCTCTAAATATATTTAATATATCATTGTTCTTTTTTAATTTTCTTTATTTACTTCATCATAATTTTCCTTTTCCCTTTTTTTATTTCTTCAATCATTTTTTGAGCAATTAACAGTTGCTTTTAATAATAATAATAATATTCCATTAAAAATTGTTATTTAAAAGAAAAAAAAGATTTTGAGGGAAGGGAATTTATATTAAGTAAAAAATTTAGAATTAAGATTTTTGGGAAGGGAAAGAAATGAAAGGAAGGTAGGGCTAATAAAAATAAAAGTTATTTTATGAAAAAAAGTAAAAATGAAATTAAAGGCTTTGATGATTTGATGGCCCTTATATTTATTGAATTTAATAAGAAAAAAGAGTTGATTTTTTAGTTGATATTATTATAAGAAAATGATTTTTTTATAAATTTAAGAATAATTTAAAATTATAAATTAAATCTTTTTCTTTATTAAATTTAAAATTATTTTAATTATTTTTTCCAATTTTATTTTCCAATTATTTAAAATAATTAATTAATTGTTCATTCAGTTTCTACATACATATAACTGTTAATGGCATTTTACTTAAAAATTTTTTGTGTCCTCACATGTCCGTCCCCTCCATTTTCCTTACTTTTCTATTGTTCCTTAAAAAAGTTTTTTTTTATTATTATTCCCAAAAATTAATTGAGAGAGAATTAAACTAACCACATTTAGCGCCTTCTTACCTCCTCTCCCCCCTCTCCCCAACCACTTACCCTCATTTATACAATTTTCTACAATTTATTTCTTTTATTTAATTTCCTCCATTATCTCTTAAAAATATTTTTGTTTTTTTCCAGTCAATTAATTATTAGAATATATTTAGGTAGTTAATTCGGGAGATGATTTTCTCTGGAAAGAAAGAGAGAGAAGTAGACAATGGCTAATTAGAAATATTTAAAGTTTTTATTTCTAGATAGAAAACATTTTTATTGTTTATACCAAAAACAGATGTAAATTTTGGTAAGGAAAATGGCAAAAAATATTAGAGGAGGAGGAGGGGGTGGGGGGGCACTAGTCATTTAAACTAAAATAAACCTGTCAGTATTTTTTAAGAGATTTAATTTCTGTAATTATTTTATTTCTTTAAAATATTTTCTTTACTTTTTTATTTCTGACTGAGTTAATTTATTATATACAGGTTTTATTCTAATAGAAACACATCATCTCTATTTGAACCACAGTCTCTAAAATAACCATATCAAATGGAGGGGTTGAAAAATATGTCCGTCCCTTCCATTTTCCTTATTACCAATGAAAAATAAAGCCACAGTGGTTCTAGTAGAATAAATCCATTATTTCTATTTATTTTCAAAATAAATCTCCACAAAATATTTACTATTTTGTTTTCCCTGAATAAATTATTAGATTAAAATAAAATAAAAAGGTATAGGTACAATTTTTAATTGTTTTCTCGTTTTTGTTCTTATATTCTTTCAAATTATTTCCAACCTAATGAAAATAAAATTTTATTCAATGGCAACAAACAGATTGACCTAAAAATCTTCTTTTGTTTTTATTGTTAAATAAAATTGTTTGCCAAAATTATTTTCCAAAAAAAATTTTAATAATTAATTACAAAAATAAATAAAATTTATTTAAATAATAAAGGTGTTTGTCGAGAAGTTAATAAGAAAAAAACAGCAAAACACAGTTGGTGGTCATTTATTTATTTAAACAATTTACCAACTTTTTTTAAAACAAATAAAAATATTATTTTCATTTTCCATTGTTTAAAGAAAAAAATCTTTTTTTTTCATTCTTTTCACAGCGTGGAGTAATTAAGTGTGAAAATGATTTTTAAAAATTTTTTAAATTAAATTAAATGAATTGATAAAAATATTTTGGGGGATAATTTTTAAATTTAATTTCCTTTTATTATTTTAAAAATATTCCCCTCTCCTCCCCTCCCTTTCCTCTTCTAATTTAAAAATTATATATTTTCCATTTCATTTATTTATTTCATACTGTAAATATCCACTTTTCTTATTCCCTTTTGCTTTTATCTACTTAAATATTTTCTTTACCAAAATTATTTATTAGAAGGGAAAAAGGGAGGAAGGGGGAGGGGATTGGTGCATTTACATAGAATATTTAGATGTTTTGTGTCATCATATTCCCTTTATTTATAAATATATACATATATCCAACAACCACCAATTCTTCCAACTTTTTTTCAAAATTTATTTATAAAATTTACCAAAATCCCTTCTCTTTTCTTTTAAAAAACAAATTACTTTAATATTTCCCACCATATGCTTATTCTTCTCTTTTATTTATTTTTAAATTACCTTCCTTACCCCAACCATTTATCCGTAAAATTTTTTCAATTTTTTCTTCATTTCATCCACATTTTTCAATTTTAATTTACTGTATTTCCTTTATATATTTTATTTTAGTCGCAACTTCTTAAATTATTTTTTTAAAAGTTATATATTCCACTTAATAATAATAATAATGTAGGTACTTCAATATTTATTATATATATATTTCTCCCATCCAATTACTTTTTCTTTAAATTCTTGTTTTATTCATTATATACTTCATTTGTTTATGAAAAGGAAAAAAATTATTTTTTATTTAAAAATACATATAATTTACTGTATGTATTTAAATACCGAAAAATTGAGAAATATGTTTGGAACTAAGTTTGTCGGATAGTTGGGAATCTTTAGATATCCGGGTCCGATATCACAACCGAAAACCTCCAGATATGCGGCTTTTTTCGGTTCCGGATATCCGAATCCGAAAACCTTATTTGGACGCTCTTTTTATTTTACTTTGTGATCTTTTTCTAAATAATTTCTATAAAAATCTCCCTCGAAATTTTTAGTTTAATTCTTAAAAAACATCTTAAGAAGACTTAAAATAGTTTCAGAAAAGTTTAAAAAATTTTTTGGTTAAGAAAAGATACGGGTTTTAGCCTCCAATGAACTCGAAAAATGAGGTAAAACGAAAAAATATCAAAAACTAAAATAGGTAATCACCCGAGATAAATTATTAGCCGAATAATTTTTAGAAATAAGATTAAAAACATTTTTCCCTACTGTACATATTCAAATAATAAATTAATACTTTAATAAATTCAAAATAACTTTAAAATATTTTTCTTTTCCTTTTTAAAATTTGAAAGTTAAAATTTTTTTAGTAAGCTCTGTTCAGTGTTTTTATTTTCTTTGTTTATATTTTTCCAAACTTAAAAATTTAATTTTGATCTTAAAATACTTATTTTGTTGTTAACTAGTTAAGGTTCTTCTACTAAATAAATATAACAATTTTTAATTTTTTTTGTAATTCTATTGGCCAACAGGCATTTAATTTCCTTTTCCTCCTTTTTTTTGCAATCCTCTGATTGTAAAAATATTGCCACGCCTAGCATAATCACTTTCATCTGTGTATTTTTTCAATCTCTTCTAAGGACAATAAATAAATATATCTAAATAATTCTTCTTCCCTTATTTTTATTCGAATTTCTTTATTTTCCCCATCCCCCTCCCTCTCCTTTCTCTATTCCGCGGCCTTTTCCTCCTCCCCAAATGATTAATGAGCGGAATTAGCTTTCCCCCTCTTCTTTACTGCATCAAACACTCATTTTAAGCATAATTTGTGCCTAAATTTATTGGCCAATACAGCCGCAAAACAATGCAGAAATTAAAAAAGAAGAGAAGAAAAATCTTTTTTTTTATTTTTATATGCCAAATTATCCATTATATATTTTTTATTTTATTTAAAGTATTTATAATTTATATAGAAATAATTTAATGTCTTTCCTTAAAAACAATTCTTTAAAAAATAAATTTCTCAAAATGAGTAATTATTATTTTTGTGGTTTTTAAAACTTGTCATAAATTTTATGCTATAATTTATTTGTAATAAATATTTTCGAATATTCTAATTATTAATGAGAAGTAAGGTTGTCGGATAGTTGGTAATCTTCTGATATTCGGCCTTTTTCGAATCCGGTTATACGGATCTGCGCAAGCTTAATGAGAAGATTTCCATTAAAAATGAGAGTTCTTTGATTATTAAATATTTTTTGATCATCTTTTAGCTAAAAATCATTAAAATATTTTCTTAATTATTTAAAACAAAATTTACAAACAAATTTTTAAATTTATAGCTTAAAATCCTTTAAAAAATATTTTTTTTCAACTATCTGTCAAAAAATGATCTCTCCAATGGCATTAGAGTCATTACTTGAAGGAGTTCAAAATCAAGATATGAATAATACAACAAAAGAAGGACAACAACAACAAAATCAAAATAATAATTTTAATGAAAAAATAAAAGAGAATGAACAAATAATTAATAGAAAAAGAAAATTAAGTTTAAATTCTTCAACAAATTTTGATGATCTTAATGAAAATAAAAATAATTTAACCCCAAATATTTCATTTCAACAAACAATTCTTGATTTGGCACAATGTGAAGCTTTAAAAAATAAAAATAATGAAGAAAAGGATTTTAATGGAAAATTAGAAATTGGCGAGGAGGAAGGAGAAGGAAATAATGGAGATAATGATAATAGTAGTAATGATTTAAATAGACAACGTTCTCATTTACTCGAATTTTTTGAAGCTCGAAAAGCACTTGAAAGGATGTTTAGTCAATTTGTTGGTAATGATGTTTTAATTTTTTGAAAATTAATTTAAGTAAAATCAAAAATTTATTTTAAATATATTGGTGAATATTCGTAATCAAAGAAGCTTGATAAAAAGAAAGATTAGGGAAATCAAGATTAAATGTTGGTGATTTATAAATATTTAAGGTCATCAAAGAATGTTCCCTCCTTCTTCTACTTCTCCCTCTTCTTTACCTTTCCAACAACAATTAGCTGACCAATTATCACCTTTTCTTTTAGCTTTAAACAATACAAATCAACAACAATTAGAAACAATAAATAATAACAATAACAATATCCAATCAACCTCCTCAACATCAACAGAATTATTATTTTCCGATTCTTCTTTTCAAAATAATCCTTTTTTCTTTCCACCGTGGCAACAACAAAAAAATTTCTTTCAATTTTCTTCTGAAAAATTAAATAAAGAAGAAATAATTAATAATTCTGAAATATTTAATATTAATGGACCAGAAGATTTAACAACAACAAAAGATGAAAGAGAATCTTCTACAACAACAATTTCGGAATTAATTAATAATGGACAACAACAACAACAACAAAATTGGAGTTATGAAGATCAATTTAAACAGGTAAAACATTAAAACAAGTTGTGTAATGTTTATTTGAATGTTGGAATGAAAAGAAAAGAAAATAAAACGTTTTGTTCGGAATGTTTTAGTTAGAATGTTTTGTTTGGAACAGAAATGTTTGTCGATTCTATTTAGGGGTTAAAATGTTTTGTTGTGTTGAAATTGTTTTGATTTTAAATGTTTATTTAATATTTTTCTTTATAGTCAGATTCCTGCTTTCTCAAATGTTTTTGTTAATGTTTTAGAAAAAAATTATTTAATTATTTTAACTTTAATTATTTTATTATTCCGCTTAATGCAAAAACAATTTTAGTATTTACACATAAACATTTTCTATATTTCTATGCTTTTTCTGTTTATTTTCTACAACTGGTGCAAAGCTAATGGTTTTAGTTAAAACAAAATAATTTTTATTTAGAAATAATAATTCTTTTAAAATAAATTATTTATTTAATTTTAAACTATTTCTTTAACAAAAAAGATTTTTTAACTAAAGTATTTAGAGGTATTATTATTTTTATATTTTCACACTAAATAAATATAATAATTTTTTCCTAATTTTTAAGTAAGGAAAAAGAAAAAATTTTAAAAGGAATTATTATTTATTTATATTTTTGGCTAAAATTGTGTATATATTTTAATAAACCGACAAAAAAAAGAATAAATAAAGGAAAAGAGGGAAACTTTTTTATAAATTTAAAAGGATAATTTTTAATTTTTTGTGACAAAACCTTTTTGCGGTAAATTTAAGTTTGTTTATATTTATGTATGTTTATGTTAAAGAAAAGACTTCAAAAAATTGTTTATGTGGATATTTTGGATTATTAAATAAAGCAAAATAAGGAGTAAATGAGTGGATTTAAATGAATTGAATTTTAATAAATCACCTATATTTTAATTTAAGTTTAGCTATAAATATTTATTTTTTGGGGGCTTATTTCTAAGTTTGTGACATTTGGTCCAAATTATTTTTCCCTTTTTTATTTCACTCATTACTTATTAATTATAACTTTTTGTTGTCCATTTAAATGTCCCCATTATTTTACTTAAAATGCTGTAGCCTTGTGGTATAGAAAAATATTTTTTAATTGTTTCGCTTGCCTTCATTCATTTAAATAAATTTATTTCTTTCCTCTATTGGTTAGTTAAATGAGAGAAGAGAAGCGTGGGAGAGAGATTACTGTGGCGATGATAATATTTATTTGAAATTAAAAAATATGTAGTTGGATAAACCAAAAAAGGGCGCAACAAGTTTGGATGTCCAAATTTTTCCTAAATTTTGTCGGATCTTCATTCACCGTTGTTCCAACGCCGGAAGTTGTTTCTATATTGAGTCTTTTTTGTTGGGCACCATTGTATGAGAGGGAGAGAAAGATTGAATAAATAAAAAATTTAAATTAAAGATATTTTTTGAGATATTATTTAACTCAATCCGGTCTTTATTCCTAATGTTCTTAATTTATTTTTAATTAAAATTTACAAAAAATAATTTTTTTAATTTAAAGCTTTATGATCTCTCTGAAGATACATCAAGAAAGGAATGGCTTAATGACTGGCTTCAATTTATGCATAAAATAGGCAAACCTGTAACTAGAATTCCAATAATGGCTAAACAAGTTCTCGATCTTTATGAGCTATATCGACTTGTTGTTCAACATGGGGGACTTGTTGAAGTTATTAATAAAAAACTTTGGCGGGAAATAACAAAAGGATTAAATTTACCTCCATCAATAACCTCTGCTGCGTTTACACTTAGAACACAGTTTTAAATTTAAATTAAAAACAAAAAATAATTATTTTTTATTTAAAAAAGATATTCAAAATATTTATTTGATTATGAATGTCATCGACACAACTTTAGTAATATCGCAGATTTACAAGCAGCTGTAGATGGAAATAAACGAGAAGGACGTAAAAATCCTCTTCCAGGAACGTCAACAACAACAAATTCTAGTTCAACACCTCCATCTATTCAAAAACAAGAACAAAATGTAAAAAATAAAATTTAATTTTTAAATTAATTGGGAGGTTAAAATTATTAGAGAGGTTACATATTAAGAGTTGTGCTTAATATAAAAATACATAATAGCCAAAGCTAATATGCCAAAGGATATTAGTTTAGCATATGTATGTCACAGTAAAATTGCATATATGAGAAATTGGATTAAGTCTAATATTTTTCTATATAAATTTTGGAATTTATATTAATGTACATATATATTTTAATTTTAAATAGAGATCGGCCGGAAGGCAAAATCAAATATTTGATCAAATAATTTGAAAATTATTTGATATTTGAAAAAATTTGATTTCTACCAAAAGTCATCAAACAAATATTTGATCAAATTATTTGAAAATTATTTGATATTTGAAAAAATTTGATTAGCAGAGTCAAATATTTGATCAAATATCAAATTTTTTAAAAATTTTTAGAATAACATATAGATCGGCGTATTTGAGAGTATATCGGGGATATTAGGATATGGAGATGATATCGGAGGATTAAGATGGATGTGTAGGGATTAATGGGTATATAAGGGAATTGTAAGGCTTAACGGGGATACAAGGGGATAAGGGTGATAAATGGGCTATGAAATAATATAGGGATAATAGTTGATATCAGGATATCGTCGATATCCATCCAGCTTACATGATATCCAACCAAATTACCATTTTTCTACAAAGAAGGATTTTTGTATCCTTTTTAATCCCTTTTACTACCCACAAATCCACCGGTATCCTTTATAGTCCTTCAAAATCCTTAGATATCCCCGCTAACAAAAGTTTAACATATATAACATTTAAACAAAAAAAATATTTTTGAAAAAAATCCAAAAAAATTCCGGATCCGGTCCGGAATCCTGGTGTCTTCTGACTGACTCCGGAAATTATTTTCACCGGATTAAAACTGGACCGCATTAATCCGAAAAATCAGGCCGGATCCGGTCAGGAAAACCCAAAATCCGGTCTCATGACCAGAAAAAACTATTTTGGCTATCACTAATAATTTGTCTTTAGCGAAAATCTCCGTTACCATATCGTTATTCTAACCAATTTTACATTTTTGTACGAAAATCAAATAATTTTCAAATTATTTGATATTTGATCAAATATTTGAATTTTCTGACCCTCATCAAACAAATATTTGATCAAATTATTTGAAAATTATTTGATATTTGAAAAAATCAAATTTTCCCAAAAAGTGGTCAAACAAATATTTGATCAAATAAATTCAAATAAAATTTGATCAAATATTTGATTTTATTTGACCAAATATTTGTTTGACCGATCTCTAATTTTAAAATAGTTACAACAACAATCCCCAAATTCTTCACAAATGTTTATAATTCCCCCACCATCAACAAATAACTGTGTAACAACAGCCCAAATAATGGTTGCTGCCGCTGCAGCGGCCGCAACTTTTGGTACTTTTCCTTCTCAATCATCATTTGCTGATCTTTTTGGAAATTTAAATAATAATTTAAATTTACAACAAAATATTTTGGGATCAGAAGATGATGGGGATAATTTAAATATTAATAATGGTTAATTATTTAAAAATAATAAAAATTAATTAAAACATTAATAATAATTAAAAAAAACTTTAAAGATTTATTAGTAAACCTTTAAAAAGTTTAGAGGAAAAGTTTAGGGAAAAATAAAAGAATTTACAGTAGATAAATTACTCTATTGTTTTTTAAATTTTTTTCTAATTTTAAAGATATTTTTAGCATTAATTTAAAATTTTGGATTAATTAAATTAATTTCTTCGTATTTACATAATTTTCTATTTAATATGCCTAAGCATAAACCTAAGCATAAACTGTCATTCCCTTAAAATTAATAGAAAATGAGAAAAGTCGTTAAAATCATTTGAATCACGATAAATTATTTAAAAATTATTTAAAAACGAATAAACACTGATAAAAAATTTTTTTGAAAAATTTATTTTAAATATTAAAAATTAATTAATTATTCTCCCTTTTATTTTAATTAGAAGAACAACAAACTTTCCAGCAACAATTAAATAATGTATTAAATGCAGTCTCAACAAAACATGTATTTAATAAATTTGGATTAGATTTTACAAAAGAAAATGATGGAGAACAACAACAATATTTAAATTTAACACCAACAATATTTAATTTACCTTCCTTTTATTCTTCTAATAATGATTTAAATAATTTTAAGTAGAGAAAATTTTTTTTTTAATTTTAAATTAAAGACAGGGAAGAACACCTACTAATAACTTGGCCTCTTTATTAGAGGTTCACCGGAAGTTCCGGTTCCAGAAAGTTTCGGCGTTTTTTGGTCGCGGGAACCGGGACACAAATCGGATCCTGTTCTGGTTTACAGATCGGCTCCGGGCAAACTGGAACTTTTTTACATCCCTAAGGATTTTTTTAAATATGAGCTGGCCTTGCAATATTCCGCCTGGGTTTAAGAAAAGTCTCCATAAATTTAAAAAAATAATTTTCAATAAAATAAAAATATAAAATTTTCAAAGAAATGATCAAGAATTTAATTCTTCTTTTTCTTCATCAACTCCTCATCAACATATATTAACAGAACCAGAATTAATTAAAAATAAAGAAAAATCAGAACCTTCAATAATTAAAACAACAACAAATAATTTTAAAAAGCAAAAACGTTCACAATCAGTAAATACAACAATTAATTATTTAAATAAAGAAGAAAAAATAAATAAAAGTAAAAGAAAATTTTGTTTTAATTTATTTTAAATTTTATTTTTTAATTTTAAGCAATTAATGAAAATAATAAAGAAAGAATTTTAATTAAACAAAGGGGGAAAATAAAAGAATCGTCAATAAATGTTTCTTTAAATTTAAATGGAATTATTTATAGAGGAATTTTATTTGCTTGTTTTAATAAAAATAATTTGGAATTAAATGAAAAAGATGACTGGGAATTTTTAATAAAAGATGAAAATAATTAAAAGAATTATTATTTTGTAAATATTTAATTAATTGTTCTCTAATATATATAAATAAATCTGTTCCGGTTTTTAATAATTTTTGTATTTATTAAATTATGTCAATTTAAAAGCATCAAAAGTTCTCCAGTTAAAAGAGAGAACTGGAGATTTAGTATTTCAGTCAAAATGGCGTCGTAGGGAAATTTGTAGATTTTCAAATGACCAGGTCAGAAGACTGGAATTCTTGTTTTCAGAAGGAGAAATCTCCCTTCGTTGGTTTATTGGCTGGACCGATTTGATCAAATGATATGTCATTCGAAAGAGCTCGTTGAGTTAAGTCGAATGACACCAAAATCGATGACATCCTACTTGTATGATCGTTTGTTTTAGCTCCTTGCCTATGGTCTTCGTGAAGGTTTTTGCCGCTGAGGAGGAAACCCGGCTTGTTGGAATTTTGTGATAGAAATAGGTTTATGTTACTAGTGCAAAACCCAGCGACTGTTGACTCTCCGCGAGGCCGCAAAACCCCGTACATTTTGCACAAGGTTTACTTGTCTTCTTTTGTATCGTAACTTTGTTCAAACTTGTTTAAACACGGTGATTTTGGTGTCATTCAACTCAACTCTCGAGCTCTTTCGAATGATACATCATTCGATCAAATCGGTCTAGCCACCAATAAGTCACAACGTTCTCAATGAAATCTCCGGAAACCTTATTATGGCAGTTTAATTGCTAAAATTGGAACCTTTACTCAGTTTTTTGGGGGTTCTACTCATTTCTGAAAGCATCACTTTGCTGTTTTTACCGTTGAAAAATCTAACTAGTATTTTATTTATTTCTTATTTTGCAAATAACCAAAAAACTAAAAAATGTACTGTAATTTTAACTCTGCACCAAACCCACCGAGCAAAATTGGCCTCGCGTCAGACCGGCCTGTACTACTTTGTCCGCGCCAAATTATCCAATTTCTTATTTTTTTGTTTTAAAAACCCAAGCTATTCAGTTGCAAATTTATTAGTAATGTTGCGCACATCTTCTTTTTTAGCTGTTTATCATTGACAAAAATTGAAATCAATATAAAGAAATTATTTAATAATTAGGTTTTTTCCCATTTCACATTTATTTACATATCTCAATTTTCTTTTCGTTTTTAGAAATTTCTTTTATATTCTATAATGAGTTTAACTGTTGACAAAAAATATTTTATTGATCGGGCTACAAGGATTTATTCTGCTTGGGTATTTTTAATAATATTTTTATCTTTTATTTATTTTTGTTCAAGGAGAAAGATGACGACCTCAAATCTTTGGATAGTCTTGTTTTTTGTGTTGGAACAAATCAAGATGAATTGCCCTATTCAAAATCTCAATCGATTCAGGTCTATTTCTATTTTGTTGTCCCTTGGGTATTTTCTCTAGAATTTGTCTTCCTATAAGAATTCAGTAGACACCAGTCATACCTACGCCTTGCAGAGACAAAGTGTCTCGTTCCTGTTCTTTTACTTTTTTGTTGGTTGTTACTCATTTTTATCTTCGTTATTTATAAACTTTCAATTTATAGACCTGGCTTTTCAATTGTGCACTTCCAGATACTCTTCTGATATTGACCAAAAATGGGATTTATTTTCTTGGAAGTGACAAAAAGGCCCAGTTCTCTCCACTGGAATCTAAAGAGAATTTAAATCCTTTTGTTCCACCTTTCTCTACATTAGTTAGAAATAAGACGGACAAGGATAAGGACAATTTTGAGAAGTTACTCGGAAAATTGCTTGATGCTGGCCGTCATATTGGTTGTTTTACAAAAGACAAACCTGATTCTGCATTTGCTAAGGCTTGGGATGCTGGCTTGAAAGCGAAAAATTTAGTAAGTTTTTTAAAGTTTTTATCAATTATTTGTTATTTTCTTTATTGTTAATTAAAAATTTTCTCAATTTATAGGCAGTTGAAGACATTTCTCTTCCATTCGCAAAAATCTTCGCTGTTAAAGATGACAAAGAAATTGAATTACTTAAGCATTCTGCCCATGCAACAGTTAATGCCTGGAATTATCTGAGGCGTAAAATTGTTGACATTGTTGATACAGAAAAGGTTTATTTTAATTAATATTTTTATTAATTCCAATAATTTTCAGCGCATCAAGCAAAGCCGTTTGGCTGAAGATTTGGAGAAGTCAATGGTTAATGTTCAGGTACAGGGAGAATTGGCAAAAAAGAATATTTTGGAAGTCTGCTATTGTCCAATAATTCAATCTGGAGAGAATTGTGCTTTGAAATTCAGCGCTCAGAGGTAATAAAATTGATTGGTACAGGCATTTAGCCAGGAAAATCTACGTGTGTGGGAAAATCATTTTTGAAAATATTGTATTTTATTTACTTCTTTGGTATTGATATCCCTTGTATTCAATGTGGATTGAATTTTATAAATTAGGATCCCCTTTTTATTTTTCAGTACTTTAAAGAATTTAAATATTTTAGTCCGGATAAGCTTCTTCACTTTGGTTCAATTGCAAGTACACTTGGTGCTCGATATAGCGTAAGTATTTCTCAAGTGATTTTTTTTAAAATTGTTTTCAGTCTTATTGTACTAACGTTGCCCGTACTTTAATGGTTATGCCAACAGAATTAATGGAACAATTATATGAACTTCTTTTAACAACAGAAGCAGCTATAATTGAGGCATTAAAACCTGGTCGACCCATCTCTGAGGCTTATGAAGCTGGAATTAATCATTTTAAAGAACAAAAACCTGATTATCTTCAATATCTTGTTAAGAATTTTGGGTTTGCTTTTTTGTTATTTTCCAAAAAAATCTTTTTTTCAGTTTTGTAACTGGAATTGAATTTCGTGAAAGTGGATTGCTTATCAATGAACGATGTAATCATCTAGTTGAAAAGAATATGACATTTATAGTTGCTGTTGGACTTCAGAACTTCCCGAATAAGGAAGCAAAAGATGATGACAAAAAGACTTGTTCAATTTTCATTAGCGATACAATTCTTGTCTGCGAGGTTTAAAAAGGGAAAGAAATTTTTTGATTATTTAATTTATTTTTAGGATGGCCCAAATGATATTTTGACTATTGCAGCAAAAAATCGTTTGCGTTCAAATTCAATTAGATTTCGTGAAGAAAATGCAAAATCTTCAAAGGAAGTGGAAGAAACATTGTCTACTCGAACTAAACGTTCTGTTGTGTTACAAGATCAAACTAGAGTTAATTTTTAAATTTTAAAATTTAAATAAAATTATTTTCTTAAAGCATAAACAAACGAATGAAGAGAAACGTAAAGAACGTCAAAAAGAATTGGCTGAACAAATGAATAAGGAAGCTAAGGAACGTTTATTGTCTAACAAGTCTGGTACTGCTGAAGCTAAAAAGTATTTTTAAATTAATTCCACACTTTATTTTTTCAATTTTAAGAGCAAAAAAATCAAATACATCTTACAAATCAGAAGAAAAGTTTCCTGATGAGCATGAAGTTGAGAAACTTATGATTTATGTTGGTTGGTAATTTTTGCTTTTTAATTACTAGAATAATTTTGATTTAATAAGTGATACTTATTTTATTAAAACTTGGCAGATAAAAAGCACGACACGATAATTGTACCAATCTTTGGTATTCCTGTCCCTTTTCACATATCAATGGTCAAGAATGCCAGTTTGGCAAATGAGGGTGACTTCTCATATTTGCGTATCAACTTTACACATCCTGGTTCTCAGATCGGAAAAGAAAATCCTCATTTTGCTCTTGCAAAATACTTGAAAGAATTGTAAGGATTTTAATTAATTTAAAGTCTAATTTCTTTTTATTTTTTAGATCATTCAAGAGTAGCAATGTCCGTGAACCGGGTGAGGTTAATGCGCCCAGCCTCAATCTTCAAAACGCTGCACGAATGATAAAAGAATTGCAGAAACGTTTTCGAACGTTGGAGGCTGAAGAGCGCGAAAAAGAAGGGGCTGTAAAACAAGACAAATTAATTATATCGCAAAATGGGAAAGGAAATCCAAAATTGAAAGATCTTTATGTTCGTCCAAATATCATCGCAAAACGAATCAGTGGGTCATTGGAGGCACATGTTAATGGCTTTCGCTATACTTCATTACGTGGAGATAAAATTGATGTTCTATATAACAATATTAAACATGCCTTCTTTCAACCTTGCGATAATGAAATGATAATTCTTTTGCATTTTCATTTGAAGGTTTTTTAAATCTTTTTTATGAAATTTTTATTTGAAAATTTAGAATCCTGTTCTTTGGGGGAAAAAGAAATATCTGGATGTGCAGTTCTACACCGAAGTTGGAGAGATAACCACAGACTTGGGTAAATACCACCATATGCAAGATCGTGATGATATGCAGAGTGAACAGGTTATAATTTTTGTTTTGAGTTTTTTTAAATTTACTTATTGTTAGATGGAACGTGAAATGCGTAAAAAACTCAATCTTGCTTTTCAAAGTTTTTGCGACAAAGTCTTCCGTATGACAAATGAACATGTTGATTTTGATACTCCATTTAGTGAACTTGCTTTTATTGGGGCGCCACATCGATCTTCTGTTAAGTTGCAACCAACTTCCTCCTGTTTGGTACATCTTACTGAATGGGTTTGTTTCTATTTTGATTGTTTTGAATATTCTTTATTTAGCCACCGTTTGTTGTCACCCTTGACGAAGTTGAATTAGTACATTTTGAACGCGTGACTGGCAATACAAGTACATTTGATGCTGTAATTGTTTTCAAAGACTATTCGAGAAAACCACATAGTATTGGACAAATACCTTCATCTTCTCTTGATGGTATTAAGGACTGGCTTAAGTAAGTTAAAGGAGACAATGATTTTTAAATTTAAATATCACTTTTTCTTAAGCTCTTGTGACATTCGCTACAGTGAAGGTCCTATGTCATTGAATTGGGCAAATATTATGCGCACAGTTAATGATGATCCTGAGGCATTTTTTGAGGATGGTGGTTGGAATTTCTTATCCGCAGAATCGGATGAAGGAGAAGAAAATGATGTTGAATCTGATGAATCTTCTTTCCATGCATCTGAAGACGAAACTTCTGCTAGTAGTGATGAGGACGAGGAGGAAGAGGAAGGTGTTTCAGAAGAAGAATCGGGTAGGATATTTATGAAATATTTTGTTGATTTTTTTTATTTTTCTAGAAAGCGAAGCTTCACTTGATAGTGAGGAGGAGGAAGGAAAGGATTGGAGTGATCTCGAAGAGGAGGCTGCTAAAGGTTTATTTTCATAAAATCATTCATAAAATGTTTCTTTCTTTTATAGCCGATCGAGTAAAAGCACGCGAAGAGGATGAGCATGACAAGCGTCATCATCAAACTAAGAGAAAGGGAGTAAAGTCTGGCCCTCCACCCAAGCGTCGTCGCTGATTATAGCAAATAGAAAAAGGAATGAGACTCTATAATTCACTCACCTTTCCTACCCGTTTCTATTTTAATTATCTTTTTTGGAAAATATTTTAACCTGTCGCCCAGCAAATCTGATTTTCCTGTTTCTAATTTTACGCGTAAAGATTTGTAAAGGATTTGAATTTTAATTTGATTTCCGTTTGTTCGATCGGATATTTATTTTTAAATTATTGAAGTTTTTTGTTTAATGCAAATAACTGTAAATGATCAACAAGCAAGTGATCAATAATAAGCTTTTTGCATTTATTTATCTTATATTTTTTAATATTTTATTTTAGAATCAATATTTTCATATTTTGCTTTTCATTTCAACGTTGAAAATGACGCATGGTTTTCCGGTGATTGTTTTTGAGCCGGAGGAGGAGCTTGTATTTAGAGGTAGCTTTTGATAGTTGTGGTAAATTTAAAAATAATTCAATTGAATTTTGAGGAATGTCCTTAAAAATTTTAGCTGTGGTTCCCTTCCCGTTGAATTTTATGTACATATATAAATATAAAATACATAAAAATATTTGTTTCCTCGAATAGCTTCGGTGTATAACGCGCCCTAATATCTTATATCCACACTAATCATTTCAACGAATTTGATATTTTTTATCTTAGACAAACTTGGTCATGTTACTGGTGTTCAGCTGATAATTAGAAATAAGAATCTTGAGGAGATTTACTTTAAGGTTACTTTAATTTTAAGAAATTTTAATCAAAATATATATTTTAGGTTAAATCAACTGCTAGTAAATTCTACAGTGTGAGGCCTTCCTCTGGAACTATTAAGCCTCACGGCCAAGTCAAGGTTATCATTCAACCGCATGATGATTCTGCTAAATCGTTGGATGTTATTGAAGAGAATAATCATCGTTTTATGATTCAGGTTGTTCTTAAATTTTATTCTTTAATCTTTGATTTTTAGTCTGCTTTTGTTGACAACAAATCTCCAAAAACGGCTGATGAATTTTGGCAAAACTTTGATAAGGGAAAAGTTCCAGTAACTACTTGTAAATTGCATGTTCGTGTTAAACGTCTGGATTCTAATGCTATTTCCTCTACTGAAGCAATTAATGGTGGAACTTCTCACAGTCAACATCGACAAGGGCTCGAAGATCAGGCTGAGGCATTTGCTAAAGCGGTATTTTTTAATAGTTTAATTTACTACAATTTAAATTTTAGCATTTTCATGTGCAAAATACTAGAGCAAAAGAGCATGTTAAGGAGGCTGTTGTAAGGAAGGAGGATCAAGAAAAGAAGACAATCAATGGAAATCTGTCAAATATTCCATCGATTCCTCTTGTACGGGACATTGTTGAAAATATTGGATTAGTGGCGAATACAGTTGAGGGAGTTCAGGTTCTAATTTTTTATAAATTTTTTTCAATAATTTTATAATTAGAATGGTGTAAAGAGTGATGATATGAAGGACGGAAAGATTGATGAGGCTTCTGAATTTGAAAAGGTTATTGCTAAAGACAATAAAGAGGAGGGTAACATAATTGAGAATAAGTTCAAAAATTTGAATGGTGCGGCAAATTCGGTTGCTAATGCTGAAGTTATGGTGGAAAATGATGAGGAAATTCAGGTTTTAGATATTTTACTATCCATAAATACAAGTTACAAGTGCCGTGATTTCACGTTTTCTCCTACTACCCTTTTTGACAATACCATCTTTCTTTTCTGGCTCTTAAAAAAATATTGAAGAAAATTTATAAGAAATTAAAACCGAGCTGCTTTGTATATTGTAAAAATTAAATTCCAGCTGCGGCTTGAATTAGTTTTAAGCTCCTTTTTTAAAACAATCCTCACACCCCAATGCCACTAGTTCAAATTGCCTAATCTTAATTATCTTATATAAAGACTTTATTTAAAGACTACTTTTAAGAAATTATCGAATCTCAACGTTGGTTCTTCAAATGGTGGTTGTACAGAAGAGATGCGTGTTCAAATGGAGTCTCCACTTCCAAATAATCAACCGTCTCATTTTACTATTGCGAATACTTCTAATGAAACTAAAATTGATAATTTATCTTCAACGATGTTTAAACAGCAAAAGCCTCTTTTTAATTCTTCGCAATTCTGCTACTATCCTATGCCATTTGTTGAGCCTGCTTTTCATAGTGGAGCAGAGAGTGGAAATGGATATTATGGTAATTTTTGGATTCTTTTTAATTATTTAACTTTTGATTTTATTTATTAAAATTATTCTCATTTATTTATTAGCTTTAAAGTACTCTTTTAGTTACTAAGTTGAGCATTTTCTTAAATTTTAATTTGATTCTCCCACATCCTCCTTTCATTTTTTACTCATTTGTATTCTTTTATTTTCAAAATCTAAATATATTTTAATTTAAAAAATAATTATTACATATTTTTAGGTCGTTATATTGCTAGTGTTCTTGACAAAATGCCAAAGAAGATTGCAATTACTATGAAACGCGAAATTGCTGAACTTATTGCTAAATTTGAACAAAAGGTTGCTGAGGAGGAGAATGAGTAAAAGAGTTATTGATTGATTGATTTTGCTATAAAACAAGACATTCTCGAGCTTTTACGTAAATTATTATTTTTTGGATTGTAAAATTATTTAAGGAGTAGATAATTAATTAATTTCTTTTTTTGAATGACAAATTTTTGGAATTATTTTGAATTTTAATTTAAAAAGAATTTAGAAAAGAAATTAATTTTTTATCTACAAAATTATGCTCATTTTAAATTATTCTTTTTTGTTTTGGGAGAGAAGTGTTTCAAAGTACACATATTCTTCTGCTTTCATTTATTCTGGGATATTTATTGTTTTGGAAGTGATTAACTTAAAATTAATTTCAAAACACTCGTTTATTACTGCGAATTTTTTTGGATTATTTATTGGTATAAAAATTTATTGAAAAATTTATTTTTTATTTTATATAATGGGTTGTCAGATAAATAATGAGCCCTTTGCGCATTTTTAGTCTTCTTTTATGTATAGGTATTCGAATTTTAGTTAGAATTATTTTAAATTTACTAGAGTCGATAGTTCGCGCTTTTTTCTACTAGCCAGAACCATTTAAAAAATAAATTTTGAGTTTTGCAATTTTTTAAAAATTTTTTAAAATTATGTCCTCAAAATATGAAATTCGGACTGTTATTATGTATTGCTTCAAACGCGGTCTAGGTACAACTCAATCCAAAAAAGAAGATGCCGCCTTGTAGGGTACATATTGGGCATCTTTTGCATCAATTAAGCGATGTTACAAAAAATTCAGTGATGGAGATATGGGCCTAGAAGCCAAAAACCCCAAATTTGGGCTAAATTTGTGGTTTTACACTGGGAACTAACTTCTAAAGGGCAATGGATTGCCGGGCGAACTCTACAAAACAATATTGGACATAGTTCAGATTGCCAACGATGGTTTCACTGCTTGCGGGGTTCGTTATGATAAAGTTGTTTTTCAACAGGAAACTGCACTCTTGCATCGCGCGAACGCAACTCGAGCCTAGATCACGGAGACACTCAGATGGGAACTTTTAGTTGATCCTCCTTATTCTACGGATATTGCGCCGTCTTACTAGCAGTTATTTCGTTCGATGAAAAATCATTTGCGGGAGGTGAGGTTCCAAAACTGTGCTCAACTCTAAAATTGGGTTGCCAACATTCTTAATACCAAATCTGCCACTAAATTTTATCAACTGGGAATTCTAAAACTGCCAAGCAAGGGGCAAGAAGTGATAGATAATAATGGACATTAAATTGTTTTTTGATTTCATTTCATTATTTAGTTATAGTAAATTGTATAATTTATGCGCAAAGGGCTCATTATTTATCTGACAACCCATTACATAGAAAATTAAAATTATGGTGGCAGGGGGGGGGATAAATTCTTTAATTAGTGACAAGTTCAAAAATCATTCAAACTCTTGAATTTTATTTTTATTCGACTCGTCTCGATAGGATCTATTGAAATAATTTAAAATTAAATTTTTGAAAATTTCGCATAAAAATTTTAGATTAGTCCCATATATTTTGAATAATATTTAGAGAGCCACTTTTTATGAGGGGTCGAATGAATTTTATTCAGAAATTTTGCTCGAAAATTAAGATAAAATTAACCTGAATAAATTATAAAATTAAAAGGCTGTTTTTGATATAGTAATTAAATTTCTCAAAATGTTGTAAATTCGATAAAAAAAAGTAATTCTTGTTGAAAAAGTGAGTTGTGCTTAAAATAAATTGCGCACCTAATTTATATAGAAATTGGTTTAAAATTTAAGAAAAGACTTGCCCAAATTAAATTGATTTTATCGTGTGTTCATTCACCTTAACTTTTTCGTCTTTTGTCTTGATTTCCCCCCTTTCCATTTTTTTACCGAAGAGTAGCTGATTCCCTTCCCTTTCTTGTTGGTTGTATTTTTTAATTGTTTCTTTGAAGAATTTGTTTAAAAAAAGGAGGGAAAGATTGCGCTCATTTAGAGGGGTGAATGAGAGAGAGAGAATGTTTTAATTATAACCAAAGTCAACAATTAATCATTTATTTAATGGGGGCAATTAATCATTTATTTAATCATTTATTTAAATGATTAACAATTAATCATTTATTTAACCCAAGTTTAAGTTAAGGATTTAAGTTACATTACTCTGGGTAATAACTTATGGAAATAATGTCAACGTCAATAAATAATCAATCAACATCCACAAAAAGAAATGCAAATACGCCATTAAATTTATCTGGCACATCAGTTAACGACAAACGCTCACGATTAATTGAGCAAATCAATAATTTAAATTTTCAAGAAATTTTTCAACAAATGAATAACGACACTACAACACCTCCGTGGGCAAAAATTCTAATGACCCAAATGCAGCAGATATTAACATTAACTTCTGAATTGATAGTGGAACAACAACAACAAACTGGGAATCAACAAACAAGCCAACTTCAATATGGTGAATTTAGGCAAGAAATGGAGGAGAAGGAAAGACGCCACTGTCTCGTGCTTAATGGATTGCCAGAAAGTGAACAAGCTGAATCAATTGAAAAGGCGAAGGATGATCAACAACGAGTTTTACAGGTCTTAAATGAATGTAAAGTTTCAAGTGCTTTGCCAACTGGGATTTTTCGTATGGGGAAAATTAACCAAAATAAACCTCGCCCAATTAAAATTAAATTTCCATGTTCATATGCTGTTCGGGAGGCACTCTCAGGCAAAAAATTTTTAAAAAATCAATACAAACATTTACATTTGCGAGAGTCCCTTTCCAGAACAGAACTCGCTAATCGATCTGCTCTTATAAAACAGTGTCATGAAAAACGTCAGGCGCATCCTGGTGCCGACTTTATTATATATGCTGGTATGGTAATTTTGCGGGAGGAGATCCCTATTTTTCGCACAACCATAAATACAAATCCACACTCAAAAAACTTAATCTCCTCCCACTAACTTATAAGCCAATTTATAAAACAGCCCAAAAAACTCCGAATTGCGTACAAATAATCAATAAGAATTGTAAAAGTAAAAAGAAAAATTTTAAAAAATCCGAAAATATAAAATGCATTTGCTTTAACGCTCGTAGTTTATTAAATAAAATGAATGAATTTCGATCATTACTAAGCACCAATAAATACCAAATCATAGTCGTTAGCGAATCCTGGCTTCATAAAGAAATTAATGATAGTTTTATTCTACATGCATTAGATTATGAGATTCTAAGATCAGACAGACCATCCAAAAAAGGTGGCGGCGTTTGCGTTCTAATTCATAAGGCATTACCGTTCAAACAGTCCAAAATTTTAAAAACAAATAGTTTCAACCTAATATCATTCGACTTGTTATTACCTCAACTCCAAACAATAAGAATTATTGCTGTTTACAGGCCCCCTGGGTTTCAAAAATCACAAGATTTTTCTAATCTCTTGGAAACTATATTATACTGCTGCACCACTGAAAATGCGTGTATAATGCTGGGAGATTTTAATTTTCCTGGAATAGCATGGGAACAATTCTTACCTGTCTCACACACCACTCAGATTGAAAACGAATTTTGTGAGTTTACTAACAGCCAACAGTTAATACAACTTGTCTCTCAAGGTACTAGGGGAAAAAATATATTAGATCTTGTTTTTACTAACACACACAACTTAATACACAAGTTAGAAATAGCACCCCCTTTCTCAACATCGGATCATAACAGTATAATTTTTGAATTAGAACAAATAATAACTTATGAACCTACAAAATACATCAAGGATTTTAAAAAAGCGGACTATAAAACAATTAACCAATACCTAGCAACAATTGATTGGATAACCATATTTGGGCACTCCAATGATATAAACATCAACTATAAAAATTTTTCTAACATAATTAACGAAACTAAAAAAACTAAAAACTTGTTTACCTATAGAAAATAAACTAAAAGGATTACCGACTCATATTAAAAAATTATTAGACACTCAAGAGGGTTTATGGAAACGAAACATTCATAAAACGAATAGGCCAAACTATTTGAAGATAACTCATCTAATAAGGAAACAGATGCTGAAATTTCGGAAAAATAAAGAAAAAAGAATAATACCCCACCCAAAAAAGAAATTTGCATATGTTGGCGCTTTTCTTAAATCAAAAAATTTGAAATACTCAACAATGGTAGACGATCACAATAACATAATATTCACAAATAAACAGAAAGTTAACATACTTGCATCTCATTTCAGTTCAGTCTTTAAAAACAGTGGGACTAACACACAGATTACAAACAAAACTTCCCCACTATTGAATACAATAGATTACATGGATTTTTCAGTTTACGATATATTTAATTATTTAACAAAATTAGATAATAAGAATAACACATCACCTGATAATATACCTAATATCTTTCTTAAAAACTGTGCACAAACATTGGCATATCCACTCTTTAGTTTATTCTCTCTATCATTAATGACAAAAAAGGTACCTGATCTCTGGAAAGAAAGTATAATCGTTCCAATCCAAAAGATTCCAAAACCTAAAAAACCTAACGACTTTAGACCAATCTCTCTCCTTAGCTCAACAGCCAAAATATTAGAAAAGATATTGGCTTGTAAATTAGTTGAACATGCAAGGAAAAACAAAATTTTTCCACAAGAGCAACATGGATACCATATAGGTAAATCCGTAACAACCCAACTTCTAGAAGTTATGGATGATCTTACTATGGCACTAGAAAATAAAAAATCCGTAGATATAATCTACTTCGATCTGTCAAAAGCATTTGACACCATATCCCATGAAAGATTATTAAGTAAATTAAAATCATTAAAAATTCCAGATACTCTAACTGAGTGGCTCAGAGATTACTTAAACAATAGAACTTTCTCCGTAAAAATCCAAGAATCTTTTTCTAAAAAAACTTTCATAAAAAGTGGAGTCCCGCAAGGCTCCCTACTTGGTCCCATACTGTTTTTATATTATATACATGATTTAACTGAATACTGTTATACAGAAAATGTAACTGTTAAACTATATGTAGATGATATTAAGGCATATTACATTTTCAAAGACAATCCGGGCAATTCAAACCCTTTGCAAGAATTTGTTGAAAAATTTTCCGAATACACAAAAATAAACGGGTTGGATATAGCTATAAAGAAATGTAATATATTACATCTAGGCACTAAAAATCCTCGCACCATTTATACAATAGAAGATACTCACATAACAAAAATTGGTAGAAATCAAACTGTAAGGGATTTGGGTATTTTCTTTGACCATGAGTTAAAATTCCATAATCATATCGACATTATTTGTAATAAAGCTAGAAGAATTAGTTATACAATTCTTAGGTCCTTAAAATCAAATGATGAAAGATTCCTAATTAATATGTTCACCACTTATGTAAGAAGTATATTGGAATTTAGTTCTCCTATCTGGAATCCTTACTATAAAAAATACATAAACAAAATAGAAAAGATTCAAAAAGATTTCGTAAGGATGGTATATAACCGCAAGAATAATATAACACTTAATGAACAAATCCCTAACTACTCTGAACTCCTCAGATTATATAATATAGATTCTTTAGAGAATAGAAGAATTATAACAGATCTTAAAATCTTTCACAAGCATTGCATAGGATTAAGCCCAATTAACATAAATAACCCCTATTTCATCATTCCATCTAAAACAAGGGGGGACCAAAACAAAATATCATATAAAGCATGCACCTCAATTACTAGACATAATTCATTTTTTGCAAGGACTATAAGGTATTACAATAAACTACCGGCATACTTTAGAAAATTAGATTACAAAAATTTCGCAAAAAACATAACGCATATTAATTTTTCACGCAATTCGGAGGCTGACTTAAGCTCGATTTAAATTTATACACTAAATATAATTTTTTATATTACTATTTATTCTTTTTGTTCTTATTTTTATTTATTGACATGATTTTGTTTTTTTTTATATATTTTTTTTACTTGATTTCGTTTTTTTATTGTTTTTTGGCTTGACTCGCGCCATCAAGGCGTAAATAAATAAATAAATAAATAAATAAAAATCATTTGCGGGAGGTGAGGTTCCAAAACTGTGCTCAACTCTAAAATTGGGTTGCCAACATTCTTAATACCAAATCTGCCACTAAATTTTATCAACTGGGAATTCTAAAACTGCCAAGCAAGGGGCAAGAAGTGATAGATAATAATGGACATTAAATTGTTTTTTGATTTCATTTCATTATTTAGTTATAGTAAATTGTATAATTTATGCGCAAAGGGCTCATTATTTATCTGACAACCCATTACATAGAAAATTAAAATTATGGTGGCAGGGGGGGGGGATAAATTCTTTAATTAGTGACAAGTTCAAAAATCATTCAAACTCTTGAATTTTATTTTTATTCGACTCGTCTCGATAGGATCTATTGAAATAATTTAAAATTAAATTTTTGAAAATTTCGCATAAAAATTTTAGATTAGTCCCATATATTTTGAATAATATTTAGAGAGCCACTTTTTATGAGGGGTCGAATGAATTTTATTCAGAAATTTTGCTCGAAAATTAAGATAAAATTAACCTGAATAAATTATAAAATTAAAAGGCTGTTTTTGATATAGTAATTAAATTTCTCAAAATGTTGTAAATTCGATAAAAAAAAGTAATTCTTGTTGAAAAAGTGAGTTGTGCTTAAAATAAATTGCGCACCTAATTTATATAGAAATTGGTTTAAAATTTAAGAAAAGACTTGCCCAAATTAAATTGATTTTATCGTGTGTTCATTCACCTTAACTTTTTCGTCTTTTGTCTTGATTTCCCCCCTTTCCATTTTTTTACCGAAGAGTAGCTGATTCCCTTCCCTTTCTTGTTGGTTGTATTTTTTAATTGTTTCTTTGAAGAATTTGTTTAAAAAAAGGAGGGAAAGATTGCGCTCATTTAGAGGGGTGAATGAGAGAGAGAGAATGTTTTAATTATAACCAAAGTCAACAATTAATCATTTATTTAATGGGGGGAATATCATAAAAATGGTTACCCCCACAACTGCAGCTGTCAATTCCAACGAATTATTTTCTTTAATTGATAATAATAATAATGAGAAAATTAACCATGGAGCAGCGGTAAAATTGATCTCTTCTGAAAAAGCGAGGCAACATTTATATTTTGTTGATGATGAAAGTCAAAAAGACGAATTAAATAATGTAAGGAGGAAATAAAATTATTTAAGGATTTGTGGGATGATAATACAAAATTTTTTGTATGGAAGAAATTTTGGGATTTCTGCTAAAATACATAAAGGGTGTCAAAGGAGGGGGTTGGGGGCAGATTGTGGATACTTTACAATACCCTCAGTATTCTGGGGATTGTTTAACCCGACTACGATTCGATTTTTAGAAAAATGGTAGATTGTGACTGAAAAAACTGAGAAAAAAATATGTATTTAGGTCTTGAATTTAAAAGTAAACATGAATCTTCAAAATCTCTTTTTATTTTCCCTCCACTATTTATTTTTAATAGTCTAGAGAAAATGGTCAATTGCCTAATTGCAACCAATTCCCTGAAGGAAGATTTAAAAGAAATAAACAATGGACAAGATCATCTCCATATTCTTTGTGGAAAGCTAAATTTATGTTGGATTATCAATGTTCAGAAGATGATCTCAAAAAAGAAGTTGGGAATTTTTTAAATTTTATAAAAATATTTTTTAAAGCTTTTAATGGCTTCTTTTTCTCATTTTGGTGTATTTTTGCTTATGTTTTTACATATTTTATTTGGATCTTTTATTTTTATTCAAATAGATTCAATTATTGGAGAAAAGCCTTTTTATGAAGTTTTTCTTTTTTCTTTTACAACAATAACAACAATTGGTTATGGAAATATTGCCCCAAAAAGTCCTTTAGGAAGATTATTTTGTGTTTTTTATTGTGTTTTTGGAATTCCCTTAGCATTTATAACATTAACACAAGTTGGGCAATTAATAACTGAAATATATTGGATTTGTTTAATTTCTTTTAAAAATTGGAAAAAAAGAGAGAAAGAGGAGGAGGGGGAGGAAAATGAAGGAGAGAAAGAAGAAGAAGATATTTTTGAGCAAGTTTTTAAAAATAAAAATTTTCTTAAAAATAAATTAATTTTAAAAATAGTTAGCGGAAATAGAACAACAATTACCGATTATTATAATTTCTATTTTAATTGTTTTGCATTCTTTAATTGGTGGATTGTTATTTCATTTTGTTTTTGATAATATGCCGTTATTTAGAGCTATTTATTTTAGGTGAGGAAATAAATAAATAAATAGTTTTTTTGGTAGAATATCCCAGGCTTGGTAATGGATACGTATACAGATAAGTTAAAAATGCCTGCGGATATTCGTCTGTATCCGCCGTAAATATCCGGATACGGATACCGAAATCCATGTTCATTACCTAGTCTGAAATATCCAGTAAAAATTCAATTAAAATAATTTTTTGATATTTAATGGATACAGATGAATTAAAAATTAGTGGAAGATATATTTCAATTTTAGTTTTATAAGTATAACAACAATTGGCTTTGGCGATATTTGTCCAAAACCTAAAAATTTACTCGAAACAATATCTATAATTATTTATCTCAGTTCTGGAATATCAATAATGTCTACAATGTTTGGGTAAATTTAAAAACAAAAATTAATTTAAATTATTTTTTAAAAGTGTATTAGGTGAAAATCTTCGCCGAATTCATTATTTGGGAAGGAATTTTAGTGGAAGTCAGGATGTTTGTATTTGGTTTAGTGGAAGATATATTTCGATTAAAGAATTAGTTACTTTAGTATCTAATCAGTTTAATGCTTCACCTGAAAGACTTCGAGAAGTTTTGGATGAATTAGATATACTTACTAAATTAGCAACATTAAATAATGGAAATTCTAAAGAAATTAATAAACAAATAAATTCAACAAAAAATAATTTAAATATTATAGACCAATTAAATAATAATAAAAAATTATCTACTTCATCATCATTAAGTACAGAAAGAGAAAGGGTAAAATGAAAGTCTCTTTAGTTCTAAAAGCCCCTCTCTTTTTTTAGATGATACAAGCATTGGGTACTTTACACCAAATTGGTTTAAAAGGAACTAGAACATTTCGAACTCCATCAATGAATTCATTTACAGCATATGTTCGAAATAACTTTTTTGTTCAGGCAGAATTATCACAGAATACTGTAACAAGAAGTTTAGATGATGAAAATTTAATTGTTTGTAGAAAACCTTTTTTTGAATAAATACAGGGTGCGGCAAATTTTCCGCCCCTTTTGTTTTTGCCATAACTTTTTTCAAAGTCAATGAAAATTGATAATTCTTTTTTTATTTTATTCCCAACACTCTAAGAAAATTTTTGGTACCGAATATTAGAAATTTGGTTTATAGACAATAAAGATATGCCCGAAATTGTCTATAAATTACATCAAGAAATATTTTTTCATGACAAAGTTTACTTTACCATAACTTCGCTCAAAGTCACCCAATCTGACTAATTTTGGTACCAATCGACTTGTCTCGACGAGGAGCATCGAAATAGTCTATAATAAGATTTTTGAAAATTTTACCTAAAAAAGTCATTATTTCCTAATTTATCATTCATAGGACCATATCTCAGCTCAAGAACAAGATAATCGCTTTGTTTTGACGTCATTCGAATCAGCTTAAAGAGCTTATTCGAATGAAATAAACTTCCCCCATATCAGACTGACTGCATTTAAATCAGACGACTTTTGGTCCAAAAAATTTTGCCAAAAGTTTAAAACAAAATAACCTAAGTAATTCTAAAAATTTTGAAAATATTTCGGTACCAAAAATTTTCTTAGAGTGTTGGGAATAAAATAAAAAAAGAATTATCAATTTTCATTGACTTTGAAAAAAGTTATGGCAAAAACAAAAGGGGCGGAAAATTTGCCGCACCCTGTAAAATTTTTTATTAAAATATTTTAATTTTTTTTCTAAATTATGCATCTATTCTACCTCGTGACATCCCCTTTTTACCTCAAAATATCCTTATAAAAGCTGAAAAAATATTTAGGTTTTGAATTTAAGTCTTCAAAATCTTCTTAAAAATCCTCAAAATCCCTTTTTTACTTTAATTCTTCCCACTAATTATCTAATAGTCTAGAGAACTTAGTTATCAATAAAAATCTTTTTTAATTTAGTCAACGTCTACATCTCTCTCCATTAAAGTAAGATTTTCCTAGTTTTTTAATTGTTCAAAGGGTTTTTAAATTTTATTTAAATGTCATCAGTAAAAAATATTTAAAAATAAATTAGCATTCGGTTTAAAAAATTATTTAAATAAATTTTATAAAACAAAAGAATTTTTTTTGAAAATTTAACTACAAAACAAAAAATAATTTAAACGAGTCAACGAAAACAATATTTTTAAAATTAGAAATTTTACTCTTTTATTATTCTTAAAGTATTGGAAGCAAATTCTTTTTCAGGTTCTGTAGAATAAAAATAAAATCTCGAGTTTGGATAATTAATATTGGAAATTTGATAATCTGTATATTTGACACCATCTAATAGCTCAATTTCAACCTTTTCTGCTCTTTCACTTAATTTAAAATTTGTCTTATCAGTAAATGTTAAACAAATATCAGGCACCATTTTTGAACAGTCTCTTGTTGTTATATGCTAAAATTCATTAAAACAATTTATAAAATAAAATTTAATTATTTAAACTTACTTCAACAATAAGATCATAAAGTGCTGGAAATCCAGATGAAAAGTCAAAGAGAACTTTTGGGAATTTATTGCCTTCATTTATTAAAATATTGAATAAAATATCTGTATATTGCTCTATGTTAATTCGTGAAAGATAAATGTTGAGTTCACAAATTGATAAATGATTTAAAACGAAATCCAGCAAATTTTTACAGAAATTATTGCTAGGAACAAAACATGCGAGTTGAATATTAAATTGAGTTGGAATTGTGTTGTGATTATCGAATAATATATTAATCATTTCTGGATTAAATACAATATCTCCAAAATCACAATACTCAAAAGCGCACTTAAATAGGTGTTCTAACCAGCAACGAACGATAATCATTTTTTCAATATTTTTTGGAAAATTTTCCAATTTTAATGCATACCAAACGAAATTTTCGTTAACTGAATAAAAAAAATAAAAAATTGTTTGAGTCAATTACTTAAAATCGAAATTTGTGTCCTAAAAATTAATAACTAATCTGGGGCCAATAAAAATTAAGGAGACAATCGACAAACGATAGATATATTACAAATATATCGTTTATCGTCTGGAATATATCGAAAGTCGTCTGAATATATCCGCTGACGATATTATGGAAATTATCGTTTATCAATTGTCAATTATCATTTAGCGTTTACCTCCAATAAAAATTAAGGAGACAAACGATATAATAGAAGAATTTCTTCTCTAGTCTTTTTATTCTTCGCGCCTCTTGTATTCTTTTCTCAACTTTGTAAGAAAATGTAATGCAAACAGAGAGAGTGAAAAAACTAGACATCTCACTTCTTTTCCCTCCTTTCCTTATACTCAAACACACCCGAGGACTGAAACTTTGAATGGCCATAACTTAGCCCAAAGTCGTTTTGCAAGAAAATGAAAAATACTTAGCAATAGGAAGTCGGGTGTCCTCTATCGAATGGTACTACAAAATATACCAAATTCGCAGTAACTTAATCCCATCAATCAAAACTCAAATATGTATCTCTTTTAATCCCCTAAAATATCGATATAACTCCAAATCCACCAATATCCCCCTTAATCCGCCGATATCCCCTTAATCCCACTAATTTTTATACCAATAGATATAGGAGAGTGTTTTACATTCTATAGGTAAAAATCAGAATTTTAGCTTTACTTTCCTAAAAGATATAAAATTTATAAGACGCTTAATCAAAAATTAAAGGCCTATTTGAGAGGATGAGTCCCTATTTCTCTCAAAAATGGATGTACCTTGCGCGAGAGCCTCTAGTAAATTTATTTATAAAGAAAAATTTCTGAAATTTATATCAAAAGATAGAGCACATTCTAATCTATCTAAAAATATTTTATTTGGAATTTTTAGGTCGAATTTGGATTTTTAAAAAAATTTTAAAATTTCAAACGATAAATTTGGGGGACAGGGTTTAGCATCCGATAAATTTGTCGTTCAAAAACCGTAGTTTTCCGTTCGTTACCATAATAAATTATCGTTTGAAACGACAATCGACTAATTTCGAACGATAAACGACAAATCTTGATGACAATCGATATAATAGAGACGATAAACGACAAACGATAAAGATATTTATTTTTACTCGAGGTATTCGACAAACGACGTATCCGAACGATAAACGTGAAAAATATATCTATCGTTTGTCGATTGTCTCCTTAATTTTTATTGGCCCCTGGTCATAGATAACTAAAATTAATTAGGTACTTATCGGTTATACGCCCACAAACTGATGTGAGTGCCAGCCGAATTTGATCGACTTTAAATTTTTAATGCTTGATCCAATTCAAATAAATCTTATCAATTCAAAAGCCCTCGACAAGAAGAATCTTTTTTTCAATTTATTGAATCAAGTCTGATCAATTGTTAAAAAGTTATAAACCGATAAATGCGAAAAACACAAAATAACTGGACTTATTGTGTGTAACGTTTAAATGAGTGATCAGACTTGATCAACCCTATAGATAAAAGGCACCAATTATTTAGGGCTCTCGAATGATATCAGATTTATTTAAATTGTATCATAAAAAAGTTATAGCCAATCAATGTTGAATGGCAATCAGTTTGTGGCCGTATAACCGATAAATACTACTAATTAAAAATACGTCACTATTTTGAATACAAATATTTTTAAACCTGCTTTCTTCCCTATAAAAACTTTATACAACGTCTCAACGCCCTCTCCATCAAAAAACAACGGAATTGATTTGTCTATTGCGTCTTGCCACTAAAAATAAAAGTATTCTAATTACCTAAATTAAAAATTAATTTAACCTTCTCCTTAAGTTGGTCATTTAAAGTAATTTCAAAAACTCCAGATTGAGGATCAATGAATGTATATTCACATGAAAAATCAGGACAGCAAGTAGCCTAAAATTAAATATAAAAAAGTTATTTAACAAATATTTACTAAATCAATAGAGGAAAATTTCATTCGTGCCAGTTCTCCTTCATATTTATTAATTAAATTGCAAAAATAAAAATTGGCTTGTCTTAACGAGAATAATTGGGTGAAATTAAGAGATTTTAATACATCAAGTTGAACTTCAGGTGGAAGAGAAAGCATTTTAATTTTAAAGTCAATTATCTAAAATTAAAAATCAAGGCTTTTCTGTTTAATTGACAGAAAAATTAGCTTTTTCCATGACGGAATTTTTCCTTGACAAATAATAAGAGAAAAGTATAAAAAAGGAAAATCAAACAAAATGAACAAAAACTAAAAAAAACTAAAAAAATTAAAATGCGAGGACTCAACAGCACATTTTGGCGGACTCAACCGGATGGGGGACGATTCAGTACCGCCGATTCAGTATTTGGGCTTTTTGGCCATAACTTTTTGCTCGATCAATAGGTGACACGACTTGGGCACAGTGATCCATTTGCACAGTAAGACTTTTGCACGAGGACAATTACACAGTGGACAATTGCACAGTAAAGTCTTGTTTATTCGCAAAACGACCTACCCATTTATTCGCAAAACGCCTGTTTAGTCGCGAAACACTCCAAATAAATGCAAGGCTCATTCACCTATAGGTCATAACTTCGTTCAGAATCATCCAATCAAGATGATTTTGGTGTCAGCCGATCAACTCAAAAAGCTCTTTCGAATGAGCTATAGTTTGCATCTTCGAATTTTTTACCACAAAAAACCGCTTGGTTTACTCTATTGTTTTTCGGGCAATCCCGGAGAATCGTGGTCCCTGCGGAAAAAAATCTTAAAAATAAGAAAAAGGATTTTTCTAGGGTAAAAAATTATGCTGATTACGAATCTGAACTCAGATTTTGAAAAAGTCGAATCCCGAACCCGAAATTCGAACATTTGACATCTTTGGAAAAATTTCGAATAATAAACAGAGCGCAAATTGGTCAAATAATATCTCATTCGAAAGAGCTCGACGAGCAGAGTCGAATGACATCAAAATCACCGTGATTGATCAAGAACGGGCGAAGTTATGACACAAAAAACATAGGTCTACGTTGTTTGTTTTTTGTGGTATAACTTCGTCCGATTTTGTTCAATCACGGTGATTTTGGTGTCATTCGACTCAGCTTTTCAAGCTCTTTCGAATGAGGTATAATTTGCATATTCGAATTTTTCACCCCAAAATCAGCTTGGTCCCCCCTATGGTTTTTCGATATTTGAGGACAAATATTCGGGTTCGGGATTCGAATTTTCAAAATCTGAGTTCAGATTCGTAATCAGCATAATTTTTTACCCTAGAAAAATCCTTTTTCTTATTTTTAAGATTTTTTTCCGCAGGGACCACGATTCTCCGGGATTGCCGTTTTTCGATTTTCGGGAGCCTATATTTCTGCGAGTTTTCGTCTCCCGCGAACGACTTTTCCAACAACGGGAAAAATTGCTTATAGAACAAGGAAAATTGTTTTTGTTTAATAAAAACCATTTTATTATTAAAAAACTTATCAGAAAGTCTAACACAAATGCACTTAACCACAAATTACTGTGCAATTGTCCACTGTGCAGATGCCCAATGTGCAATTGTCTTACTGTGCAAATGGATCACTGTGCTAGGGAACGACATATCAACGTTTTCTTAAGAAAAAAAAGTTGATTTAATAATATCAACAATTATTCGCGAACAACTTTTTTTTAAATACATAACGCCAGAACAACGTTAATATCAACGTTTTGCGCCAAACAACTGCGAATCAACGTTTTTGTATCTTTTTTTCTCTGCTCTGCCATTATATTTCTCTTCTTTTTTTCTGTTAATTTTCGGCTCCGGTACAAAATATGGAATCGTTAAAATATGGAATGGTTAAAATCGCGAATAGGCTAAAAAGGGGTTAAAATACCGAATCGTTAAAATATGGAATCGTTAAAATATCGAATCGGGTAAAAAAGGGTTAAAATATGGAATCGTAAAAATATGGAATATTAAAAATGTCGACACGGCCAAAATGGGTCAAAATGTCGAATTCTTTTAAAAACGGGTCAGATTTGTGCCATACGTTGATTGTTGATAATTTTATCAACATCAGTTTATTGATGATAAGTTGATTGATAAGTTTGGTAAGTCGTAGTCCGTCGTAATCTTTTCTGTCTGAGTTCACTGTACTTTACCGAGTAAAACCGGACCGGATAAATCAAGCATAATCGACCGGATCCGGTCCGGCATGATCGTACGGATCCGGAAAACATAACGCGATCCTGATATGGAAAAATTAGAGTGGTATGCATTAGTTTTTAGTTAAGACCTAAAGTTTGACCTTACCGTATACGGTATGGAATACCGAAAAATAACGATCAGCTTTAAATTTTATCGGTCGGCATTCCGTACCGTACAACCGACACGGAATACCGAAAAATACCGTCGGTATTACGGTAACGCCCGGATTCAAGGTTTTGGCGCATCTTTAAAAAAATTCGACATTTTGACCTATTTTGGCCGTGTCGACATTTTATCAATTCGATATTTTAACGATTCCATATTTTAACCCTTTTTTAGCCATTCGATATTTTAACCATTCCATATTTTAACGATTCCACATTTTAACCCCTTTTTAGCCTATTCGCGATTTTAACCCATTTTTACCCGATTCGAGATTTTAACCCTTTTTTAGCCTATTCCATATTTTAACGATTCGATATTTTGTCCGGACACGTAATTTTCGGTCGAGTAGTCTCTCCACCTGTGTTGAGGTATTTTTGCGAACCTCTCAAAATGTCCAACAAAGTAAAAATTCGCAATTTGTCGAACTAAATTTAAAAAGTGAAAAATCTCACCTGAACCTAAATTCTTCATGTACAAATTTAAAAATATCTTGCAAAACATTTACAAAAGCCTAAAAATTTACAAAAGAAAAAATTTCTTAAACAAAAAATTTTAAAACGATAAAATTTTAATCAAAAAAGTTATAAAAAGCCATTGTCAAGTTTCACTTATTACTACAAAATCTACAACACCAAATACTACAACACCAAAAATTATAAAAAAGTTGAGAAATGACACCAAATCGTGACACCAAATGTTAGAATCAAAAAGACTGTTCGAAGAAAAGAGAATTGAGCTTGATCGTGAAAAGGAACTCCTCAAAAATTCGAGACTGTTGGAGTGATTCGAGACTGTTGGAGTGAAATTCCAACAGAACGTCCAAGAATAGATCAAGTCAGAACAATGTTAAAACAAATGGTTAGGGACGGGAGTCAAAATTTAATGGATTATGTTTTTGGAATGTTAGAGCAATATGCAAGTTCTTTAGAACAAGAAGTTGAAGAAAGAACTAGAGAATTAGTTGAAGAAAAAAGAAAAAGTGATATTCTTTTATATAGAATGCTTCCAAAACAAGTTGCCGATAAATTAAAATTGGGGGAATTTGTTGAACCAGAACAATTTAGTGCAGCAACAATATTCTTTTCTGATGTCGTTTCATCTACAACATTAGCTAGTAAATGTTCTCCTTTACAAGTAATTAAAATATTCGAAATAAATAAATTATGAATTAAAAAGGTTGTAAACAAACACCTTTCACCATTTCTAAGCATTTTTTAGCAGTTCCTTCTTCTTCTACTTCTTGTGAACGCATATTTTCTCGTTTTTCTCCTTTAGTATATAAAAAAAAAATAAACGAAATCGTTTTGATCCGCATACTATTTCCACACTTATTTCATTACAATCATTATTTAAAGATGAATAAAATTTTGTTGTTTTATACTTTTTCAATTTTAATAAAAAAATCCCTACTCGTAAAATTCTTTCAAATTCCAAAGGAGAGACTACTCGACCGAAAATTAACAGAAAAAAAGGCTCCGGTACAAAATATGGAATCGTTAAAATATGGAATGGTTAAAATCGCGAATAGGCTAAAAAGGGGTTAAAATACCGAATCGTTAAAATATGGAAACGTTAAAATATCGAATCGGGTAAAAAAGGGTTAAAATATGGAATCGTTAAAATATGGAATGGTAAAAATGTCGACACGGCCAAAATCTGTCAAAATGTCGAATTCTTTTAAAAAAGGGTCAGATGAGTGCCATACGTTGATTGTAGATGATTTATCAACTTATCAACTTATTGATGATAAGTTGATTGATAAGTCTCTTATGTCGTAGTCCGGCGCAATCTTTTCTGCCAGAGTTCATTGTATTTTACCGAGTAAAACCGGACCGGATAAATCAAGCATAATCGACCGGATCCGATCCGGCATGATCGTACGGATCCGGAAAACATAACGCGATCCTGATATGGAAAAATTAGATTGGTGTGCATTAGTTTTTAGTTAAGACCTAGGTTTGACCTTACCGTATACGGTACGAAATACCGAAAAATACCGATCAGCTTTTAAATTTTATCGGTCAGATTCCGTACCGTACTACCGACACGGAATATCGAAAAATACCGTCGGTAACACCCGGTAACGCCCGGATTCTAGTTTTGGCGCCATTTTTAAAAAATTCGACATTTTGATCGATTTTGGCCGTGTCAACATTTTTACCATTCCATATTTTAACGATTCCATATTTTAACCCTTTTTTAGCCTATTCGATATTTTAACCATTCCATATTTTAACGATTCCACATTTTAACCCCTTTTTAGCCTATTCGCGATTTTAACCCCTTTTTACCCGATTCGAGATTTTAACCCTTTTTTAGCCTATTCCATATTTTAACGATTCGATATTTTGTCCGGACACGGAAAAAAAGAAGAGAAATATAATGGCAGCGTATCCCCTCAAAATCTCTATTCCTTAAAATCTCTACTGGGCTAAAATGCCTTATAATCTCTACACAGCTAAAATGCACTAAAATCTCTACTCGGCTAAAAATGATTAAAATAACTATTCCTTAAAATCTCTATTCCTCATAATCTCTACACGGGAAAAATGCCTTAAAATCTCTACACTGCCAAATATAGGATAAAATGTCTATTTTTCATTGAAGCCTTTTGAGTACCAACGTTAAGTGCGGAAACATTGTTCTGATTTCTGGACTATCTTTTGATATTATTTTGCTTGTATAGTTTTTGCCGGTGCGGATGAACCCAGCCAGGCATGTCTAGCGGGACGACAGCAGCCGCTTCGATACGATCAACGCAAGGAAAATGAACACGACCGCAGCGAAGCAGTCGTGTCTTATATTTTCGATATTTAAGGCGGATACAGGCGGATATGGCAGCCATTTTAAACCAATTGTATCCATATCCATTAACAAGTCTGGTTTTTCCAGCGAAAGATTCAGATGGTACTTTTGTTGAGACTCAACCGTCAATTTGCGCGGTGTAGAGATTTTAATTATTTTTACCCCAGTAGAGATTTTAAGGAATAGTTATTTTAAGGAATAGAGATTTTAAGCATTTTTAGCCCAGTAGAGATTTTAAGGAATAGCGATTTTAAGGAATAGAGATTTTGTATGGGAGCCAATGGCAGAGCAGAGAAAAAAAGATACAAAAACGTTGATTCGCAGTTGTTTGGCGCAAAACGTTGATATTAACGTTGTTCTGGCGTTATGTATTTAAAAAAAAGTTGTTCGCGAATAATTGTTGATATTCGCCGCGAATCAACGAAAACGTTGATTTGTCGTTCACTACACTGTGCCCGTGTCGGAGCGCCGATCAATATTGTAGAATTATTATATATGATTTGATAGGCCTCTTGGGGTGCTGCATCTTTTTCATAATAGGACTGACCTGATCTGATCATTCTACAAAAAGTTATCACTGATAAACGACGTTTTCACGCTGTAACTTTTTTTATGTGCCAATTATAAAAAATGTGCCAATTATGAAAAAGATGTCGAATCTCGAGACCTTTCGAATGATATGAGAATCGGTCGAATATATTTTCCTGCTTAATAAAATCATTTTTCCGCGTGCAGATTTTCGATTCACGCTTAGGACGAAGCCCAGATTAATTCGGTCCGTTTTTTCTCCTGTTAAAACAATTTCGATAACTTAGGGGAATTTACCCTGCTTTTGGCTGGGTAATACTACAAATAGATTCATACCCCAGCTATTTCAAGAACACACTTTTTCATCCAGGAATTTTTTTACTATATTTAAAACTTATTGAAAAATGTCTGGTCGAGGAAAAGGTGGAAAAGCAAAATCTGGAGGAAAGGCAAAATCACGTTCATCACGTGCTGGACTTCAATTTCCCGTTGGCCGTCTTCATCGTTTACTTCGCAAAGGTTTTTATTTAAATTTATTTTTTAAATTATTACAGTTTAATTAAAGGTCATTATGCTGAACGTGTCGGTGCTGGGGCTCCTGTCTATTTGGCTGCCGTTCTTGAGTACTTAGCCGCTGAAGTTCTTGAATTAGCTGGGAATGCTGCTCGAGACAATAAAAAAACTCGTATCAATCCAAGACATTTACAGCTGGCTGTGCGTAACGATGAGGAATTAAATAAGGTCTGGAAATTTTATTTTTGAATTTAAGTTCGCGTCAAGTGAATATAAGTTTTTTTCTGTTTAGATTAAAATGTTTCCAAAGAGTTCTAAAAACATTTTTCAGTTACTCTCTGGTGTGACAATTGCGCAAGGTGGTGTTCTTCCAAACATTCACGCTGTTTTGTTGCCTAAAAAGACACATGAAGGTTCTGCCTAAATCTATATATTTTGTTGTCTCGGGACTTCTTCGAAAGATGTAAAATGGAATTGTTTTTGATTATTTTTGGAATTCATTTCTCTCTCTCTCTTTTCTTGTTAAATTATATACACAAATTTTACTTTACAACTTTTAAATTTTAAATATTTTCTTTATCTGGTTTTTCTTTTAACGATAAAAATTTGGCCATTTTCTAGCTTTCTATTAAACATTAAATAGATTTTTTATTTTTTTACAATATCTGTAAATTATTTTTTTAATTAAATTATTTTCTTTTGAAAGATATTTTATAGTTTTAATGTCTGAAGAAATTCAGAAAGCAATCCAAGTTTTGGAAAATGAGTACAAAACGAGGAAGGAAGCTTTTGACAAATGGAGAGGTTTTTTAAGTTTTTTTGTTAATTATGGAAGTTATATTCTTTTTGAATAGTTCTTTTAAGATTTTATTAATTTCTTTTTTATAGAGGAGCATGCTGCTCTATCGGACCACAAAGAATTTGGCATTTATGTTGATCAATTCCGTAATTGGGAGCGTACAGTTTTAGAAAATATGAATAATTTAAAAACAGCCCTAAATAAAAGTAAATCTATTGCAAAACCATCAGAATTACCGACTGTTGATTTGGACACCCAATTGGAAAAGTGATTAAATTAAAAAAAAATTTTTAATTAATTTAATATTTTTAGTGTTTTGAAAGAAGTTTCTTTGCCTCAATTCGTGCTTGCTTTTATGACAATGGCGCAGAAAGACCCTTCTTTTTTGAAAAAAGCTTTTGAGGTTTTTTTATCATTATAAATCATTTCATTTTTGTTTTTAGGTAGTAATTGAAGAAAGTAGAAGTACTGGGTTTTCAAATCCAATTTTGCCTCAGAATGCTGTTATTTCAAGGTTTTTGAATTTATTTAAATTAATTTTTTGTTAGCTGTTCCACAATATAAATTTCAAACAAGTTTTTTTTGTAGTCGATCAACGCCTTCTTTTGGTGGTTATCATCAACCTTCCCCATTAGCCTCAGCTAGCGCCTCAGTTCATTCATCCGTTTCGAATAATTCTTCTGGAATTTATCTTCCACCAACACCCCAACAACAACAACAGCCTCCTCAACTTGTTGTCCTTTCTTCTGCTCGTTATGGAGTAAGCGGGACACCTCCAACAAGTTCTTTGGCAACAAGTGGATATAGTAGCAACACACAAATGTCTAATTATGGATTTCTTCCAGAGGGTAAAGATTTGTAGTTTATTCCCTTTAAAAATAATTGTTCATTTCTGTCTTCTAGCTATAAAATTTCTATTACGACCCCCTAGTCCTTTACCTATAAAAAAGTTTGTGTTTTTAACAAATTCCAAGAAAATTGATCTTTATATATTTTTTATTTTAAGGATGGCGAGTTGACCCTGCTATTCGCAAACAGCCGAAAACCGCTTCACCAATCAGAGAATACAGATCACCTATAAATTTGCCTTTCAAAGATTTTAGTCAAAATTGATATATTGATTGATATCGATTGATTGATTTAGAATTGATACATATTTTCATTTAAATAAAATTCAAATTAATTGTTTATAAGAGAGTCAGATTTAAATAATTTGTTTATAATGCAGTCACTATTTGCGATTTTATTGCTGAATAACAATCGAAAAATTTTTAAATTTCTCGTGATTTTTTATTCCCTATTTTAGATGTATCTATTTTTTTCTCCTATCATGTTAACTTCATTGTCAGATTCAACTATAACTACAATTAATGCTTTTAAAGCCGTTCTGCTAATTTTACTATTTTTTGGGACGTTTTTGGCATCAACGGTTATTTTTAATATTTAATATAGTTCTAAATTACAATTTTTTAGTCATTTCTTTTGATCAAAAAATATGTTATGGGTGAAGCTGGGAGTAACCATTCCTCTCATTTTGGACGAAAACTAATCTCTTTAATTTCCTGTTTTGGTGGCGGTGTTTTCTTAGCAACTTGTTTACTTGATTTATTACCTGACTCAATTAACGGAATCAAAAGTGCTGAGAAAAGACTTGGGTATCAAATTAAATTTCCTTTGCCTGCGTTTTGTGTTTCGCTTGGTTTTCTGATTGTTTTAATTTTAGAGCAGGTTCGGGCTTTTACTTTTATGTATAAACAATTTGTCATGATTTCTACATTCACTTTTTTTGAATTTTGGGGGGCATACCTGAAATTCGGGGCCAAGATGGAATTTTTTAATTTCTTAATTTACATGTGTGGTATCTTCTTCACCTAACTTTCTAAATTTTTTTAGTTTAGGGTAGCGTAGGTTGTCTTTTTTTAAAAAGTGAAAAACTATTATTTTTATTCTCACTTAATATTTCATATAATTTTTTTTCAATTTGTAGGCAATTATTTACGCTAATAAACGTAATTGGCTAAGCAATTCATTTATGGAGCGTCTTTCCCGACGTGATGATGGTCATGGTATTCTAACTTTAAATAGAAGAACCAATTCAAATGAAAATTTGGAAAATACTCATCTTTTGGAAAATGATGATAATGAATTAGAATTAAATGAAGATTATTCTATATTCAGAATACTTTTAATGGTCTTTGCTCTATCATTACATGCTGTTTTTGAAGGGCTTTCTGTTGGAATGATGACTGATGTTAATTTGTTGTTGCAGGTTTTTATCCTTATATTTTGCATGAAATATTTAAAGGATTAAAGGACTAATTGATTATATTTAAGTAATCTATTAGCGGATTTCTACGGCTCGTAAAGAAATGAGTGGGGAATTTCAAATATTTAAACCTCACAATCAGTTTGGTAGCCGAAAAATTCTGTCTAAAATATAAGGGCCACAAAAGTCACATCGCCAAATACTTTGAAAATAATATTTTTTAAGGTTTTCTTTGCTTTACTCATCCACAAAACAATTGTTGGATTTAGTCTAGGCCTACGTTTGGTTCAATCTCGTCTTTATCCTCCAACCGTTGTTCTATGTTGCGCAGTTTTTTCTCTACAAGTCTGTATTGGTGGCTTTACTGGATTGGCTGTCTTAAAAATTTTAAGTGGAAGCCCTTTAATTTTTCTTATATCAGGAATTTTACAGGTTTTTCAAAAAATCTTTTTTAATTTTTTATTCTTTAGGCAACTGCTTGTGGTACTTTTCTTTATGTAACAGCATTTGAAATTCTTCCACATGAATTGAATAATGATTCTAATATTCCGCAAAAAATGATATCTCTCGTTTTAGGTTTTGCTTTAATTTCGATATTTATTGCTTTATTTCCTGATTCTGATTCTTGAATTTATTTTTATTACTTGTTCTAAATTTCACATTGTCTATTTTTTGACTAAAATCTGCAGTCCCTAAGTCTTCTAAAAAATATTTGAAAATTTTTATTTTTTTTTATTAAAACTCAATTCTTATCTCAAAACTTCAATCTCTACGTAAACATAAACACATTTTTACATTCCTTACCTCCGGGTAGATACGCTTTTATATGTGCCTTTTAAAATATTTTTGTAAATTATTTTTTTATATAAACTAGTAGTAAATATTTTTAAGAAAATTAATTATTTGTTTATTTTAATGTTAATTATGCAAAAAATATTTTTGATAATTTTAATAATTTAAAAATTAAAAAAATAATATTTAAAATATATTAATCCATAATTACTTTTTTAGTGTAAAAAACCTTTAAATTTGCAAAGAAGCACATTAATGGGATTTTATTTAACACTTTTGGTTATTCTAATTGTTATTGCTATACAATTGTTTAGGTTAATTAAGATTATTTATTTTTCATTCTATATTCTTTTTTAGATATCCCAGCACTTTATTGGCATGGTTTCTTCGTCGATTTTTAAATTGTTACTTCGCTAAAATAAATGGAATTGGATGGTTTTGTTTTGGCCAAATTAAATTTCTCTTCCATAACGGGCTTTGCCTTGAATTGGAAAATTTACGAATTGATAGAATTTTTGTCTGGCGGTCATGGAAATGGCCAAAACTAAATTTGCACGTTTTTGTGAAAAGTTTTCGAGTTGGTGAATTGAAAAATGGAAAAATTGAGATGGATGGTTGTATACGAAATTTTGATTTTAATGAGACAATTGAATACGTAGGTTTTACTAAAAGTTTATTTTACGTGGAATAATTTTTATAAAAATAAAAATTTAAAAATCTTTCAGAAGGGAAATTTTGAATTACTTGATATAACCTTCAACCGTTCTAAAGGCGATTTTATTCTCTTTATAAAGTTTGGAAGTTCTGTTGATTTTACTTGGTCTCCTGTTCTACACTTAAAATTAAATGATTTAATCAAGTTATATTTTTTAATTTTAATTAATTAAATTTTAATGTTTTAGAGCCTTTTATTCCAAACTCTCAAAATTTTCTAATTTATTTAAATCGCTTTCTTCCGCTTACAATGCAGAACCTTCTACCTCTTCAAATTTACTTTTCGATGTCCAAACTGAACATTCATTTGAATTGGCCTTTCGTCTACCACAAAATCACTTGTATGTTATCTATTTATTATTTATATTAACTTTGAGACTGTTGAACATATAGAATTTTAGCTTGTTATATGGAATTTTAAAAATTTATAAATCAGAATTTACTTATTCTAACGTTATTATAAATATATTGTTTAATTTTTAAGGATACGTTTAATATCGCCTTCATTTTCTTTTGAACGGACGGCTCCTTGTTTCGCTAAATTTGCTGCTCCAAATTTATTAGTAGAAATGGATGGACATATAATTATGGATTTTGAGGTGAATGTTTTATTAATTTTTGTATAGAATAGAAGATTATAAACTATGCCTGATTTTAACGATTTTTATTGCACATATTAGGGAACTTTGTGCACTCGAACGAATCTTTATGATAAAATTTCCTTTTAATTTTCAGTCACCAAAATTAGAATGCGTAAAAGAAGATATTTTTCTAAAATTACTTCGAAGTGGATTTTCTCAATTAGAATTAGAAACAAATCGTTTATGGTCTTGGAGTGCAGAACAATTGCAAATTGTTTTTCCATATGGTTATAATTTTGCTGATTCATTTGACGATGTTAATTTTTGAAATTTTCATAGAATTTTTTAATTTAATTGAAATGTTAATTTTAGCTAATTAATTGTATCAAATGGATTAAACTAGTTCATAATATAAAGAGTCGCCCATTTACAAAAGAATCTCCATTACCTGCTGATGTTAGAATTAGATTTAAGGTTTTGATTATTTTAATTTTTATGCAAATTTAATCTTCACTAATAGACTGTTACTCTTCGGATTGAGGATGATCCGTTTGAAATTCAACTTCAAAATATTTATGAAGTCCAAATGGATGAAGTTTTTGAACGAGAACGAAGAAAGCAAATTTTAGATGCAAAAATTGCTCAACTTAAGAAAGAGGATCCATTCTTTCCAAGTATTTAATATTTTTATTACACGTCCCTGCTATCCTTTTTGGGATAAATTGTCCAAAATAGGCTATTCTTTTGTCTAATAAATTTAATTTACATTAATTTCAGGTAATAAAATTGATGCATTACATCAATCTCTAATAAAGAAAGATGGTCAGCTCTACATGGAAAGAATTCAAAAAGTCCGACAACAACAGCTAGATCGGTGTCTTTTTCATTGGGAAATTAATGAATTAGAATTGCGAGCTTTTGCTGATCTGACTTTGCATGGAAGAGAAAATGTTCTTGATTATATTCATATTTTTAATTCGGAATCGTTAGTTTTTTTTATTATTTTTTAAATAAATCTTTTTTAATTTCAAGTAATTTCTCTATCAATGATCCTCAATTTTCCACACTTTGGGCTCGTGTTGTCGAGCTAGAAGCTGTCCAAAGTCGAATGAATTTTCGTGATTATCCTCTCCCTTATATGAATTTACAAAAAGCCCATTTTTGGGGCACTTTGGTTGGAGCTGAACAAATTATGGGTAAATTTGTTTTGGAATAAAATATGTATTACTATTTAATTTAGAAAGTAGATCAATTCGTCACCAATTTATTGATACTCCAGAGCCTTGGGGAAGATTTATTATTGAACGAAGCATGTGCCCACTCAAATTTTTCTATGATCTTAAATGCGGTTCGATTTAAAAGTTTTCATTTAAAATTTCTAACAATTTTTATAGAAATTTCTGACTTAAAAGTTACTTATGGCCCTTGTTGGGAGCCTTGTCTTTCAATGATTAGTCTTTGTTGGAGTCTTATAAATGCACCTTCTAAAGATCCTTCAGAACCTCTTCCTTTTTGGGACAAACTTAGACTACTTTTACATGGACGTTTTGCTATGTCCTGTACTAGGCTACAAACATCTATGCTTGCTTCTACTGATCCTTATAATGATACTGAATTGGTTGAAATTGTTTGGGAGGATTTTGAATTTGATTGGCTAACTGGTTTCAGATTTTGTATTTGATCGTTTTTATTATGTTTTAGGCGAATTCAACATAAGATCTGATGTTGATGCATATATTCGAACAGCCAGTAAATATGACGATAGAAGGTTTTTGACATTTAATTATAGTTTTAAACAATTAAAATTTGTCTTTTTTCTAGACTTTTGCATCTCCCTCGCCTAATTTGCGCTATAAGTTTAGATTGGATTTGTCTTGGGGATCAACATGACCATCATTCAGTACAGCCTTGTGCTCCTGACAAATTGCCAGAATATTCTATTAATATTGTTCGTTTATTATTACTCTATTTTTTAAATGGATGAAACAATTTTAAGGGTCATGATTCGTATCGAGCTTTTCGTTCTTCTTGTGTTGATGTAAATATTCGTTTTGAAATTAGTGAGTGCGATGAGAACAACATCAAACGACAGTTCCCACAGATTCAGCTTTATGCCAATACATTCAAATGCCTTGATTTTCTCATTGTTTGTTTTTAATCTTTCAACACAAAAGTAAATGGTTATTTTATATAAGAAAAACAATGAACATTTTTTATAGTCCCATCATATATTTTTACTTTTTTAGAAAACACTTATGACCGTAAACAGACCAGTCAAACGAGGACCTATTTTCTCAACTCAAACAACGAAACGTTATCAATTAAGTAGACATTTTAGGTTTATTTATATCTTTTTATTTAATGAAATTTTTTAAGGAATATGAATCTCAGTTCAACTTTGCAAAGGTTTTCAATCTCTTATTGGATGTCTTTCTCTTCCTCACACGGGTTCCGAGTGATAAGTGATAATCTTAAATTTACATTTTCTGCTCAATTACAAGTACATCAACATCATTCTAATGTATTTTTAATATCCATTATTTACTACGATTAAAACCGACTTTTTAGGATCACATTTCTAGACGATCAAGAATTGATTGGAAAATATCTCACGTGACTGCTCATCTCGAAAATACCCAAATTCATTTATATAAGGTTAAACCAAATGATGAAGATTTACTTCGTGATGAACATATTCCAACAGATAGCAGTAATTCTTCATTCTTTGTTGGCCTTTCCCGTCTTACCTATATACGTGAAGCAAGGCAGAGTAAGGTAATAGAATAAATTTTAGTTTTTTCCTTTTGATCTATCTGTAATTTTTTTTCAGAAAAATTCTTTTCAATATGGAACTGAATATTCATCAAATCCAAATAGTGATGAGTCTAGTCAATCAACCTGTTTGGGAACAGCAGTACATCGTTTGACAATTACTGATTTGAAGGCATCTTGGACAATAGACAATCGTGATATTTGTTTAGTTATTGCTGAAGGGGTGCAGAAAGCACATATGTTGCGAAAAATTCTGACAAATGAAGCATTGAAAATGTTTAATGTAAATAAAGGTTATATATTTTTTATTTTCGTTTTTCCAGTTTGGAGATGAAGCAACCACAAGCACTAATTCTTCAAATATCCCAGGAATAACTCGCTTGAATTCCAACAGTACATCATCACAACGAACTACTCGAAATCCATCTGTAAAGAGAGGAATTGCTGTTAATTCTGGAAGTCCGCGTCATGAAAATGGGGATGCTGGAAGCTTACTTGACGATCGTGAAATGCTTTGGAGATTAGTAGATGAAGCAGAAACTAATTTGGTTGCTTATAGTGAAGAGGTTTTTTTCTTTTATTCTTTGTGGTTGCCCTTTTTCTTTGGGTTTCTTTTGTTTTTTAAATGTCAAAGAATTACTAAGAAAAGCTATCTTTATCTTATTAATTTTTCTTGCAAATGCTAGGTTAGTTTAATATTAATGTTTTAATCTGTTAAACTATCTTTCATTTAAGTGAGCATATTTTCTTTTTTCTAACTAATGTTCTTTGTTTCCTGTTCTTCTTGTGTTAAACTAGTATATAAAAATCCACATTTTTCTTAAACATTAAATATAGTTGTGTAATTCTTCCTTTTTAAGATTGCACAAAATCCAACAGATTCACTCAATGGTGTTGGTATATGCACAATGGAAGATGTTATCTTAATAAACTGGCAAAGTATTTTTTTTTATTTTAATAATTATCTTTAATTTCTAATAGTTGATCTATTAAACAGTCAATTGGTTTTAAAAAGTTCAGAAAAGGTTGGGGGTTTTATGCTGGTGACAGCAGCGCGGGCGTCTGTTTCGCAACGGTTACATGTGCCTGTTTGGAGAAGGAAGCAATTACTATTGAAGAAATCTTGGATTACAACACTTTCAGGGATGCAGGTTTCTTTTTATTTTTCTTTTCTTCTTTTATTATTGAAGAAAATTTTTAGTATTTTGCACCTTTATTTATTGCTCAAGATGATTGCAGCCTTAAACCAACAGAATTCCGCTGGCTTAATCGTGATATAATTGAAGAAAAACAGATGCCTACTGATCAGCAACAAAGCAAAGTAGAAGATTTTTCAACAACTGGTGAGGCTGTTGGCGGGGTTGTAGTAGGTTAGTTATTGATTTTAGTGATTATTAATCTAATGCTGTTTACAATCAATTTAGATAATAGCACAATTTCTGTTGATTCATCTTCTTCTATTCAATTACAACGAGTTGCTTCAAGATGCAGTTGCCAGCTTTTCTTCTGTTGTTTCTCTGATATGCTTGGCACTGAAGAATTGGAAGATTTGGAAATAACAATTCCAGCTGTGAGAGATTATTTTTTGTTATTTAAAAAATTATTCTTCGTACAATTAGGCCAATACAACAAAAGAGCGTGGTAGCTTGGGTGTGCGACATTGTGAGGAGGTTGACACGTTCACATTGAAGCACAACATTTTGGAAGTTTGTACAAATTCAGAACAATACCAAGTTTGTTTTTTTCAAAATACAATAAAAATTTATGCATGATATTCGCTTATTTTAGATGTGTATTGATATCCTACAAAATCTAATCATGTTCATCGATCCTCGTAAAACCCAATCGGAAGAAAATAGGAGACGAATGTGGTTTGAGTTGCTCAAAAGGCCAAAGCAAAGTGTTCGTGTTTCAATCCAAAAAATGCAGGTAATTATTTAATTTCTATTATTAACATATATTTTTTTATGTTAGAGTGATCTTCGTGAACTTGTTTCTTTAGTACGTGCTTTGGAACGACAAGCGTTTTTTCTAAATAAAGAGATGCAATTGAATCCTATGGATCCAAAGTACTTTTACAAACCATTTAAAATATTTTTTTTATTTTTAAAGACTTGAATTAGAAAATAACCAATTACAAACAGACATTGATGAATACAAACAACGACAAAATTTGCTTATTGATGAACTTGTCATGATGATAAGTTGTTATAAAGAGAAGGAAGTTGAGGAACGAGCACAAAAATTTATAACTCAATTACGTGTTGGCAGTGAAGAAGTATATGGAGATGATGAGCAAAAGCCATTCATTTCTAGGCTATTTGAAGGTAACCTTATCGAGATTTTTCAAATTAAAATGAATAAAAATATTTTTTTAGTTTGCTTCGAAAATTGCATATGGCGATTAACTGAGAATGATGGTCAAATTTCACTTTCCGAAGTTCAAATTAGAAATTTTCTTTACACAAGAACAGCACGCATTGATAATTCTGGTGATCATTTGTTGGAGATTGGTGTTGTTAAAGTTTTGAATTTATTACCGAACAGCAAATACAAGGCATGTTTATAATTGAGAATTTTGTTTAAGATTAAAAAATGCTGACAATGGAAGCCGCCCTAAAAATTGCGGCTCGTTAAGTATTTTAAAATAAGTAGGCGAAAAAGTAAATCTGGTCAACCTCGGTGGAATTGGAACCATCCGCAGAGTGAAAGCCAGCGCTTTATGTGATATAACTATACCACTCTTGCTTGATGCAAAATGAAATTAATTTGCATATGGGAGATTTTTTCTGAGTGTACTAATTGTAAAATAATTGCAATTTTTTATTTTGAGTTAAAAATTCTATAATTTTATTTATTTTTCATGCTAATATTTTTCTCATCATTTAGGAGACTTTAGCTCGTCTACAAACTACAACTAGTGTTGATGTAACACCAGCTATGCGTGTTATTTGTCGAGAATTGCCTGCAGTTGGTGGAATTAGTATTAAAGAGCATTTTGAAGGTTTTATTGTAATAATATACCTAAATTTAATTTTAAAGTTAATATTGCCCCCATGCATGCACAAATTACTTATCGTTTTTTCGAAAAAATGATGCAATATTTCTTTCCTGGACGTAATATTGAGAAGGAAGATCAACAAAATTTGGATACTTCTGATGACCAACAACAACATAATCAACAGGTTTTTTAAATCAAATATTAAAAAATTTGTTTTTAATTTAGCCACTTTCTTTCGCTCAACGTATTCGTGGTGCTGTGAATCACTCATTTAGAAGTACAAAAACTAAAGCTGCACAATATGCTGCAATTCGAGATGAAATTGATAAAATGAAGGAACGCTCAGAGAAAAACAATATGTTCGTTTACATAATCATCCCAGCTGTTCCTTTTCTTGTTTCGTATAAGGTTTGTTTATATTTAAAAGTTTATTTGCTAATCCCAATGCCCGGTTCCTCTTCTGTTTGTAAATTTGAAATTGTAATTTTGGAGTTGAACAATTTTGACACTTACTCCGGGGATGTAATATTTATATTATAACTATTTACCATTCTAGGGAAATAAAGAGAAAAATCTGGAGGATGTAGATCGCTTCAATCTGACCTTCCCAAATTGTGAATATCACGACAAGAACTGGACATGGTTAGATTTAGCATTAGCAATTAAACAAAGATGTAAACGGGTCCTTCTCCAACAATTTATTAATCAAAAATTTTTACGAAATTCTCGGCAAGCTGGAATTGAGAGATTTGTGGCTGAACCTATTGATGATGAGGAGAAGAAACGAATTATCCTTGGAAATACTGTTTGTTTTTTTAATCTTATTTAAATAAAAAGATTTTAAGGCAAGCATGTTAATGGAAAAGAAAAAGCGAAAGAAATGATTTTAAATGTTTTGTATAGGTTGTAGTTAATTTTTATTCTCACTTATTGTTAGGTAATATAGAGGTAATCTGTTGCTTTTAATATTAAGTCAACCTACATTAATTGATCTCATCTCCTTCTAACAAACAAAGTTACATAATTTTTGACTGCCCAAATTGTTATGTATAAAATTTTAATAAATTGTTTTAGTATAATTTATCATAATTTTGGTTTCTACCATTTAATTATTAAATAATTACCGGTTCCTTTTTAATTTTTAGATGTATGAAAATTCTAATGATTATTCCTCAGTGTTAAACGAAACAAAAACTTCTCAAGAATACGCATTCGATTGGTCAGTTTTAATTGATGCAGATCTTGAATTTATTAATCCGGAAGTAAAGAAAAAATCCCACATTCATTGTGTCTTTTCGCGTGTCTACATTGAGTGAGTATTTTGTTAATTAAAATTTGATTTGTTCTGTCTCGATATCCTGGGCCATAGGTCTGCTAAAATATTTTCGTTAATTACCGCTGGCAGTTGTTGATGTGGACCATGTGTAGTTTTATAATTTTGACTGTTAAATATTAAAAACTAATTCTCTTAAGTAGGAATTTTTTTAATTAAAAATTTTTAGCGATATGGATCTGTTACGTCAAGGCGATGATGAAGGTGAATTTGTTGCTGATGAAAGTGAATCAAAAGAGGATTTATTAGAAGAGCAAATTCAAGAAGTTTCAACAAATATGCAAAAGGACGAAGATGTCGTCAAAAAAGAAAAATCTCAAAATGAAACTGATTGTTCAAATGCTGAAAATGTTAAAAATAAAGCACCTACAAAAAAGCAAAAATTTTGCAAGGATTTTGAAAAAAATGTAATCTTTAAAATAATTTTATTTTAAATTGTCTTCAGGTTCGCAGTTTTGGATTCGCAACTGGCTTTGATTTAAGTGGAGAAACTTATAAGAAAAAAATTAATGGTAGTGAAGATGGAAGGTTTGTTTTAGTGTGAATAGTAACTATAAAATTTATTTAAAATTTTAGTGAAAGTAGTAAATTCAGTGCTGGGATTCTTGATTTTGCAAAATTTTGGCAAAATGAAGACTGCAAAAGATTTTCTGGATTTGAAGGGAAAAAACGGAAAAAAGCAAAGGCAAGAACATCATCCTCTTTATCGGCAACTACAAGTTCTTTACAAATATCTGGCACAGCTAGTAAAGTAGAATCAAATACTTCTTTAATCGAAGGTTCAGAAGATTCGTTGTCAATAAATATTTCTATGGAAAAATTGAATTTTGAGGATAAATTAAATTTTGATTTCGCTTTTGATCCAAAACGAGATAGAAAATTGGTTGCTAAAAGGGCTCGCAAATATTTTTCTGATGATAAGGTTTTTTATAATAAGGTTATCAAAGGGTTATAAAATTATTTTTTTAAGGAAATGATGAAATATTGGTTTCAACGTTATCGTTACTTTACTAAATTGGATGAGGGAATTTTATTAGATCGTGAAGCCTGGTTCTCGGTTACACCAGAAATGCTTGCACAACACGTTGCTGATCGTCTTGTCCGAATTAGAGATTGTATAATTCTGGATGCATTTGCTGGTTCTGGGGGAAATTCTATTCAATTTGCTTTGAAGGGTGCTTTTGGTAAGAAATTAAAGACATTTTTTAATTTTCAAGGAATTTTTTCTTTTAGTTTATGCAATTGATATTGATCCAGTGAAATTGCGTTGTTCAGCAAGAAATGCACAAATTTATGGTGCCCGAGATAGAATAAACTTTATTTGTGGAAATTTTTTCCATATTTGCAAATCATTAATTGGAGCAAGGAAATATAAGGAGGAAAATAAAATTGTTAAAAGGTTTTTTTAGTGATTATAAGGGATCACTCCAGATTTTTGGGTGGCGATATTTAGTGGTGAAGTCAATTATAAAATTGTTTATTAGATTTTTTGCTGTCAAACAATTTTTTTAATTCTATCTTCACTTTTAAGTGTCACTTGTCTATTATCTTAATTCTTTCAAGGTATTCAAAACCGTTAGGCTAAAAACCACTTATTTATTTCTAACAACACTCCATTAATTTCTCCTTTTCAGTTCATATCCTTACACAACTGATCTTTATCCATTTGCGATAGATTCTGTTTATTTAAGCCCACCTTGGGGTGGGCCTTCCTATGCAAAATCAGGAAAAGAAGAATTTGATTTACAAAAAGACATTATTTTAGATGGTGTCAAAATATTTAATTATGCAAAAAAGATCTCACAAAATGTTGTTTACTTTTTACCCAAAAATACTTCTGTTGATCAGGTTTTTCCTTAAAAATTTTATTTAAAAATTCATTTTAAGATTATTGCATTGGCAGCATCTGATGGAGAAGTTGAATTAGAGCAGAGTTTGTTGGGAGAAAAAGTAAAAGCATTGCACGCTTATTATGGAAAATTGGTTGCTCATGATTGATTTTTTTGAATTTTAATTTTTTTTTGAAAATTTTTAAGAAAATAATTGATTTAATTTTATCTTTTTTTTGTTTTTTTCAAGTATAATATATTGAATGTGCCAAATTATCTCATTTATTATGTAATTTTTGCATTTAAATATTAAAAATAAAGAAATTAGCTAAAGTAGCTTTAAAAATATTTTGGCTTTTAACAGGCATTAAATAAAATTTTTAGGGTGCGGGAGTCTGTCCCCCCCCCCCCCCCCGAATCAAGAATTTTTCACTACTGTAATAAACGATTAAAGGATAAATAATATATTACATTTTTAACTGAACGAGAGAGAGATTCAACAGAAAAAAATTAAGGAATGCTTAGCTAGTAACGGGCTCCATTCATTATTTTGCAGTCACAATTATTCACTCTACATTTTGCACTTTACTCCAAAAAGTCGTAGAAATGTCAATCAATCAATAATTGCCTAATGATTATTATGATTGAGTCTTGCACTTCTCTTTTCCAAACTACCTAATTTAGTTGTGACACCCGTCTGGCGCCAGACAAGACGTGTCAGACTAAATTACCATTTAAATAATTTTTCGGGATTTTCTTCTTCTTGGACATTTTTGCCTCTTTTGGTAATTGGCAAAACGTTGGTTGACAAAGTATGGAATTGGTAAAATATGTTGGAGCCATATTAGTACTGTTAGTTTTTATTTCCATCCCTTCTACTATTACACCCCGATAAATGGATAGTGGAAGTTTTTGAAGAGAGCGATGTGTGTAGCTCAATATACTTTTCGATTGCTTGTACATGCCATAGTTTCTGTGTTGGTTGCGCGTTTTTTTACACAAATCGCACCATCTTTTTATTCATTATCCTCTTCTTCTACACATTCTTTGCTTTTTAATTCCTTGCTAAATTTTATTTGTTATTTCCTCTCCTCTCTTCTTTCTCCTTTCCTTTCCCCCCTTATTCACATACAACTATTCATATGCAATCAAAATTTGTATATATCAGTCCAGACAGTTTTCTAAGCTTTTTCTTTTCTCACACCTTTTTTGCTGGTTGTCAATTAATGTCTCTCATTTTTGATAGACATTTTAAATAGTTTTTTCTTTTTGTTTCTTTATGTGGCAATATTTTAAATATTAACTAAATAATAATTACTTTTTATTTTTTTCTTCAGAGAAGTTCAACCCTTTTATTGCTTGCTGCAACAAATATATTTTCTTTAATATTTTCTTAAAAACAATTTTAATTACTAAAACTTTTTAATTACTATTATGATGAAAACGGCTCCACAATCGTCGATCGCTTCTGCTGCTTCTCAACCAAAAATTGAGAAAAAGCTTATGGATGAGAAGATTTCAAAAGTTCGAGAAGTTGTTAAAAATGTTAGCACTAATGACATTGTGTTGGCTTTACACAATTTTGAATTGGACGTTGAAAAGACAATTCATGCATTTTGTGAAGGTTTATTATTTTTGAAATTAGGGAATCAATTCTTTATTAAATTTCCTGTAATTGTTCTAAATTTATTTTTACCTTTCAAAATAGTTTTTGTTTACACTCCTTTTTTTCATCATTTCTTTTTAATTTTAATATCTAAACTTTAGGCGGTTCGCAAATCGCGCTCGGCGATTGGGAGAAGACTGGGACCACTAAAAAGCGAAACAACAAAAAGAAGTCCAAGGCGGCAAAGAGCGGTGGAGGGAGTAACAATGGAGAGATGACCAAAGAGTAATTATTTTTTACTTAAGAATATTCACATAAATTTATTCCTTGTTTTAGAGTACGTCTTGGGACGAGTTCTGTTTCAAGTTTACCTTCTCCCGCAAACTCTACTGGGTTTGCCACGCCTGTTTTGCATCAATCACAACAAATTTTGCTCAATGACGAGAATAACGAGCTTGTGGAAAACGGCCAACAACGACATTCAATTCCACCTTCGTCCGTTGCCATAGCTAAAAGTCCCATTCAAAATTTTGTTCCTCAACGTGATATGACTTCTTTCATGCCGGATGCTCAACAATTTCAACCTAAGAAGTTGGCTTCTGTGAATTTAGGTATTTCTATGGTTTCTTTCACACTCTAAAATACGTCTATTTTGCAGAAGCTAATAATGCTACAATTCCTTTGACGGGCAGTACATATTCAAATTATTTGGACGAAAATCGAACTCTTTTTGAAAACGAAGTTACTTATGCTCGCGAGAATATTCAGCGGTGTTTAACGGTTTTTGACTTGAAATTTTGTTTGTCCGACATTAATTTTGTTTTAATTTTTACAGCAAATTCGCGACGCAATTTCTCTACGAGAGCAGGAATTGATGTCTGAACTTTCTCAATGCCATCGTGATGGACTTGCATATTTTGCTTCAAGAACCGAAGACATTAAACAAATTGCTAAAATTAAAAACGTAAAAATCGCCGCAGACCTTGAGAAACGTAATTCAGCGGCCAAAACTGTTGACTTGGAAACAGCGTTGACAACACGCTTTTTATGCGATACTAATGCATTTACATCACTGATTGAGTCGTTGAATCAGTTTGGAAGTGGTATTTAATTAAATTTTGATTAAAGTTTATTTTATTTTTAATTTTTAAAGTAATTCCTGTGAAAGCGACTGAAAACATCATTGACAATAACAAAAAATTAGAGGAACAGCGAAAAGAAATTAATGACAACAGAAATGTTAATTCTATTGCAGCTTCTGTGCGCCAAGCTGTGCGACGCTCAAACAGTCCTTCGAGTTTAGTTAGCTCTGTAGATTCTGGTTTGGGAGGACAAATTAGTCCTGTTAACCAAGGTTTCTTTTAGAATTATTTTGAGGGTATTTTCTTTCTTTTTTAGAGAAGGGACTTATTGCTCAAGTAGAGGAAAATGGAATTGTGCTCAAATCTGATTCCATCGCTCCTGACCAACTCGCTGAGATTCAACGCAACATTTTCGAGTCATTAAAGGCTAAGGGCATTGACCCAGCTTTGCTCGCTGATATTAATTCAAATGGAATTGTGGCTCCAAGACGTCGACAACAACTCACTCCTGGAAATTCGACTGATGGTGGGAATGCTGTTAACGGGAATGCCCCCAAACAACGTGGTAATGTTGGAAATACTTCAAACACTTCTAAGAAGCAGCAAACAAAGACGGGGACTTCTAAACAGACTTGAAGGGTTTTTTTAATTTTATTAAGGACCTTGGAATTGTCTATTGAGCGATGACATATTTGTGACATTTTTTGGGGAATTATTCTATTTGGCAGATTCTGGACCTTTTTTTCTTAAAATTTCGCCCTTCCTGTTGACTCTTTCTCATAAATTTTCTGGACGTATTTAACTGTTTGCTCTTTTTTCGAAATATTTATTTTATGGTTACTATACAATGTATGTTTTTTTGTTCTTATTTGTGATCGATTGTTGGTTAAAGGGGAATTAAAAGAATTTTTTAAAGTTTAATTGTTAAAAATCATTTGTTTAAAATTCTTTTAATTTTCATTTGTCTAAATATATAAATAAAGGTTATCTTGTTTTTTTCTAATTAATTGCTCCAATCTTTTAATATAGCTATAAGAAAAGTATATAAATATTAATTAATTATATTTTCTCTTTCAAGGAGAATAAAATTCCAATTTCTCCTTATGTTGTAAACAAATAATCTAAAATTTATTAAATTATTTATTTGACCGTTTAAAGGGATTGATTTGTTTTTTCTTTAAATTTTGGAAAGAATATTTTAAAAATTCTTTTTAAGCAAATCTAAACCTAAAAATAACCTAACAACCATCATATCCTTTCTATTTAATGTGCTCTTATTTTTAGCCTTTCCTTTTTGGATAACAAACGAAAAAATGAAACAATAAAAAGACTTTCTTTTCTGGAAATTGTTGGTTTTGTAAATACTAAAAAATTTTTTTTGAAAAACTGTAAAAGGATTAAAAAGTTTTTTTTGAAATTTTTTGGTGTATACAAAATCAACAATTAAAATCTACCGTTTTACTTTTTATAATTCACACATCTATTCATTCAGACACCTACATAAAAATATCTATTATTATTATTTAAATACACCAAACATTTTTTGTATTATTTTGAGATTTGTGGGTAAAAATAAATTGACTTTTTGTTATTTGTTTGTTTTTTTTGTAAAAAAGGTTATAATTCTTTTGAAGTTTTTTTTTAATTTTTAAAATCTTTAAATATTTTTTTTTGAAAATATAAACAAAATAATGTCAAAAGATAATTTAATTACTGCTTGCGCTTTTGTTAATGACAAGGATAATTTTGTTTTACAAAAGGTTTTGGAACATTTGACAGCAAATTCTAATGAAAACAAGGAATATAGGTTTTTTAATTATTTTTAAATTTGTTTTTGCGTGGTTATGGATGAACTGACGTTCTGATAGCCGCTATTATATTTAGGAAATGGTTTACGGCCTAATTTTGATGCTCAAAACGCGAGAAAGGACTGGCCAAAATTTAAAGTTCTTATTCAACCAAAAGTTGGCCGAGTCTCTCTCTCCCCCTTTAGAATTTATATATTTGTTGGATAAAAAATTAAAAAATAGTTTTCTTTTCAATTTGAATTCGGCTCGTCCCAAGAGTGGGTTTCCATTCTTGGAACCCAACACGGATTAGCTCCCGAGCAATAAAGGACTAGAGATATTATAGCCAAATAGGAAATATTTTTTTAAATTAAATATTTAATTGTTTAACCTTTTTAACGGAAAATATAAAAATCTATAAAAATATTTTTAAGTTCATCAACAATTCTTCATTTAAACACAAAATATTATATTTGTGATGTCCCAGTATTTAATTTTAATTCATTTGAAGATTTTACAGAAAGTCGATCAAAACAAAAAAACGAAAATTCATTTCTTGCTTTAATTGTTTGTGCTTTTCTTGTTGAAATAAATGAACTTTTTTTGGATAAACTTTCTAAAATTTCACAAATTGAGTCTTTGGATGTTAAGGTTTTTTTGGAAATTTTATTTAAAAAAATTATTTTTTTTTAATATTTTTAGACACTTATTATAAAAAATTGGACAAATTCTGGAAGTTTTGATAATAAATTAAATTCAACTCCATTTGATTTTGCAAAATTAAATAAATTTGCTCTTTCACACAATATTGAAATAATTAATGTTTTTAATGAGGAAGGATCGGTAATTTTTAAAATTAAAATATTTCTTTTGTAAAAAATTTTTAATCGCTGGTAATTCTTGGAATAATCCCAGATGTGTGGTGAGAACCAGTGCTTCGAAGCTCGTACCAAAATTCGTACTCGTACCTGGTACGAAGTACGAGTACGAGCAAAAAAATTGGGCAGGTACGAAGTACGAGTACGAGGCCAAAAAAAGTAATAAGTACGAGTACGAGGCCTAAGTACGAGCTCGTACTTCTCGTACTTGGTGTTAATAGGAAAATGAAAGAAAATTATTTTGTTCCTTTCATTTTTCATTATATGAGCGATTGGTGAAGGTGCTTGGCTGCACCAAAGTCTATAATGATTTAATATTGGGTTCGTTTCCTATTCACTGGACAAGGATTTTTAATATTTTTCTCTTCATAAATAACTTATTTATAATTTTAATTTTTTTTTAAATTATTGTAATTTTGCTTGGATTAATTATGAGATTTTGACCATCTAAAATTCTTATTTTTTTTTTTGCACACTAAAAGTGAATTTTTTTCGCCTACGGTAATCGGAAATTTTCAAAATTTTCGCCTGCGGCGCTGAAAAAATAAGAAATGTGACTTATTGGCTTGTAAATTCTAAAATTTTCGCCTTCGGCGGTGAAAAATGAAAGAAATCTGGCTTCACGGCCTTCAAAATTTTTCAAAATTTTCGCCTGCGGCGCAAAAATAGAAGAAATCTGACTTAAGGACATCCAAAATTCTCAAAATTTTTGAAAAAAAGGATTTGAGATTAAGAGGGATATAAGGAGATTAAAATGTGAAAAGTTCAGTGGAAAAGATAAAAAGCTTCATGTAAGAAAATGAAAATCGCATGAAAAAATGTAGGATCTCGGGTAGCACGACCCATCTTGGAGGAAATATTTCTCCTTGCACTCTAAAATGCTCAAAAATTTCGCCTGCGGCGCAGCAAATGGATGAAATTGGAGGATTTATAACTTCAAGGCCTTCCAAGATTTAAATATAACGTATAACGCTTAAAATTTAAAACTAGATGCCCTGGGTCCAAAAAATCATAAAAATTTTTGATTTTTTGCTTTTTCCTCAAGTACGAGTAAGTACGAGGTACGAGGTACGAGGCCAAAAATAGGGGTGGTACGAGGTACGAGTACGAGCAAAAAAATGGGGGTGGTACGAGGTACGAGTACGAGGCCAAAAAAAGAGGTGGTACGAAGTACGAGTACGAGCAAATTTGAAATTTCGAAGCACTGGTGAGAACATATCGGGGTTGCTGGCATGAGAGAAAACTAACCCCTTGCGCTTTTATGTTGGTTCTAAAATACAAAAACTTCTTTAATAAGGCAATGTAAATAAAATCCAAAACCCCTTTTCATACATTATAATTAGAGTTGAAAGTTTGGAAAATGCTGAATCCAGTTTTGGGATTTAAATTTTTTATCCGGGCCGGATTTTCCTGATCAAAATCATGAAAATCCGAACATGGATTCGGACCGGATTTCATCTCTAATTAAAATATCCCGATATTTCTCCACAGAATAAAAGTTAAGGGACTTTAATGTCTTTATTTAAAGAATAACCAACCAAATGATTCCGATGATGATGAAGAAGAAATGGGAACTAAAGGAATTGCTCGTATTGTAGAAGTTTTAGAAACAGTAAAATGGAATGGAATTAAATTAAAACCAAATCCAATTAAAAATATTAAACATAAAAAACAATTTTTGGATTATATTAAAGAAATGGATGATGAAGAGTTTTTGTGGGAAAAGTTTGGAGGAGAGAAAATTGAAGAAGAAAAGAAGAAGGAAATAAAAATGGTGGATTATCCAGACACTGAAGATGAAGGTTTTTTTAGGAAATTTTTAAAAAGGGGTTTAATGAACTTTCTTTTTTTATACTAGGTCAGAATTTGTGATAATTTGATAAATTATCACGGGGAATTTTTTGTGAATTTGTCTTTTATTTTAAATTTTTTGAAAAAATAGAAAAAAAAGAAAATAAATATTATAGTATATTTTCATTCATTAATCTTATAGAAGCAATATTGGAATGGTTTGATCGTCCATTGACTAATTTCAAAACCAAGGCAATAATTTTATATTTTTAAATAAAATTTCCTTTGGCTTTTTCTGTTTTATACGTCAATAATTTTGCAATTTAACCGTTTTTTAAAAGTCCTTTAAAAATCTAATATATTTGATTTAATCTGTGAATAATCACAAAATCTTTGACGTGTTATTTTAGCTTATAAATTATTTTGTTAATTTATAAGAAATGATTGGATGTATAAATACTTAAATTTTGATTAGGCAAACAAAAGGTTATTAAACAAAATAAAAATTTTTCCCTTTTTAAAGGAATTTCCACTTTCAACATATTCCCAACATCAAAGTCAATACAACAACACACAAAATATGCCCATTCTGAGAAGTCAGCCAGAAAGTATTCAACAACAAAATGTTATAAGACGCCGTTTTGATGGGACTAATAAATAAAAACATAATAGTAGAAATAAAGGAGGCATTATATATTTTATTTTAGAAATTGTTTTTGTTTATAAAAATAATTTTCACATTGTTTACTTTTAAATTTGAATTTTTGTTTTTTATTAGATAGCAGAGTTTTATTTGTATACGACACTTCTCGTACATGCAGGAGGAATTTGAAACGTAGTAAGATCTCACTAATGTCAACTTTTGGACAGGAACCCCGTGTTCGATGAGGAGTGTCGTGCAAGTGAGGTTTTTGTATACAGAAAAACTGAGTTATATGTATTTCTAAATTATACCAAAATATTGTATATGTATTTTGCTTTTTAATTAAAAAACATTTTTTATAATTTAAAATTTATCGAGTAATAATAAACAAGTGATTTGGAAGTATTACATATTTTTAATAAAATTTTCTTGGGCTAAGATATGAAAGAACGAGATTTCAACTCCAGCAACAGAAAAGGGATACAGAATTTTAAGAAAGTTGGGCATCTTTTTATAATTTAAATGTTACAGGAAAATTAGTAAAAAACATAAAGCATTACTGCACTCCGAACTTCTTTTATAAAAAAGAGTAAAGTAATGCTTAATATTTCTAGATATATAGTGGTGAAAATAGCTATTTTCTAAGAGATAATTTAATTCTCCTTGGAGTTCGAGTTTGATATTTCTACAAAAATCTTTTTCTCTAGTCCCAAACACAAAAAAATGTTTTTCGAATCTAATCAAAATCTTAATCTCTAAAAGAAAATTTAATAGCTATTTTCGCCTATTAACTATAAAAAACAACAGAAAATAATAAAATTCTGGCTAGTATTTTTACAAAATTTAGTTGCCTCCAAAACGTTGTAAAACACCCAAAATATTTTGTTGTTTTTGCATTTCTATAGCTGTTATCACACTTGTATTGCTATTGGAAGAATTTAGTAAATTAATTCCAAGTTCATTAATTTTTTGTTGAGCAAATAAATATTTTTGAATATTTTTTGAAGATTTTGGAGGGGATTCTTCTGAATTACTATTTTTAAGTGTCAAATTGTCTTCATTTTTAGAAGAATTATTTCCATAACATTCTAAACCTGAAGAACAACTTTCACTTGTTACAATTGTTCGGGAATTCTAAGAATAAATTATTTTATTTAGAAAAATTAATATAATTATTAGAGGTCGGCGCGGGACGGGATCCTGATGGGATTTTCCAGGATCCCGAAATCCTAGATTTTTTTGATTTTCGGGATCTTTCGGGATCCGGGATTTTTTCGGGATTTATCCCTCGGGATCCCGTCCCGGCATCGGTCAAGAAAAAAAATCCCGACTCCGGATCCCGGAAGTACGATTTTGCCAACCTCTAATAATTATATGTTCTTAATACTTTTAAGAGCTTAAGTTTAGATTTTTAAAAAATTAAAAAAACTCACTCCTCCATTATTTTCCTTTCTATTATTTTTAATAAATAAATCAGCTAAACAAAATATTCCTCCATTTTTTGTTATTTTTCCTTCTCCAAAAGAAGATTTAAATAAATTATTTCCTTCTTCTTTTTTAATTAAAGAAAATCTGGAACATTCTGGACTACTTTTACTAATTATTGGAGAATTATTATTTGAAGAATTTTTACATAAACGGTTAAGTTGCTTTGTTGGACAACAACTTGGAAATCCGGATTTGTATATAAATTGACAATTCTTTAATTTAAAAATAAAAATTATTATCTAAAAATATTTTATTAAAAATTTACCGTTCCATTAGGAGAATAAAAACCATTTTGAGTAGGAGGAAGTCCTTTAGAATTGCGAAAACGGGCATAACTTTCATTTATCTGTTAAATAAATTTTTTAATTAAATTATTTAAAAATAAATAAATAACAAATAAAAAACAAAGGACAAAAAAAAATTTAAAAAAATTTCTCAACCAAATTTGGATGGATGACAATTTCTTCTTCACATTTCTTCTCTTGTAGGAGAATTTGTTTTTCCTTAAATTACACAAAAAACAAAACAAATTTTTTTTAAAAACAGAGATTTAAAAAATAAAAATGTTAAAAAAGCGATAGAAAATAAAAAATAAAATTTTCAGTTTAGAAAAATATAAAAAATAAAACTATCTGTACGAGGACTCGAACCAAACCTTAAACAATTAAAGTCAATAACGATACCACTACACCACACAGACTTACAACTCGAAATTTTAATTTAAATATACAATATTTGAAAAGAAATAAGAAATAATTAAATTCCAACCTCCTTCCGCAAGGACAATCGTCTAATACTAAAATCCAAATCTTTAGAACCAGGCCTTCCAGGAGTTCCTAATTTTGGTGGACAATAACTAGAAAGTGAATCAATACTTTCTGTTGAAGAACCAGAATTATTTTGCAAAGAAATGTTTTTGTTGGTTTTTTGTGGAGTTGAAAATTTCCAACAAAAAGAAGAAGAGGCACATTCGTTATTTGATTGTCTTGGAGAGAATTGAATTGGTGAACAACATGCATCCTTTAATAAATTTATTTTTAAAATTTTTTAGTTATTTTATTAAATAACAACCTGAAAGATTTTTCTAGATATTTGTTGTCCTCCATTATTTAAAGGAATACAAGTTGGAGTAGTTGGAGAATCAATTATTGGTGGTTGCCCTTCTTTTCCTTCTTCTTTAGAAATTTTTCTTTTCTGTTGTTTTGAAGTAATATTATTTAATCTTTGTAAATGTTTTCTATCTTCAAGAGTACTACGAACAGCTTCTAATAAGGCACGAGAAGGGACATCAAAATTTTGACAATTTACAGACATTTCTTGCTGAGGGTGACAATCAACATGAGCATTTGAAGTAGATGGTTGGTGAGATGGTGATTGTTGATCAATAGCACCCCCAGAACCCAAAGAACTGCAATGTGCTGATGGACCATATCTGAAGTTTTAAATTTATCGTAAGATAAAGCAGTAAAAAATAAATTTAAAAAATAATTAAAACAAGAACCCAGCTCAATTTATAAATAAACCTATGGGTTAAAAAATCAAAATAAACTTTCCAAACCTTGCAGAAAACATGGGAGTTCCATAACATCCACCAGAATCAGCTCCTTCCAATTCTGACGCTAAAGAATCATAAAGCGAGTCTACACTATTTGTTCGCCTAATTGGGGGTGGTGGAGGAACTTCCGCCTTTCGACGGTGTTCCCTCAATTCATCTTCTGTGTCTTTAAGCACTACAATAAGATCTAAATAGCGTTCTTGGAGCAATTCAATTTCAGAACGAAGTTGTTCGTGTGTATGTATTTCATTGTCAAGACGTGTTTGAATGTCCTCATTTTCATCCCAGAGCTGTCAATTTATAAAATAAAAAAAAATTATTTAAAACAAATTACATACAATACGTTCCCGTTTCTTCCTTTCAGAAATATCAGACAATAGTCGTTGAATTTCTTCTGTTTGGGATTCACATTGTTTTGCTTTCTCACCCAGTTGAACTTGAATTTGTGCAATCTTTAAAATTATTCTAATAATTTAAAAACAAAAATTATTCAAAAACCTTTAAATTCGCCGTCCTCAATTGTGACATATAATCGCTAACAGTATTCCCTTCTCTCTTTTCAATAGTCTTCTTTTGTTCTTCCAAATCATCAACCTAATTCAAACAAAAATTTTTTTTAAATAATTATTATTTAAAAAATTTAGACCTTAATACGTAATTGAGTATTTTCTTTCTCCAGATTTGAAAGTTGTTTTTCCATTCGAGAAAAATCTACCGACCTTTAAAAAAATATTATTCAAATATTTTATTTACAAAAAAAATAAAAGAGGACAAAACATGAAGCCCCCCCCTCACAAAAGAATATTAATTTTTTATTTTATCTCAACAAAAATTTTTAATTAAAAACCTCGCAGAACAAGAATTACTACAACAAGCCTTCTCCGTCTCCTCCTCTTCAGTATATTCATTCTCTAAATCCACAATTGTACGAAAAAGTTTGCTACGTTGTTTTAAATGGCGTTGAAGTTGAGAGATTGTTTCATTGCTTGTTGCAAGAGATTCTTCGAGAAATTCATTTCTAAATTATTTTAAAAAATAAAAATTAATAAAAAATTTAATTAAAAATAATATTTAAAATAAATTACTTTTCTAATAATTCCTTGTTCTCTTGCAACAAAGAATTTCCTAAGTTAGCTGCCAACTCAAGATCTTGTTTTCTCTGAAAAATAAAAATTATTTAAAAAATATATTAATTAATTAAGTAATTAATAATATTTAAATATTCACCAAATTATTATTTTCTAACAAAAATTGTTGGCGATTTTGGGACATTAAAGAAATACTTTTTAAAAAATTTATGGTTAAATTCCAAAATACTATAATTAATCTGACCAATGTAAAAGTAAATCTTTTTTTATTAAAAAACGAAAAAAATATTTAAAATAAAATCGATTAAAAATAAATTTTCTTAAAAGAGTTAACAACTGACAATTTTTTTAAATTTAATTGATTTTTTAACGAATTAACAAAAGAGAAGAGAATTAATTATTTAATTTAATTATCCCTTCTCTTTAAAAAAATAATTTAAAATAGATACCTCATTTAATTCCTTCAAAAGCATAGCCATTTCTGAAGATGTTGGTTCTTCAAAAGAAAGTCCCGGTATTGGGTGAGGTGATTGAAGATTATTTTTGTCGGGAGGTGTTGTTGTTCGTTGTTTGATCTTTGCTCGCGATGCTGACATTGGTGGAAGAGGGCGAGATGAGCGAATAAGAAATTCTAAAAAAATATTTTTTATATCAGAAATAAATTAATTAAAAATTAATATCGTCACAAAAATTAAAAAGATTTTAGTAATAAAAATAGAGAAAGAAAATGAAGGGAAAAAATTTAAAAAAACTTTAAAAAAATAAATCAGAAATTCTCATTTCAGAAATTTAAAATTAATTTTAGTTAATTTTATTATCCTCAATTTAAAATAAAAATTAAAAACAATAAAAATACTTTTAAAAAATTAATTTATTGCGCAATTTAACCTTGAAAGAAACGCGGGCTTTTTGAAAAAAGAAAAGGTATAAATTGGTTTGGAAGCGAAAAAAATAAAAATAAAAACGTTGTTAATTTAGGAAAAAGGTCAACTTTATAATTGTTGATATATTTTAAATTAACAAAATTCAAAATATTCAAATAATTTTTAAATAACCAAAAAAGAAATTAATCACAAAAAATATTTCTTTCAATCTAAAAAACAAACAAAAATCGCAATTTTACTTTCAAAATTTAAGTATAATACAAATCAACAATGAATCATAGGCGGGATGGAGAAAATACATTTTTTATCCTAACTATTTTTATTTAAAATATTTTTTAAAATTAAGTATTTATATTTATTTATTGCTGTCGACATAAAAGGGATTAAAAAAGAACGTCAAAAAAAAGAGAATATTTTAAAAAATAATTAAAACCCTCAAGAAATACGTAGTTAAAAATACAAAAGAGAAAATTAAAGTGAAGATGAGAATACTAAAATAATAACAAAATTAAGCCCTTAAAAAGAACAATGAATATAATAATTGTTAAAAATAAAAAGGGGATATAGGATGAAGATTAATCCGAGCAAATAAAAGAAATGAATGTACTTTTAAAATAAATAAATATTTATTTATTTTTATTTCAAGTATTTAATGAAATCTTTGCAAATAACAAAAAGTACAATTCTAAAAACAATTGTTTTTGAAACATTTTAAAAGGATATAGAATTACATTTTTGTTAGAGATTTAATAAAAAAGGATGTTTTTAATAAAAATATTTAAAAAAGGACATTTTCTCTAAAATAATTTATTTAAAGAAATCTTCGAAAAAACTAAAAATATTCTAAAAAAGAATTATAATTTAAAAATAAAAATTAAGAAATTATAGAAAAATTATTTTCGTTTAGTGTGGAATCTAAGAAATATTTTATTGTTAATCTCAAAAGATAAACAATATTTGTCCGATTTTTAGAAAAATTAATTAGAGAGTAAATCTAAATTGGTTAATAAATCTTCCCAAAAAACATTAACGAGCTTAAAAAACAAATGTTCGTTAGACTTTAATAGAAAATAGGTATATAATTGAGACAGAACAAAATATTTAATATAACACAATTGGCCGGAAAAAGACAAAAAAATATTAGAAAAATAAAAAGAGATAATTAATAATTATTTTAGAGAAAAAAAATAAATGATAAATTAATTTTTTTATTTAAAAAAATTATTTTTAAGTAAAAAGAGAAATATGTAAAATAATTGAAAGAAGAAATTAATTAAAGAAATCACTTATTTTTAAGTTAAGATAAAATACCTAATTAATAAAAACAAGGAAATATTATTTCTAAAAAATTATTAAAAATTACTAAAATGATTATTTTAAAAGTAATTTCCAAAAATAAATTTAAAAAAAAGTATAAAATTTCATAAAAAATCTTTAAAAAAATAAACTTAAAACAAATGTTAGACTTACTTAATTTTCTAAAAAAGAATTGATCATCCGAAAATAAAATAAAATTTTTTTAAATTCTAGGTGGGAAAATAAACGAAAAATGAATTTTGCCTCAATCTTTAGTTAAAAATAATTTTTTTTCTTTTTTTATTCTCTACTAATCGCATTTGTCATTTATTCTTTTCCCCACAAAAATATTCCAAACAGAAAAAAGATGATAAATCATTAAATCTTTTAATGCGATGAAAAAAATTGGGGGGGGGGGGGGGGAGCGGAAATGATTTAAAAATAAGGTAAAAAATAATTTAATTAAAAGAAAAATAAATTCGGGGAGGAATTAAAAAATAATCTTAATTTTTTAAAAGTAAAAAACAAATAAAAACAAAAAAACATTTTTTAATTCCCTGGACTCAAATTAACCGAGAAAATGACAGGCGTAAGCGTTACATTAATTCGAACGTTTAAATAAAAAAATGTAAGGTGGCTGGTTGGTTTGGGGGACTTTGATATATAAAATATTAAATAAATAAAAAAGAAAAAAAAGAAAAAATGCCAGTAGAAGAACAATCAATAAATATATAAAAAAAGAATATGTTTGGAGTAAATCGAGAATGGAAAAAAAGAAAGGGAGGAAAAGATGCTAAATAAAAAAACAAAGGCAATAAAAATAAACAAAAAAAAGTATTAATTTTAAATTTAAAAGAATTTTGTAAGTCCAAATAAAAAGAAAAAAAGAAAATTCTTGAAAAAAGAAAAGTAATTGAGAAAAAAAAGTATTTAAGAAAAAACAAACAAATTTTTGTTTAAAATATTTTAGTTTTTAGTATTTGTTTAAAAATTTGAAAAAAAGAGGAGAAAAATAATTTTAAAATAAATTAACAAGTCTAAATTTTAAAAAATAAATGTAAAATAGAGAAAATAAATTTAGACAAAAATTTTAGCAAAAATCAAGAAATTAAAGAGAAAAACTTGATAGAAAGTAAAGAGACTAAAAAATAATTTTTAATTTAAATAAAAACTTTGTAAAATACTTCCTCCTTCCACTTTACAATTTTAAAAGTTTGCCAAGCAAGAAATATGAGCTAACAAAAATAAATGAATCAAACAAAAGGAAGAAAAAATTTTTTGGAAAAATAAAAGTAAAAAAGCTTTTTAAAATAAAACAAATAAAAAAAAAGAATTTTTTAAAATAAATATGAAGTAGAAATAAATTAAAATTAAATATAAAAGTAAATAATTAAAAGTAAATAATTAGAATTTGGTTGTAAACTAACAATAAGTTTTAGGCCCCTTTGAGTTAAAAATTCGTAACTCGGATTAAATGTTCCTTAAATTCAACAAAATGTAATCCGAATCAAATTTTATTCTTTTATGATCATAAGAGAATTGCCTATTTTCTGCCAAAAAATCAGTTCAATTCAAGGGAGGCTTAAAACTTAGTGTTAGTTTACAACCTCACAATAAGTAAAATCCTTAACATAAAGAACAAATAATTAAAGAAAATTAATTAATTTAAATTAACAAAAAATAAAAATTTAGAAATGTGGAACTTGAAAAAAAGGAGAGATTAAAGATTTTAATCAAATCTTTAGATATAGACTTGTTAGTATTTTTTAGAAAAATTATTTTTTTTTGAATTAAAGAGAAGTTAGGTGATAAAAATATTTAAAAATTAAAAAAAACAAGCAAACCTTCCCAAAACATTTCCTTTGATTGTTGAGATAAATTATTATCATTAGAACAACATTCATCATTTGTGTTATTCTGTAAAGGTATTCTTCTCCACATATTTATTTAAAGGCAATTTATTTTGTTGTTGTTAATTGAGAATAATTTAATTAATTAATTCTTTTTACATTAAATGGACATATATTTACATAAAAATATGTACTAAAAGTATAAAAAATATATTAAAATTACGTGAATATTTAATGGAGAAAGATAAGGGATTAGTAGGGGGATTTATTTAAATAATGGTTGCCAAAGATTTTTAGTAAAAATTAAAATAAATTAAATTTTTTTGAGGAGAATTTGTAGTTAAAATAATTATTTTTAAATAAAGTGCTAAGAAAAATAAATATTTAAGGGATATTTTTAAATATTTAACTCGGGTTTTTGTTGAGTTTTGAGATATCGAATGATGGGAACATGTTAGAACTTTGTTTATTTTATACTTTCTAGTCATGTCGATACTGGAATTTTTGTGGATTTTTCGAACCCCCTCTAATGCCGAAAATATAAATGGAAGTCGCAAAATTGGACATATATTTTAAACGAATTTACGTAAACAAGAAAGAGTCAACATTAGAATTTTGAGATTTGTTTCTGAGAACAAATTTTCAATTTTAAAATAAAACAAATTTGGCGAAATGTAAAAAAGAGAACAGACACTCTGTGGCTCGCTCTCAAACTGCAGCACTCTAATGAACTGTTTCACTTGGCTCCTTATAAAAGGTCGATTCCTTAAAAGGTAGATGCAATATAACGTAGATTGGGGAAAATATATTAAAAGATCGACACTAAAGAAAAGGCCAGTTGAGCCCTGCTCTTAAACGGGCTTTACCGTCGTGTGCGCGCCCTTTTGTGGTGTTAAAGCCTCCACCCCTTAATTTGGCTTTGCTTTCATCTCATTCTTGTGGCTGAATATACAAATTATTTAATTTTAATTTATACAGATTTTTATTCTGTAAATTATACCAAAATTCTCTTTTTATGGATTAATTTAATTTAAATTACTTTTTTTAGGTTTATTATGGAGGCTATAAAAAGTATTATTGAAAACAACAAAATAAGAGGCCGTTCAAATGAATATGAAAATAATTACCAAGGATTTAAATTTATGCCTGATTCTGATGGCAAAACTCGATTTATGAGTAGTGATGGTTCTATTAAAATTAGAGTTTGTTTATTTATAAATATTAACTTATATGTAAAAACTTTTAAAATTATAAGCATTACTGAAGGATGACAGGCCTTTCCTGCAGACTTTTTCACTGTCTCCGTTTTCGGGAATTTTGTTGGTTTTAGCTGGTATCATATTTTACTCTCAAATTTCTTTGTCCGATTTTATTTTTTGTTACTAGTTTTTAATCCTTTCTAACTGATTAAAGCCGAAAATATTCAGGAAGAAATAAGGAAGAAGTACGCAAAAAGTTGCCCCGTTCCTTTTAATTATTTAACAATTTCATTTAATTTTAGAGCAAATCTGGTAGTTTTATTGATGATGACGGCAATGAGGAAAAAGAATTGCGCCGTTCTTCTCGAGTTAAAGACCGTCATTTTTCGCAATCTTATGAATTTTTGAACATTCGTAGCCGTATTATTCGAAAATCTGGGAAGATGCTTGATTTTAGCAGTAGCTCTCCTGCTAATTTTACAAATTCAGATAAAGAAGTTTCGAATAACTTATCTGATAAAAAAGATGATTTAATGACTTCAAATGGGCAGGAAGAAGAGGAAGGGAATAGCGGTTTTGTTCAACCGGAGTTGTCACAAGAGGATTTTCTTAAGGTTTTTAATAGAGTTGCTGTTAATTAGGCTTTCACCCCCTAGTTTTTTATTTTCAGAATATATTAACAATATTTTTTATTAGGCTCAAAAACGTCAAAATGATACTGGTATAGAAGACTCTGATAATGATGAACGTGAAATTTCTACTGCTCCAATGCAATCTTCTGGAAGTAATGAAGAGAATAGAGATTTGGTTTGTTTTTAAAAATTTTCAATTCAAAATTGGTACTTTTCGGTTAACTCAAATAACCAGATGGATATTATTCTATAAACTTTATTTTAGGGTAAATTAGCAGCAAACAATGAAGAATTAATTCAAACTCCGAAAGAAACTTTAAATGTTCACGAGACTTCAAATATTCTCAATACTTCTCAAGCAAGCTCAAAGCGAAATTCGAAGAAAGAACGTCGTCGATATTTGGATGGTGAATATATTGCAGAGAAAATTCTTGATGAACGTGGAGTTGGAAAGAGAAAGGAATATCTGGTTTGTTTAGATTATTTTTAGATTTAATTATTAAGATTTATTAACTTCTGTCCACAATTTTTTTAAATATTTTCTCCGATTTTAATTTACTGTTTTACTTTTAAATAATTTAAGATTCAATGGATTGGTTATTCTGATCAAACTTGGGAATTGGCTAGTCATTTTCAGCAATTTACTAAACTTATTGATGAATTTCAAGAAGCTAAAAAGAATAAATTGAATGATTCGAATAATAAAGAGGAGGGATCTGATAAAAATGTTAAAAAACGAAAAATGCGTGCAAAAAGAAGTTATTGGCATTATTTGGACAGTGATGAGGATGATGAATCTGAGGTTATTTGTTTCTTTTAATATAATTTTTTTAAATTTTAGTCAAAACGTTTAAAAATGGATGAATCAGTTTCTGAGGAAATCTCATCTTCTATGCAGCAAGGAAGACAGAAATATAGTCGAAAATCAAAAGATAACTTTATTGCTGCTGAACTTCCACCATCAAGGCGTGGAAGCGAAGGATTGATTATTAAGAAAAAGAAGGAGGATTCGGATAATAAAGTTGAAAAAGAAAAACAAAATGAAGAAAAGAAGAAGAAAATTGAAGAAAATTTGCAAAAAACGCCAGAACAAGGAAAGGACAAAAAGTCTTTTCCAGAAATTGTTGAACGAAAAAAGAGGACTGGTAGACGACGTGGACGACCATCACTTGTTAGTATTTCTTCTAAAAATTCGGAGGTTAGAGATGTTGAAGTACCTGAAGTTGTTCCGGAGACGAATGGATTGGCTAATAATTCGGAATCTCAGACTTCCGAGATTCCGTCAATTCCTGATGAAACTAGTGGAGATGAAGGAACACAAACTGTTTTAAAGAAAACGACAAGTTTGTTTTAGTTTTAATTGGATGAAATTGTGGCGAAAAGGAAATCTGTGTCTTTTTTTCGGTTATTTGTCGGCATAACAGAAAAGGGAATAAATTTGGTTGTTTTATTATTATAAGCCAGACCTTTTCCATATTTTTAGAAAATTTAAGGATAGTTGTTTTTGACATGTATATACTTATATTTTTAATTTATTTAGATTATGCTGTTACTTGTGGTGCTATGCCTTTGAGTTTGTTTATAATTAAATAAATTAAATTCTTCAACTTTTAGGTATCATTCGTATGCGTGTTGATTATGGGAAAGAACCGGAGCTGTTAGTTAAATATCAGGGAGAGCAATTTGCTGATGAATGGGTTCCTCTCAGTATTTTTAGTCAACATGCTCATCAAGTATAATTAAATAATTTTTAAATTAATTTTTTTTCTAAAATTCAGAATTTGGTCAATCAATTTATTTTCAAGTTTTTGTTTAAAGTTTGTAATATGCTTCGTGAGAGAGGAATGGAAATATCAGATGTTTCTACTTGAGAAAGAATTAAAATTTATATTAAAGTTTTGGTCAATTATTTATTTTTGAAAAATCATTAAATTAGGTATGGGTTTATGTTTTGATATCCGATTATTGTTTTAATCATTTCCCTCAATTGGACATTACAATTTTTGGGAATTACTGGTAACATCAATCATCTTCCTTGTTTAATTACTTTTTTCTCTCCAAAATTTATAAATAATCAAAGAAATCCAAATAAACAAAGTTTATATAATAAAAGTAAAATAATTTTTTGGCCACCTAATTGATTTTACATTTTTATAGTTTTTATTTTCTAAAAGAGTCACGTTAACCAAAAAATACGTTATCAGAAAAGCATTTTTTAATTAGAAAAAAGTTTTGTGAATTATTTAAAGTATCCGCCAAACCGAAGCGATTTTAGGTTAACTGAATTGAAAGTGACAATTATAATTTTGAGTTTTTTAAAAATATTTTTGTAATGTCCAATTTATTTATTTTTGAGATATCCTTTAAAATTCATTATATATTTTGACTTCTCTCTAAAATATAATTTTTTGTGTTGTAAACACATTTTAAAAAACATTCGTGGAATCATTGTTTCAAATATTTTTCTTATTTATTTTTTGGACTACGAGTAAATTATTTTCTCTCTTTTTTTGTTTTTTTATAAATAAAAAGCTTTTATTTGCTATAATATTTTAATTAAAAATATTTTTTAATTATTAAATTTAGTTTTTTTAATTGTCTAAAGATGATGACAGGCGATGCTCAAGATATTCTCGGGGCAACTTCTATGTCAAGAAGACAACAATCCTCAACACTACCTAATTTAAATTTAACAAATGTTGACAAAAAGGTTATTTTATTTAAATTGTGGGTGTAATTAATCTCTCAAAAAATATTTTTCTCATTTATTTTTTTGGACTAATATAGCTTCAGTTTGTTTTTGGGTTATTCAGTTTAAAGTTTCATGCCGACTTTGAAATACCTCATTTGTAATTAACATTGGGATTTGTCTAATTCACATAACATTTTCCATTGAGTCCCTCGTATTGTTAGTTTTTTAACAAAATCTTTTAAAAAAATTTATGTTTCCTATCCAAAATTACTTTGAATTTAGACAATTAAAAAATCTGATCAAATCAAAAGACCTGCGGGTATGCATCGAGAATTGTTTAATTTATTTGTTCATCAGGGAAAAGATAATAATAAGGGTTTGTAATTTTTGTTTTTTATGTCAAATTATTTTTAAAATTTTTTTTAGAAAAAATCGAATCTTTAGCACCAACAAATACAAAACATGGTTATTCTGTTGTCAAAGCAGATGTTTGTTTTTTTAGAAAATATGATAATTATTTTAATTTTTAGTTTGGTAAACGTATTGTTCGTAAATGGATGTGGAAACCTTTTTTGAATGATGCTAGAGAAGATGGATTACAACTTTCTCATTGGGAGAGAGAAGACTTGATTGGACAACCATATCAATTTGCTCGTTTTAATAAAGTAAAAAGTTTCCAAACGGATCTATTTTTTATTTCAATCAGTAAAGGGGTTGACTTGAAAGATTTAAAAATAAATAATACTAAATTCTTATTTTGTCGGCGAGTTTATTTTTGGTCGGATGACAATATTAATTTATATTTTATAAACTAATTACATATGACCATTCCTTTTTGTTTTAACTGGGGTAGGGGTTTTAAATAGAAATTTAAGAAATCATTTAATATGTATATTTAATTTAAAATTTCTATTTTTTATTAAAGCAATTAGATCTAGTTACATTTACTGATGTGGAATATGATGAATATTTGGATGATGAACGCTGGAATAAAGAAGAGACAATTCATTTACTCGATTTATGCCACAGATTTGACCTTCGGTTTATTTTCTTTTTATTTTTAATTAATTAAATATAGTTGGCCAATTGTGGAAGATCGTTTTGACCGTGAACGTTTCAAAGATCGAAAAAGTGTTGAAGACATGAAGGAACGTTATTATGGAATTGTTAATGAATTAAATGTTGCTAGAAATACACAATCTGAACCTTTAGCATATGATGCTGAACATGAGAGGAGAAGAAAGGAACAATTGGTTAAATTGTGGAACAGAACAGAAGAACAGGCAGTAAAATAAATTAAAATAAATATTTAAAAAAGGATTAGAGACAAGCCGAAACAATATTTATTTCAATTATTTTTCAGATTAAAGAGGAAGAAGAACTTAAAGAAGCTGTGAGAAAAATAGAAGCAAAACGTAAAGAGCGTGAAAAGAAAGCCCACGATTTACAACGTTTAATTAATGCAACCGCTGAGAGAATTTCCGTTTCTCCTGACAGGTTTTTTTGAATGTCCAAAAAATTTTTTTTCCGAAGTTCAACGTGTGGTTCTCCTTCTGTCGTTGGTGGAACTTCGACCAGCAGTCGTGCAGCACATCGGCGATCTCTCAAACGGCTTAGGACCCAAGCTTCGTTGGCTTCTGATCAATTAATGCCTGTATATTTTAGTTAAATTATTTTTAGTAAAATTTATTTTAGTCTGAACCACATATTCGTTGGCCTGAATATAGACAACCAGGTCCTCATTTGCGTACACAGGAAATGAAATTACCTAGCAATACAGGTATGGTAAATTGGAAGATTTTCTAGTTTAAAATATAAAATATATTTTCTTTAAGCACAACGAAAACTTAATAATATTGGAATGGTTGTTACTTCACTACAAATTGGTTAATATTTAAATAATTCCTTATATTCTAACAAACATTTAATTTATTTTCAAGTTTCAATTGGTTTGGAGTATCCCCCAGCAACAGAAGAAATTGTTAAACTTTACAATGATTTTCGTTCAAATATTGTTCTTTTACAAGAACTTAAAACAGCGGTATATAATACAGAACAAGAGCTTGACCAATTGTCAAATCGGTTGAGAACAGAAAAAAATATTGTAAAAAAATTTTTTTAAATTTTATTTTAAAAATTAATGTTTTTAAGGAACTTTCAATCGAGCCAAGACTTAGAGTTAGTGAAGCATTTTATGAAGAATTTACTAGAAATCCAGCTAGTTTAAACGAAATAAATTTAATAGAAGGGGAAGGAAAATCTTCAGGGAAAACTGGAGGGAAGGGAGGTAAACAACAAAAACAATTACCAAAACTAGCACCAGTAACTTCTCGAAGGATTACAAGAATGATTGAAACAAATCCGATTTCTGTGACACAGGTAAATAAAAAATAAATGGTTTTAAAAATATTAAAAAAAATCTAAAGACACGGAAAAAGCGTACAACAATTACTGCTGAAGGAACTTTAACAAGATCATCAATTCAACAATAATTCTTTGGTATGAAACAATATTTGCCTATTCCTTTTTTTCTTGTTACACAAGATTGTTTTAGAATTAGTTTTTAAATAAAAATATGGATGTTTTTCATGTTAGTAGTGACGTCGAGGATATAAATCTTGGCAATTAGGTCTCAACAATTAAAAAATGAATTTTCTGTGCCATTGTTGAAATTTTGACCAAAGTTATAGGGTGTAATAGCGTCCAAATTAATTAAAATAAAAAAGTTTTCTTCATTTAACTGAAAATTTTGAAAACAAAAAATGAGAAAGTATAGCTGGGTGAAGAATTTACGCGGGAAGTATGTGCGACAATTCTAACTTCTCGACTACTTTTCACCTAATTTTCAAATCGTTTTTGGTGTTTTAAATGCGCAAGAAAAAAATCAACACAAAAAACGAGGAAAATACATTAAAAGGTAAAAAAAACTTTCACATTCATTCCTCATCTCAAACCAAAAACTTCACAAAATTTAGAATTGTAGGCAATTATTGCCCGTTTCCGCAATTTCTGTTGTTGTTACAGGCAGTATTTGTGTTGCTGCCACTACTTGTAGAACCACCTCGATGACCACCAACCGCTAACATTTCAGAAGCTTCCGAATTAATATATGGCGAAGACGTTGTACAAATTGGGCCATTTTGTGTTCCAGAGCAGCAACTTGTTATTCCATTCGAATTTACAATAGGGCCGAGAGAATAGGACCTAAAAAAGTAAATCGTTGGTAAATAATTAGAGTTTTAGTCGAGATTTGAGAGGTTATGCGGGGGTATTTCTAAAAAAATTAAAAAGCAAATTTATAAAAAAAACTGACAAAAATCATAAGACATATTTTAAAAAACCAACATATTTTGCGTAGCTTGTAATAATTGTTCCAAATTTAATGTTGAACTAGCAACTGACAAAGGTGGCGGTGTTAATGATTTTTGTGTATTTTGCGATGAAAAATTTTGTTGATGTTGAATTGGCGAAGAACCAGTCGACAATGAAGTACTATTTTCTTTATCTCCGCAACTTTTTGTGACGAATCCATTTTGGAAAATAGAATTTTCACTTGGAGTAGAGGTAAACGCGTTCATCATATCAGCTTGATCTTTTGTGTGTTTTGCCCGGAGTTGGGCTAAAAATTATTTTATTTCAAATTTATAATTTTAAACTATATATACCTTTCATTGAAGCAATTTCAGCTTTTGAATCATTTAATGCACGGAATAAATCTTGTTTTAATCTATTTTCAGCTGAAAGTGTTTGTTCTAACAAGAAATTCTTTTGACGAAGTGTTTCAATTTGTTTGCTCTAAAAAATAAAATGTTAAATTTTTAGGATCTGAATTTCAAAAATAAAATCGTTCAGATTAGGCATCAGTACGTTTTAATTTCGTTTTCATGATTTTTATTTTTTTCTGGACCAATTTCAATGGAACCAATTCCAAATTCCAATGGGAATTGGTCCAGAAACCAATTTCAACTTTTATTTTTTAAAAAAACCTCGTCATTTCTAGCTGTAGATAATCGGCGCATTTCCTCTTCGAGTTTCGAACAAAATTCTTCTTTATTTTTAAATTCTCGTTTCAAATGTTTCAATTCTTTGTCCATATTGATTAACTTTTGTTTTTGTAGTTCACCATTTTCGTGACTAAAAATTGAATAAAAAATTCTTTTTTGATTATTTTATATTTACCGATTAGAATTATCCACAGCAGCATTTAACTGTTGTTGTTTTGCAAGTCGCTCGTTTGCTAATTCTCTCTCAATTTCTATTTTCTTCAATTGTAATTCACCAACACGTTTTTCCAAAGCTTGAATGTTTGTTTTGAAATGTTCATTTTGTTTGTTTAATTGACGGCCTTTTTGTTCCAATTGTTCTAATTTTTGTTTTTGTTCTCTCTCGTATTGACGCCATTCACATCGAGTGGTTTGTTCTTGTTGTTGTGCAGAAGCAAGTTGCGAACGTAAATCATTCTCACCATGACGAGATATTTTAAGCTCATTTCGAAGTTTCTCCATTGATTGCTCCAACCTTAAAACAAAAATTAAAAAAATATAAAATTCTCCAAACATTTGTTTTTGTTTCAATAAATGTTTCAATTCACTCATTTTCATTGCATTATCGCGTATTTGCTCCCCATTTTCTGTTAAAGATAAATCATTTCCAATCAAAAAAGAAATTCCACTGCTTCCAGCATTCGGTGTGAGAGCCAAATCACCATTTGCGTAAGAAATTGAACAAGATGAAGTTGGTGGAGTTTTTGCCGAAGAAGAACTTTGTTGTTGTTGTTCATTTGTTGTTGTAGAATTAGAGGAAAGTGTAGAAAGACCTCTTGGTCTTTGAGCTCGTCGTTTTCCACTTTGAATTAAATTTACACTTGAAGAATCTAAAAATGAATTTGCAAAATCTTAAAAAAGAAGATAAAATAAACCTAAATTAATTGTTTGATAATGATTAGAATCTCTTTCCCAATCATCCTCTTCAGCAATATTTGACCCATCACCGCTAGATGAAATAATATCATCTTGTCCGCCAACAGAATTTGAATTTCCTTTCAATTTAGACATTAATCTTTCAAGTGTTTGTTGCATAGAAGGCGTTAGACTGCTAAAAATATATCCAATTGTAGATAGCACAAAAAGGCAACAAAGTCGAAAAGCATTGATGAATAATTTTCGAACTTAAATAAAAAAAGAATTTTAATATACTAAAAGCTTAAGCAAAAAATAGTCTAAATTTTTTTCTAAAATTAGAAAAGCAATGACCAAAAAAATATCTTAAATATTCAATTAATAAGAACAAACCTTTATTAGTTATACTACCACTACCATTCATTATAGCACTATCAGCACCACGCCATGACTTTACTATCGTTGTATTAGTAACGCCCCCTCTTTTTAGAGTTCCATTTTGTTGCTTTGTTTGTTTGGACTGCCGTTTCTTTGGTAAATTAGTCATAATTGTGTTAGATGCTCCAATTGAAGTGTTTTGGGGTATCTAAATGGAATATTTAAACGGAAAATATACTACAAACATGAAGGAGCACATTTCAACTTTTTAATCCTATTCCAGTTTTATGCACCCTACAATGACAAACGTGACAGTAATGTAATAAGAGCCGTGAGTAGAAGTAAAAAATCCATCCTCATCAGTGGTGGGTATTGGGCATTTTGTGACTACTTCTCCGGGGTTTCAAAATCCTAACTACGACTCAATCAAACCGGCTCTGGAGATAGTTACCAGATACATACACAGCACTGATTTTTACACTTCATTTTAAAGCAAAGTTAAAATCTACTGGCAAGTAATATCTAGCGTAATGGATTCCATTTCTTAACTTTCGAATAAAACATTACTATGGATACATAACGAGAGTGATAATAAAAATTTAAATTTACCGAAGATAATGATGAGGTAATGCCCGATGTTGAAGTATTTAACGGTGCCGCACAAATTGCAGCAAATTGAGTTGACGAATTTGAAGATAAACGGGGGAGTGTTGACTGTGGACCATCCAATCCATTCAAAAATTCAGTTGTAGCAAATCCACCATTCGAATCAAAATCTAAATAAAAATTAAGCAAAAATTTTAACTTTAAAATAAACCAAAAATTTCATGTTGTTCCATGGAGAAATGGCTCCTTGAAGAAATAAAATGCTTTCGATTTTCAAAGGAAGCAGGTAGAGCGTCTGACAAAATTCTTTCGTAGAACTCATTCTGTCTACGTACCTCTTCACGTCTAATTCTCATTCTCCAATTACTAAAAAATAATTATTCATATTGCTCAGTAACTTCAAAAAAAATGAATAAAACAAAAAATGCTATTCTGTTCAATACTGGAGTAAAACTTCGGAACAGTCTCCAAAAAACATTAAAAGTTCCCCAAAATTAATCCAAAATTTATTCAAAAACTTCAAAAGGCATGCTTAAAAATTCAAAACAGGAAAGATAAAAAATTATTTAAATTCAAAAATTCCTAACTACTCATGTCAGTCAGAATATAAATTTTTATTTAAAATATACATATAGCTAAAAAAATAATTCTACATAGCTATATAAAATTCCTTTAATTAATTTCTTAATAAAATTTCTCACATGGCCTGTCATATTTTTTTCTTTAAAATTTAAAAGAAAGGAAAGAGTGCAATGCCCTCTTTCCATCGATTTTTCCCCATGATTTATTAATTATTATAAAGATGTGTGAAATCCATAAATTAAAAGTAAGGTGGATGAGGGGATGCCCAAATGTTTAAAATAAAAAAAAACATTAAAAACCTAAAAAATGACTTGACTCGGAATCCTAATGTAACAACAGGAAAACCAATACAATGTGCCGCAAACGGTCTATAAAGTTCGAGGCGAGGTGATGAAGTAGATGATGCTGATGAAGGTGATCCTACAGAAACGCTATCTGAAAAAGAGAAAATTGAAAAATATAAAGTTATTAAAAACATAAAGTAATAAGAACGTTGAGAACATTAGATACCGAAAATAACCGATACGGAACAGGGCCGTATAATTTTTAGCGCTGCAGGCGAAAATTTTGAGAAATTTCCCATTTCGGGGTGGGGGGATTCCCCCGTGGCTACGGCGTTGATACCGGATAATACCGACCCCAAAAGTTATCTGTATAGTGATACTATAAAATTAAAAAACAAAAATATACCTGCTGTTGAAGGAAAGAGTCCAGCAGTTACCCAAGATGTTCTTGTTAAATACCATGTTGCGTTGTCGAACCGGTATCTAACCGAGTATTCAAATATTATGAAGAGAGCCCAAAGAAATATTGAAGGCAAACAAATGCCTCTATCAGCTGTTAAGAAAAATAAAAATTTAGAAAAAAAAATTAAGAATAAATTTAGGGTATATCTTGGGTAAAAAAGGGAAATGTTTATATCAGCGAGCTTACAATAAAAAAAATTTTCATACATGCTTGGTAAACAAATTGGACCCAAACATAGGTGCTAGCAAGAAAAATCAACACTTGTATTGGGATAAATAAAT